GAAGCTGTGAGACAGCTTCAAGGTTGTGCTGTTGCAGTTGTGGAAGTAAGCCAGACTCGTAACCTTATGGCGGTTTTGGAGCATCACCTTACCGCCATTTTCGATTAAAACAAATGGATTCTGCTTTGGGATTCGCTGGTTTTCTAATTTCTACGAATAGTTGAAAAATAAGAAAATAAATATTACAATTTTAACGGATATATGGGATTGGGTTTGAGAACGAAGTGAGGGTTTTTTGTATAATTTCTTCTGATGATGCGTCTATTATATGTCTTCTCCTCCATTTCCCTTATTATGCGTTGATTTCTTTTTTCTTTTTACATATATATTATGATACTTTAATGTAATATTTAACTTACGTTTCTATTGGATATCAATTATCATGGCAATTTCAATAACAAAATGAGCATATCTTTTGTAGTTTCATTGGATTAAGAACCCTAAGATTAATTAAAAATCATATGATAAGATAAGATTTACATAAAATTGCAAGTTACATCTCTATTAGCATTACTAGAATCAGAAGAAGGCATGAAGGCAAGAACCACGAGTAAAACCATAATCCCAATGGGAACCAAAAGCAGCATAAACGGAGGCGGAGGTAACGGCGGCAAAACTAACGGAAGGATTAACAGAGATGCCGTTAGACCCACCAATAGAAACAGAGACTCTAAACTGAAATAATTCGCCGGGATCATCAACCTTTTCTGCGCCGAGAAACTCCGCCGTAACTCTTGCTTGCTTTTCTCCGGCGAACTTCGAAAGCTCATGTTTTTCCGGTTGTTTCTTCCGACGTCCATGACTCCGTTGTTCGAATAACGGTCTTGAATGTCAATAATATCGTTTTGTAAGTTTGATATTTCACGAATCATCTATCTAACGAGGTTGTTTTGCTGTGTCTGATTCCGATTTAGAAGATCGGTGACAAATTTTGCTCAAAGATCTGTTTTTTAGGGCACTGGTTAACCAATGCAGCTTGATCTAATAAGCAATCGGTGACGAATTCGAGACAAATCACGATGACCACCCACGATTCAGAAACAGAGAATGCAGAACAAATCCGAGTTAACTCAACGATTCAGATTTAAAAGAAGAAGCTTTGGGAACCAAATCTGCAATAGAGAAATTGTAGATGTTTTTGATTAGTATTATGGTTATGTAGAAACCATAGAAACGACACAATCAAATAAACTCTAGGGAAAGGAAGTACCTTTAAGCCAAATCCCTTATCAGAAGAAGAGTTTGAGAAGCTTTTGTGTTTTGGTTTGGTTTGATAATGAAACTGTGTGAAACTAGCTAGTACTAGTAGGGAAATGAGGAAGGCAAGTAGCTAAGGAAGAGAATAAAGAAAAGGGAAATCTTTGGAGGTATTAATAAAGGAGTTGGAGGAGAGGATCAGAGAAGAATCAGAAGATATGGGGAGACAGAGAGAGGAGAGGAGGGTTCAGTGAATTTAGGGATTTTCTGATTTGTTGAAAAGACGAAAAAGAGGAACGTTTATTATAAAGGGGCTGACAAATGTGAGAAGCAAGTTGCTGAATTTGGAAGATTTTGAATTTTTGAATTTAGTAAACAATTTATTTCGTGTGGCCTAGTCTTCCTCCACAATCACAAGGTTCTTCTCCCCTGGTCTTCTTTTCTCTTTCTCTTTACTTTCTTTTAGTACTATACTATAAGATGATATGTGACGTACGCTAGAATCTCCTCTCAATATGTAAGTAATATTTAAATAATAGAGTTTTGAAACCATCTTTTTACCATTCTAAAGATTTTAAGAGTTTATTTTGAATAATCCAGTAGTTATAGGTTGATTTAATCAAATAAACTTAATATTTTATAATCAAATTAAATATATGATGCGATGAGGAAAGTTTTTATTATTATCGTACCTACCAATAATTTAGGACCCATAGTGTTGTTCTTCTCCAAGCATTTCATATGGTGAGTGTGTTTGTTCAGCCAGGAAATGTTGGGCCAATATGTATATATCCTTATTTTCATGTCTCGTATTTTTATATATTAAGCGAAGTTAAATATGTATGTTTTTATAGCTAGGAATGTTTTTCAAACTAATTCATGATATATATTTACGTGTGAAGATCGGACATAGTAACGTGACAACACGCTTTGCATGTGAAGTCTTGAGAGGATGGTTTTTAATAAAGCAAAGATGTTTATATCGCCAGATGATGAACTCTCAAAGAATGATGAAGTAAAGCAAACAGTTTTACAGTAGTGTCGGTTGATGTTATTAATATACCTGTTTTAGAGATATTTAAACAACTTTTATAAGAAAATTAATTAGACGATGATGATGCATCAACATTTTAAAAAAAAATTTGGTTTGTCTCGTTGTTTTCAGTTTTCATGTGGTATAAACTGCTAATGAAATTTTATGGGTTTTAGATTATTTGTATATGCGCATTTTCATAACGTATTTTGAATTTATGGTTAAAATCTGATTTATATAATGTTGAAGAATTTATGTAATGCGCACACCAAAAAAAAAAAAAAAGCATTTATGTAATGCGATCCTGCAGGATGATGAGTCGTCATTTCAAGTAATGTAAACATTTCTAGATATATATACTTGAACCTGAGGCGAAAGTTATCAACACTTATACCAATTTTGAATCATTATAGTTAAAATATACATGGTTCATTGAATTGAGAAACATAGGCCACAATCCTTCAGAAGCAACGTCAAGTGGTTTCAGGGCCGGCGTTGAGGGGGTGCAAGAGGAGCAAATGTACCAGGCCAAATTTTTTTTGGGTAAATTTAAGGGCCCAAAATTTTTTATTTTAAGAAAAAATGATAATTTTTAAGATTTTAAGATAATTTTAGTATGAAAAAGGCCCAAATATATATTTTTAGTATGAAAAAGACCAATTTTAAAGATTTTTTTAACATGAAAAATGCCAAAAAAAAAAAAAATCTATGAAAAAATGGCCAATTTTTAAAATTTGTACCGGGACTCTAAATTAATTGAGCCGGCCCTGAGTGGTTTATTTGTTTTTTCCTGACCTTTGGATACATAAAAGCCGATTAGTACGTAGTTTGGGGGAATTGATAGATTACCAAATACTACAACTCTAGTTATCCACATTAATTGTGCAGCATTACTTTAATTAGGCCAAAATTAACAATACCCGAAGACAGCTTCAAATATTAAACTCTTTATTGACGTGTACCAACAAAGTTTTTTGCATGGATGACAAACCCTAAATTAATTATTTAGAAAGTTTATATCGAATGATCCGCTAGTTTCTATTTTCTAGACCTACACTATAGATACGAAAATCGTATCTTTAGGGATGTGAAAATGTATCTTCTCGATCGTTGACGAAAAAAAAAAGAGAGAGAAAGAAAATGGATCTTCTCAGCGTATACGTATAAGCTCAAATAAAAAAAATCAATTTATTTGTGTTTAGTGTTTGTCTCTACGATCAAGGGAATATTTTTATTTAAAATATGGGTTCATAAAAATGTTCACTGAATGTATACACTAGTAACCAAAACTTATATGGTGTGGTTTTAAGTTTATTTGTTTTTTACTTCAATTTTCTTTGGAAACAAAATAATTTATCAATTATAAATTCAGTTCAATTGCGTGTTGGTTCTTGGATAGGTTAGGTATATTAAGATTAAACATCTCATACTTGTATGTTTTTAGTTATTGAAAGACTAAATAAGTAAATAATGGTGGAAAGTGAAGATGTAGATGTGTATATATGGCAACCCATGCATGATTATTGCCTTGAACACCGCACACCTTTAGATTGGTGTCTAGTGGACCTGTATCAAAGTTCAAGAAATCAGAAAATAAAAGTATATCTTAAATATTGCTTCTTTTCCTATGTCCTACTTCTAATTTAATTGATTTTCGACAGTCAATATGCGTAGTCGCTTAGACATATGTTTTGGTCTAATTCTTAGACACTTGATGCATTACAATTTCCTCAATAACAAGGTCCATATGCTCAGTTTCATCACGTCCGATAATTTTTAAAGATTTTTTTGTAATAGTCAGTTTTTTTAAAGATTAATAATGCTCTTCCATTATACTAAAGTATAATTTTGTTGATTTATAAGGGGAAAGTCGCTCGATGAGACACTGAGGATCGAACGGCACACGCACATGTAAACGTCACGTGGCTCTTTCTCTTTGATTCAATGCATTTATCTCTCGAGCTGAGTCTCGACCAAACCAACTTGCCTAATTAATATTCCTCGTACGACTCTTTAATCTTTTTTTGTTTGCTTTAAAAACCAAAAAAAAAACAAATTATTTTGTTCTTGTGGAAATTTAACCCAAAATATTTTAAGATTAAGATCGTTTCTCCCCGACAAGCATCTCTAATTAAGCTTGGAGCATTTATGTGGTTGGTCTATTAGAGATTAATGGTCGTTTTCATGAGTGATGTTATCATGAAACAAGTTATTTGAAAAGTGTTCGTAATTGGGTTTCCAAAATTTTGGAGTATGATTAGGTTCAGAGTATCATGATTCAAAATAAAAAGAAGTGTGTTTTTTATATCTTTGTGACAAAGACAAGAATAGGTATACTTTGATGGGTTTAACCTTTTTATTTTATCAATCTTTAATTAATTATGAATCACAGATTGAAAGGGAAATTAAACGAATGATGAGAAAAAAACAATGTATCTGCTGCTTCCGTGAGGTCGGTCATTGGGTTCATTGCATTGATCCTAACATGCCAAATTTATGGTTCAAATTCAATTTTATATTTCTAGCTAGCTCCAACAAAAACAATGTTCACGTACATTTTCTTTGTCAGAAAGAGTTAAGATTTTAGAAAGATGATTCATGACCCTTAATTAAAGTTAAATCCTGACGTTGACCATTAATTAAGGAAAAAGTAGAGAAACTCCGGTTTTGATAAATTAATTAAAGAGAATTCCGGTTTTCGACTTTAGTTCGGTTCAACCTTAACCAGAAGCTTTGGATTCCAAAATGTGTAAAACCCTACCCGTTCGGCGTTCGCCGGTTCGATTTTTTTCAGACAAGGTTTGAACTTTAAACTCTGATCGACAGAAATCTCGGACCAAGTGGAAAACGAAAATGGCAGCGAATGGGTACTGTTTCTAATCTGGCTTACTCTATTCGGACATTTGTTTAATGAATTGATCTTTAAAGTTGTCATTTTTTTGGTTCTTGTCTGGGATTTGATCACAGGCTAATGACGGCATCCAATGTGTTTCTTCATCGTCCTGTACATCCCCAGTTCTCGTTTTCTTCTAGAACGAGTCAAATGGCTCCACTCGGCGTCAAAGGCCGTGTTAATTTCATCGGCAATGTGAATCGCTGTTTTCCGGTGGTTTTGTCGATGGCAAAGTCGGAGACTTTCGAGGAAGCCGGCAAGTCCGTAGCGCCTGGTAACGGCATATCCATCATGGTATCTAATTATTTCCCAAACACTCTTGACTTGTGAGATCAAGCATTTGCGTTGATGTGTTTGTGTGATTTTCCAGAAATTCAGTTAGAAAGCTTTGCCTTTTTTTTTGTTTTTCTCTAGCAATAGCAATCTTTTAGGATCAAGATACATTTTTTGAAGAGAGTATGATCTTTGCGAGAGTGTAATTGTAGGATCAAGTTATATAAGCCATTCATTCACTCTCTTTATACCTTTAGGTGAATGGATGCAGTGGCAAAATGGGGAAAGCTGTCATCAAAGCGGCAGATTCTGCTGGGGTGAAAATTGTTCCTACATCATTTGGTTCTGCTGAAGAGGCTGGCCAGAGAGTTGAGGTCTGTGGAAAAGAGATTCTTGTTCATGGTCCTACTGAAAGAGAAAAGGTTCTATCTTCGGTGTTTGAGAAGTATCCTGAACTAATTGTTGTGGACTACACAATTCCCTCTGCAGTGAATGGTACAATCCTGTGTCTTAGAATGTACATTTTGTGACATCATTATGATTAAATTGTGCATAGAATCTGTTGGATGATTTTATCTTTCACTCGTAAGAGAACCCGATTTATGTATGTTATAACATCAGTTGCTTTAGAAACTGGTTATCTGCAGTTAGTTGATTTAAAAGGTGGGTTTTTTTTTTTTGTTGCAAAATGTAGATAATGCAGAGCTGTATGGCAAAGTAGGAGTCCCTTTCGTTATGGGAACAACTGGAGGAGATAGGACAAGATTGTATAAAACTGTCGAGGAATCGAAGATTTATGCTGTGATCTCACCACAGATGGGTAAACAGGTGCTTGCTTATTACTCACTGTCACAAAAACTACCTATTATGCATGTAAATGCTTATCCTTGTGACCCATATTATCTTTGCTTTGTTGGTTGGTCCACTAGGTTGTTGCGTTTCTTGCAGCAATGGAGATCATGTCTGAGCAGTTTCCTGGTGCGTTTGCTGGTTATTCCTTAGAGGTACTTCTTTCACTTTGAGATTTTCATTGAAGTGGAATTTATAGGTTGTATGGCTGATTGGATGTAATCTTTATAGGTGATGGAGTCTCATCAAGCTAGCAAATTGGATGCATCTGGAACTGCAAAAGCTGTTATTTCTTGCTTTCAGAAATTGGGGGTGTCTTACGACATGGACCAGGTGTTTATATCGTACTTTGTTCTCTAAATCTATCTTTCTTTAGTAAAATCATCATCAGTAAGATCATTTGCTTACTTTTGAAATCAGATACAATTAATTCGAGATCCTAAGCAGCAGATTGAGGTGGTGGGTGTTCCGGAGGAGCATGTTTTGGGTCATGCTTTCCATCTTTATCACTTGACATCACCAGATAAAACGTAATGCAAGATTTTAGACATATTCATTGATTCTGTTTTAGTCCTCTCTAATTGCTGGAAACTGATTTGTCTGTAATATCAAAAACATCTTTTGTTTTTTGTAGTGTGTCCTTTGAGTTCCAGCACAATGTTTGCGGAAGATCAATATATGCTGAGGGTACCGTCGATGCAGTGCTTTTCCTTGCCAAAAAGGTTAGACATCTTCTTCTTCGAAACTGTCTCAAAATAGTCAAATTCAATGAATTGGATAGTGTTTCTTAATCTGATTTGCTAAAAACACATTCATGAATTGTAGATCCGGTCTAAAGCAGAGAAGCGGATCTATAACATGATTGATGTCTTGAGAGAGGGAAACATGCGTTGAACAAACCTGAGACGATTTCCAATTGGAAGTTTCAGAGGCATTGACCAGGTGTTGAAGGTAGAAGAGTGTTATATACCAAAGCAAAAATCAGCTCTGAATTTGGTTGTTTAGCTTTCTGAAACTACCATAGTATTCAACTAGTTATTGTTAGTTTTACTTGGCATTGACAGAACCAAAACATGCGCTTGCATTGTTAAACTCTATATAAAAAATGTGTGCCAAGTTAATGTGTTGGGGTTCTTCATTTCTTTGTAAGGTTTCGTCTTTTATGGCTTCTCTGTTTCTCTTTCCGAATGCAAAATTCCTGACAAATTGTCATTTCTTTTCGATCATAATCGTCATTTTTCTTCGGCATCTTTTCTCAAGAGAAGAAAGCTTTTAGCTTTGATCGAAAAACAGAGCCTCACCATGTTAAACCCAGCTCTTGTTATCTCCACAATCCCAAAACAGATTGCTGGATATGCAAAGACCACCAATCTTCCAAGTTCTCAAAGTACGAGATGCCTTTAAGACATAATGACCGAGGAGTGGGAGAGTTTCGAGCAGTGTGCGTAAGCATCTGTGATCCCTGTCTTGGCTTACTTAGAGAACCGGTTTCTCTAGGTCGAAATTAGGAGAATTTGCTTCGAATTATCCGCATGTTTCGCACGCAATTGTGGTTAAGTTTCTTTGTTGGCTCGATTAGATGAGCACGACTTAGGTTGATGAAGTATCCTGATAATAATTTTTTAATAAAAATATTTTGTATAGTAGTACTTAACTTTTAATTAAAGATGAAACAAAATTACTTAAAATATTATTTGTGAGAAAATTTTAAAATATGTGAAAACGTGTTGAATTTATGACACTACAAAACTTACGGATCAAAAAGACATTTTCACGTATTTAAATCTAACACTTAAGTTTGAAAACAAATTTTTTAATAAAACTATTTCGTATAGTAGTAATTAATTTTTAGTCAAATTTTTTAAATAGATTACTGAAAATATTATTTGTGAAAACTTTAAATGTTAAATTTAAAATACTTGAAAACGTGTTGAATTTATGACACCACAAGACTTAAATCTAGCATTTAAGTTTGAAATTTTGGTGTTTAAGTGTTAAATTTGTTTTAAATTTTAGTGAAAATCATTATTAATTTTTCTTGAAGTTTAACTGTTAAACTTGTTTTAAATTTTAGTGACAATCATTATCAATTTTTAAAAATGAGTTTAAGCGTTAAATCTATATTACATGAAAACATGCCAAACTTCGAACACCAAAGCTTACAGACCAACTAAGGACAGCATGCCTAGGCGTGGTTAGTTTTCGACGTTTTTAAAATTGAACAATTAAACTAATTTTTAAAAAGTAATAGTGAAATTAACATGGTTTTGGTTAAAAGCATTATTTTCTTAAAGTTTAAGTGTAAATTTGTTTTAAATTTTAGTGAAAATTATTATTAATTTTTAAAAATGAGTTTTAGTTTTCGACGTTTTTAAATTTTAACTTTTGAATTACTTTTAAAAACTAATAGTGAAATTAACATGATTTTGGTTAAAAGCATTATTTGTTAAATTTGTTTCAAATTTTAGTGACAATCATTATTAATTTTTAAAATCGATTAAGCGTTAAATCTATCTTACGTGAAAACATGCCGAACTTCGAACACCAAAGCTTACGGACCAACTAAGGACAGTATGCCTAGGCGCGGTTTGTTTTCGACGTTTTTAAAATTTAACACTTGAACTAATTTTTAAAAATTAATAGTAAAATTAACATAGTTTTGGTTTAAGTGTTTAAGTGTTTTCTTAAAGTTTAAACCTTTATACTTATTTTAGTTTTCTTAAAGTTTAAACTTATTTTCTTAAAGTTTAAGTGTTTTATCTAAAATATCTAAAAATTTAACACTTGAATTAATTTTTAAAAATTAATAGTAAAATTAACATAGTTTTGGTTTAAGTGTTTAAGTGTTTTCTTAAAGTTTAAACCTTTATACTTATTTTAGTTTTCTTAAAGTTTAAACTTATTTTCTTAAAGTTTAAGTGTTTTATCTAAAATATCTAAAAATTTAACACTTGAACTAATTTTTAAAAATTAATAGTAAAATTAACATAGTTTTGGTTTAAGTGTTTAAGTGTTTTCTTAAAGTTTAAACCTTTATACTTATTTTAGTTTTCTTAAAGTTTAAACTTATTTTCTTAAAGTTTAAGTGTTTTATCTAAAATATCTAAAAATTTAACACTTGAATTAATTAATAGTAAAATTAACATAGTTTTGGTTTAAGTGTTTAAGTGTTTAAGTGTTTAAGTGTTTTCTTAAAGTTTAAACCTTTATACTTATTTTAGTTTTCTTAAAGTTTTCTTAAAGTTTTAAATTATTTTCTTAAAGTTTAAATGTTTATCTAAAATATCTAAAAATTTAAGACTTGAACTAATTTTTAAAAATTAATAGTAAAATTAACATAGTTTTGGTTTAAGTGTTTTCTTAAAGTTTAAACCTTTATACTTATTTTAGTTTTCTTAAAGTTTTTAGTGTTAAATTTGTTTTAGAATTTAGTAAAAATCATTATAAACTTTTTAAAAATGAGTTTAAGTGTTAAATTTATATTACGTGAAAACATGCCGAACTTCGAACACAAAAGCTTACGGACCAACTAAGGACAAGATGCCTAGGCGCGGTTAGTTTTCGACGTTTTTAAAATTTAACACTTGAATTAATTTTTAAAAAGTAATAGTAAAATTAACATAGTTTTGGTTAAAAGTATTGTTTTCTTAAAGTTTAAGTGTTACATTTGTTTTAAATTTTAGTGACAATCATTATTAATTTTTAAAAATGAGTTTTAGTTTTTGACGTTTTTAAATTTTAACTCTTGAATTAATTTTTAAAAACTAATAGTGAAATTAACATGATTTTGGTTAAAAGCATTATTTGTTAAATTTGTTTTAAATTTTAGTGACAATCATTATTAATTTTTAAAAATGAGTTTTAGTTTTTGACGTTTTTAAATTTTAACTCTTGAATTAATTTTTAAAAACTAATAGTGAAATTAACATGATTTTGGTTAAAAGCATTATTTGTTACATTTGTTTTAAATTTTAGTGACAATCATTATTAATTTTTAAAATGAGTTTAAGCGTTAAATCTATATTACGTGAAAACATGCCGAACTTCGAACACCAAAGCTTACGGACCAACTAAGGACAGGATGCCTAGGCGCGGTTAGTTTTCGACGTTTTGAAAATTTAACACTTGAACTAATTTTTAAAAAGTAATAGTGAAATTAACATGGTTTTGGTTAAAAGCATTATTTTCTTAAAGTTTAAGTTTTTTAAATTTGTTTTAAATTTTAGATAATTTTTAAAATCAAAACAATTTAGATTTTTAGAAATAAAAACATTCAAAACGTTTAGTGAAATAAAAACTGTTCTATTTAAAATATTTGAAAAACGTTGATATTTAGTTTTAAATCAGAAGTGAAAAACCTAAAATAATATTATTTTTTGAAATCAAAATCATTATATTTTATTTATTACAAAAAAAAAAAAGAGAAAAAGGTAAGAAAGTACCTGGAGAATTGGAGATATCCTCAGGCGGCTTGTGGTTGTTCTGAAATTTGACATATCACCAATTCTCTTCAATATCCTCTTTGTTCCTCGTAGTCTCCGGTGAAAGCGGCTCGGTGGCTAGGTCATAATCCGGCGAACTGTAATCGATTTTGATTTAGAGAGAAGACGACAGAGGATTGATGGAGATCATCATTCAATATCAATGAAACGATGTATATGCAGAGATCATCATCGGATTTTACGTTATCAATGTCTACTTGGGATCATCATCAGCGTTGAGAGACTGCGGATCATCATTGTCTACTAGAGATCATCATCATCGGAATTAACAGTCTCTGTATAAAGACTTCGCTCGAGAAGAAGAAGAAAAAGAAGCAAGAAACAGAGAGTTTTGATTTTTCTCTGTCAAGGAAGAATTAGAAGAAGCATTAAGAGAATGCGTGAGAGAGAGAGAGAGAGTATTTATAAGCAAAGAGGTTCAAAAGAAAAAGGAATTTCACAGAGTCTCTGTATTAAGACATTCGCTCGAGAAGAGAAGAAGAGAAGAAGAAGAAGCGAGAAATAAAGAGCTTTGATTTCTCTCACAAGGAAGAATAAGAGTTAGGGTTGAGAGAGTATTTATTTATAAGCAAAGAGGTCCAAAAAGAAAAGGAAACTGATAATAACAATTAACGGTCACATAAAGATTTCCTTTTTCTGTAATCACAGTTAACGGTCACATAAAGATTTCCTTTGATTCCTTTTTCATTCGATGGTTCTTTTTTTCCTTTTTTTCGGGTTTCCTTTTCTTATTTACTTTTATCTGTTTCTGTCTGATGATTTTTAATTAAGGTGATGAATTTAGATCATCTCTAGGACTAGGATGTTAACGTTGGTGTGTACAATTTTGAAGAGGCTATGAAACCAAATGTTGAGTGTTTACTCTGTTTTTGGCATCTGGGGAGAGGTGTTACTCTCTAATGATGAAGATGAAGATACTTGTTGTCTATTCCTGCATCGAAAAGGCCATAATGGTAATATTTTAACAACGTTTTCAGGCATTTGATTAATCGAGTTTCGAGTTATTCATTTGTTTTTACTTATAGGTTCCCATATCATCATGCTAACCAGTAGGAATCCGAATAAGCTAAGAAGAAAAGGGTTTATTCCAAAGCATATGCTTAAGAATATCCATAGAATATTCTTGTCTGGATTCATGTTCTTGTCTCTACTTGCACAATCCCAAACTTGTTTTTATACATCTTTAACTTCCATGAAACATTGTAGGGTTTTTTCTCCCTTGCAACCCTTGAATGTGTTTGTTGATTGACATCTATACATATCGATCATCCTATCGTGTTGATCGATTAGTTTAGATGACCATCAACAAACTCTTTCGTGGTTTTGCATCGCTTCTTGAAATCTTGATCATGTTTTTCATATTTGCTCTGTTTTCTGTCCTCAAAGCAGCTCAAGAAGTACTTGCATCACCTGGCAAATCGAAAAGCTTCTTAGGGATTTGATTCTTAGTTTTAACTTCTCTGACATGGTTTTGTTCTTTTTTGCAGTCGTCACAGCTTAGCTGATGAAGAAGAATCTTGGTCTTGTATTTGGAGAGGAAATCCAAAACCTCTGAAGCTCACTGGATTATTAAGAATCTGTTAAGCCATAGGTTTCTAAATCTCGAAGTTTAAAAGCAAGTCTACAATTGAAATTTGGTTTTTTTAGTTTATGGATATTGTGTAGAGAAAGATTATGATATGTGTAAAGAAAATAGACAAGTCTTGGTGAGTAGAAATGCTCATAATCTCTAAGGATAGTTACATACACCAAAGTTGTGGTTGTGGAGAAATGGGAACAAAAAGTCAACGAAACAGGTCTAAGTTGTTCTGGTTTAGCTACTTCTTTGATGTATATAGTTGTTGACTTCCATAATCCATAGCATTTATTTCATTATTTGTGCTCCGGTTCCACTAGAGGTTTGTTTTCATGATTTATAAAAAGATCAGATTCAGACCAAGTTTCAGACTAATTCTTTAAACTGTTTCGGCATGTTCACATTAAAACCATCAAAATTTATTAGTGTTTAGGATTTCTTCGAGACCATTGGGACTATGACTACTGACTAGGTCGAATTGCCCCCATTATCAGTTATCACCCCCTTAGACCGGTCGAGTGTCCCCATTATCACCCCCTTCACCCCTTGGACCGGTCGAGTTGTGTATGGGGACACTCGACCGGTCGAGTTGTGTATGGCTTCAACTTTGACAAATGAGAAAATCTCTATTTTGGATGTTTCTACTTTCTGTACCCCAAAAAAAAAAAAAGAGAGAACATTTTCTAAGAACGTTCTTATAACTTGTAACGTTCTTATACATTAATAGATACTGTACTTAAGAGGATCATAGTTGGTCAAAAATAAACAACAGAAAAGATTCTCGTCCTTTTACGTTAGAAGTAGCCATCTTCCAAAATTTCAGTTGATTAATAACAGATGCTTTTGTTTTCCGTGAATTTTCTTTGTTTTAATATTTTTATTAATCGAGTTTGAGGTGTTTAGTGGGCACAATCAGAAATAAAAATAAGCTTATTTATTTATGTATTAAGAAGGTTTTGTTATTTGTAGTTTAGTAAAACGTTCTTACGCACTTTCAAACTAACACCGTGTAATACGTTACAGCGCATCGTCGTCGACTGAATTAGGTGAAGACTTTTGGAAAATAATAGTAAACTATTTCGATTATGAACTTCCAAAGTTTTCTTTTTATCTTTTGAGCCCCAAATAATTATAACTGTCTTATTACTACCCCAAAACTTTACACATCAATATCGAAATATCACCCATAAGTACAAAAATTTGCCTTTTTCCCCCCCTCAAACAACTTTAGACTTCCGTAATGAAAATCAACATTAACACAAAACAAGATGCAAATGAAATTTATTGAGCTGAGATTTAAGCTTTTTGGATCAATTTATCATTCACCTGAGACACAAGAGAACAATCTATGGCTTCTATTCCTCACAAGCTGTCCTCGCCGTGACGGAGAAAAACCGGTATCTCCGCCGTCGGCACTAGATCTTCTTCCTTCACGACAAGACATGGATGAGAAATCTCCGACCGACCATCCACGGCGGTGACGTTGTTGAACACCAACGTTATTCATCTCTATATGATCAAAAGACGATGAGGGTCGAGATACAACGGAGTGTTCGGATTTAGCGGCGAAGGGGAAGAAGTCGTAGTCGTCGTTGGCATCTTTAGTCGTGCCGGCGGAGGAAGAGAGACACTCATAGCGCCGACGGGTCCGGTTTTTCCTCATAGCCTTAAACGCCATTGGAATCAAACCATCCATTGATTCTTTTCTTTTTTTGGTTGCTCCTTTTTTTTTGTGGTTATGTTTTGTGTGTGTTATTGTTGAAGAAAGAAGAAGAAGAATGGTAAAACCAAAAACAAGAGAAGAAGAAGAAAGTGTTTTTGTTATTATGTGTTGTGTGGGGAAGTTGGGAGGTTTATGGTTTTGGTAGTGGTTTGGTGATTACTCAATACACACCTTCCATCAGTTTCATTTGCTTATCTTTCTTTTCCTTTTATATTTTACAAAGGGTTGTTGACTTGTTGACAAAAAAATAAATGGTTTTTATCTTCTGTTCTTTTTTCAATATAACTGATTCATATATATTCTTTTTGTTTGGCTGATATCACTAATGGTTGAATTTACGTCTATACGCGTATGTGTTAGAGCATGATTAACAATGGTATCTTAAAAATGGTTCTTAGGAGTATTAAAGTAATAACATGACATGTGGTTGGCTCTTAAGGTTAGTTTTGGGTCTTAGCTAAGATACTTTCTTAGTTTTTAACATGATTTGTCTTTACTTTTTGATCTAAGATTTACTTAAGAACTCTTTAAGACACCCTTGTTAATGGTGGTCTTAGTATTTTATTGTATTTAATTTTAAGGGATTTAATTGCTTTTAGTGTGGTTCTATTTAAAAGCCATCGAATAAAGAAAGAACAAACTTGTAATAATTTAATACTAGTTTGCAAGATTCTATATTAAAATTTCCTTTTACGTATGTAGAATAATGTAAGATTGAGTAGACCCATTTTAGATGACATGCCACGGCCCATACTTTCTCCTTCCCACGCACTAGCATAGTAGAGATCGAGTGAACCCGCCTAACATATTAGGCATGACTGACTTTTGTGAAGAAGATCGTATCTTGTTCCATTTTCTGTTTTAAAAATGGCCACCTTGTATAAAAATCAAACATAAGTAAACTAAGATATAACTTACATGCCTCGTATTTGTCGAATAAAGAAACACCTTTTTCTCAAAGTATAACTAGCAAATGATAGCTGAGACAAACTAGTCATTCGACCTAGACATCATGTACTCAAAATTTGATATTTCTGTTCTCTATATAATAAAACAAACACTTTCCGTCGGGCAAATCAATAGAATTATTTCGATTTTTTTGTTTATTTTCTATTGCATCACTCAATTACGAAAAAATGACAAAAAAAAAAAGTTATATTATAACATGGAAAGTGAAAACCTAAAACTATTTTTAGAACTAGGTTATAACCCCCGCTACGCGGGGGTTTACTTTTGTTGATTGTTTTCATATATTTTTAGCTTAGTAATCAAGTAATTACAATAATAATTCATTTTTAAATTCATTTTAGCATAAATGTTGTTTTATTTATATTTATAATATCATTTATATTGGTTAAAAATTTGTTTTAATAAAAGAAAAACTTATAGGATAAAAATTGGTATAAAACATATTACAAATATGATGTGTCATATTTTACTCAAATATATAAAAAAGACTTCAAATGATCTAATATCCGAATATCAAACTTGAAACATGAAAATTACTAATCAACATTTAAATGAAAAGAAACAAATGAATACTTACACATGTTACATGTATATATTGTGTACCTTTTGTTTTTATTTTTTCACATACCTCTTGATTGATTATTCTATTCAAATTTTTTTATTTATTTATCTCAATTATAAAATTTCTATTTTTCTTGCTTCAATTTATTGCCATTCTTTCAATTTTATAAATAATTTATTTTAAATAACAAACTGAATCAAAGCAAACCAAATTAATCCAAACCGAATTAAAATGAACCAAAATGAGTTTGATTAGAGACTTAATGTTTTATTAAAATCGAAATAACCGAATCAAATTTAAATCGACATCAAACTAAAATGTCGACCCCTAATAGCGATTAAGAAGGGATATTGGCAAATTTGGTGAGACTAATAATGATATTATTTTATATATTCTAATAACAAAAATTTTACATTTTTCTTTTTTGCATATGGTTTTTTTTTAAGTTTACATTTTTCTAGTTACCATAGATATTGTTTTTATTATTTTATTTTTTTTATATGTATCTTAATTTTCTATTGATATTACATTTTTTGTTTTCCTAGATGTTTTTTTAAGTTTTCATTTTTCTTGCGTCTCTCTCTCTCTCTCTCTCTCTCTCTCTCTCTCTCTCTCTCTCTCTCTCTCTCTCTCTCTCTCTCTCTCTCTCTCTCTCTCTCTCTCTCTCTCTCTCTCTCTCTCTCTCTCTCTCTCTCTCTCTCTCTCTCTCTCTCTCTCTCTCTCTCTCTCTCAATATATATATATTATTTTTTCCTTTTTATAAGTATATATTAATATAAAAAAATTATTGGATTATAAAATTGCTAATAACTGAGATGGTTAATCGTGATTAGTCTTTTAAAATTTTGTGGTTAATCGTGATTAGTCTTTTAAAATTTTATGTAGTATAGAATCTAGTGGTTTCGACTTAAGCTATAAAATATAAAAAAATACTCGAAAATAATACGGACAATTACCAAAAAAACGGCCACCTTTAAACTTTGGTTTCTGAAGAAGTTTTGCATGGTTAAAAAAATAATTCAAAAACAAAGAATTCAAAAATTAATTAAACGATTATAATATATAGAATCCTATATATAATTACTTTTTTGTAATTACCTTTTTGCTTCTCATATTCTTCTTCTTCAATATATAATTCTTTTTACTTTTTTATTTGATTTCTTTGTTTTTCATGCATATATTTAACATAAAGGAATTAACAATATCCACATAAAGAAACAATTTGAAAGCTACATAAATTTTAGGATCAATAATACCTTGTAATTGCTTTCAAAGTCACAGTTGAATGAACCTACACTCGATTCATTAGTGTAACCTGAAAAATACAAATCAAACCGTCTAAAATCAGCAAAATTAAAAAATATTTGTTTATAGTTCATAGAGAAATAAATAAAAAAATATGTAGCACGAGAAAAAAAATCAAAGCCACGTAATAGTGAATTCTTTTGAAACTGAATACTAATTGTGTGGAAGGTTCAATATTTATAGTTTATTGTCTAGGGAAACCGTCATCTGTAATTTTACATTTTTAAGTTAGAAATTTTCCAAATAAAAATATATTCGCTGCATAATAATATTGAAATCTATGCTTCACATTTTTCTTATTTCTATATTTTGTTATTTCAAAAGTTCACATTTTTTTTCTTTCCATATATTTTTTTTCCTTTTTATTAATATTTAATTATAGAAAATCTTAGAATTTAAAAAGGTTAATTAACATGGTATATAAAAATGTTAACCGACGAAGTGGCTATTCGCGGTTGGTCGTTTTAAATCCCACGTGGACAGCTTCAGAAGCTTATAGCTTATTTCAAAAATTCACATTTTTCTTCTTTCCATATATTGTTTGTTTTTTTTTTAAATTAATATTTAAGTATAGAAAATATTAGAATTTAAAAATGTTGTGTGTAAAAATGTAAACTGATGAAGTGTCTAATCCCGATTGGTCGTTTAAAATCCCACGTGGACGCCTCAGGAGCTTATAGCCTCGACTTTTATATAGTATAGATTTTTGCACTATTTATCTTCTTACAAAATTATTGACATTTATATTTTGGTGGGATACAAAATTATTGATATTGGAACGAAAAACAAAAAGAAAAACATGGAGGCTATAAATAAGCGAACACAAGAATCCATCTCCAAGTAAACAGTGTCTTTGCTCTTTCCCCTTCTCCGGGAATATACTCTCATTGCTTAAACCCACAATCATCCTTACTCAAATTTCCCACTAAACCCTAATTTTGGTTTTGGATTACTTCATCTATCAATTGCAATCTTTCTTTGAAATCGTTCTTCACCAACAATGGCTGATCAACAAACCCTAGATTCTTCTACTCCTCCTCAATCCGATGATCCCTCTCACTCCCACTCTTCTTCTTCTTCCCCAGCTCCTACCCTCTCAAGAACTTTCTCCTCTAGTCGCCTCAACGCTAATGCTCCTGAGTTCGTTCCTGGTCGAACTACTCCGCCGTTGCCTCAGCCGAGGATGATGATCCCACCTCCGCCTCCTCCTCTGTTTCTTCATATGTACCACCACCCTCCTCCGCCGCCGTTTGATGTTCCGATTACTGGACCTATCCCATTCCTGCCTCACGAGCGGCGGAGGAGAGACCGTAAGAAGAAAGATCAAGCCGAAACTGGAGCTTCTGTTTCTTTTGATCCTAAGAGTGGTTTACCTGAGGATACGGTCCAGAAGATAGTGAACCAGGTAAAAGCTTCAATTTTTAAAACCAAAACATAAAAAAGTTTCGATCTTTACTGCTTTCATATCCGTTTTATCACCATTGCTCATTAAGTTTCTAGAAAAAACTCTGCTTTGCTTCAAAGTTTTAGACTTTCAATCATTGTCAGGTCGAATACTATTTCAGCGACTTGAACTTGGCCACAACAGATCTTCTGATGAGATTTATCAGTAAAGACCCTCAAGTATATGGTAACATCTCTGAAACCGTTGAAAGTTGTGTTCTCAAAGTTCTTTTATTTCTTTATCTCACACCATTCACCTAGTGAACACTATTGGTAATCCATTGTGCTTTTGATTAGTCAATGAATGAAGAGATAAATAGTCTTAGCCACTGTGTTTCTACTTCAACAATGATGATTCAATCTGGAACTTATCTCTGGTCACCATTTAGTTTTCTCAGAAACTTGGCTTTTTGTGTTGCTATTTTCACAGTGCCTATGCATATAGTTGCATCTTTCAACAAAATTAAATCATTCATCAACAGTAACTCCCAGCTTGCCACAGTGCTACAAAACTCCTCAAACCTTGTGGGTACCCTTATGTTGAATTTTGTTTCTTTTGTTCACTGTTTCTTCTTGGTTACTCAATCCAAATTTGTCGGATAAATCACATCTTTTATTCGTCAAGAACTTAGTTTAACCTTTAACTCACATCTCAGGTTGTTAGTGAAGACGGAAAGAGAGTAAGACGCTTATATCCCATTACCGAATCTGATCTAGAAGAGTTACAGGTAGTTCATATCATCCATTCTGTTATTATATATGTGGATCTTCCTTCAATCATTCTATGACATTCCCGTTATTAACAGATAATTGTCTTTGCAAAAGTCTAAATTTGTAGCTTAAAATTTTGAGAGACTTGATCATGTATTGACTTTGCAATAACAACCTTTCATATCCAGTCTCGAATAGTGATTGCTGAGAATCTACCTGAGGATCATTGCTACCAAAAGTTGATGAAGATTTTCTCAGCTGTTGGAAGGTACTGATTATTGATGTTATAAACCATAGATTTTACTGTTACTACATTTTTTCTTTTTAGATCAACTAAGATTTTTTTAGTGTATCTGAAATTTATTCTTTCATTTGTCAGTGTGAAGCACATTCGGACCAGCCAGCCACAAAACTCTGGCAGTGGTCGTCCATCAGCAGCTAGATCAGCCAAACCTGATTTCAGTAACAAGGTGACGAAGATGATCCACAAAACGGTGTTGGTTTTGTTTTTTGAGTTTTGGATTTGAAAAAAGGGGATGCTGTATTTTGTGCTGCTGTTATGTAAAATTGATGTTTATTTACACCTTGTTTGTATAAATAGGTCCACGCCTTTGTTGAGTATGAGAGAGTTGAGTTGGCAGAGAAAGCAGTAAGTCTCTTGTGGCCTCGTCCCAGACTAAAACAGTGTTACTTCTCCTTGGAAAATGTGATAACTTGTAGGCATACATTATTTTGCAGGTCGCTGAATTAAATGAAGAAAGAAATTGGAGGAGTGGTCTTAGGGTACCGTTGATGCTGCAGCATGAGGTACATGAACCTTTTTTAGGGATTTAAACAGAACTTGCAAGTTCTCGCCAGCCTCACACTAAACTCGAATGTTCCACTCGCTTTTTGTTGTGTTTGGTCATCTAGACAAAGGAACCAAAACATGTTCTTCAAGAACGAGGAAGAAAGGAAGAAGATGACGTGATGAGAACAATTGAGCAAGGACGTGGACAGAATCATTATGGGCGTGGGAATCATCATGTTTCAAACAATCCAATGAACAACAAGACAGATCAAGTGAGCATGGGGAAGCAACAGGGACCAAGAATGCCAGATGGCACAAGGGGATTTTCGTTGGGTCGGGGAAAACCGGTAAGTGTTCATGCCAAGTGAACCGGAGCTGTCCACAAAAGATATAGTGTAAAAATGGAGGAAGGGATTCAATTAGTTGTTAGAAGAATATTAATATATGGTCCAGAGAGAGAGAGATTGGTCTTCTTCTCCAAAAGGAAAAATTGTTCCTTGGAATTTGGGAGTTAGAAAAGTTTTTGCCACACTTGAAAAAAGAGGGAAATCTTTAAATAGTTACACGACATCATAAAAGAAAGAAATTGTGATATGGTCCCGCATAATTTATATTATAGTATTAGATAAGACTCCAATAATTAATGAATTAATTAAAAAGCCATTGCGGGAATAAGAATGGGCCGATGTGGGCCTATTTGGATTAATAATTTGCCACATATTTATAAATGGGCCATCAATGTACGGTTACTAAGCTGAACCAGAGAGCATCTCAAAGTTAAACCGGAAATTTTGACTTTCTTGTGTTAATTTGGTCACTGGTAAATTATATCCATCATCTCAGCTCACCTTGTTAGCTACTTCTTCTTCCGATTTCAACGTTGTGTTTATCTTCTTCTTCATAATTCCGACGAATTTCACCAGAGAGAATCAAAATCCGAAGAATATTGATTTCTCTCTGTAATAGCATCTTCCGAGAGAATTGCATCGTCGGAGACCGTCGTACGTGGTGGAGATGAGTTCGGCTTTACCTTTGAAGCTTTTGCTGCCTCTTACAACAACATCACTACCTTCTCCGTTCCGATCAGATAACCCTGATTTCTATCGCCGTCGTTCCTCTTCCTCTACTTCGTGTTCTTCCCAATCTCATTCTCCATCTCTGCTCTTCTCTGTTAGACGACGCCGATCCAGATCCTCCTCTCCCTCTATTCCCATGGTAATTTCTGATCACCCGCCTTCTGATTCTATTACGAGATTGATTTTGCTGGAGACTTATTAGTCATTGGTATAGGTTGAATAGTACTTCTGTGCCCAATTCATTGCAATCTCTCCACAAGTTAAACAGTTCATTGCATTGAATAAGACTACTTTGGTTAACTCTGAACCTACCATGTGGAATTAAGAAATCTGTGACACCTTTTGTTTGTGCTACAGATTCTATCTTACCATTGAAATTGTTACTAGTTTCTTTTTTTGATCATCAATGAATGTTAGTTTTGTTTTCTTAGAACAGCAGATTTAATGAGTACAAGTTATGGTTTGCCCTACAACATACCAATTTCTGTGTTATGAACTCGTCTTTGTTGCATCTCAGCAATTGCATTTGGTTTTTCACTAATGATTTACTCCCAGGGGCTCTGTTTCTATGTGCTGGTGTTTAGTGCTTTCCTGAACAAACGAGAGATCTAGAAGACGTGGATAGTTGGATGAACAAAGAGGACAATGTGACTTGTAGGTTTGAATCGGATGAAGACACCACCACCACCGGACTCCGGATTCCAACACAGGCTCAGGCTATCGTTGAAGGACCTGGTTCAGTTGCTGTGTCGGAGCTACAGCCAGTCCCTGATGTAGATTATATACAAGTAAGTTGAACTTCATTTTCATTGCCAATACAATGGAAGATCAAATGTTTTTATTAGTCTTTTAGGTTGTAACCACATGCGAACTGGCAGGAGCTGTTGGCTATACAGCAACAAGGACCAAGAACAATTGGCTTCTTTGGAACAAGAAATATGGGTTTCATGCATCAAGAGCTCATTCAGATTCTTAGCTATGCTATGGTTATAACTGTAAGATATTTGCCTACAATGCTACAACTTCTGAATACTTGTTTTTGGTCCACATCTTACGACCTTTTTTACTGTGATTTATTATGCAGAAAAACCATATATACACATCAGGTGCAGCTGGAACCAATGCAGCTGTTATAAGAGGTGCACTTAGAGCAGAGAGACCGGAACTTCTTACGGTTATCTTACCTCAAAGTTTGAAAAAACAACCTCCTGAGAGCCAGGAACTATTGTCAAAAGTAAGAGACTAGTTTCAAAATTTCCTTTTGCTCCAACTGCATTGTTTTAAATATTTAAATCTGAATATCATCCATTCTTGGCTATGCTGTAGTATACAACTGAGTGTATTTTGTAATGTCTGCAACAGGTACAAAACGTGATAGAAAAGCCTCACAACGACCATTTACCATTATTAGAAGCCAGCAGGTTTGTCACTCACCACTCTTACTTACCAGTTACCATACACTTTAGCAAAAATGAGAAAAAGATGGCTTTACGAGATATAGTGAAACATTGTAGAATCAATTTTCTGAGACGTACGGTATCTCTAAGTAAGTAAACTTGAAAAAATGGTGTTATGGTTTTTGCAGGCTTTGTAACATGGACATCATATCACAAGTGCAACAAATAATCTGCTTTGCGTTTCATGACAGTAAGCTTCTCATGGAGACATGTCAAGAAGCCAAAAATCTCCGGAAGATTGTTACTCTCTTCTACCTCGATTGATTGATTTCAGTTTCCCACTTCAAAACTCTTCTTCGTCTTCTTACTGTTTTGTTCATCTTCCTCTTTGTAAATTAGGAATCGTCGTCATTTACACATACACAACCTATTCTTTGTCTTTCATTCTAAATTTTTGATTTACTTTATAGGATCCTCGATCATTTTTAAGACAGTTTGTGGTTAAATTTCGTTACACTGGCTGATACATCATAGTTTACTCGTGTGCAGTATTAATAACAAGATCTAAATCAATTGTTGTTAAGACTAATTTTGACAAGAAATTTGTACACCAGTTACAATAGGGGAGAGCACCAAAACGTCAGGTGTGTGACTGTGAGAGACGAATATTTGTGATGTGTGAGTTGGACGGTGGAGATTAGTCATCTTATGGGCCCCGCCTGTTTGGCTTCTTTCTGGCCGTAAGAAACGCATTCTAATTGAAGCTAAACCAATATATTCATAGGTCTTTAATACAAACAATAACAACAAAACATAAAGCACACACTTTAATTTCTAACTACCAAATAACAGTCGTCTGAATTTTGCTCTATACTTTTGCTGACCTTTTAAATAAAATTTAATTTGTTTTAGACAAAAATTGTTTGTATCCTATCATTTGCTCATTTATTTTCATATCGTCATGTAAATTTTATATTTCAAATTTCTGATTGATATATGACAAAAAAAATCCCAAAATATTAAATTTCTTTTTATCCATCAACAATGTAGGTCTTTCTAGTCTCTACCTATCGTTAAGCCACCGATCATTTTTAGCCAACTAAAATCAACTTAAGATCGAGGTCTCTCATCTAGTCTCTATACCCTCTCTACCTAACCTTAGGCCATCGATTAGTTTAGCCAACTAAAATTAACTTAAAGAGTTATTTTCTGAACGCTAAAGTCTAAAGACGATGGAGATATATTTGTAATCTTGAATCAAAGGAGAAACATGAACTCAACATTACAAGTCAAGGACATGCTTCTTCTTATGGTTTAATTTCAGCATAGCCTACTTTAATTCGATATTTAAATTACATTTCGTGATCCTAATAACACGGCATGCGGCAATAAATGCGTTGTGTTTAACAAACATCACATTTTTTCTGAATTGTTGCCATGCATGTGAATGTGATTATCACCCCCTCGAAATTTCTTACGATATTATTGGCCAATTGCTTCTCCGTTTTATCCTCCACTTGTCACGTTTCCCACTCATGTTTGGTTCCGTATGACCCGTACATTATTTCTTCTTTAATTGCTTACTTTATTTAATATATATATGCATGGATCCGTAAATTCCTTGCCTTGCTTTTAATTATTACGATCGTGTAACGTTTTTATTGATAATTAAAGCTAAAATCGGTTACTATCAATTGAGTCGTCACATGCATTGATCTTATGTTCTCTACCATCAACATGCACTGCCCCTGGCAATTCCACTTGCTTTTTCAGTTATCAAATATTTGAATACAACATAGATGATTTTCTGTAGGAACACATTCGAGTTCTAATCTAAAAGTCGTAACTCCTAAGCATTCGGACAAAATCAACTAGTGAAAATTCTCGCGTTGAAGTTTTTTTGATTCAGAAAATTTCTATTTTTGTTTTGCTAAAATTACATAAAATTACTATATGAAATCATAACATATATATAGAGATTCATGTAATGGGACGGTAAATCTTTTTTTTTTTTGGGTCAAAGGTCACAGTAAATCAATAAATAAACAAGCTGATTTTTTTCAGCATATAGAGATCATGATAAACGATTTAACCAACAACAGACACAACACGGACTTCTAAAAACTCAAAAGTACCACTTGTTATATTATGAAATTTGACAAAACAAAAACTGTTTTCAATTGATTGACAAACCACTCGAATAAACCATTTAAGAAAATCAATTTCATATCAAATTTTATCCTTCAGATCTAATTTCGTTTATATGATAATATATATATATATATATATATATATATATATATATAGAAAATAACAAAATAAATATGTTAATCAAGAAAAAATAATCCCTTTCATAAATACGCAAATACTATATATACCTTCCACTAAACCGTTTCAAATCCCACACACCCATCACCACTTTTCAACTTCTCCCTCTATCTCTCACTCTCAAAACAATGCCTTCTTCACTTCTCATAGTTCTTCTATTTCTCCTCTCGATCCCATCGTCCTCAGCTCAAACCTACAATATCCTCTCTTACGGAGCCAAACCCGACGGTAAAACCGACTCCACCAAGGCCTTAACCGCCTTGTGGGCCAAAGCCTGCGCCTCGGTCAAACCGGTAACCATTTTGGTACCTAAGGGACGATTTTTCTTAAGAAGCATTGTTTTTGACGGTGCCAAATGTAAACGCAAGTCCGTCACGTTCCGTATCCAAGGTACACTTGTGGCTCCATCGGATTATCGAGTCATCGGTAAGGAAAATTATTGGATTTTATTCCAGCATCTCGACGGCTTCTCTATCTACGGCGGAGTTCTTGACGCTCAGGGAACTTCTCTTTGGTCTTGCAAAAAGTCCGGCAAGAATTGCCCGAGTGGCGCCACGGTAGGAACTTACACATTTTAACGCCTTAATGTTATCTGTGAATTATGCCTTCATAAATTCAGATTGTGATAACTGATAACCGACAAAATGAACATTAATATTGTTGTTGCCATATAAATTCTGATCAACAAAGTGAGAAAAAATGGTAATTTTTTTTTGTTACATGTATAAACTCCATCAATTTTGTCTTATTGCTTATGTTCCAAACTTTATATTGTTGAAATCATTTAAAAGCATTTTCTTAATATTATATATTTTGAAAAAGAATATCCGCCGTTTTCTTGATGATCAGCTTCCGCAAATTTCGCTAGCACGATCCCAAATGATACATTTTCCGTAATTTTTTCTCCACTTTTCCGCTAATATAAGTTACAAGTTACATCCATGCATATAAATAGTTCATTTTTTTTGGAGCGATGCATTTGTATGGATTAATATAAATATCATGTGTAGTTGACTTCTTACGTTAATTAACGTAGAATCCTCATTCACATGTACCAATAATAGAGTCATTAATATAGTGATAAACTTTATTATATAGTACTATTATTTTCGGATAAATGAAATTGACACGTGAGCAACAAATTGCAAACAGAGCATAGGGTTTCAGAGCTCAAGCAACGTGGTGATCTCCGGGCTGACGTCACTTAACAGTCAGATGTTTCACGTCGCGATTAACGGCTGCCGTAACGTAAAGCTCGAAGGAGTCAAAGTTTCGGCTGACGGAAACAGTCCAAACACTGACGGAATCCACGTGCAGTCATCATCCACCGTGTCCATCCTCAACTCCAAAATCTCCACCGGCGATGATTGTGTCTCCATCGGTCCCGGCACTAACGGCCTCTGGATCGAGAACGTCGCTTGTGGTCCTGGTCATGGTATCAGGTATTAATCAATTACTTGTAACTTCATTTTTATTCCGATTATTTTTAGATTTTATAGTTTTTCACTTTTGGTTTATGAATTATAGGGTTGATCGGTTTATGAATTTAGTAATCAACACAATTAAAAGTCTACAACAAGAAAATAATGTTTTTTTTCCATCCATTAATTTTCAGTTTCATGGATTTCTTAATAGTTTCATACTTGTGTTTTTTTTGTTTTGGGTAATAAAATGTCAATTATTTTAATTTTATTATACTGTTAATTGGTTTTTGTCATTTCTTCTATTTCTCCATATCAAACATTTCTATATTTTGGTAACTGGTTTTTTATATTACAGCATTGGGAGCTTGGGAAAAGAAAGTGTGGAGGCAGGTGTACAAAACATAACAGTAAAAACGGCGACGTTTACAGGAACAGAGAATGGGGTGAGAATAAAGTCATGGGCCAGGCCCAGTAATGGATTTGCAAGGAATATCCGTTTCCAACACTGTGTTATGAACAACGTACAAAACCCAATCGTTATTGACCAAAACTACTGTCCTGGCAACGAAAATTGCCCTAATCAGGTTCACATTTTTATCAGAACATATTAACATCACATACAAAACTATTCTTAACTTGAATATATTAACGAAAATTGGTTTATATATGTTTGTTATGATAGGTTTCTGGGATAAAAATCAGCGATGTAATGTTCTTCGATATACACGGGACATCGGCGACGGAAGTTGGAGTGAAATTAGACTGTAGCTCTAAGAAGCCGTGCACCGGAATTCGAATTCAAGATGTGAAGTTGACGTACCGGAATAAACCAGCAACAACAGATTGTAGTCATGCCGGAGGAAGTGAGGCAGGATTTCAACGGCCCAACAGTTGTCTATGACCAAAAGAAAAATATTTGTCTTCATTTCGTTAGTTGTGGAATTGTAAGTAACGTCGTATTTTCCATATGTATTATACGGCTTTATTCCTGGAGGGTTGGAATACGTGAAAATATGGTCTATTAGTAGTATTTTTCACAAAATCATTTTCTGATAATGCTATTTGTTATGCATTAGTCAATGCGGACTGGACTTATAACCAAATGATTATGAATGGGTATTCAAAATGAATAGACATTTGTTTTATAAAACGGATCAAATCGATAAATGTACATCATAATAATGCATATTGCCTAATATAGTATTATTAGCTATTTAAATGAGTTACGTGTAAACAATGTTGTCTAAGTAAATCCAAATGATACAAATCCAATAGTATATGCGTAATTCTGGGAGGGAAAACAAAAATGTTTGTATGCACAGATGTGATTAAGCAAGGTACAATTTCAATTTGTCATCCATTTTATGAACAGTTGAATCAAAAAGATAAATACGAGTGCGAGTAATATGATTAAAATCGAGATTAATTACGACTGAAGAAAATGGAAATTAATTATTTTATTTTTGTTATATTTGTAAATGTCGAAATTAAAAATATTTATATTGCTTAAAGAAGTATATTTCCATTATTTTAAGCAGTTAGACCGATTTTTTAAATATAGTTGAAATAATTAAATATGAGAAGATTCAAAAATAAAAGCAAGCAAAAGTTAGGGATATTCAGAGGAGGGTATAGTAGCAGGAAGAAGAAGGCCTTTGATTTTTCTACATAACCTTCAATTCAATCGAATAAAGTAAATGTTGAAGCTTTAATTTTTGTACCCTCTCTTAGTTTTGTTGTTTATTGCAAGCTTTGGGATGTGGATTCCATGGTTTCCTCGTTTGAGCTACGACTTGGTTATAGATTGATTGATTTTGATGGAAACTGTTGTATTTTGCCATTAATTGGCTTTTTTTTCTGGCGTTAACTCAAAGCTCGAATCTTTCCTTTTATTCATAACTGGAAAAAGCGTTAACCTTTAGCTTATGTAACCTTGTTATTTTTTTGTCAAAGTAATTTCGTTGATTCAGCTTTCATTGCGTTGTTGGGTGCATTTTGGTTAATCCAGCAGTTACTTTATGTTTCAGGCACTTTTGAGGAAGATATTGGTTCTGTTTCTATGAATACCGAAACGTTGAACACTGGATCCAAAGATGCAATCAGCTGGCTCCCTGATGAGGTTCTGGGCAAAATCTTGTCCTTAATTCCTACAAAACAGGCTGCTTCAACCTCTGTTCTTGCTAAAAAGTGGAGATATTTGTTTAGATTAGTGCATAATCTTGATTTTGATGATTCTGACTTGCTGCAACCTGAAGAGGGTCAACAAGAGAGGGATGTGATGCGGGAGAGCTTCAGGAATTTCGTTGATAGAACACTCGCTCTGCAATGCCCTTCTCCTATCAAGAAATTCTCTTTACGATGTGGCATTCACATGGCCAGCGAGTTGGCTTGTGTGGGCCGCTGGATATGTAATGCCGTGGAACGTGGTGTTTTGGAGCTGGACATAAGCATACGGACCTTCTATAAATTAGTTCTGAATTCTGAAACCGGTGTTGTGGAACAGCCCGCAGATATGGAATACGGTGAAGTCTTTCTGCCTCCTGAGCTCTGGAAGAGCAAGACGCTGGTTAAGCTGACACTGGGAACAAATATTTCTCTTGGAGACCTTCCTCCAGATGTGTCTCTTCCAGCGCTAAAGAGTCTCTGCATCGATACAATCTTTTTTTGTTATGGAGATCTGTGTGACGTGCTTCTTCCTGGTTGTCCGGTGCTAGAGGAGTTAGTTGTACGTCACGAGAACTGTGAAGCATTCCCATTCTGCATAGCGAGTCGGACCATCAAGAAACTATCGGTTCACTACGATTGTGAGTTTGGAATTGGTAACATGAGTGATATGTCATTTGATGCCCCAAGTCTTGTGTCCCTCGACTACTCCGATTATGCCTTGGCTGAGTACCCGCAAGTTAACTTGGAGTCCCTAGTCGAAGCTAGGCTGGATCTTCGTTATTCTGAAAGAATCGAGAAGCCGGATATAACGGGTCTGATTATAGGGATAAGCAACATCGAGACCCTGCATCTATCTCCCGGTTCTGCTGATGTAAGTTTTTCCCAAAATTTGTTTATCCTTAAAAAACGTCAAAGAGCTTAGACATTCTTGAAGTATGTTTGTGTGTGTGTTTAAGGTGATTTCTCGATGTGTTGAACATGGACTATTTTTACCGGTGTTGAACAATCTGGTTAATTTATCTTTTGGGAGTAACAATAAACGAGGTTGGACACTGCTGCCGTATCTGCTTGAGCAGTCTCCAAAGCTTGAAACTCTAATCATCCAGGTATATTATATATCATTAGCAAAAAAAACATGAACGAATATATCTAGAGAGAGACGGACTTAGTCGTTGATCCTTTACATGCATATTCTTGATGCTTCTCCAGGGTTTGGATGGTTACACAGGCGACGTTACCATGCGTCCGTTCCAAGTAAAGGTGTTGCATGTTCTTGGTTATGGAGGAACTGCTAAAGAGTTGGAACTCTTGAAGAGTATTATTGGGGAATCGAAATGCCTGGAACTAGTGCAAGTGGAGGTTGCACAAGGTGTTGTGGTGGATGATGCCATTGCATGGCAAATCTATAGGGATCTAATGACGCAGCTTGGAGTTTCAGATTCATCAAAGCGCAAGATCCAAGTTGCATATTTCATGTAGCTTAGACAATTATTCTGTGTAACATTAAACTCATAAATTGCTTCATGTTGCATTGCTCTTGCAGGAGCCTCTTTAATTGCAGAGAGCTACTTAAATATTCTGTAACATTAAACTCGCAAGCCATAAATTTATTTGCATTTATGCGTGCAGATGGTATCTCGAACTGACTGTGATCAATTCAGTCGATGTTTCAAATGGTGTGTGCTTAACAAACAAAGAAACAAACATTTTTTATTATGTTAATTTTCGAAGGGTTCTAAGCCTAAGCTTATAAATCGAAAATTGATGTTACTGGAGCCAGCTGACCGCAGCTGTCGGATTCTAAGTTTTGCTTAAATAACTCCTTAGTGGGATACTGGCTCCAAAGATGCAATCAGCTGGCTCCCTCAATAATACAGTACTTCTTTACATTGAATTATAAGTCAAAAACAATACTTCATGGTTTGAATTAGAAAAAATTCATTTATATATAAAAAATGTCTGGACTACACAATTAACAATTGTTTAATCAAACTAGATATTTAAAGGTCACTAAACTGAATTAAAAAATCTTTATGATCGAAACTTCTTTTTATAATTGACATTTTCCTTTTTTATTTTATTTTTCTTTTCCCCTTCTTCTCCCCACGTTCTCTGATATAATCGGGAGAGATCCCTAAATTAAATTAAAAGGGAAAGGGTTATATTAATCTAAATACATAAAAGACTGGAAATTTAAATAAATCACTCCATCATTCTCTGTGCGGCGACATCCACCGGTTCGTCTTTAGCCCCAATTTCATATGACCGGTAATCCATGCGAGAAAGATTTATTTTAGTTTAGTTTTTCTTTCTTTGTGGAACATCATTGTTGATTGCAACTTTTTTGGATGTGGATCTTCTCTGATCTCTGTTCTCCATGACTTTCCTCTGCTTTTTCAAGCGCTCAAAGTGTTGTTATTTTGAGCTTCCTTGTGTTATTCTAGCTCGAATCTTCCATTAATTCAATTCAAAACGGGAAAAAGCTTGTAGCGTCTGTAACCTTGTTGTTTTCCTGAAAGTAACTTCGTTAATTCAGCTTTCATCGCCTAAGTTGCTAGCTCAGATCTTTGTAATTTGTGAAAACTGAATTTTATGGTTTGTGGAACTTCTCTGGTCTTTGTCTAGACCTCTAGGTTATGTTAATATCATCTCTTTTTTTGTTGGGTGCATTTTGGTTAATCCACCTGTTGAATCACTCTGAGCTCACTTCATCTTTCAGGGATTGGTTCTGTCTGTATGGATACCACAAAGTTGTGTACTGGCTCCAAAGATGCAATCAGCTGGCTCCCTCATGAGGTTCTGGGCGACATCTTGTCCTTAGTTCCCACCAAACTGGCTGCTTCAACATCTCTTCTCTCGAAAAAGTGGAGGAATGTGTTTGCATTGGTGCATAATCTCGATTTTGACGATTCTGTCTTGCTGCAACCGGAAGACCGTAAACAAGAGTGGGATGAAATTCGGGAGAGCTTCAGGAATTTTGTCGACAGAACACTCGCTTTGCAATGCGCCTCTCCTCTCAAGAAATTCTCTCTAAAATACCACATTCACATTCACAACGATGAAAACGAGTGGGCTCATGTGGTCCGCTGGTTAAGTAATGCCTTAGATCGTGGTGTTTTTGAAGTGAACCTAAGTATAAAGACTTGCTTTAGTGCCTTGCTGCCTTCTGAGTTCTTCACGAGCAAGACGCTGGTTAAACTGAGACTGGGAACACAAATTAGCCTTGTACAAATTCCTCCAGATGTGTCTCTCCCAGCGCTTAAGATTCTCATCTTCGAATCAATCTGGATTCGACCTGACAATCTGTGCTATGTGCTTCTTCCTGGTTGTCCAGTGCTCGAGGAGTTTTTTGTATATCACGACGGGTTTGAAGGATGGCCATACCGCATATCAAGTCAGACCATCAAGAGACTATTAGTTCAGTTCGATGATTTTGAAATTGGCAATACGAGTTTTATGTCAATTGACGCCCCAAATCTACTCTTCCTGGACTACTCCCATTATGCCTTGTCTGAGTATCCACAAGTTAACTTGGCTTCTCTAGTCGAAGCTAGGTTGGATATTCAATATACTAAAATAATCGATAGGCCGGATATAACTGGTCTTATTATAGGGATAAGCAATGTCGAGACCCTGCGTCTTTCTCCCGAATCTGTTCATGTAAGTTTTCCCAATTTATTTCTTTACAACATTTAATGAGCTTGAATATTTTTGAAGTGTGTCTATCTGTGTGTTTCAGGTTATTCGTCTGTGTGTTAGACATGGACTACTTCTACCAGTGTTTAAGAATCTGATAAACTTGTCTTTTGGGAGTAAGAATAAACGAGGTTGGAAACTGCTGCCACATCTGATTGAGCAGTCTCCAAAGCTTGAAACTCTAATCATCCAGGTATCTATCATTAACAAAACCCATGAACGAATATATCTAAAGAGAGACTGATACAAGGACTTAGGGGTTGATCCTTTACATGCATTTCTTGATGCTTCTCCAGGGGCTGGATAGTTACACAGGCGATGTGACCATTCCTCCATTCCAAGTGAAGATGTTGCGTGTTCATGGTTATGGAGGAAATACGAAAGAGGTGGAACGCTTACAGAAATTTATTGGGGAGTCGGAATGCGGTGAAGTGGTGCTAGTGGAGGCTGCGGAAGCTGTAGTGGATGATGCCATGTATTGCAAACCAAAAGGGTTTTATACTTGTTGTGCTAGTGGAGGCTGCGGACGCTGCGGTGGTGAAGTTAACGAATTATTTTATGTAACATGAAACTCATGAATTGCAATACATGTCGCATTGCTCTTTCAGTTGCAGGAGCCTCTTTTTATTCAGGGAGCTACCTTTCTGTAACATTTGGCAGTCTCTCCATCAGATGTTAAACCAGTAACCTTACCTACCTCGTCAAACTACTAGACTAAAATTTCTTATTTCCAAAATTCCTACAAAATGCGTGGATAAACTATAAAGTTTTAGGTCACACTCAAGAGAGTTGTAAACAAGGTTCTCTGATACCTCAGTGTTTCAGACAAAGTATAGTGTTGTCGACTCACATAATTGAGCTGGTACAGTATCTACTAATACGTGGTTTAAATTACATAAAACTTGTTATATTAATTTTGTTGGTCACTAGTCATTATCACAGTACTATGATTATGAATTAGATCAGACACCATTTTAAATTTTATCTTACCAAACATACTTAATGCACGCAATTGAGTCCATTCTATGATGTGAGATGCACCAATTTAAACTTTGTTCAGTTTTGAATCTATATAGATCCGACCAAAGCAAGAAGGGCTTTTACTAAGAGTGAAACAGAGGAATATGGAGACCACCGTGAAAAACAAGCAAGTGATACTGAGAAATTATGTGAAGGGTATCCCTAAAGAATCTGATCTAATGATTGTTACAGCTTCAGATCCCGTGGAACTCAAGGTTAAGCCCGGATCAGCGGCGGTTATGGTGAAGAATTTTTACTTGTCTTGTGACCCTTACATGGGAATTCTCATGAGAGCACCAACTCCTTCCACTCTAGCACTTTTTGATGCCTTCATCCCTGGCAAGGTAACAACACTCCACACACACACATACATACACAAGCACACAAGGCCTTAATAAGAAATTGTTTTTGATCCTTTGTGCAGCCTATAGCTGGAATTGGAGTGTCTCAAGTGATAGATTCTGATGATCCATCTTTTACGAAAGGCGATATGATTTGGGGAATTGTGAATTGGGAGGAGTATAGTACTATCAACCCGGCTGGTATATTCAAAATCGACGTCAATGTCAATGTTCCTCTCAGCTACTATACTGGAATCCTTGGTTAGTCACAGAAACTAAAAAAGTGTATAATGTTATGGACCTATTTCTCTTAAAAGCTCTGTTTTTCATAACAGGTATGATAGGTTTAACTGCTTATGCCGGGTTTTACGAGATATGTTCACCTAAGGAAGGAGAAACAGTGTTCGTCTCTGCAGCGTCTGGTGCGGTTGGACAGCTTGTGGGCCAGTTTGCTAAGTTGATGGGCTGCTATGTTGTTGGAAGTGCCGGAAGTAAACAAAAGGTTAGGCCATAGTTTTGAAACTCATCAATCAAAAGAGTTAAACCATTTCTATGTTTTCTCTTATATATGATTTGGTTCCCACAAAAGGTTGATCTCCTGCTGAACAAATTTGGTTACGATGAAGCATTCAATTACAAGGAAGAGCCTGACCTTGACTCTGCCTTGAAGAGGTTCTTATTTGGCTTCTTATAATTCAGTTTCTTGAATCATAGAATCAAAACATCCTCACAATTTTCTCTCTGTAGGTGTTTCCCAAAAGGTATTGACATATACTTTGAGAACGTGGGAGGCAAAATGCTTGATGCGGTTCTACTTAACATGAAACCGCATGGCAGAATCGCTGTATGTGGGATGATCTCTCAGTACCATCTTGAAACCAGAGACAGGTTACAGAATCTACCTGACATCATATTCAAGAAGATAAGGATGCAAGGGTTTGCTGTTTATGACTTCATAGATAGATTCCCAAAGTTCTTGGAGTTTGTTATTCCGTACATAAAAGAAGAGAAATTAACTTACGTAGAAGACATTGTTGAAGGACTCGAGAACGGTTCTGCTGCTCTTGTAGGACTTCTCCATGGACAAAACGTTGGTAAGCAAGTTCTCAAGGTTGTTTGAGAGTGAAGAAATCTATCATGTATCATGTATCATTTATGGATATGTAACAATCTGTAGTAAGAGACTCTTATGGTTCGTTCTTAGCTTATTTCCCAATCAAAGTTGTACTAGATCCGGACCCGCACATACGTGCGGGTGTAATGTAGATTGTTTGCATAAAATTTTAATTAAGAATTTACTTTTTTTTTTGTGTTAGTGAATTATATAATAGTATATATATCATAATTGTAGGATATTTTACATAAAATATTTTGTTTTCTGTTTTAAAAACACTTTGTAACACAAATTTAATTTTTGTTTGATTAGTTATAAACTTTAAATAGAAATTTAGTTATTATAAGATTTTAAGTTTTATTTGCATCATTTTTAAGTGTTTTATTTAAATAAATAGTTTGGTTTTGGACTTTTGGTGCATAACAAATAATTTGAACAGTTACAGAAGTCAGGTGTGTAATATTTATGATAGAAATGTAAAATTTTGAAAGAATATGTAATTTTAAAATGTTAATTTAATTAAGTAGCCCATAACTCAAGCCGAATAGCTGTTTTTTGGCACGAAATATTTGTTGATGTTGGCCGAAATACATTTTCGTATATTAAGGATTGTTTTTTTATTTGGACAGATAATTGTTTTTAGAATCTTTAACAAAAAAAAAATAATTGTTTTTAGAACAATTGCTGTCTTATCTTAAGAAAAGAAAATGTACCGAATACAATTGAGAACATCAGTTGATCAAAGAATCATTGGCGAAACTCTCATATAATCCACTATCTCGTCTCCGTTTATACTGTTTTTCGCAAATTGTGAATTCTATAAAGAGGTAAGCTTATTATTGAATCAGATTTATACTTTTACTCTTTTTCTATATGTCGATTCAATTTCCAATCTTTTGAAATTTTATGTTTGAATAGAGATCTTCGCCAAGGATTGTCAAGAACCCGGATCTACTATGGGTAATTATTGTCAATTTTATATCTAAATTTTGTTTTCACAGTCATGTAGCTACTTCTTCATTTTCTTCAACGGTGCCTGTAGCACCCATTCCCGGACCCATGGTCTATCCTCAACCTTTTGGTTTGGTTTCTTTCGTATATGTTTATCCTCAGTTATTTGGGTTGAAAATCCAGAATATGATTGAATTCACAGCGTTTTGGAATTTGAGATTCCGGATTCAAATTAGGGTTTTATACATTCACCAGCTTTGATTTAGGGATTTATGTTGTTGTTTTTTTTTTTTGGTATTTTTCCCTTTTTAGTCCGAACATAAATCAGTCCGAACAATATTTTTCCCTTTTTAGCGCGTGGGGTTAACACGCTTCTCCCTCCTCTCTCTTCCTCTCTGCTTGTAGATCTAGATCTTCTCTCCAGTTTTGCCTCTCCGGTGTGCTCCTCCGGCGCCGGAGAGGGCTTGTTCTCTTTACTTTCTGTTGTAGTTCTTCTCTCCCTCCTTCGTCTCCGTCTTCCGTCGAGATTAGCTGTTTTTGGACGCGTCTATCCGCCTATTCCGGCGCTTCATGGTGGTGGTTGTCGGATTGAAGCTGATGCGTGGCGCAAGGAGACTCTCGGCTTGCTGGTTGAATTCGTCTAGGTTCTTAGTTTGAGGACGGCTTTGTAACCTGTTTGTTTCTGACAGCTTTTTTTTTTTGGCCGATTCTCCTTCACGTATTGGACCTCTTCTCTGGCAAGGGTTGTGGCTTTGTTGCGGTGCCTAGATAGGTTTGCTCTTCTCCTTATCGGCGGGTTATCTTCTCAGATTGGGATTCACGGTGGTGCTCCGCCGCAGCCTTCCAGATGTTGTTTTTTTTTTTTGGTATTTTCCCTTTTATGTTGTTGTTGAGGTAGTAGTTTCCCGGTATTATTGATACTATGATTATAAATTCTACCAATTAGGGATCAGATGTTTTGCACTTAAAGCTCTTTGGATTTGGACATGGTGTTTGGATTTCACTTCCTCGTTTGCTTTTGATGTTTTTTACTGTTTTGTTAAAGTAGAATTTTTACAAATTTATGTTCCACTTTTGTAGCAATCTCGGGAATTAAGTGAATGATGATGCTTTTTCCAAGGCATTTTCTTGATTCGTCACTATCCATATGGCGAAGGTAAGTGCGTATCTATATGTTTATCAACATTATATAAGTCCAATGATAAAAAAAAAAATCTTATTCTTGCTTTTATTGAATTCGATGTCCTTTATTTCTTAGAATCACCTTTGCCCAATTATTTAAAGACTCTACATATTATTCGTCATTGGTTTCTTTCTTATGAAACTTTTCTTTGATTTTAGTTGTTTCTAACTAATCTATGGGATAACTATTAGTTGTTTTCAATATCAGGTTCTGATCCGAGTTATGGCCTTGGTTTTTAGGTCCAATTAAAAGAGTTGTGAAAGAGTAAAGGAATTATTAAGTAAACTATTCATTCACTTCGCCAATATCAATCATGTAAGTGTTCTCTCGTTTTTTTTTTGTTGGTGTTGTTGAATGAAAATATGAAAGATCTATGTACATACGTGAATAGTCAAAACCAATTTAAAATCCTAGAAAAAAACAGAAAATTATGGGAGTAGGTCACTCTTTACTCTTCTCTTCTTTAACATTCTCTTACATTTAGTCTTATATACTATGAAATGAAAAAGAGACTTCCCATGGCATTAGAAGGTTCAGGTTCTTTAAAAAATATCTGGTTAGATTAAGATTATTGATGGCCCACGACCATAACTTCGCCTAAGGATAACTCCTACAGGATCTGAAACATTTCCATCATTCATTGTCCTATTGTCGATGGTTTTCTTCTTTATCTGTGATGAACACCATCAACCTATATGGAAAATTTCAGAAAACAGCTTAACATAGTTAGTCTACCTTCAATTAGGCAAAATACATTAGAATCAAATGATAAAGACAATGGTTAATGATAAACATACAAATATTCAACGCTCTCTTAAGCATACCTTAGAAACCTTAGTTAACATGATTTTAACTTGAATTTCCGACTTGTCAAAGGAGTAGCAAAAGCAAAGGTTTCGTAAGAAAGGTTAGTGTGTGTCTTAAATGGCAGTAGACATTCTATATTTATATGAAAAAAGGTCGGCTAGATTGTTTTAGGGTTGAAAGAATCAAATCAAAGTAATATATTTGCGAATATGGTTTTTTAAGGAATATGCTCGATTTGTTAGCATTTGAATATTTGGTTATTGTTATGTTTGGTAAGTCTTATAACTGAATTCGTATTTTAAGAGATTTATCATTATTTACTAATCGGAATATATTTGATTTGTTTGTTATAGAAATATTTTCAATTGATAACTAACATATTTGGTTATGGCATTAACTATAGGAGATCGGAAAAGAATATTCGAGAACATCAAACGGATCCGCGAGTTTAACGGATCCAAGAGCCCAATCATTATCAAGATTCAAGGTCCGCGTGTTTTACCAAAGGAATATGGATCTAGATCCGACCCAATACCTAAGATCCGCGTGTTACTTATCAGCAAATTAGCCATTTTACCCTTTAACGAATATTTATGTTTACTCTTAAAAAGGATTAATTGTAATGGCATTCCTTTGTAATTCTTTACCCTTTATAAGGTTATTTATTATCCAATGCTTCCCAATTAATAGTATAGATGTCATACTTTTAAAGTATGGGTTCTAATTGGAATTTATGTGAAATAAAAGGGTTATATAGTCAAATTCCGTATTTTTCGTGTTTAAATGGGCCCAAGTGAAGCCCTTCCTAATAATCCAAAGGCCCAGTGTAACAAACTCAGCAGATCAGAAGGGGAAAAAGATAAACCCTAATTCCTCAGATTTTTCGAGATTACAATTTGAGAACCACCGATTCGAGTAGCTATGGGGATTCTATCATGGTTCACGGGAAGTCCTAAGCCGTCACAGTCCGAGACATCGAAACCGGAGATGACTCAGATGCCGAAATCAGAAACTCCAGCTCCGGGGATGAACGGAGCCATAGAAGTTCCTCGGCCCGATCGCGCGACAGTTTTCGAGTTCGGCTCCGTTGCGGCTACTGGAGACAGAGTCACTCTCGCTGGATACTGTCCCGTTTCCGATGATCTCGAACCTTGCCGCTGGGAGATTCTTCCTGCCGACGGCAAAGACGCTCCACAGTTTCGCGTCGTCTTCTGAAGAATCAGTTAATAATCTCTAGAAGATGTAAACTTGTTCAATCTCGTCGTTGATAATTGTATTTGGTCTGGTAATGTCATCTCTTTCATTTGAAATCGAACAAGTTCTCATCTTTAATTAGTGCAGTGATGATTAATTTTGCTATATTAGATAGAAGCTAAATTGGACTGGTTATAACAACAAATGTCAACGTTTGATTTAATTTAAAACAATCTCCAGGTTGTATTTTCATATTAAATTAAGCGTTGTATTTTCATATTAAATTAAGCTTCTTTTTAAGTTATCAATGGCGTTGGTTAATTATATAAGTTCATCTAATTATGTATGGATCCAATAAATAAAGAGATTAGAAAATAGTGATTACCCGCGTTTTACTGCTCAAAACGATATTTGTGAGCCAACGAAACTATTCTTTTGTCAAATCTGTTTATGGATAATCCCTAAACCAAGAACAATTAAAAAAAAAAGATTGATCGGAGAAAAAAAACTCACCACGATCGTCCCTCTCTTTTCAATTTTCAACCTTTCTTCCATTTTCGTCTTCTTCAAAAGATAGATACAATGTGGTTTTGATCTTTAACTGATATTGGTTCTTTACGATTCATTAGCATCATCAATCATGGAGAACGTTGCCGCGCAGTTGAAGCGTGGGATATCGAGACAATTCTCGACAGGATCAATGCGACGAACATTAAGCAGACAATTTACACGCCAAAATTCTCTCGATCCACGGCGTAACAATATGAGATTCAGCTTCGGCCGTCAATCTTCGCTTGATCCGATCAGGCGTAGCCCTGAATCTCTTAGCTGCGAGCCGCATATGTCTGTCCCCGAGAATCTTGATTCGACGATGCAGCTTCTCTTTATGGCGAGTAAAGGCGATGTTAATGGCGTTGAGGAGCTGCTCAACGAAGGAATCGATGTGAATAGCATTGATCTTGATGGTCGAACTGCTCTTCACATTGCTTCTTGTGAAGGTCATTACGATGTTGTTAAGGTTCTTCTTAGCCGGAGAGCTAACATCGATGCTCGTGACCGTTGGGGTAGTACGGTGTGTTCTTGTTCCCCTGTTTTATGAATATCTGCAAATTTAGTAGTGATTGGTTTTGGATGCATCCTTAAGGTGACATTTTTGACATTGTTCAGGCGGCTGTTGATGCAAAGTATTATGGGAATGTTGAAGTGTATAGTCTCTTGAAAGCTCGAGGAGCTAAAGCTCCGGTATGGTATTTAACATAAAGATGATTGGTCTCTCTCTTTTGCTTTCTCTGGTGTTTTGCTTCCTCTTCAATATTTGTTTGTCGTTGATTTTTAGAAAACTAGAAAGACTCCAATGACGGTAGGGAATCCGAAAGAAGTTCCTGAGTATGAGCTTAATCCACTCGAGCTGCAAGTCCGAAAAGTTGATGGCATTTCAAAGGTTTGTTGATTCTCCTAATTGACAAGAGCTAGGATTTGTTCGGCTAAATCTCTCTTATTCTGATGTGTTTGTTTTTGCTTAATTTGCAGGGAACTTATCAAGTTGCTAAATGGAATGGCACACGAGTCTCGGTAAAAATATTCGATAAAGATAGTTATTCAGATCCCGAACGAGTGTATGCATTCTTCTTGTTCTTGAATTTCTCTGTATACTTTTGTTGGTAACGCGAAGTAATCTAACGCTGTGTTTTTCTCTCTCTGGTTCTTCAATACGAGCAGAAATGCTTTCACAAACGAATTGACATTGCTAGCAAAAGCTCGGCATCCAAATATTGTTCAATTTGTTGGAGCCGTCACTCAAAATCTACCGATGATGATTGTAGTTGAGTGTAATCCTAAAGTAAGTTTGCATTGTTTCTTACTTCATTTCAGTACATCAGATCACAAATGTAGCAATCTTGTTTCATTAATCATGTCAATTTCAGGGTGATCTAAGTGTCTATCTTCAAAAGAAAGGTCGTCTTTCTCCTTCAAAAGCTCTGAGATTTGCTCTTGATATTGCTAGAGGCATGAACTACCTCCATGAATGTAAACCAGATCCGATCATCCACTGCGAGTTAAAGCCAAAGTAAGACAAAGCCGAGAACAAATTATTTAATGGCGAAAAAACAGTTTGGATAATATTTTGAAAGTTTTTTGTAAGGTGCCAGAAATATTTTGCTAGATAGAGGAGGGCAATTGAAGATCTCTGGATTTGGTTTGATAAAGTTGTCAAAGATTGGAGAAGACAATGCAAAAATAGTGAACCACGAAGCTCAAATCGATAAGTCAAGTAAGAAAAATGCTGCATTTTAGTTTGAAACAGATTCATATATACAAGAAGCATAGTTCTTGAAAGATCCTATCCTTACCTTCTGTACTGCAGATTACTATATAGCACCCGAAATTTACAAAGATGAAGTCTTCGATAAAAGGGTTGATGTGCATTCGTTTGGTGTCATTCTGTATGAGGTAGTAACACAAAAGCTTTAGCCTTATTTTTATAGTTAAATGTCTCAGTCTCAAACTCTGCAATGTTTTTTGGTATCATATGCAAAGTTGACAGAGGGAGTATCTTTATTCCATCCTAAACCACCTGAAGAGGTTGCAGAATCCATGTGTATAGAAGGTAAAAGACCAACAATCAGAACAAAATCAAAGAGTTACCCTCCGGAATTGAAAGAGTAAGCATTTCAAGATCTTCTTGATGTTTTAAAACATCATCAGCTATTATTATTACACTTATGATTGTTTTACAGCATTAACAACTCAAGAATCATATGATTATATATGTAGGTTGATTGAGGAATGTTGGCATCCAGAAATCAGTATGAGGCCTATATTCTCTGAGATTATTATTCGGCTCGACAAGATAGTTGCAAACTGTTCCAAGCAGGGTTGGTGGAAAGACACATTTAAGTTCCCTTGGTAAAAAAAGTTCCATCTTCTTTAACCTGAATAACAATCTTTAGTTAAGTCAAAGGATTTATGTTCATCATGTTTTGTTTTTTTGCAGGAAATGAAATGGAAATATTGAATCAATCAAATCTTAAACTTAAACCTCAGAGATGGAGCAAAAACAAGATGAGTGTGAGATTTTGCCGACTCAAGAAGATTCACAAACTCATTCGCTTTGTAGAAACAGAAGATCACTTTTTTTGTTTTCATGTTTGTTTATTTAATATCATAAGTTTTTGGGTTTTTTGTAAAATTATATTTTATGATAAACATCACTTGTTCATAATGAAATTGGAAGCACAACTTAATTTCTAGATAAGAGTCTTATCATCATAAGACTAGTTAATTTCTCTTAAATATAATTAGATAGAGGTGCTCTTAGACCATCTCCAATGGTTTTCTCTATTTTTACCTCTAAAATAGAGGAACTCTATAATAAAGTTGAGTTTTACTCCAACCCACTATATTTTCACCTCTAAAATAGAGATCTCTATTTATAGAGGAACTCTATTTTTTCCTCTATAAATAGAGGCAAATATAGCAATCTCTATTTTAGAGGCAAAAATAGAGGTGGGTTGGAGCATATTTGCCTCTAAAATAGAGATTGCTCCAACCCACCTCTATTCTCACCTCTAAAATAGAGATCTCTAATTTTTGCTCTATATATAGAGGATCATATAGAGAATCTCTATTTTTTCCCCTATAAATAGAGTTAAACTTTTTAGAGGAAAAAATAGAAGAATACATTGGAGTAAAAATAGAGAAAACACACCTCTATTATAGAAATAGAGCTAAAAATAAGGAAATACATTGGAGATGGTCTTAGGGAAAGATTGAAACAGAAATAGCAGTTGTGGGAAGTATTATTTCAAGTTGAAAGAAATTATCAAATCCAAAACTAAAACTTCTAATAGAAAAATTTCATTGGTTCAATTTGTAAAAAATAAAACCTTAAGATTTTTATTAGTTTTGATAAATTATGTTATAATAATCATACTGGATATAATGCTTGCTAAAAATATTTTTTGTTTTTTGTTTGATGAAGAAGTAAAAGCTTTTCAATTATTTTACTAATTTAATTATGAATACAACCAAAAATAATTATAGAGAAATAAACAAAACTATCCTTTCGTCTTGGCCCTTGGGGTTCAAGTATTACATCTGATCGTGGATTAGCCCACGTGGTTACAATTTAAAAGATCTGGGACCTAGATTTGATCCAACGGTGTATAATCACTCATACAGGTATGAGCAAAATATCTTTATTTATTCTGTCCTCAAAAGTGACCAAAAAAAAAAGAACAGAAAAATCTAAAACCCTTTCTCACGATTTATTTGCCGCATCCCTAAAACCTCTCAAATTTCTCCGGCGTGATTTCACTTTCTCCGGTAAACAGCGTTCGTCATCTTCAGATTCCGTCTACCGTAAGTTATGCTTCGTCTTTCTTCAATATCTTCTTCGAATTCCTCATATTTTTGAAATCAAGAGTTTTGCATTTTAATTTCTTAATCGCTTCATTTTTCAACTTTTATTCGAGTATCGTCGTCACTTGATAGTTTTCTGGGGTAAAGATTGTGAATTTTCTCGTACCGATTTCGATTTATCGTCTGGGTCTTGTTTCGGTTCAGATTCTTAGTAATGGGTTCGCTGATTTTGATAGCGATTTTTTCTCTTTCAAATATATCAGATTAAGGACTGTCCTCTTCCGGGAGATGTCCAGGTGATTCATCTTTGCACAACAAGGTTTTTGACAAAATGGCGTCAAGAGCGATCGTTAGGAGAAAGAACATCATTTCCGATTACTTGAATGTCTATGCTCGCTCAATTCAGAGCTTTCAGTCCATTGGAAACTCCTCTCAGACGGTTCATTCACATGCTTACCACTCTGGTGTTAACCGTCCTCCTGTGGAAACTAAACGTGTCACCGAACACAAGTCCTTTACTAGAAGAGATGGTCTTCTAATGCTTTCTAGAAACGGGTATTTCAATCGTAGCTTTCATGGTTTCCACTCGGGCATTGGTTATGGAAGTTCAGAAGTTGGTCCTTCTCTGGGGATGAGATATGTAAGCCTATCCATTCGTAATGCTACTACAGTTGCAGCTAAGCAACCGGAAGAAGAGGATAAAAAAGTTGATGAGCTTGCTAAGAACAGGAAAGAAGCATCTCCTGAGGAATGTGATCAAGCTGTTGAAAGTCTGAGCAGTGTTAAAGCAAAAGCGAAGGCTAAACGTCTTCAAGAATCCAAAAAGGTTGCTCGATCGATAGTACAGAGGGCATGGGCAATTGTTCTAAAGATAGGACCTGCTTTAAGAGCTGTTGCCTCCATGAGCAGGTTTAGCTCTCTCCTGACATTTTGTGTTCTTAATCGCCTGGCTTTATGCTTGGGTTTTGTAGTGTACTGAATTTCTGTTTTCTACAGGGCGGATTGGGCAAAAAAGCTCACTCACTGGAAACAGGAGTTTGTATCAACATTGAAACATTATTGGCTGGGGACCAAATTACTCTGGGCAGACACTAGAATCAGTTCCAGATTGCTGCTCAAGTTGGCTGGTGGAAAGAGTCTCTCCAGAAGAGAAAGGCAACAGCTAACTCGAACAACAGCTGATATCTTTAGATTAGTGCCATTTGCAGTGTTCATCCTTGTGCCGTTTATGGAGTTTTTGCTGCCAGTTTTCTTGAAGCTCTTCCCTAATATGTTACCATCAACTTTCCAGGACAAGATGAAAGAAGAGGTATGTTTCAACAGAGTGTAGGCTTTACTCATTCGTTTATTACCTTCTTGCCTTCTGGGACTCTCTTTCCGATGTTGCTCTTTTGTTAATGCACAGGAAGCTTTGAAAAGGAAATTACTTGCAAGGATAGAATATGCTAAGTTTCTTCAGGAAACGGCCAAAGAGATGGCTAAGGAAGTTAAACATTCAAGAACCGGAGAAGTAAAGAAAACCGCTGAAGACCTGGATGAGTTTCTAGACAAGGTAAAAAGTCATGATTTTGTGTTGGCTCAAATTCTTCCTTTTCTTTCGGTTTTTGGATTTGAATTTCTTAAAATCCTGCCTTGCAGGTTCGAAGGGGTCAAATAGTTCAAAATGATGAACTTTTGGGCTTTGCAAAGCTTTTCAATGATGAGCTTACTTTGGATAACATTAGCAGGTTAGTCGCTCCTTTTTTTGTTTGATCTCAGAGATGTCTTGTGCTCTTAAAGGCACATGTTCCGACAGTAATATACCTCTTGTTTTTCAAATATAGGCCTCGCTTGGTTAGCATGTGCAAATATATGGGTATTAGCCCATATGGAACAGATGCTTATCTGCGATATATGCTCAGAAAAAGACTGAGGAGGTAAGATGCTTCCACATCTCATTGTTATTAGACTTGTTACCTTGCTTTTGATGTTTAATTTTTACTCCTTTTCACTGCAGCATTAAGGAAGATGATAAACTGATTAGAGCTGAGGGTGTGGATTCCCTTTCAGAAGCTGAGCTACGCGAAGATTGCAGGGAACGTGGAATGCTGGGACTGGTTTCAGTTGAAGAGATGAGGCAACAGGTTTCTCCTCTTTACTCCTATGATTTTTGGTTCTTTGTTATTTCTTTATCATACTCCAGCAGGAAAAGATATCGCCACAGCTATTAATGTTTTAGTGTTGAAACGATCTTGCAGCTTCGCGATTGGATGGATTTGTCACTTAATCATTCTGTCCCCTCGTCGTTATTGATCCTCTCTAGGTTGGTTCAAGTACTCTTTGCTGTCATTTTTCGTTCTTCCATCAGTTTTATTGCGAATAAATTTCTAATAGCAGTTTATATTCAGGGCATTCACGGTTTCTGGAAGAGTTAAAGCAGAGGATGCTGTCCGAGCTACTCTTTCTTCTCTACCTGACGAGGTTGTGGATACTGTTGGTATTACTTCTCTGCCATCTGAAGACCCTGTTTCTGAGCGAAGAAGGAAATTGGAGTACCTTGAGATGCAAGAAGAATTGATCAAGGTCTGATCATACACCACTTGAGTATTGCTTGAGGAAGTTAGAGAAATCGAATTTTGTGTGTTCCAGATTTTACATTTTGTATATTATTATATATGCAGGAAGAAGAAGAGAAAGAAGAAGAAGAGCTTACAAGGATTAAGGATGTTAAAGGTGGTGAAGAGGATAAGGCACTGCAAGAGATGACCATACCAACAGCTAGCGAAGCACAAGAACAGGCCAGAGCTAGAGTTCTTGAACAACAAGATGATCTTTGCAAACTTAGCCGTGCATTGGGTGTTTTGGCTTCCGCTTCTGTAAGAAAAATGATTCTATGTTTTATCAACAATTAATATGCAGATCAATTTATCTGATTCCTATTTGAGACTCTTGTTTGTTTTTAATATAAACAGTCGGTGTGTAGAGAGCGCGAAGAATTCCTGAGATTGGTCAAGAAAGAGGTACGCTGTCCACCAATGCTTGTTCAGCACTTTTTGTCCTAGATTGAATGACTTTGTTTTTCTGTTTCTCTAGATGGAGTTCTATAACACAATGGTCGAGAGAGAAGATGTAGATGGTGAAAAAGCTGCAATGAAGGCGTACAAAGCAGCTAGAGAAGATATTGACCAAGCTGATGAAGTTGCTGAAGCAGACGAGGTTTCCTCTGCACTAATGGAAAAGGTAAAAGGATTTGAAATCGTTTTTAAAGAATATCAAAGTCTCATGAGATTTGTATCAGAGCTAACTCTTCAGTCATACTTTTTAAGGTTGATGGTCTGATACAAAACCTAGAGAAGGAAATTGATGATGTGGATATCAAAATTGGCAAAGGCTGGCAGCTTCTTGACAGGTATATAGACATATTATATTCTCCATTTTCCATTTGAGTGTTCTGTTTCGGAGACTAAGATTCTAAAGTGATCACATTTGAATGCACACAGGGATCGAGATGGAAAGGTCACACCTGATGAAGTTGCAGCTGCCGCAATGTACCTGAAAGACACACTCGCTAAGGAAGGCCTTCAACAACTAATCAGTAGTCTCTCCAAAGATAAAGGTAAAGAAGCGATCCTCTCCTTCTTGAGCTCTTATCTCTCTAAAGTTGATCTGTTAGTTGATCTTTTTTTTTTTTGAATCTGTTTATTCAACAGAGGGAAGAATTATGGTGGAAGACATTGTAAGGTTGGGGAGATTGGGAAGCAAGCCAGAAGAAAATGCAACGGAAGAAGAATCAAACTGAAGGAAATAATACTAAGATTTTAAGACACTTTTAGACTTTTAGTAGTAGTGAAGAGAGTTTTATTGAGAGAAACTCTAATTCAGGTTTTGCTGCTTAGACACAAGCAGTCTACTTACATATACAAGCGGCTAAGAGTGTGAGACCTTTTTGCTAGTTATGTGAAAAAGATTGAAAACTAAAAAGAAAGACGACATTACGCCAAGAATGATATCTTGAGCGTATTATTTTTAATTGAAACTCTTGATTCAAAAGTGTCATTGGCTATGAATATGAAGATTGACTGGTTTACTAGTTTAACATGTGGTTTTTCAGTGATCCCTAAACGACATCATTCGATTCCATCTGTTGGTTAGCCAAAATAAATTTTGTTTGTTTGTAGGCAGTGATCAACTATCAAGGCATAAACTAGCAAAACTTTTGCTTATAAGTTACTGATTGCTTATGTGGGGACTTGCCTTTTTTAGTATTAAAAATGTAAATAATTTGTTTGAGACGAACCATAACAAGTGTCGATAATGTTGTCGTTTTCCTTTTTTCATAACCTAATTTGCCTTGGATTTCAGGAATATACGCAACTGAGTTTTTTTTGTCATTTTCCTCTGTTTCAGACTATTGATCACAGCTGTTCTTTTGTCAGACTTTGCTTGAAATTTGTTAAGTAACTGTTGCTTTGGCTGCAATGGAGGAAAACTGAAAAGAGTTTTATGACGAAAGGAAGAACAACCAACAGTGTACAGTCGAGTCGGTCTTCCAAGAATGGGAAAAGAGATCAAAAGCCACAGAAGACAACCGGTGCTAAAAGATATCTAGAGCAAGAAAGACTCAAAGCTTTTAAAGAGGAATCTAATGTCTCAGTACTAGAAGATGATACAACTACACAATCAAAGCTCTCTCATGCAGTGAATGAGTCTTCAGTTACTCATCAAGAGTTCGAGTCTGGTAGGATTACAGAGAAAACGGAGAAGGAAGACACTGTATTTGGCTTGGCCTGTGATGATGACGAGGAGAAGGAGAAGGAAGAAAGCAAAGACTTTGATGCTATAGCTCATGACATGAGAAGGCAAAATCGTATAAGTTATATGATTATCGTATGTTGTGTTTTTGTCATATTTTCAATTTCTAGTATTTTAGTCTCTGAACCGTTAATTTGTTTTTAATATGTTATTCCACTTATATCACCATCGAATGTGTGTATATATGTATTATTGTATTATTGAAGACAGTGTAATTAAGCTATTCTACTTTGATAAAAATATTAAATGGTAAATTATGATTCAACTATAGTACTTTCTGTAGAATTGCTAGATACATGTTTAGTAACCTTACAAAGCATACAAAACTACTATAAAGCAGAGTGCAATTAAATTGTAAATGCCACTATCTTAAAACTTTGGATGCATGTATAATTAAATTACCTACTATTTTTTTTAACCCCAACTTCCTACTCATTTATAATTTTTATTTTACGATATATCTTTGAACCACCACCCATAATGTTTAGTTGATGTGGAACGTTCATTTCACACTTTTTTCTTCAATGATTGAGTAAATTATATCTCTTTTTTAAATTTTAAATCACAACAAATGCAGAATTTTTTTGAAAATTTAATTTATTATAGGAACTATGTATTTATTCAAACACTTTTAAAATATGATCAAACAAAAATGATAGGAGATTTTTTTAATAAGATTTTTAAACATAGTTTTGTTGACAAAATCATAGGAAAGAGAAATCTTAATATTTCCTAATACATATAAATGAATTGAAATAGAATTTAAACTGATTTTTATTTCAATTATTTTATTCCAAAGTTACCTTTTTAAATTGAAAACACTTTTTACACATAATTTCAATGACATTTGAAGTAAATAAATGATTGATTATGAACATTCTCTAAAATGTATTTCTCTTTTGATACATAAGATAATAGAATCCTAATGCCATAACTGAGTGGCAATTTAAGTAAATAACTAAGTAATTTTGGACAATTTTTCAAATGTACTTCTCATCTATATTAGAAGATGATTGGGTGGTCAGATAATAACATTTTATTTTTTTACTTTTAAATATAGTGTTTTCTTTGTGCTATAGAATTACATGTGTTGTCGTCAATGTGTACCATATTTCCACAAAGGTATATTATAGTTAATGCAATCATAATCCAACAAATCTGATTATTTTCAACTATATATACACAGTTTCTTGTATTTGGAACAAGTTTGTATCATCAAGAAACCTGCAGTTTATCATTAAACATTAAACTATAGCACTTTCTTGAAAATAGAATGCACTAGATTTCATATTTGCATATTTGTTTTCCAAATCATTAACTAAAATTGGTGTGAATATATAAAGGAAAATTTGTAAACCCTAATTTGTAAAGAGATTGATAAACCCTAATTTGTATTTATTCAAAAAAAAACCCTAATTTCTATTGTAGAAGAAACTTTCCTTAGATTAGCCTGGAATCTTGTTGCTTTAGAGTAGGAGTCCAAGTTTATGGTTATTGCTGCGATTGGGCTGAAGTTTTTTTAAAATTGGATTGTTTGGATATTTTGGTAGAGGAGGAGAATCTACAATGATCCTCACCTGGCTAACCAGAAGAAAGAAGGCTTATTATAGACGAATATCAATAGACGCACTAAACAAGGTATCATCCGTTTTCATATATATATATATATATATATATATGATGTTTGGAAGAGACAACCCACCGTTTATTTTAAAATTATTATTGTATTCAACTTTTTCAATCATTTAAGTGGTTTCATGCATGGTCTCAAGAATATTGAGACCTTGGATCGAGATAGGAAAGCTTACCTAGCCTGGAGCAGGCTGACATAGAGTTTGAGCAAGCTAAAAAATATGTCCAGAAAGACGACGAAGAAGGTACGTACTACGACCAAAATCTTCCCTTGTTTCTTTTTTCTTTTTCTGATGGTTCGATTTTAATTACAACATGTGCTTTGTCATGCAGCTGCCAAATACCATTTGAGGCTCAAGTTGCTAGACAACCGTTCTGCTCAACATTGCCAGGAATTACTGCTTCATTCTCACAAACAAGTGAGTTTTTCTTCTTGTTTTCCTATATATTTATACACGTCATTTTATTATTATAAGTCTAGATCTCCTATATATATCATCTGCGATTACCAGCTTCTTTCTTTTTCTTTTGAAACAGTTGATTATTCTTAGTAGGCTGGAATTGCAATCGATGGACGACGATCTCACCACCCACAATCCAATGCATATCTTTACAATGTCTTTGGCTTTTTGTTTGTTCCTTTTTCTTATAACTTATTTTGTGTTTTTCTAGACACTACCAAAAAAAACAAAGATAAGTTTGTGTTTTTCTAGCTCCTAATATTACACTACCAAACAACAAATATAACTCATGAATGTGCTACAAGATTTCAATTTATTGAACCCGATTCTATATGAAGAATAATAGTGCATTAAACCCTAACTTCTGTTCCGGTCCTTTATATGAAGTTATGAACTATGTATTTTATATGAACTATGTATTTATTCAAACACTTTTAAAATATGATCAAACAAAAATGATAGGAGGTTTTTTTAATAAGATTTTTAAACATAGTTTTGTTGACAAAATCATAGGAAAGAGATATCTTAATATTTCCTAATACAAATAAATGAATTGAACTGATTTTTATTTCAATTATTTTAATTCCAAAGTTACCTTTTAAAATTGAAAACACTTTTTGCACATAGTTTCTATGACATTTGAAGTAAATAAATGATTGATTTTGAACATTCTCTAAAATGTATTTCTCTTTTGATATATAAGATAACTCAGATATTGTTTGCTCTGTTTTGTTGCGATCTTGTGTTGACGTTGATGACAAAGGTTTAAGCTTGAGTTGTTGTAGAGGTTGATAAAACCTAAGAATATATATTAAAGAAGGATAATGTGCTGCCACGTGGAATCACTGGACGTTTGGATGCTTGGGCTTGTCTAAAAAGCAATTGCATGTCTTCTTCTCCAGCTGAAAGAGTGAATGTTTGAGACTTTTCTTCTGCATTCGCGTCTATATTAAAGGTATTATCATCTCTTTCGCTGGTTAATTTTTGTTTCTCCTCATTTTTTCGGCTCAATCATATCTCTTGTGTTGAGTTTAAATTTGAAACAACTTCTTTTGCCACTCGGTGATAGGTGATAATGTTGATGTTCTAGTCTAGTCGCTGAAAACCATATTCGAATTACTTTAAAGAGGGTTCTTTTAGGGTTTGACAAAAACATGGACAGGATCAGCAGTTTACCGGATGGTGTTATCAGCCACATCTTGTCTGCTCGAACTTCGGTTCTCTCGAAGATATGACGTGTTCTGTTTGCTTTCTCACCAAATCTTGATTTATTAGACTGCAATGAGGATAACCGACAAAGTTTGATGGATAGAGTCTTGGCTGTGTTATATTCCTCTATCAAGAAATTCACTCTAAGACGTAGAACGGGTTTTGACCCAGCTCATATCAATCGTTGGCTATGTAAAGTGTTGAATCATGGTGTCTCTGCGTGTAGATGCTGAAGATGGGTATTCTCTGCCTTTTGAGATTTCAGGAGCTGAAACTAACTGGTATTTCGATTGATCTGATTTCTGATTTTGTCCGAAATCACCCAGTGTTACCTACTTATACACAATTGATTTTGTCCCGGCTTCCTATCCAACTGTCAATCTCGACTCTCTTGTTGAAGCAAATCTCGACCTTACTCTGACAGCAGGTCACACGTGGGACTCCTGTTTTGCAGATGAAGATGATCATATTACTAGCAATCTAACAAATCTGATTAAGGGGTTGAGAAATGTTGAGATCATGAATTTGTTATCTCATTACAGTTTGGAGGTAACTGTGCTCTACTGTTTGCTAATGCTTCTTCCATTCTCTGTAATATGTTATGGACATATTGAGAAAACGGAAAGAACATGACAAGGATACTTAGTTTTGATCTAAATATTGAAATTGGTTGCTGACTTCATTTTGTTTCAGATGTTCCCAAAAATCCATTGAACATAGGATAACATTCTTGGTACATGTCAATTACAAGAAGCTCTTTTTAATATTAGGTAGAAGAAGACAACAAAAATGGCAGCCATAACATGACCACTGATGTTGTTGTTGCTGATGATGTATCATGATGGGCCTAGGCTCCGTCCGCTACAGTCATCTTTACTGTACTGATGTAAAGAACTGAATCCAAAGAATACACACAAATTTACACACTTACAAAGAAGGAGATTGAGAGAAAGATGAATGTGAGAGATTTTAGTTACCGTTGTTTCCACGAATAAAGGCATCACCATATTTGTTCTTGAGCTGCCCGTTTACATACTCCTCTGTCTGCTCCATTGCTATGTTCATATACCCATCAAGACAAGTAAGAATGCCTGTGCAAAAGAGTAATCAAATCTTGATCAACAACTCAACATTAAGCTTGACCAGAACTTGGACAAAACTGACTCGGGCACCAAAGGAAAGAAGTCAACAAGAAGCCTTGATCATGAGGAGACAAACTGACTTAAATATGTTCATGAGACAAACACAAGCTAAAAAATCTCTCAGTCAACTATTGTAGCCTTATTGTAGGTAGAAAGGAAAATGTTCTTAAGAAAACCATGGAACAATGTTCACAAGTAAACCTTAGAAAATGTAAGGTAAGCTTCTCATATTGACAAATTTTCTTAAGGAATCAGTTAAAAGTTGGAGATATAACCTTCAAATGAATGATAATTAAGTTACTTAACACAAGCAACTCTTAAATTCCCTTAACATGGCAAAAAAAAGAACCAGTCCTAAGGCAAAACTTGTAACCTAAAGTGCAGCAGAGATAGATAGATAGATGGAGAACTTGCAAAACACATAAGAATATCTAAAGAGAAAGAGAGAAAGAGAGTGAGGCACCTCGATAATCAACACCAGAATTGAGCTTGACAACAACGGGTCTCCCACGGATGGATTTGAGGAAATCAGCAGGTGTCTTAGTCGTTCCAGAAACTTTCTCTCCAACACCACTCATCTTCTAAGCACGATCCTTTATTTAACTGCAGAAACAATTGAGATCTTAAATCAGTTTGGTCGCTCTTCGAACAACAAAAACTCAGAGGTAAAACACAATCAGAGTCAATCTCTCGAATCACAAAAAGACTCCAAACGCTAAAACCCTAAACTTTAAACCCAATAAAAGCGAATTCGATTGAAAAAAGTAAAGAAAAATCGAAACTTTTACATGGATTCAAGGAACTAAAAGAAGAACTCCATACCTGAGACCTACTATACGGAGAGGGAGAGAGAGAGAGCGAAGAAATAATGAATTGGTCCTAAAGGGTTTTATTAGTTCCAAAACTATATAGTATATCATTCATTATTCGAGTTTTCATATTAAAACTAAACTATATAGTATATCATTCATTATTCGAATTTTCATATTAAAACTAATAATAATTGAATATTGGTCCTTTATAGATTTTGATTTTAATTTGGGGGTGAAATTAAATCTCCAGTGCGTTTCGGTTCGGCCTCACAGTTTCTCTTCTCGTCTCTCTCTCTCTCTTCTCGTCGCTTGGTTTCTCTACAGATCCCTAAATCCTCTCCCTTTGGACCGTTAATCCCCAAACCCTAGATTTAATCAAAATCCTCACAGCTTCTTTCATCTTCAATCTCTCTAAATTCTCTTTCTCCTGCAAGAAATTTGCGGACTTTTTCTTGTGGGTTAAATTCTATCAGCTATGGGGAAGAATCAAGCTTACAAGGCTATGCAGAGATCTAGGGTTGGTTCCAGCTCCGCCCAGCCGGATGAAGTTGAAGACGGAATGGTTTGTACCTTTTCATACTCTTTTCTTCATTGCAATTGATTATGTTTTTACTTCTCCAAACAAAATTCCAATTTGATTGACTACTTATGGTTTTGATGATTGTTGTGTTAATGGGTTATCGAGCTGCATTTAGAATTAAGCCTACAATCTCTTGCAGATCTCTAATGAGTCCCAATTTTTGGGGAAGAACTTGTATCTATCACTTGCTAGGTCTTGAAGACGATACCAAGTCATGTTTAGATGTAATTTCGTAAAGTGTTTGGATTAGAGTTTGTGTTACAGTGATTCAAGAATCTATATTGTTGTTGTAATCTGTGAACACAAAGAAGCAGTTGGAGAAGTGAAACTTTGATATGGAGCAATTTGCATCTTTCTCTGTCAAGTTTTGGTTTTTTTTTTAAAGCTTGATGATCATATTTTGTGTCGGTACCGGAACATTTCTGATGAGGATTGTCTCAGGTGGATGGTTCATTTCATACACCAGAGTGGCATGCGGCTCGTTTGGCTAGCCTCAAGACTACACATACTATTACATGGGAAGAGTATAAGCAGAAGCAAAAGGTAATCCTTATGTCGTTTTAAGACTTTCCATTGTAAGGTTAAGATCTTCTGAATGTTGTATGGAATGTTGGTCCTTGTTATGATGCCGTAGATAATCAATTGACCATTGATGATTAAGTATACATAAGATCGCTGTTAGCCTATTATTGTCGTCAATTTAGAAGCTTTAATCCAACAAATCATTTCCTTTCCATCTGTCGCTTATTCATCTTCAGCCACAGATATGCCGTCTTTGTGTATTCATTTAAGAACTAGTGTTTCTTCCTTCCCCGTTACGTCTTTCTCTATGTCAAGGTTTTGAAGTAACTCTAGTCAAGCTCATTTTTAACATTTTTATTATCTGCGATATCATTTTCTTACTAATTGCAGCCTCTCTGTATTGTGAGTATGGAACATTAGGAAATGTTTACCATTATATCTTTCTTTCATGTAACATGTGTAGGAAGAAGAAATGAAAAAGGGAGAACTTGAAGCAGATACTGATAAACTGATGCGTGAGTATAGAGCTCAGCTGGATGCAGAAAGGTCGTTGAAACTCTCCAAAGGAAGGAACTATTCTAGTGATAAGTCCCGTAAAGGTTTTATAATCCACTTAACTTAACATAATATCTAAACCTTCTTTTTGAGGAAGTTATTAACTGGTCGCCAATGGTTCAATGACCTCGCAGATAAGAAAGATAGAGATTCAAAGAAGAAGAAAAGCAAAAAGAGAAAGGTGTTTTTAAAAAATTTAGCTTTACCTTATAACAGATAGTGTCATGTTTTATACCTTATTTTAACATAAACCATGTTGGGTTGTGTTATGAGTTTGCAGCATTATTCATCCTCAGAGTCATCATCTAGTAGTGATGAAGATGAATCTAGAAGATCAAGATCAAGTTCGAAACGATCAAAGAAGGATAGGAAGCACAAGTCCAGCAGAGACAAACACTCTAGCAAAAGTAAAAACGAAACCGATGGCCCTGTACCACTCTCTAAATTCTTTGGCAATCTGAAGAATTGACACAAGCAAAACTGCAAATGAACTATTACAAAGAGTAAGATTGTCTTCAATCAAAATACTCAAATTAGGATATGATTGCTTTCTTCCTTGTTGCAGTGTTATATTTTTGACGATAGCTCATGTACTATTATTTGTTGGATTGAGAGTCGCAATAATGTCCCACATAATCATGGTTTTTCAGTTTATTTGCTTAAAAATGAAATTTGACAACATCAAAAGGGATTTATTGGGGAATATAGCAGAAAATCTTAGTACATCAAAATTTTCTGAGAAATGAAAAAATAAAGGAAATGAAAAAAATAAGTATCCCAAAAAACAGAAAAGGAAAAGAACAAACAGAACAAGGATCAAAGATGGTCCTTTTCAATCATTGCTGGTTTCAGGGTTGAAAGCTAGGGCTTCACAGTAGATTAACTCCTTAATCTGCTCCTCTGTGAGTTGATGTTCATCTAACTCGAAGTTGAAGGGCTCTGGGCACTCTGGTTCATCTGTAATGTCGTGAAGCGGGCTAAGGTATGGATGAGCAAGCGCTTCTTTAACTGAAAAGTGGCAAACTGATGATAAGAATCCAAATAAAAATGCAAAAGAGGCTATATAGAGACAGAAACTGACCTGAGATTCTCTGTCTAGGGTCAAATGTTAACATCTTCTCCACCAAGTCTATTGCTAAAGGAGGCACATTCGGGAATTTCTCAGAGAAAGATTGGCGAGGAAGCTTAGGAAGCTGCCTTATGTATCGCTTTGCACATTCACTCAACGATCCAAGCTCTTCTTCAGATGGAGTGCCAATGAGCTGCAAAAAAGATTCCAAGACTTTTTAAGCTAATCATGAGTCACAAAAAACGTATATGATCTTGGCTCAGAAAAGGGTTTTACTTCACTACCTCCATAAGCAAGCGAAGCTGATTAACTTGATCTTTACCGGGGAAGAGCGGTTCGCGGTTCATTGTTTCCATGAAAATACAGCCAACAGACCAAACATCTATTGCTGCGGTATAATCAAAAGAGCCCAACAGAAGCTCGGGTGCACGGTACCATCTTGTGACAACATACTCAGTCATTAAATTACTCTCAGGAGTGGCACGAGCAAGCCCGAAATCACAGATCTTTAAGTCACATTGTGTACTCAAGAGGAGATTGCTTGGTTTTAAATCTCTATGTAGCACATTGGCCGAATGAATGTACTTTAATCCGCGCAGGATTTGGTACATGAAATACTGCGAAAAAATTTGAAGATGGTCAAGCTCTCTAATCAAATGATTTTAAGTTTCAAGAAACAATAATTCTAAACACAAACCATGCAATGATCTTTGGTTAGTTCTTGATCGGATTTTAAAGTTCGATAAAGATCAAACTCCATCAATTCATACACAATGTAAACATCTTCGAATGAATCTCTCTGAGGAGGCAAGATCACGTCTCTGATTCCAACAATCTATAGAAAAAAAATGGTATTACATATTTAGATTTTAATGAATAATAAAAATAAAATAAAAAGGTGAGAGGATATATAGTGATTAAATCAAACGAACATTCTCATGATCGAAGTGACGAAGAAGCTTGATTTCACGGAGAGTTCTCTTTGCTTCGATAGTGTTATCAAATACATGCATTATTTTCTTTATTGCTACCTTCTCATTGGTCTCTGAGTCCATAGCCGAACTGTGAAAAAAGTAAAAACTAATGTGTCAAGTGAGCTTTTTACAAGGGGAAGAAAGAAAAAAAAATTCTCATGAAATAAAAGACAATTGTTTAGAGATCTCTAAGATTGAAATGATTCGAGTTTTTCTCATAAAAAGATGAAACTTATCAACCAAATCCATAAATTACACACAAAAATATGGTCATGGACATTACCAAACAATGCCAGAAGCACCTCTGCCAATAGGCATAATCGGTGGCTTATACTTTGCGGTGAGTTCAAAGATATGCCCAAATAGATTGTATTGGATATATCTGCCGTCATGGCTGAGAGTCCCCGGAACATCGTTAGTCGTCTTGAGCATTTGAGATGACGGCAAAAGAGCGGTTGTAACCTCCTCTTGAGTTTCCACCGTCTCAGCATCATTAGTTGGCTCCATGGTTTTCTTTTTGTCTCTCACAACCTTAAACTATTCTGTTAAGAGAAGTGATGCTTTTTTTTTGTTGGGTCTAGTGGTAGTGAACTAAACTTATATAGTGGATGTGTAAGTATGGATGTTTAACTCATGGAGGATTCAGGAGATATGAGTTTTGATAATATTTGCTAGTTTTAAGTAAGTTTTTTGAACTTATAGGAATTCTGCTGTCTATTTCCTTTTTCATATGGGGAAAAAAAAAACTAACTAATCTTATTATAGTTAAGCTTCTGAAAATAAAATAAAAACTATTAATTTATGGAAGTTTATAAGTAAGATGTTTTTAGGTAAGTTGTTAGAAGAAGATTGTGTGCTTTTCATACACCCTCTTAAATTAAATACAAACATGGCAATACAATTTGGATACATACTCTTAAAATTCACTTCCTAATTTGTGTTTATTTTTTAAATTTCTTTCCTACTTTTCATATATTTTAAATTTAGTATAATAATATTTTTTTTGAAAAATCAATTTACTTATTTAGAAAATATATAGATATTTGATATTTAATAGTTTGTATATATATAAAAAAGTTATTATACTTTGAAATGAAAAATATAACACGTGTAACGGCATATATCCTACTGTTGGTGTCAGATTTCGCACATAAATTCGGTCCACAAAAAAATCATTAGCATCAAAGATTTATAACCGGAAAAAGCCCATTTGACCTAAATCAAGAAACAGAAAAGCCCATGAAACACATCTCGAAACATGGTACCTCGGAAGCCCATTATGTAATTGGTCCACTTTTTGTCACTAGCACCTTTCGCTTAAAGTGTTTGCGGAATTCCAATTAATCACATCAAACAATCAAATTTTGATATTACATGATAAGGTTTATGCCGAATGCCGAATGCCGAATACCGAATCGGAGGCGTTACGATATGCAAATTAGTGACAAGAGAGGCTATAAAAGGTACGACCATGGAGGAGGAGATAACTTTGTAGAGCACTTTACCGTCATTCATTTTGTAATTCATTTTGCAATATAGAAAATCAATTCAAAATTTTTTTTCTTCAGTTTTTTCGATTAGTTTTATCCTTTTTAATTCGATTTCGTAAAAATTAACACGAATTTTGACTCTTATTATGTTTTACGATCTATAATCACCACAACTGAAGTTTGACATCACAATCACTAACAAAGAAACCTCAAAAAAATTATGACCAAACTTAATTTAAATTAGTCTAACAATTTTTTAAAATTATTTTGTAATAATTATTATTTTTTAAAAAATAAATTCGACCCTAAATTTGGTAGTTTAAGTATGTGTATAACTGGTTTGTTTTTATTTTTCATTTACATGTTAATAAAATATATGTTTCCTTCTGCTACACTTGGCCTTTTTGGGTAATTATGTGATTCGTTTTTGAGTAGATAGCTGGAGATAGCAAAACAAAAACAAAAAATCTACAACAAATTTATGAGTTCTTAAATAGTTAAATTTGTTATATATCTTATATTTTTTAAAAAAAAAGTTCATAAGATTTAGTAACAAAAACGGCAGTCCAGCAATCAAATGATAAATCCACTGCATCACCACGTAAGCCTTCTGTATTTTTATCATTGTTTTCTATCTGTGATATGATAAAAAAAAAAAAAAAAACACATTGACATTATTTATTAGTTGTGGTCGACAGATATTGAACAGTTTCACAGCTAAAAATTATAATAATTTCTTTTCAAATTCTACCTTCCAGTTTTATTTTTTATTGATAATTTTAAAACGCTTGCAAAATGTAAATTCACAAGTAGGAAAAATAGTAAAATATCTTTAGTAAAAATTCAAAGCCACGAAGGTAGATCAAAACTGGACGGAAATAAAGAATTTTGCCAAGATTTAAAGAGAAAAAACGTTTTCACTCGTTGTCATCTTCATCGATGGCTTCAGCAGCAGAGTTAAGTGTACGAATACGGTCAATCAAGTTAGCTTTCCTCTGTTTATAAGTAAGCTTCTTCAAGTTAAACCTCTTATGCTCCTTTAGAGATTGCTTTCCAGCCTTTTTAGCTAACGGGTCAGCTCGGATCGCGGCATGAACCTTCTTGTACAATGCCTCCATTTCATTTGCTTCAATACCTTTCTTCACATACTCACTGAAATGAGTCTGGAATTTCTCGGGCTCGTCTTCGTTTAGAGTCTGCAGAAGAAAGTGCAAAACGTTTTGGTTTGCTATGTAACACAGAAAAAAACAGAGTAGAAAGTAGAGACATTTTAGTTGTTTCTGGTTTTAACCTTCATGTAATCCGCAACATGACCACCATAGATGTATTTGACGTGAGTTGCGAAATCGAGCTGTTTGTTTTCTTTGGAGAATCCCGCGAATCTCTTGTTGCTATGAGGTATATCAAGACCACCATCAAGTGCACCCTTTTTTACCAACAAACATAACAAATGAAGCAAAATTTCTGATCAACACCAAAAGCAATCATCAAACAAATGTTAAATTTATCAAAACACATACCTTCAGAGCACCAAAGACACGGTTTCCGGTAGTGGTTCTAATAAGTCCAACATCAAGAAGAGCACGGAACGGTCTCCTGTTATCAGTAGGTTCCACTGAGAAATCTTCCCCAGAGGCCTAATGCAAAATTGAACATTATTGAAACATTTCAATTATACACCAGGAACAAAAAAAAAAAAGAAGCCTTTTTATAGGGATACCTCGAGATTTCCTTCATACTCTGCATCCATTTCAAGCATTTTCAGGACACGTCGAGCCAGGAGAAGTCCAGTACAGTATGCTAACCAATCATCACAATAATCAAAGGTAAGTGATCAATTCAAGAGAACTGAGAGAAGTTGTCTATAACATTTCTGTAAAAGTAAATCACCTGCAGAATAGTTTGTAAGACCAACATTAAGCCCATATTGTGGCAGCTCGTGAGCATAAGCAGCAGCGAGAATTACATCACCAGCAATGCTTGCAGATACAATCTGTGCCGTTATGTCTTTGTTTGTCTACGTTACACCGATCAAGGCCAAACAAAACTCGATAGGAAGAATGTAGATAGGACTTAATAAGAAGAATGTGATGAACTAAAAGGATACAAATCTAACAACAAACCGATATTTTGGAGTGTTGTATTTGTTCTTGTCTTGATTGATAAGACGGATTCTGGCACGATAATCAGTCTTGCCATCTATTAAAAAACGAGAAATGTCACAACAAAATGTTAGCTTTTGATTAAAGAAAAACAAATGTCTATTCTCTGTGTAGAATGATACCTCTTCTTCTCCTGTATTTGACCTGATACCTCATCGAATAAGGCCTTGAATTCTGGGACTTCACGAGAACCTGCAGATTTTTGAGAGACACAGTTCAATTTTCCCAATTTAGCTAATTTTGATCTCTCAAAGCAATATAAACATGATGATCGAATCTAAACTTCTGCATTAGACGTAATCAAACGTAGAAAACCTAAGAATCTAAACAAAACGACGATACAATTTGAATCTACGTGTTTAGTAAAACAACCAAATAGATGAAGACGTAAATTAAAGTACTGTAGCGGATCATATCAAGCGAGGAACAATACATAATTTGGTTCCTATATAATACGAAATAGTTGAGACAGTATTGTCGTGGGATGAGCACTCACCATTGTAGCTCTCCCTCAAGCTTCAAGTGCAAAAACCAGTCCAGACTTATGAAAAAGACGGCTATATATATATATAGGACGAGACAAAAAAAAAAAGGATTGCGTTTCACGAAACCCTAAGTATGCCAGTTTAAGGCCTTTTATTACTGGGCTTAAAGCCCAAATTGATTTGTGGAGAAACCGCTGTAATAATTGCTACAAGCTTGTTCTAAAGTTGCAAAAACACTCTCAGCAGCATCTGAACAAAAAAGAAAAAGGTTTTGAATTAAAATTTTTCTGTTGTGTAGCAATTATGAATGTTAACGGTTCCAAGAGACGAACATTCATAGACAATTATAAGAAAAATATAAAACAATTTTCGAGCCTTTACGCTTCGGAGACATCAACGTTGTTCAAAGCTTCTTCTGGTGACGATGATGCATCTTGGAGACTTTCAGATGTTTCATCAGAGGGCTTAGATTCATGCTTAGCAGCAGCTTGCAAAACCCGGCTTCGAACATCTGAAGACGAAGGTGAAGTTGGGAGGCCAACACCATTTGTTTCGAGTTTTTCTGCAGCCCATGAGAAAGCCTGAGCTCCGAGTCTCACTGGTGCAAGCAACAGCCTTGAAGAAGAAGAATAAGAAAGAATCTTTGTTAAGACAAAACAGAGGTTTGCTGAGGATGTGTTATGAACAATGGTGGCCTTTTATACCTGACGTCTTCCTTGAAGTCTTCAGAGTCATCATATGAAGAAAGTCGTTGGTATATAGTCTGCATAATGTCTGAGACTTGAGAAACAAAACAAAGCAACGATAATTTGACAAAACTTAGAAACCAGTAAATGGGGATAGTATATAAATACCAGACCGAGGCCAACGACAGCTATGAGTTGCAGTGTTTTCTCCCACTCTGCGAGAGATAGAGCAATCATGTTAGTGCAAAGGTGGAGTGAGGAGCTTGTGTGTTGTGGCGAGTATGAGAATTCAAGAGGGGAAATGAGAAAGAATGAAACGCACCAGACAAAGCATACAATGCTGCGAAAAAACCCTGCATAGATCTTCTTATGTTAGTCAGGATGGGATTAATATTTTACGGAAATAGAAAAATAGAACTAGAAGCATACCACACCAACTCCAACTAGTTGCAATGGAGAAGGATTTATGTCCTCAAGAATCGCCTCAGCTTCCTGAAAAGCATTTTAGATGTGTTTAACTTACTGGTGAAAATATGTGAGAGTAGTTTCAATTTTATCAGGAGCAATATTCCAAAAAGAATTGTATTCAGATGGTATTACCTCGTTGAGGATAGTAAGTGTTGTCTCAGGTTTCGGCTCCTTCACACGAAGACCTTCCTTAGCCCATGATCTAAAGCCACCTTGCACCAAGTATGGTCTCTATCACAATATAAGCAACCAAAGAAGAGTTTATTCAAAAATGTTTCAAGGTAACTATAGTACTCAAAGTGAGGCCCAAATGACTTGCCTTAATCCCAACTTTTCTCAGGGCTCTCGCAATACCCTTCGAACGAGTTCCATCAGCATCCATAACAATAACCTTGGACCTGTCCTATAAGTAGCAGAGTAAGCAAAATTATGAGATGTCAGCATACTTAGAATCTGAAACAGCTCGAGCATGCACAAAACCATAATAAGTTACAAAAAGAAGCATGAAGGTAGCACACCTGAACTATTTTCAAGTTCTTGATGATTACAGCTGTCAAGATATCATCAACTTCACTTCCACCTTTCAGTAGCCGTTTGACAGCACCGTCAACCTTAAACATGAATCAAGAACAAGAACCATAAAAACTGTGAACAAAGGAAAGTCTTTTATCCTACTTGATGTGACATTGCTTGATCATTGACATTCTGTTGCACTGATTGCTGAAACTTCGTTGTGTTCATATATTACATCTGTAGAGTTTCTATATTTGCTGTGGTCAACAACAATGAGGATGCTAAAACCAACCTCAGGCAGTGTCAGGCTAGAATATCGAAATCGAGCTGATCTCCGCAGATCAGGGATTCCATCTTTCTCTCTCAAGGCCTTCAAAAAGACAGTAGCCAAAATGAGCATTTTTATTTCAACTCAAAGTCCTTGATGAACATTATGTGAAAGATATAGCCAATTGTGGTGGGTTTTGAAAAGTTATATATCATGAATGGGAACTTGTTAGAAACTTTAGAGCATCTTACTTCAGGCCTGACATCTATGAGCACTGACTTTTCTTTTGATCTTAAAAGGTCCAGAGTTGACTTGGGAGACAAATCTCCAGCATATCCACCATATGTCCAAACCCGATATAGAACCCTGCAAATATCTGGTGGAAAATATAAATTCTTCTATAATACATTGTCCTCTCAAGAAAAGCAAGTTTACTATCCTTCTAGGGTAAGAATCACCGTGTACCAAAAGGTTCCTGTGGTGCCTACGAATAGAAAAAGGTGAATAATTGGGTCATCTGGATCCAAACCGAAATTTCTCTCCAAACCTCCAATGGCAACAGATACCTGTTCATCATGATACTGTTAGAAACATGTAGTCCATCAAGAATTATTTTTCTTTTACGAAAATATGAATGAACCTTCAGTATATAAGACAAAGCACCTGCTGCAACACAGCTCCCACGGGACTCAATACTTTTAGAGCAACATCTTCTGACGAATTAAGGGCACTCTTAACATCTGGAGGAAGTAAATCTTTTGCTGACCCATAAGAGTACACAACAAAAGAAACTCCATTTGTTACAGAACTTTCTGCAATACTAACTGATTGCCTCAACAGATCAATGGCAATAACAGCTGCTCTGTTTGAAGCTTCCTTCAAGCCAGTAGAAAAACTTGAAAACTTGTCTCCAGCTATATCTCCTGTTTGGTCGACCGCAGAAAACGCTCTGTTAAATGCACTATCTACAACTTCAGAAGCATTCTTTGTAATAGATGTCACAGACGAGGAGAAGGAATCCAAAGAGTTCTTTAGAGCATTTTCTCCTTGGTTTAGTGATGAGCTGAAGGACTCCTGGACACCAGAAGAAAAGTCATCAAAGCTAGCTTTCGCATCAGGAAGTGATCCTGGATTGAGATCCAGAGTATCCGGAAGAGAGACAGAAGTATCCTGAGATATCTCAACACTCGATTTGGTTCCCGACTCAACCGAGTCTATAAGGCTACTGGTCTTTTCGGTTAAAGTCTCAGCAGAAAGGCTTTCAATGGGGGAAACATCTGGTACAACAGCTTCAACAGGGGAAACATCTGCTACAACAGCTTCAGCAGGGAAAACATCTTCTCCATCTACATATGCCAGTCCCCCATCACCCGCTACAACAGCTTCACTCAAGTCATAAACGTTTATTCTGTCCAACTCATTCTGGCACAAACTTCTGAATGTTGATACTGGTTGCTCTACTTTTTCGATAGTACCGGTGAAGAAACTCCCAGTGGCTTGAGGTAAAAAACTCTTCTGCAGGCGTGTTCCATTAGAGATACCAAAGAAGGCATTGTCACCAGAACTGTATCTGTGAATCAACTCTCTCCTGAAGGAAGAACAGCCTCGCCAATTGCCAGGAAATAAAATCTGCAGAAACAATTCCGTTATGAGGTACTTGTCTGTCTATGGAAATGAATCCAAAACCTATATAACAAGCACGCCCTAACAAACCATATCATCCAGAGCTCAAATTAATCAATTTTCTACCAATTAGCTTATTTGCTTCCACTTCTATAAAGAAAAACCTCACCTGAGAATGGTAATGGCAGCTTGCGGCTGAGCACAGGGGAAACATTTTGGTCTCGACAAATTTAATCAGTCCTGGATACTTGTAAGCAATATCATAGCTTTTACCACATACCGGAAAAGGAACAAAAACATCAATTTCAGAGGCAAAAAATGACAATCCAGTCAATCTGAGCCAGAATTAAGAACGTCCCAATGAGAACAAAACAAAAATCACAGACCAAGAAGATACAGACAAGTAAACTCCAGCAGCAGCAGATTCACAATAATGGGTTTCGTCTGAAACCTGCAACAAGAAAGACCCATTCTCCAATTATTCAGTCTGAGCATGTTTGGGAACCTTAAACAGCAGAAGAAGCTCAAAGAGAGATTAAATGCAGTAAAAATTGAACCTTTGAGGGTCAAGGTCGATGATGATGGAGTTTCATGAGAAGAGTGGACTGAGCTTGATGAAAAGATGTTAATGTCGATTGTACTGAAAAAAAGATAGAGGCGCGTGGATTCGATAGAGATTGTGTCGCAATTTGGATTGGGTGGAGGAAGATAAGCAAAGCGAATCGTGTGGCTTGTCCAAAGCCGTTAATTCATCATCTCTCTATTTGTTTTGTCTTTTCTTTTGATTGGGTCAATTCGTAACATTTTAAAACTAATGGGGGCGATTTCAAAGTTATCAATAATATCTTCTCTTTTTCATAAATGAGTTAAACAGTTTCACACGTGTCGTACTATGATTGTTTTTGTACCGTGGACTGAGTAATAGCAGATTTGCTCTTCATCTTCGTTTGTTCGTCTATGACTTGGTGAATTTTGCATCTGATCATCTCTGCAACTTCAAGGTGAGTTCCTTCTCTTATGACTTATGATGATTCGATTCGGGTTCTCTGAAGAATTCAGCTTTCTGCTTTCTCGGAATATGAATCATTGATTTGCTTTAATTTGCTATTCTCGGAACAAGTCTCAGATCTCTGGTACTCAGAATTATTTTTTTACTTTTATCGGAATTTGTGAGAAATTTCTTAGCTTTTGGCTCAGTTATATATATATATATTTTTAGGAAGATGATCTCTCTGTTTTGATTTATTTGGCGTTGATGAATAAATAAGTATAGAAATAGATAGAACTAACAATGCTGCATTTTGGATTCCATTGCTTTTTATATCTCTGGATGTCAAATGATGGAAGTTCTTAATTTCATTGGCTTTTGCTAGATTGTTGGTTCCATATTGATATCTTGGTCCGTGAAGCTGTCAAAAAGTGCACCTGGTCTGCTTGGTCCTGAGTTCAGATGGATCTGCATCCACCAGGTGAGTTTCTTTTTGAAGATGTCTTTTTTTCACTCTTGGTGTTTTTCATCATTTGGTTGGTTAATTTTGTTATCTTCTTCGTGTAGGTGGTTCAAAAAAGACATCTATAGTTGTTGTCACCTTAAACTCTGGTGAAGTCTATGTCATTGCAAGTTTGTTATCTAAGGCTGACACTCAAGTTATCTATATCGATCCTACGACTGGTATCCTGCGGTACAATGGGAAGCCTGGTCTTGATAATTTTAAGTCAGAGCGTGAAGCCTTAGATTATATCACGAATGGATCAAGAGGAGGTGTTAGAAACTCAGTTTATGGCAGGGCAATACTCGGCTATGCTGCATTGGGGAGCTTTGGGATGCTTTTAGTTGCCACCAGGCTAAATCCAAGTATTCCAGATTTGCCTGGTGGTGGATGTGTTTATACAGTGACTGAGAGTCAATGGGTCAAATACCACTTCACAATCCACAGCCTCAAGGGAAAGGTGAAACCAAGAATATTCAGGAGTTGACAGAGCTTGACATCGACGGGAAGCACTACTTCTGTGATACTAGAGACATCACTCGGCCCTTCCCAAGCCGTATGCCACTGCAAAGCCCTGATGATGAATTTGTTTGGAATAGATGGTTATCCGTGCCTTTCAAGAATATTGGGCTGCCTGAACACTGTGTCATTCTTCTGCAGGTTCGTCCTCCATTAATGAATTGATGAAGGTTGATCTACCTATCCGATTTCGGTTTTATGTTTCAAAAGCATATAAATTGATATGACATCATATCATGTCTTCTTATTTGATGTTAATTATATAGGGGTTTGCAGAATATCGACCTTTTGGGAGCTCAGGTCAGTTAGAAGGGATTGTTGCTCTAATGGCCCGTCGTAGCAGACTGCATCCAGGGACTCGTTACCTAGCTAGGGGCATTAATTCATGTTCTGGCACAGGTGACATGCCCCCCCCCCCCCCCCCCCCCCCCCCCAAAATGCTCCTCTCTCTTTATTTCTTTGTTGTTCCCTTAGAAAGTGTGGCTCTGGATTTGACTAGGGCCTAAGTTTAGAAGTATATGTGTAGTGCAGGTAACGAAGTTGAGTGTGAGCAGCTTGTATGGATACCTAAAAGGCATGGTCAAAGCATTGCTTTCAACTCGTACATTTGGCGACGTGGCACCATACCAATTTGGTGGGGTGCAGAATTGAAGATGACTGCGGCAGAAGCAGAAATTTATGTGGCAGATAGGGATCCTTATAAAGGCAGTACGGATTATTACCAAAGATTAAGCAAGCGATATGATACTAGGAATCTAGATGCACCAGTTGGAGAAAACCAGAAGAAAAAGGCTTTTGTTCCTATTGTGTGCGTTAATTTGCTAAGAAGTGGAGAAGGGAAATCAGAATGTATCTTAGTACAACATTTTGAAGAATCGATGAACTTTATCAGATCCAGTGGAAAGCTTCCTCATACCCGTGTTCACCTAATAAATTATGATTGGCATGCCAGCGTGAAACTAAAGGGGGAACAGCAAACTATTGAAGGATTGTGGATGTATCTAAAATCTCCCACTATGGCAATAGGAATTTCTGAAGGTGACTATTTGCCTTCACGTCAAAGACTGAAAGATTGCAGAGGTGAGGTAATCTGTATTGATGACATTGAAGGTGCCTTCTGTTTGAGATCACATCAAAATGGGGTGATACGCTTTAACTGCGCTGATTCTTTGGACCGAACAAATGCGGCTAGTTTCTTTGGTGGTCTTCAAGTGTTTGTGGAGCAATGTAGAAGGCTAGGAATATCGCTTGATACTGATCTTGGATATGGTTATAATTCTGTTAATAATCATGGGGGATATAATGCTCCCCTTCCACCAGGGTGGGAAAAAAGAGCTGATGCAGTAACTGGAAAATCGTATTATATAGATCACAATACAAAGACAACAACATGGAGTCATCCATGTCCTGATAAACCATGGAAGAGACTTGACATGAAGTTTGAGGAATTTAAGAGATCAACTATCTTATCTCCTGTGTCTGAACTTGCTGATCTTTTTCTGCAACAAGGTGATATCCATGCAACCCTCTATACTGGCTCGAAAGCTATGCACAGCCAAATTCTCAACATCTTCAGCGAAGAATCAGGAGCATTTAAACAGTTTTCCGCAGCACAGAAAAACATGAAAATTACGCTACAGAGAAGATATAAAAATGCTATGGTTGATAGTTCACGGCAAAAGCAGCTGGAGATGTTTCTGGGAATGAGGCTTTTCAAGCATCTTCCATCAATTCCTGTCCAGCCTTTACATGTAAGCACATTGGCACGATTTCAGTAAACTTCTTCCAAGCTCACTGCTCACCTTTTTTCAATCACGTTTTTTGCGCGTAGGTAGATTTTGTTTCTTATTGGACCAGTACTCTTTGTTTTTGTTTTTTTGTGTGTGTAGATATATGATTCCTTAGAGCATAACATATTCGTTGATGTGTAGACTCTACTATTTGTTGCTTTCTATATTCTCTGTCTACTTCTCACTGCAAAAATATTCATGTCAGGTACTTTCTCGACCATCTGGTTTCTTTCTGAAACCTGTACCTAACATGTCCGAAAGTTCCAATGATGGGTCCAGTCTGCTGAGTATTAAGAGGAAGGACATAACTTGGGTACCTCCACTTAGATATAACATTACCTCTTAGTTCTCATTTACTTGAAGACTTGAGCTAAATAATTTCATGCTTTTATTTATTTTGCAGCTATGTCCACAAGCTGCAGATATTGTTGAATTATTTATCTATCTCAGTGAGCCTTGCCATGTATGTCAACTTCTACTGACCATATCACACGGTGCGGATGATTTGACATGTCCATCCACTGTGGACGTGAGAACTGGACGCCACATAGAGGACCTTAAATTAGTTGTTGAGGTTGGCTCTCTTTTAGGTCTTGTCCCTTCTGTTTTATTGTTTGTAGGAGATCTGTAGACTTACATGCAAGTTAGTTCAACTGGATTACCGATTGCCTGTAATTATGTTTTCTGGACAGGGTGCTTCAATACCACGCTGTGCAAATGGTACAAATCTTCTGATACCCTTACCAGGGCCAATTAGTTCTGAGGATATGGCTGTTACTGGAGCTGGTGCACGTCTTCATGAAAAAGATACGTCAAGTCTTTCACTGCTATATGATTATGAAGAACTAGAAGGACAGTTGGATTTTTTAACCCGTGTAGTTGCTGTTACATTTTATCCAGCTGGTGCTGTTAGAATTCCTATGACTCTTGGTCAGGTACTTACTAGTTTCCAAACCATGAATTGATGATTTATCTATTAGCTTCATCATACTCTGAACTCTAACAAGTTTATGATTAGCCATCATCAAAAGAAGAAAAACCAAACACTTTTTCTGCATTGTGTTTGTGCTGCAGATAGAAGTCCTTGGAATTTCTCTTCCATGGAAACGAATGTTTACTTGTGAACGTACTGGAGGAAGATTAGCTGAACTTGCAAGGAAACCAGATGAAGATGAGAGTCCTTTTTCATCTTGTTCTGACTTGAATCCGTTTGCTGCAACATCTTTACAGACTGAAACTGTTTCCACACCAGTACAACAGAAGGATCCCTTTCCCGGTAATCTGCTTGACCTTTTGACAGGAGAGGACTCTTCTTCTGACCCCTTCCCACAACCAGTGGTGGAATGTGTTGCAAGTGGAGGAAATGACATGCTTGATTTCTTAGACCAAGCAGTTGTTGAATATCGCGGCTCTGACTCTGTTCCTGGCGAGTCTGTCCCACAAGACAAAAGGCCCAAGGACAGTGGTGCTCATCTGTACTTAAATTGTCTAAAATCCCTTGCGGGTCCAAACATGGTATGCTACTTCATCCCTATTAAATTTAACTTGGAGGGAGAAAATTGTTATCTGGAGATGCAATTACGTCTTGCCACAAACTATAGTTCTGACTGTATGAATTTTTCCTTGGTTTAGCTATTCTTCTCAAATGTTATCTTTCTTCGTTAAGTTCCATTTTTAATGGTAAAGTTAATTCCTGCATGTCTGGCAAAACACAGGGAAAGAGGCTTGAGTTTGTAGAAGCTATGAAGCTTGAAATTGAACGTCTACGTCTCAATATTTCTGCAGCAGAAAGAGATAGGGCACTGTTATCGGTTGGAATTGATCCAGCTACCATTAATCCAAACTCTTCATACGACGAGTCATATATTGGAAGATTATGCAGAATAGCAAATGCACTTGCAGTCATGGGCCAGGCTTCTCTTGAAGATAAAATTATAGCTTCTATTGGTCTAGGGAAGCTGGAAAATAATGTGATAGATTTCTGGAACATAACCGGAATTGGTGAGGGTTGTGATGGCGGAATGTGTCAAGTCAGAGCCGAGGTCAATAAAAGTCTAGTTGGATCTTCTACCAAGAGTTCAGGACGAGAGTCGGGCTCAGTGTTCATGTGTTTCCAATGTATGAAAAAAGCTTGCAAGTTTTGTTGTGCTGGAAAAGGAGCTCTTCTGCTTTCAAAGTCTTACTCCAGGGACACTGCGAATGGAGGTGGAAGTCTTGCAGATGTCTCTGCTACTTCGATAGGTTCACATCATTACATTTGTAAAAAATGCTGCAGCTCAATAGTGCTTGAAGCCTTGATTGTAGATTATGTAAGGGTCATGGTCAGCTTGCGAAGAAGTGGTCGTGTTGATAATGCTGGTCGGGAAGCTTTGAATGAGGTATTTGGATCTAACATTACAAATCATCTTGCTGTTAGAGGTCAACCTTCTCCTAATGGAGAAGACTTCAATTTCCTTCATCAAATTTTGGGTCAAGAGGAGTCACTTGCTGAGTTCCCATATGCAAGCTTCTTACATAAGGTAATTTGCTTCTTATATGTTTTAAAATTACTATGATCACTTCATTATATTTGGAAAGAGCTGTTATATGATACCTAATCCTCATTTCTCTCTTTTGGATGTTTGCATAATGGGATTTAGGTCGAAACTGGGACTGATTCAGCACCATTTTTCTCATTGCTCACCCCTCTGAATCTTGCTTCAAATAATGCCTACTGGAAAGCTCCTCCGTCTGCAAACTCTGTTGAAGCCGTCATTGTTCTCAACAGCCTTTCAGATGTCAGCAGTGTGATTCTACTCGTTAGTCCATGTGGTTACTCTGATGCTGATGCTCCTACCGTAAGTTTGACTTTTCTACCTTCAGTTGAATTCTTGTTAACCCATGCCATCACTTACGTGAAAATGCTGCCACAATAATTGAATGATTGCACCAATTTCAACATTTTATGTATCTTCATTGCAGGTCCAAGTTTGGGCCAGCAGCGACATAAATAAAGAAGCACGGACTTTGATGGGAAAGTGGGATGTACAGTCCTTTATTAGATCTTCGCCTGAGCTGTATGGTCAAGAAAAGTCTGGTAGAGCACCTAGGCATATAAAATTTGCTTTCAAGAATCCTGTTCGCTGCCGCATTATATGGATAACACTGCGTCTTCCTCGGCTTGGATCCAGCTCAGTTAGTTTGGACAAAAACATTAATCTCTTATCTTTGGATGAGAACCCATTTGCTCCAATTCCTCGGCGTGCCTCTTTTGGAGCAACCATTGAGAATGATCCATGTCTTCATGCAAAACGCATCTTGGTCACTGGAAACACTGTGAGGGATAAAACACTACAAAGTGTTGAGAGCATGAGCGTAAGAAACTGGCTGGACAGAGCCCCACGTTTGAATAGATTCCTGGTTAGTGCCTTAGAGAACTGCTTGTTCTTTCACCTTTTTCTGTGGTATTTCTATTATTGTCACTAATCTTTGTTTTTTTCACCTTCCAGATACCACTAGAGGTTGAGAGACCAATGGAGAATGATCTAGTCTTGGAACTTTATCTGCAACCTGCTTCACCTTTAGCTGCTGGATTCCGTTTAGATGCTTTTAGTGCGATAAAGCCTCGTGTGACCCACTCGCCTTCTTCAGATGTAGTTGACATTTGGGATCCGACGAGTATCATAATGGAAGATAGACACGTCTCTCCGGCCGTCTTGTATATACAAGTATCTGTTCTTCAGGTATCTATCTCTCCTCCTCCTGCCGGTTAATTATATCCTCAGAAACCAAAATCTTGTAATAAGTTTTTCATGTTGATCTGAAAAATGTTTTTCTGCAGGAGCAATACAAAATGGTGACAATTGCGGAATACAGATTGCCTGAGGCGAGAGATGGAACAAAGATGTATTTTGACTTCCCTAAACAGATTCAAGCACAGAGAGTTTCGTTTAAGCTGCTAGGAGATGTAGCAGCTTTTGTAGATGATCCCGCAGAGGCTGATGATTTGAGCGGTCGGGCATCTCCATTTGCTGCAGGACTGTCTTTAGCAAACAGGATCAAGCTATATTACTATGCGGATCCTACGAAGTAGGCAAATGGGCTAGCCTTTCAAGTGTCTGATTTTACACTCTCACTGGCCGTAGCTTGGTTCGATCCACACACTTTCTCGTTCGTGGTCAGAGATTTTGTTTCCATTCTTTTTTTCCTTTCCTCTAAAAATTAGTTTGTTTGGTGTTGGAAGTATTAATCACCGTATAATTTGTATTTGCCCCGCAAAGATTAAAAAGAAATTGTTATACTAGATGGAGTGATTTTGATGTTCTTAACATTTTTTGTGTACGTAAAGTTGTTAATTACCACAACTTTTGTAGCGATCATTTCCCCTCTTCGGCTTTTAAAATCCCGTGATGAGACAATCTCCTTATTAATAAAGCCAAAACCAAACCATGTCAAATTCACGAACAAGAGTTTTTAACTGTCTTCATCTTTAGCTTTAACTTTACTTCCACAACAAACGCTTCTATGTCCTTCAACCACAGATTTCTTCCCAAAACACACTATATTCTCTGCAATCTCCAACCTTCTCTCCATAAACTCTTATTTCTCCTTTCACACCTCTCCATTACTATAAATCTCCTTCCAATTCAGGACAGTGCCTTTAAAAGCTCATCGATCGAGAACTTGTTATAGCATCTAAAGCATCAACACAGAAAACAGAAGAAATCGCTATGAACACGCTCGTTTCTCCAACCGCAACGGATCTAAGATGATAGATTAATAACAAAAAAAAAAAAAAAAAAGTTGACCAGAAGGATTCTTGCGACACTTGGGAGGTAGGAAGGGACAATTCCATACATTTACACTAAAATAATTTTCAAAAATTTAATATTTAAGAACTACATGTTAAGAGCCTACCATTAATCACACAAAAATCTTAACTCAAAAATACTATCTCTTAACAATCCCTTTTACAAATAAATTACTTAAATATTGCTAAGAGGTATTTCTAAAAGCCTACCTATAATCATGCTCTAAGAACACATTCTCCTCCACGTTCACTTCTGGTCAGTGTGGTCACTTCACTTGGTTGGTGATTGGTGATTTAAAAAAAAAAAAAACATGTTAATTTCTTTTGTATAAAATATAAAAATGAACCTTAGTATAAAGTTGAAAGCTTGGTCTAAAAATGGACTGTATCTGAAAATTCAATCGACGTCGTTTTCCCAGAAATAAAGAAGAAAAAGTAGGATCATGGCGATGATCATGGCTTCAAGGTTTAACCGCGAAGCTAAGCTCGCATCTCAAATCTTGTCTACACTTTTGGGAAAGCGAAGCTGCAACACATCCATGGCCGCTGCATCTTCCTCTGCTTTGCTCCTTAATCCGTTGACTTCTTCTTCTTCTTCTAGTCTCCGTCGTTTCAGATGCTCGCCGGAGATCTCTTCTCTCTCATTCTCCTCCGCTCGTGTAACAGCTTCAGATTTCTCTCTAGCGATGAAGAGGCAGAGTCGGAGTTTTGCGGATGGCTCGGAACGAGATCCGTCTGTTGTGTGTGAGGCTGTTAAGCGCGAGACTGGAGCTGATGGACTCAAGATCGCTGATAATGTGTCTCAGGTTAGATGGGTTCTTCTTCCTAGAATTCAAATTAATGGAATCTATAAAGAGGAAAGCTAAATTGGTGATCAAATTTTTTAGCTTTCCTATAATGGGAATGTCGCAAAAGTTTGATTGTCCACTAAAATTTGAAACTTTGATTAGCTGAAAATGTGTAATTTTTCATTTACGCATTTCAGAAGCTTTTCTCATCGATGTGGCATGTTACGTACATGAGTTTAATCGATTGCTTTTGTTATTTTTTATTGCGTGGGAGCTCAAATGGTTCAGAATTCACTACTTACATTTCTTGCATATGTCCTTGATTCAGCTCATTGGGAAAACTCCTATGGTGTACTTGAATAGTATAGCAAAGGGTTGTGTAGCTAATATTGCTGCCAAACTCGAGATCATGGAGCCATGTTGCAGTGTCAAGGATAGGTTTGTATCCTGACTCTTGTATGGCTTGTTTGTATGTTTTTAGTTGAATCCTTCAAGTCTTAACTTTTATGTTTCACGAATTTCAGGATTGGGTACAGTATGGTTACAGATGCTGAGCAAAAAGGACTTATCTCACCTGGGAAGGTATCAATTATAGATTATCTTTCTTTTGTAGAGACTTAATGGATGAGGCCAGCTTAGACATAGAAGTTGTATAGTCTAGTCTGTTATTCTTGCTGGTTAATCCTGCATAAATGTGTCAGCTCTGTAACTTCATGTCCTTACTGCACTTATCTAGAGTGTTCTTGTGGAACCTACTAGTGGAAACACGGGTATTGGCCTAGCATTCATCGCTGCTTCAAGAGGCTATAGACTTATCTTGACAATGCCATCATCCATGAGTATGGAAAGAAGGGTTCTTTTAAAGGCATTTGGAGCTGAGCTTGTATTAACAGATCCCACTAAAGGCATGACTGGCGCAGTTCAGAAGGCTGAAGAAATTTTGAAAAACACTCCTGATGCCTACATGCTCCAACAGTTTGACAACCCTGCGAATCCAAAGGTTTGTGGTTTATATTTTTCCTTATTTCTGTCATGAGTTGGTTTTTGCTCTAGTCATGTACCATAAGAAGAGAAGTGAAAAGTTAAGTTAGAGATAATCAGAAACTCACAGGCATTTAGAGAATGCCCACAAGTGTGTAACTGAAGTGGTTTTCACTTAAATTTTACAAGCAAAGAGGCGAGTGGCTGATCCTTTTAAGATAGGTTCAACCTAGTTGCAAAATTTTTATTGGCATGATCTTCTGCGAGGTTCTCTTTTCACGTTTGTAAATTGCAAATTTAAATATACGCAGATTCATTATGAGACTACTGGTCCTGAGATCTGGGAAGATACAAAGGGCAAGGTGGATATATTTGTTGCAGGAATTGGAACTGGTGGAACTATCACTGGTGTTGGTCGATTTATTAAAGAGAAAAATCCCAAAACGCAGGTAAATGCAAAAGTAAAAAGGGTTCAATCTTAGCTGGAGTACATTTTCAGGTGTTATTTAGACAGCAGTGTATGTTCGTTGAAGCAGTATAATTCGTACTTAATTATTTGATGTTTACATGTACTAGGTTATTGGTGTAGAACCCACCGAAAGCGATATACTTTCTGGTGGCAAACCGGGTAAGGCTTGCCAATAGATATCAATTAGTAATTTTGTTTCCGTGTTTTCGAACTATGATTTAATATTCACTTATTTTCTGTCTCTTATATTTTATACAGGACCTCACAAGATTCAAGGAATTGGAGCTGGATTTATACCTAAGAATTTGGATCAGAAAATTATGGATGAAGTCATAGCGGTATGATTTATTTTGTTGGATTCTGTATGGTTATACAATTTATCTGGTTTCCACAAGAAATCCACAATTCTTTTGTCAATTTATTGCTTAAATGTTCCAGTTCCTGAGACTCAAACTTCATCTATTGTTCTTGTTGGCATGTTAATTACCATCTTCTTTTTGCGTTTACCAGATTTCAAGTGAGGAAGCTATAGAAACCGCAAAGCAACTAGCTCTTAAGGAAGGCTTGATGGTCAGTTGTTTGTAGTATTTATGATTTCTGAGTGGGAACCACACGTATGTCGTGGTGTCATGTTGCATGTGAAAGGTGGAAATTACACAAGATTTATAAAGGTAATAATTTTGGCAGGTTGGTATATCATCTGGAGCTGCAGCTGCTGCTGCAATCAGGGTCGCGAAGAGACCTGAGAATGCTGGAAAACTCATAGCTGTAAGTCTTTTCGGTTTCAGTTATGTGTTATGTCTCGAAAACAAAAAGGTGATGCAGGGGTCTTTGTGCATCAAATCTCTGGATTGCTTTAGAAAAACATCATAAGATAGATTTGAGAATTATTAAAGTCTCCAATACTAAACCGAAGAATCAACAATAAAGTCACTTGGCTAGTTAGCTTTTTACATCTTCTGTGTAGAAAGATCATCTAAGTAGGTAGCGAAGAGATTGATTGTGTAATTAAATCTCGACTGTTAATGAATCTATGAATTCGGTTTTTCAGGTTGTTTTCCCGAGCTTCGGGGAGCGATATCTATCAACCCCGCTGTTCCAGTCTATCCGGGAAGAGGTGGAGAAAATGCAGCCTGAGGTATGAACATTAGCAAGTTGGTCTACTTCTGCAAATCTCTTTCTTCCATAATTACAGTCTGAGTGCTAAGCAATATATTTTCATCAATAAGGCATTAGTGAAAGTGGTTTGAGTTCTATTTTGGATATCCATCATTAGTCTATGTTTTACTCAACATTTCTGTCGGAAATCCCCAAAGGTTAATTATATACAATTGGACTAGATGAATGATCCCTATTTATTTCTCTTGTTAACCTAAAACTTGTTGTCTTTGATATATAATGATCAAACGATGACAGAGTAGTGACATACAACTTTACTTTTTTCTTGTAGACGAATATAAAATTTGTCAGAATCTTCATTAAAACATGTCAAAAACTTTGTGGTCAAAACTTTGGATGTGAAACTTTGTTCGATTATTGCTTTTAAACTTTTTGATGTTTTTCTGTTTTCACACAGTTTTTATCATTTAAGATCGTAGAAAAGTTTTGAAACTTTGATCCATAATTTTTCTTATGGTCAGAAAGTCGGTGGTTTATACCAATCCCACCATAATTGCTTTGAATAATTTTTAATATAGGAAAAAACACGAGAACGTTCGTTCCCATTCTTCTTTACCCTACTTTTGCAGTTTGGAATTCTTTTATGCTCTTACTTAACTCTCATTGAGATGCTAAATATCGCATAAGATCAAAATCTTCCCACAAGTAGAAAAAAAAAAAAAAAAAAAATCCTAATACGGCTCGTGATTCGTGAACTCAAAGTCTTGCATATAGTTCGTGTTCTGTTCTTTACTCTGTCTTCATCTACTTACAACTCCAATGGCAACTGGACCGATCTGCAACTAACAACTCCATTGGTGACACCAATTTAACGAACACCAAGAATCATTCTGATACGAGCCAAAGATTTGTCTTTTATCTCGTAACCGTTACGTTTGTTAGCGTGAGAAATAAGAAAGAGATTTAAGCTAAGCTTCCTTTTACGTAAGGTTTATTCTTGGAAGTTGATTCCTTATTTAATCAATAGAGACCCTTATATAGGTCTTCATACAACTTAATCATAACCCTAATGCATAAAAGAAAACACTTTTAACATAAAAAGGAAAATATGAAAACCAAATTCATAAAGTAAAACACCAATAATTAATTAGAACGTCCTAACCGTGGCCTAATCAACCTAACCATAGTCTCATATCACATTCCTCCGGTTTAACTTTCAACAACAAATCCATTTCCATCAAGAATTCGTCTTTCTGCTTCCATTTCCTCTTTGGAATAGTCCCTGAGCAAAAACAGTCTGGTTCACCCGGCATGTCTTCCGGCATCTCTCCTACGGTAGGCCTTTCAGGAGCTTCCTCAGATCAGTACCTCGGATTATTCAATGAAACAAGCAACGGTAAAACATGAAATCACGTGATAGCTATCGAGTTAGATATACAAAAAAGACGAAGAGTTTGGAGATATTGATGATAATCATGTTGGGATTAACATTAATGGTTTGGCATCTGTTGTCTCTGCTTCTGCTGGTTACTATGATGATAAAGGTGGAAATTTTAACAAACTTTCCTTGATCAGCACAAAGGTAATGAGGCTTTCGATACTTTATAGTCAACCTTGATCAGCACAAACTGTCTTTGAATCGAGATCTCTCCCCGTATTTTTTGGAGGAGATGTATTATGGCTACACAGCATCGACAAGATCGGCTTCGTCTTTTATTGGAGGCACAAGAAGGTTAAAGAGGTTCTTGAAGAATGGGAGATTCAATATGGACCTCATAGGTTTGCTTATAAGGAACTTTTACATGCCACAATGGGTTTCAAGGAGAAACAACTTCTTGGGAGAAAAGGATTTGGTCAAGTCTATAAAGGAACGCTTCCGGGTTCCGCTGCAGAGATCGCTGTGAAACGAACTTCTCATGATTCAAGACAAGGGATGAGCGAGTTTCTAGCCAATTTTCCGACCATTGGTCGTCTCAGACATCCAAATCTAGTCAGGCTTTTGGGATATTGTAAGCATAAAGCGAAACTCTACTTGGTTTATGACTTTATGCCCAATGTAAGCCTTGAAAAGTATCTAAACCATAAAAGAAGTTAGTTTTGATGAATATATATATATATATACACAATCTATCGAGAGCTTCTGTATCGTCTATTTGGGCCCTGTTCGTTTCTCCATTCAGATGGATCATCTGGATGGAGATGAAAAATGATGTTCGTTTTTTACAATTTAACAGATCATTTGGATGAATTAGTTGGATGGATCATCTGAATGAGTTTGTAATTTTAGGCAAATTTGTCAAACTCATCTGGATGAACATGATTGGAGCATTTGGATGGAGATGATTCAGTCAAATATAACAAATGACAAATATACCCTCATTTATAATCATAAATGAAATAATGTTTATTTTCCATAGATTTTTCATTTTATATTCTAAAAATTACATATTTGCACCAAATAAAATCTCTAAAAATCGTGAAATCAATGATTATCATTTTCCGTCAAAATCATAAAATCGCGGATTTGTGTTTTTTCCCGCCAAAAAGTGAAATCGTGATTTTTGATAGAAAATTATGGAATTCATCAAAACCGCAAAATCATATTTTTCGTCAAAACCGTAAACTTAATTTATATGTTAAAATAATAATTTAACAGTTATTTAGATGAAAATATATTTTAGAGCAATAATTAAATTAATATAGCTTAGATTAAGATTTAAAATATGAATAAATTAAAATATGGGTATTTTAGTCATTTTCTTGTTAAAGTCATCTAGATGGAGATAAAGATTTGTAAAAATTAAACAAACAAACAAAAATTCATTCAAATGTTCCATCCAAATGAACATCCAAAAATTGAAACGAACAACATTCAGATGGAGCATTTGGATGGAACATTTAAATGGACTATTTGGATGGAGATGGTAGATGATGAAACGAACGGACCCTTGATAAATCGGGTTTCTGTATCTTTGAATCAGGAACGCCTTTCAGTTCATCCTCAAGTTCTCGTTTCTTAAATTTATAGGACTTTACTTTTTAGGGTTCTATTAGAGGATTTTTTTTCTTCTTCTTGAAATTGATTCACGATTTGATCTAGGCCATCTGCGTAATTACTAATTACTAAATAATGTACATATGTGTTTTTTTTTTTTAAAGTTTGCTTACTTATGCCTTTTAAGTTTTATCTAATAATTAAGCTACAACGCATTGGTGGAACAATAAGAAGAGATTCAAAAGAACAATTAACAAATTAAAGAGTAATGTTTTGTAAAAAAAAAAAAAAAAAATTAAAGGACAAAAAGCAAATAGGATGTCATAGATCTCATAACCAATATAGCAAAAATTCAGTTGCAGTATTAAACTGAATTTACATAATTTTACCGGGGTCCTGTAACCACCCCTAACATGGGTCCGCTTCTGACAATCCCACAATAAGTGCTATTAATTAATTTAAGAATGATCAGAAGATTCATTGTTTATTGTGTTGCTGTTTGATCTAGGCCATGTGCTTAATTAAATACAAACTACAGTAAAACCTTTATAAATTAATAATGTTGGGACCATGATATTTTATTAATTTATAGTGATATTAATTTATCTATTAATTTATAGCGTAAATTAATATTTATTAATTTATAGAAAGTTTTGTTTCAATGTGAAAAGTTTTTTAAAAAAATACGAGCTAAATCAATGTGCTCTAAATAAAATTAATGTTTTGGATGTTATAAATTTTATAGTTTTAGCCTTAAACACTTAATATTTCGAAAAAAAAATAATTTATTTTGACAATGAATAACAACGATTATAGAATTCACATATACAAACGATATACATAAATTAAAATTCACAAATAGTGACATCCATTGTTGTATTTTAAAAATCTATACGACTACTAAAACAAAAATTATGCATATTCAAAATTTGAAAACTTACAAAAAATTTTAGCTATTTTTATGAAAAACACTAAAACTATTATATATATATATATATATATATATATATGTGCATATTTACATGAATATTAATTTATGATATTATTGGGACTATATTTTTACATAGAGATTTCAAAAAATTTATTATCTTATCGAATTTGATTAATTTTTATACTGGCCCGACTCGGGACCGGCCAAATTTATTAATTTATCGTGTTTATTAATTTATCGAGTATTAATTTATAGAGGTTCTACTGTACATATGTTTGTTTATTAATAACGACGAATATCACCCGAACATTCGTTCACATTATATTGTCTTGACCATACAGTTACGTTTCACTTATTTTTATGTTCTTACTTCTTCCTTAATTTCTTATGATCAATATCACATTACGATCATTACCTTCCCATAATTAGCCCAAACAAAAAACGAACAAGAACATGTCTAGTGAACTCAAAGTCTCACAAAGAGTTCTTGTTCTGTTGCTTACTCTGTTTTCATTTACTTACAACTCTCATGGCAAATATATCCTGGACGGATCTGCAGTTTTCAACGTAAACAGTTACTTGGTTTTAACCAACACCACCAAGCATTCTTACGGTCAAGCTTTCAACAACGAATCAGTTCACATAAATGAAATTACTATATGTGTGCTAGATCTATACGTTTGTATGATGAGAGAGTGTAACGAGTTCGTATGTGCATAAAGTAAATGAGACACAAGAGATTTGTTAACGGGGTTCGGTTAACCTACATCCCCGGGACCAAGTCCAGAAACCATTCACTAGAAAAGGCCGCAACCTACAATTGCTATATGGTATCCACCACTCTTTTCTAGAATTACAATGAAAGAAAACTACTACTCCTATTGTCTTTTCCGACGAGTATAGCTTCTCAACAAAACCATCAAAAGATCTCTCTATCTTGTTGATGGGGCAACGTCACACACACATGTGTGCCTTTCTCGATAAACCCTAGACGCGCGCGTCTTCATGTTGCCGTCTCTTGGTATTTATATCAAGTGCCAAAAACCCTAGACGACTTAAGCCACACTTCAAGTCTCTACAAGCAATTGGGCTTAACTTGAACAATGGCCCACGACCCACGTGGCCTTCTTTGCTTTCACGCTAGAAAGACTCAATCTCGATCTTGTTCCAACAGCTTCAATAGTGTTCCGACAATATCTGCACTTTCAATCTCTCCCTTCTTAACTGAGTTTTATAACTCAAGCTCACCGTTTCAAGCACGCATACTCATCAATAATCATGATGTAAAAGCTCTCCCTTAATCATATATCATCTTGCTACTATTCTGTTCAAGAACTATCTCAATCTCCCCCTGCTTGGTTGATAAAACTCTGTTAAAACACTAAGTGCAGAATCAGCTTAATCATACCTATTGGAGCATACTCCGCAATCAGAATTGCCTTCCCTTTTGAGCTCTACAATGATTTTCCTCCTCCTGAGCCTGATTGCACAAGAACCTCAAAATCAAGAAATCCCACGAAGATATCCATTGACAACCAAAGTCAACACCCATTAAGTCTTTACGTCTTCGTCAACAGATGGGCCAGAATAAAAATCCCACGAAGATATCCATTCTCAAGCCAAACATGCAATGGTCGTTAATCAAATCGTTCATATGAGCAGCTACACGGCGGATGACACTCCCCCTACACCATTGCATCACATTCTCCCCCTGAGTTTTACAGCTCAATCGTACATAACCAGCATCCTCCAGTATCTCCCCCTGATTGAGTTGATAAAACTCTGTGAACATGTTCTTCTCTTGAATAGGTTCTTCCTTGCTGATACATACTGCAAATAATCTTAGTTGGCTTGATCATTATTCTCACGAAATCCTTATACCAATCCTGACCAGAGAATCAGATCCTTCACCAAAACTCACAACCGAAATTTGTTCGCTCAAAAGCATCGACATGACTTCTAATCTGCTCCACCGAAACTGACATTGCAAGCGTTCTTCTTAAGAATTAATCCAAGAGATCTGATCATGTCACAAATTTAGACAAACTTGAACACACCTAGTCGTTGTCTCCAAATGCAGCTTGTTCTCATATTCACAACTTCACTAAGCTTCAGTTAGCTCATTCAACCATATAATTGTTATCTACAATAACTTCTCTTGTACAAATTAGGCCATCCGCAATATAACCCATCTAAAATTGAGGGTTAATACTCTCTTTGAATCATTCTCCTTGGTCAAAAGATTTGGCATGCATGCTGACAATTTCTGTCTCACTATGAATAACTATGTTATAGCACAAGAAAGTCACAAATCTACAGACCGCTTCTTGAATTACTTGCAGTAAACTTGAATCAAACGGCTTCTTATCATTGAGATTTTCAGTTTTTGAAAGTCCATCTATTTTGAACAACTCAACCTTGGTTATCTTTGCACTGCTCAAACCTTCACATACATTGCAACAACTACATGTCTCATGGACAACCGCTTTCTGAAGACAAGTCTAGAAACAGTTCTGAACTTAGACCACTTCTGTAAAACTTCCATACAATTCTTTCTTAGCACAGCAGAAAAATACGAGAAGCCTTCAAAAATTTGCATACTCGTGTAGAAGAGAAAGACGATTGATGTTGAATTCATGACCATTAATCAAAGCTGAACTTGATACCTCTTTTAAGCAGCGATGAAACCTGAGCTCTTGCGTTATAAATAGATGTCATCTTCCGACCTGTTTCTCTCTCTTTGCATCTATACCAAACTGGAAACACCTTTTCAACAAATCTCAGAAATCAACTATTTGAGTTCCTCGAGCTTAGATATATTGGAGAAGAAAACCTTCAAACTCTTTCTCAGATTAATCAAAGCACATTCACAGGCTTCCTTTTGATTTTCAAATCTTTTCAGCTTCAGCTATCTTACTTTCATCTTTGGGAGAGGTCTTTGGATCCGGCTTGGAAGAAGCAGGCATACTTTACACACAAATTTTCGAACCATATAAATAAAACCTTTTGCCTACATGCTTTATCAACACATAACTCACATGAACCAGGTTTTTCTTCTCTGAAGATCATGATGCTATGGATGTCCGGCTTTGTTGACCGTCGACATCGTACAACAAACCCATGAAACGCATTCCCTTCATTGCTTCTCTAGACTGAAACATACTACCATGTTCGACACAATTCCAAGCTTCATTTATAAAACAAAGCCTTAGAAGTCCCTGAAATAACCGATCTGAAACGCCATCATTCAACTATGTTCCCGAACTTCGAATCCTGTGCCTTTCTATCAGAAATTAACCTCTCACATCTAGAATGTCTCTGCAAAAATTCAACTCATTCCGAGTTTGTTTGGTCAATCATTTGATGTCTCCACCGGAACTGTTCAAAACTGATATTTTGAATGGACTGATTCCGGAACAGATTGGAAGCGCTTGAATAAAATGCAATTCAACCGTCAAAACTTCAATCCCACCGTTGAATCTCAAGCCCGTAATAACACAAAGCTCCCCATAAAATTTCAGCATGATCAGATTACTCTTGGATCTCCAGACCTTCTGTTGAAGATGCTATCTTGAAACAGATTTATGTAATCTTTTCCAGATCAATTAATAATCTTCTTTCCCTTTATGATGCAGTTTAGATCCTCTTCACCTTCACTCTTCCCAGACTGAAAAACCTTAACTCATATCTTCCTCAACTTGAGACACTCCACCATCAACATGTTCCGTTTGAATGTTACGAATGATTTCCCAAGACAGATCCAAAATGCTATAAACCTGCGAGCATGCAACGTTGGGAGCAATTTCCCATCAAACCACGAGGAACTAGACGACGATATTTATTTCCTTGGAAAGATCTCACTCTCAAGATTTCAGAGCATCCTTCAGAGCTAAAATCCAAGGCCTGTAGCCGAAGAAATGTAGGAAAACACCATGAGACGAAACCTGTCTTTGAAACCTGAAACCTTCTTTATCATTCTTCCTCTGAGTTACTTTTCTCGACTTAGAGTTGCATCAAACTTCTTCTGCATCATTCTTTGATTGCTTTACAACTACCAGCGCATCGACGTTCTTTTTTTTTTTTTTTTTTCGCTTTGAACAAACACAAGAACATTAACAAGCTCTTGGAACACGTTCTTGGAACACTCTTCTCCCCCTTGTTGATTATGTGCTTCAATCAGCACAATCAACATAACTCCAAGAGTGCTTACCAAATAAAACAAAGCCTTCAAGCTCTTATAGAAGCATAATCACATGGTCGAAGCTCATGTTATGTCCCCTATATCTTCAAATCAGAAAAAGAACAACAAGAATGATACTCATATGCACATATGCCTTTAAAACATCATCAAGGGAAAATTCTGCTTCAAGATTCCAGCACGATCAAATATCAACTTGGACAATATCTCTCTCAGGCATTTCGTCGAGCACATGGTGAGCAAGACTCAAACTTCCTCCCCATTTTGCATATAAGACCAGCAGAAGTTATTTTTCAAAAACAGAAAAACCAAATCTATGAATATTGGTTCCATCTCTCAGACCATCACTGTGACTTTCCTCTTGTCAACGGTTTCACCTTCACGCTTTGACACAGTCATCATTGCTTCTCAACTTTTACGCCACATGACTCTGTTGGCATTATGAGCACGACTTCATCTTTAACCTGACAAGAAAATTTACAACTGAGCTTGCTTCTTCCTTGTCGATATCAACTCAACACACAATTCCCTCATAAAGACGTGAATCGAATTTTTGATTCTTTTTGACCGAACCATGATCTCTTGGTCCAAACGACACAATTAAAGACCATATTCCATAGGCTCCATTTTGATTCACCTTTAATTCAACACGGCAAGGACCAATAATTCCAATAATTCTTCTATGAAGCTCTTTGCTCTTGGTTTCAATGTTCCTCTCCCCCTTGTTGATTGTGTGTCTCAATAAAGCAATAAGCTTTCAAGTAAGAACACACGCATTCAACACAAATTGTTAAAACCGCATCAAAAACCCAAGATACACCAAATCAACGATAACCTCAAAGTTAGTTCCGGAACGCAACGATTCTCAAGCAGCTCAAAACATCAAAGAAACTCAAAAACCTGAAACTAAAAATCAGAACTGTGCAGAGAAAAACCATGATGCAAGAGTAATTGCCACAACATGCCACACAAGCTTGAGAAACCAATTTCCGGATTTGTCAACTTTCTCTACAACCAATCATACTGCTTTTAAAACTCGGATGGTAGACCTTTCAAAATCTGACAAACTCAATTTCTGCTCCAAAGAACCATTAAATCCAACGCCAGCCAACATGTCGATAATAGGTCAGCTCCATTATCACAACCCATAAACTTAAGCATAACAGAGACGACAAGCGTATACACCCGAAGCCAAATTTCTTTTCTGCAATCGAGAATCACCAGTACCGCTCAATACATTTATCTTCTAGTTAGTACAAAAACTGCAACAGAGAAGGCTTGCACGAGGGAGACTTTAAACAAAATCCTCAATTTTCAACCTCTTTTTTCTGATAGTCATCACAGAAGAAAAGATCCGAAATGGCCGATTAAAGAAGACCAAAAGTTTGATCTAATGCTAGCTTGTTCAAATTTGAGAAATCAGCTCAAGATATTGATCTTCCAACGATAAACTTCATGACTGCAAGACACTTCATTTCTTGAATCTTTAGAGGTCCATGTCTCATATGTACTGACATCTCAATCAAGAGCTCCAACTCAAGAGATTTTGATTTTTGCTTTTCAAATGCCCCAATTAATGCCAACAATGACCACCAAGACTTGAGAAAATTTTCATACCTAGCAATCCTATCATAGGAGAGCTTCATCACCGCTAATCTTAACTCTGGATCTTGTTTTCTCCTCCATGGTTTTAGAAGCTTTGCTTTTCTAGACCACGAGATTCTAAGTGTGACTTGAGAGATGATCTTCCTGTTCACCGTTTTTTGAATCTCCTCAATTGCATAACCAATTTATTGCAATGCCAGAAGCTTGAACTTTCCACCGATTGTTGCACGTGAGTCTAAACAGAATTTGCTCCAAGATCAAAATTTATTAATCCTCTTCTTTTCAATGTAAGTTTGTAGACAGCCTCCTGATCTCATAATCATATCAGATCATTTCATGAATTCTTCTTCTTTCAAGACCTTGAAGCTTTGATTAAATTCTGAGATGACCTCGTTTTCCTCACAGAGAAGATTCTTACACATCATCTTTAGAATGAGACCATCATTCACTGAAACACGTGATGTTGACAATGTCCGGATGTTGACCGTTGACATCGTACACCACCACTTCACTATGTAGCTCTAATAGACTTCATTTGTTCAAAGCAGAACATGATAGAAGCATGAACTACTACTAACATCATCTTTATCACGCGGATCTGCTCCATCATGTCTACCATGCCTGTATCTTTCTCTTGACCAAGATCAGAACCTCACACCATAAATCTTCGTCTCTCTTTACCCCTCAGAGACGCAGAATCAAGACGCACTCCAGATTCCGATCAGCAACTATGAGCAACCGGCGACGATTTCTTTGCCGACAACCCTCTCTAGGAACCAACGGAGCTGACAAACTTATATCTTCTTTCACTTAGATCTTCAATTTCACAAGACTAGAAGGAAAATCGAACTCTCTTTTTATTCCAATCCGTTACAAATCCAACTCAATTAAGAAGACCAGATTCACTGTGTTTCACATTCTTCCCCAAGAACACGCGTGGCATCAAACTAGAGCGAGCTGATTCAATCCCACGTTCTTCCGAAACACAAAACACGAATCATAACCCACAACAATTGATCAATTAGACACCAGAGTCAACATGAGTCGATCAATTAGGCCTCCGATTTTTTTCTTTGTCGTTTATGGGATACAGCTTCCATACCTTACACTATGTCCTCTCTCTTCAACGGTCAGTTAACTCCTTAGCTCTGTCTAACTCGAAAGCTTGAAACCCTCTCTTACACAGAAGACTCGATATACGCGCTAAGAGAGTGGGCTTTTTATGGGCCTTATCAGAGACTCTTCTTTCAATCTCCTTCTTCTCTTGAAGTTGAAGGCACGATGACCTATGGACAGGCCTATATCTCTTAAATTATAGTCCTTTTAAAGTAGGCTTCTCTTGGGTCTGATTTGATTAAATTGGGAACTGGGCCGAGCTTCTCTAACCAAACCTCAACTCAAAAAATTTCCTCTCCTCGTCAATGCTTCCGCAACACGATTCCGATCAACAACCACCGACTCCTCTAAATCTCTGCAATTTCCGTCGGTGACTTTGTCACAAAACTTGGACTCTCGAATCCATCATACCTAAGAACATGAGATTATCCCAAATCATAAACGCTTGAAGCTTGCCGTAACGTTCCCAAATTGATTCTCTTCTTAAACGTTCATGAACATGTTTCTTCTTTCTCTCTGCTAGCCACACATCCAGGACCATACCCGAAACGAGAACGGATCTCTGTCGAGAACCCGCTCTGATACCAATTGAAATTACTATATGTGTGCTAGATCTATACGTTTGTATGATGAGAGAGTGTAACGAGTTCGTATGTGCATAAAGTAAATGAGACACAAGAGATTTGTTAACGGGGTTCGGTTAACCTACATCCCCGGGACCAAGTCCAGAAACCATTCACTAGAAAAGGCCGCAACCTACAATTGCTATATGGTATCCACCACTCTTTTCTAGAATTACAATGAAAGAAAACTACTACTCCTATTGTCTTTTCCGACGAGTATAGCTTCTCAACAAAACCATCAAAAGATCTCTCTATCTTGTTGATGGGGCAACGTCACACACACATGTGTGCCTTTCTCGATAAACCCTAGACGCGCGCGTCTTCATGTTGCCGTCTCTTGGTATTTATATCAAGTGCCAAAAACCCTAGACGACTTAAGCCACACTTCAAGTCTCTACAAGCAATTGGGCTTAACTTGAACAATGGCCCACGACCCACGTGGCCTTCTTTGCTTTCACGCTAGAAAGACTCAATCTCGATCTTGTTCCAACAGCTTCAATAGTGTTCCGACAATATCTGCACTTTCAATAAAGAATCAGTCTTTCACCATTAACATCTTCTTTGCGATCGTCCCTGAGCATAAGCAGCAAGGCTCACACGGTATGGCTTTCGTTATCTCTCCTACAAGAGGCCTTCCCGGAGCTTCCTCCGATCAGTACCTCGGATTATTCAACAAAACAAACAACGGTAAAACCTCGAATCGCGTGATAGCTATTGAGTTAGATATACATAAAGACGAAGAGTTTGGAGATATTGATGATAATCATGTTGGGATTAACATTAATGGCTTGAGATCTGTTGCATCTGCTTCTGCTGGTTACTATGATGATAAAGATGGAAAATTTAACAGTCTTTCTTTAATCAGCGGAAAGTTAATGCGGCTTTCGATCGTTTATAGTCATCCGGATAAACAGCTCAATGTTACCTTATGCCCTGCTGAATTCCTTGTTCCTCCCCTGAAACCGCTTTTGTCCTTAAACCGAGATCTTTCGCTGTATGTTTTGGAAAACATGTATCTTGGCTTAACGGCATCGACGGGATCCATTAGAGCACTCCATTATATGGTATTGTTGCACACTTTTCCTGGAGCAGCCTATCTACCGTTGGAGTTCGGCAGAGTCCCTATCCTTCCTCCATATCCCAAGAAATCGTCTGACAGATTAAGGACGATTTTGGCGGTCTGCTTAACGCTGGCCGTGTTTGCTGTGTTTGTTGTCTCGGGGATCGGTTTCATCTTCTATTTGAGGCATAAGAAGGTTAAGGAGGTTCTTGAGGAATGGGAGATTCAATATGGACCTCATAGGTTTGCTTATAAGGAGCTTTTCAATGCCACAAAGGGTTTCAAGGAGAAACAACTTCTTGGAAGAGGAGGCTTTGGTCAAGTCTATAAAGGAACACTTCCGGGATCTGATGCAGAGATCGCTGTCAAACGGACTTCTCATGATTCAAGACAAGGGATGAGCGAGTTTCTAGCCGAGATTTCAACCATTGGTCGTCTCAGACATCCAAATCTAGTCAGGCTTTTAGGATATTGTAAGCATAAAGAGAATCTCTACTTAGTTTATGACTATATGCCTAATGGAAGCCTTGATAAGTATCTAAACCGTAATGAGAATCAAGAACGGCTGACTTGGGAACAACGTTTCAAGATCATCAAAGACGTTGCATCTGCTCTACTGCACCTGCATCAAGAATGGGCACAAGTCATCATTCATAGAGATATCAAACCGGCTAATGTTCTCATCGACCACGACATGAATGCGAGGCTCGGGGATTTCGGACTGGCGAAGCTGTATGATCAGGGATTTGATCCTCAGACATCGAGAGTAGCGGGAACATTAGGGTATATCGCACCAGAGTTTATTAGAACAGGAAGAGCAACTACAATCACTGATGTTTACGCGTTTGGGTTGGTAATGCTTGAAGTAGTTTGTGGTAGAAGGTTGATAGAGCGACATGTAGACGAAAATGAAGAAGTACTTGTGGATTGGATCTTAGAGCTTTGGGAACATTTTCTATGCGGCAGAGGGAAGTACACGTCAAGAACAAAACAGGGGAGAGATTGAGCTGGTTTTGAAGCTAGGGGTGTTGTGTGCGCATCAATCTGAATCAATAAGACCGGATATGAGTGTGGTTATGCGGATCTTGAATGGTGTTGTGCAGCTTCCAGATAATCTTCTTGATGTAGTAAGAGATGAGATATTGAAAGGACGTCCTGAGACATCAATGGAAATACTATTTGATGTGAATTCAATTGCTACATTGACGTTTACAAATTCTTTCATCTCCCATGGGAGATGAAACCCGAAAGAAGAATCTTACACACTAAACAGAGTTTTTTATGCACATGTATCTTCATCAGTCTATAAATTCAATAGCTTGCTCTGTTTCGTCCATTTAATAAATCAAGAAATTAGGGTTTCTTATTGGTTCCTACACACAAAACAGAGTTTCTTTTTTGTGCAAATACAAATTAAGGTTTCTTATTGGTTCCTACATAAATCAGTAAATCTTTAATTTTATCTCCAAATTAGATTTTTAAGTCTTTGTTTCTTTAATATCAAGGGCTTTACTTTTGGGTTCTAACATGCTTTTTCTTTGTTGCTTTCGAAGTTTTGTTGTTCGAGTTTGTAGATCAATAACAAAAACAAATTGCGATCTTGGCCTTCCACAAGAGCATAATCGACACAAGAAAACCCTAGACGATTGCATTCACTTGTCTGCTCTTAGGACAGAATCAGAGGCCAAGATTATCAAAGTAGCTTAACTCGTTAGCTTTTTTTTTTTTTTGGTGCATGGAGATTAGTGTATGTGTTTAAGCCAGAAAGATTCCCTTTTCCTGTTTATAATAATATTGATATCTTGCTCACCAAACCCCTCCGACCAAAGACTGTTAGGCAATGAACGTGTTTTTGAGTTATATATCTAAAGTCTAAACATATAGCACAATGTGCAAACCATGTATATTACTTTTTGTTTAGTCTCCAATAATTGGTTTATAGATGCAACACTTAGAAATGACTTGGTAAGATTCCGTATTGATAAAGACACCCAGAAATCATCTCCAACACCTACACCTACAATGCTATATCACGTACACAGTGGTCCAATACTTAAGCCATCAGAAGTGGCGGCAAAGCTGACTATACGTTTTATATTATGCTTGATGAAATAAAAGTTCATTAATAAGCCCAATGATGAAGCAAGCACATGCCTAAATCCCACTAACTCTCATCTCTGTCTTAGTTCATTAATCAAGAACTTTGAACTTTTAAAACTAATAATTTTATGTCTTAACTTAAAAGGGTTTTCTTAATTGAAGCATGCAAAGCATTAAACAATAAATTAAACGCTCTTAGTCAATATTCTACTCCTTTTTTCCTCTAGACCACTACAATAATATACATGATCATATCAACTCAACTACTCTAAATATTTCGTTCGGATCTGATCCACATTTATGAAAACCTGATAGGTACGTACGGGACATGTTTGAATCCAAAATTTCAAACACCAAAGAGGTTTGAAATACATCTTTTACTTATAGGTCGAAGTTGTTCATAAATGCAATATACTATAAAAAAAAAAATGTCGACAATATACTAAAATGAATAATACGTATTTGTATAAGAGAGAGGGGATAAAGTTTTACGATATAAAAGGAAACAATTTTAGTTCAAGATTCCTTAATGACATTGGATACAATCAAATGAATTGCTTATATTACCAAATTAGGGGTCAATAAACGCAGACATAAACATTTCACTTTTGTTCATCCAAAACTTCTTTCATCAAGCACGAAATAAAAAACAATAATCTCAGAAATCTATAAGATCTGGTTTGTCGTCTAAAACGTTAAAGGTGGAGAAAGAAAACTAATAGTCGGATATCCAAAACTTAAAAGAACCAATGGACGTTAACAACTTACCGATATATATTTTAATTAATAACTTACATTATTTACGGCATTATTCACGAGTTTTTTGGATATTTTATTCTTGTTGTTTTCGGGCACCGTCCGTCACACACGAACACAACCATATGTTAAGTATTTATAAATCGATTAATATGCATGTGTTCAGATCCAGGTCCATTTACATAACCCTATCATGTAATTATAAAGGCATATATATAATCCCCCTCACCAAGTATTCGTTAGCATCAATATAAATATCATATCACTTTGTTGCTTTCCAAAAATAACAAAAATGGATCATCTAATCTCTCCTCTTTCTCCAACAAATAGGTAAATAATAAACCCTTTTTAGGTTTTGTCTGCAAAGTCTCTTCCTACATAACTTTGTTACTAATTTAACTTGGTTTCATTCAAATCAAAAAAATTTAACTTGGTTTCACTCAAATAAATAAAATAAAAAATTTAACTTGGTTTCTATTACTGTTGTGATTATTGAAGGTGGTGGTCGGAAGAAACAACAGCGGTGGTGACCGGAGCAAACAAAGGTATAGGCTTTGCGGTGGTGAAGAGGTTATTAGAGCTTGGACTAACTGTCGTTTTAACCGCCCGAAACGCCGAAAATGGAATCCAAGCCGCCGATTCCCTCCGCCTCACTGGCTTTAGAAACGTTCATTTTTGCTGCCTCGACATCTCCGATCCTTCTTCCATCGCGGCCTTCGCCTCCTGGTTCCGTCACAACTTCGGCGTACTCGACATTCTGGTAATAATAAACTGATATAAATGTTCTCAAAGATTATTTACAATGAATACACATTGTACATTTAACTAGACATTTAATTAGTCCACAACTACTAAATAAAATATGACCAAACTCCAACGGATCATAGAAATTTGATTTACTTTTTTACTTGTTGGGATAAAAGAATTAGTTGATACTTGATAGACAAAATAAAAAGTCACAATTTTCTATTCTACACAGTATTTTTCAAATATTTATTTATGATTCGAGACTTTTCTTATGGAATTACTACGGCGTCGTACGTCATGCTCAGGTGAACAATGCGGCCGTTTCATTTAACGCGGTAGGCGAGAATTTAATCAAAGAGCCAGAGACAATTATCAAGACCAATTTCTACGGTGCCAAGCTTTTAACCGAGGCGCTTTTGCCGTTGTTTCGGCGTTCCGTCTCCGTTAGCCGCATCCTTAACATGAGTTCAAGGCTTGGCACATTAAATGTACTGTAATCTCTTTCTCATATATACTGTCGGCAAAAGAAAAGAAAATACATTTATTTCTCATACACTATTTAAAAACATTATCTTTGCATATTCAAATATTGCGGAAATCGAATAATATCAAAAAAGATATAATGATTTAACATCTATACTATATAGGTTGTATAAGCATTTTTATATCTATTCAAAGATATTAATATATACTGACTCATTTGGATTTGTATTTTTGGATACAGAAACTGAGAAGCCCTAGTATAAGACGAATCCTAGAGAGTGAAGACCTTACCAATGAACAAATCGATGCGACGGTGACTCAATTTCTGCAGGACGTGAAAAGCGGGACTTGGGAGAAGCAAGGATGGCCAGAGAATTGGCCGGACTACGCAATCTCAAAGATGGCCTTAAACGCGTACTCTAGGGTTTTGGCTCGACGTTACGACGGCAAAAAACTAAGTGTGAATTGTTTATGCCCTGGTTTCACTCGTACTTCTATGACCGGTGGTCAGGGGACTCACACGGCGGATGAGGCTGCTGCCACTGTAGCCAAGTTGGTGTTGGTTCCTCCGGAGAAGCTGACTTCCGGAAAGTTCTATATATGCTTAGAGCCTAAGAAAATTATTGCCAAGTTGTGACTCAATCATAGCTTTCTTCACATACACGCATAATTGTTAGATAAATGATATGCTTCGTGGATCAGGGCCCATTTTGAATCAATAGTAGGCCTTTTGGCCCATTAATATCGATACCGTCGCTTTGAATTTTTGATAAGAATAATGAAATTAGGGTTTCTTCTTCTTCCTCCGCAGCCGCTTCTGTTTCTTCTATATAAATCAGTAAAGGCTTGGACTCAAACAATCATCTCAAAGTTCGATTCGAAGTTGTAGTTTGTTTTCTTTATCATCATCTAGGGTTTATAAGTGGTCTTTCATGGCTTTGTAGGGTTTTTTTTTTAATCGTGTATCTAAGTGTTGTTTCCAGTTAAATATTTAGAACGCCAATTAGCAGAGCAATGACGTCAAAATAAAAATGGCGTAAGTTGCCTTGAAGGTTGGCAACAACAAATAGCGATTCTCCGTGCCTATCAAGTTTTCTAATCTTGATTGTTGGCCTCGAACAAGTCGCTACATCTTTTACCTAATCCAAATCCTTTTTTTTCTTTTGAAAGTTTTCCGATGCTTTTCATCTTTTCATTGGTTTCAAAAGATCTGACTCTTTACGAATTTCAAGTATATTTTCCCTCTAATTAAATCTGGTGTATAAGATTCTTTAGGGTTTCTATTGGTTTGAATTTTGAAGTATCAATTATGCCAAAGAAGTTTGGCGTCAATCCTGATTAAACTAAAAGAATTTGTGATGGGTAAAGAGAAATATTTTGAAGTACAAGATTTATTGGGAATAACTGATAAAAGGTTATTTGAGTTAATTATAGTCATTGGTTCATAATACTTTAGATCGGCGTATCCTCATGATTCTTGAGATTCTATAACCACTCAATTGAACTTTCCAATGGTTTCTAAGAGACAGAGACAAAAGCTAGACATTACTGGTTACAGAGACACTTAACTTTTAAGTTTAGTAGAAGATCAAATATCGAACTGTTTATGTAAAATGATATCAAAGTACTTGTACATACATCATACCCATAAATATATTGGCCCTTGTATAGCTGCTACATAACAAGTTTTCGATATAAATGTATGTACATAAGATTCAACTTTAATTGGTAAACTTCAAATTTTCATCGTCCGTTGGAGACAAAAGAGTCAGTTAACTCCAATGTATTAGAGGAATTCACATCAAGTAGTATTTCCATTGATGTCTCAGGCCATTCTCTAATTTTCTCAGCCCTTACAATGTCAAGAAGATTATCCGGAAGCTGTGAAACTCCATTCAAAATCCGCATAACTGCACTCATAGCTGGTCTTATCGATGCAGCTTGATGCGAACACAACACACCGAGCTTTAAAACAAGCTCAAGTTGTCCCCTGTTTTGTTCTTGACGTATACTTTCTTCTGCCGCATCGAAAATTTTCCCATTTTCCCAAAGCTCTAAGATCCAATCCACAAGATATTCTTCATTTTCTTGTGCACGTCGCTCAATCAGCCTTCTCCCACAAACGACTTCAAGCATAACTAACCCAAAGGCGTAAGCATCAGTGCTTGTGGTTGCTCTTCCTGTTCTTAGAAACTCCGGTGCGATATATCCTAATGTTCCTGCTACTTTAGATGTCTCAGGATCAAATCCCTGATCATACAGCTTTGCCAATCCAAAATCCCCGAGCCTCGCATTCATTTCCTGGTCGATTAAAACATTAGCCGGTTTGATATCTCGATGAATAATGACTTGTACCCATTCTTGATGCAGGTGTAGTAGAGCAGTTGCAACGTCTTTGATGATCTTGAAACGTTGTTCCCAAGTCAGCCGTTTTTGATTCTCATTACGGTTTAGATACTTGTCAAGGCTTCCATTAGGCATAAAGTCATAAACCAAGTAGAGATTCTCTTTATGCCTACAATACCCCAAAAGCCTGACTAGATTTGGATGCCTGAGACGACCAATAGTCGATATCTCGGCTAGAAACTCGCTCATCCCCTGTCTTGAATCATGAGAAGTTCGTTTCACAGCGATCTCTGCATCGGAACCCGGAAGCGTTCCTTTATAGACTTGACCAAAGCCTCCTTTCCCAAGAAGTTGTTTCTCTTTGAAACCCTTTGTGGCATTGAAAAGCTCCTTATAAGCAAACCTATGAGGTCCATATTGAATCTCCCATTCTTCAAGAACCTCTTTAACCTTCTTATGCCTCAAATAGAAGACGAAACCGATCCAAGAGGCGACAAACGCAGCAATCACAGATACAGTTAAGCAGACCGCTAAAACAGTTTTTGTTCTATTAGACGATTTCTTTGGATATGGAGGAAGGACTGGTATTGTACCAAGGTCCAATCTCGGATACTCGATTACTCCATTAACAAACCAACCCATCAAGTAATGAATTGCTCCAACTGACCCCGTCGATGCAGTGAATCCAAGATACATTTTCTCAAGCAAATAAGGCGAGAGATCTCGGTTCAAAGACAAGAGCGGTTTTTGTGGCGGAACAGGGATCTCAGCAGGTAATAAAGTAACATTGAGCTGTTTATCGGAATGACTATAAATGATCGAAAGCCGCATTAACTTTCCGCTGATCAAAGAAAGATTTTTGAAGCTTCCATCTTTATCATCATAGTAACCAGCAGAAGCAGAGGCAACAGATCTCAAACCATTAATATTAATCCCAACATGATTATCATCAATATCTCCAAACTCTTCGTCTTTATGTATATCTAACTCGATAGCAATCACGTTATTCGAGATTTTACCGTTGTTTGTTTCGTTAAAGATTCCGAGGTATTGATCGGAGGAAGCTCCGGGAAGACCTCTTGTGGGAGAGATGACGAAAGCCATACCGTGTGAGCCTTGCTGGTTATGTTCAGGGACGATCGCAAAGAAGAAGTTGACTGAGAAAGATGGAATGAGACCTGTCGATGAGTTCTTGATTTCAACGTGCTCGCTGTCGAAAGCTTGACCAAATGTGTGTTTTGTGGTGTTGGTTAAAGTGAAGTAACCGTTGAAGCCGATTCCTACAGATCCTTGTGAGACGAAGTAGCCATGAGAATTGTAAAACAGAGTAAGGAACAGAACAAGAATGATTTGGCAGAGAATAAGTTCACGAGACATTGGTGCTTTTCTTTTTTGGTTTGTGTGAAAGATTTTGATCATCTGTGAATATTATCATCCATCTCTTGAGTGCTGAGACGAAACACTGAAAAGTCAAAGGTTTGACTTCAAGGGCCTTAGGTCAAAATTTACAACAAGGATAAGTTTGTTGATCACTAATTCTTTCTGGATCAACAGTGTGAAAGCATCAAAGCTAAAAGAAGAAAACAAATCCATTTTCACAACTCAAGTTTTCACATAATTTAGTTGAACATTACGTATCAAAAGTCTTATCAACTTTCTATTCCCAAAATACTAATATATGATGATTCAATCTTGATGATTTGAATTTAGCAAAGTAACCATTGATACCGCATACCGAATCGATCCAATTCTAATTTAGTTAAAGAAATAATATATTATAGTTTTCTTTGAATATGCCATGCATTGTAGAAAAAATCTGATACAAGTAATAATTAGTAACCAAAAGAACACTGTTTGACTTTGAATGGTTTTAATTTAGTTTCAAGAACGTTGTAGTTAAGCCCAAAAGAAAAGGTTAAAGTTTGTTGCTTGGCCCAAAAGAAAGATACGGGATTAACAAGCAAAAACTGAACATCACACTGTACAATCCAAATCCTCTGTTTTTGTTGTTTACTTTTTATTATTGTTACATCTGTAAAATTCGTAATCAAGAACACAAACAACACTCAAAATAATCACCACTCATAAAATTGATGTAAGATAAACAAATCAAAGAAGAATCAACTGAGAAAGAAAAAAAACAGTCAGTTTTTTTTGTTTCAGAAAATAATAATTAAAAAATCACGCAAATCTGTTAAAAGCCCTCCTCCCAATTGTTGCAGGCATCGAAACCGTAGAATCAATACTCAAATTTCCAACGGATTTGAGGGTTTTGTGCTTCTCAAGCACAACAGCACCAGAAGAAGAAGAACCTGGACCCTTGTTGTTACTGTTGCTGCTCATGAACAATGACCCTTTGTTCCATTTGAACGAACCAAGAGGGAACGAACTCCGTCTCTTCTCATTTGTGCTGACCGGTGTACGGTCCATTCTCTCCTTTGGATTGCTGTTTGCTCTCAGTTTTGCTTTAGCTGAGACTGTTGGAGCCATGTAGCTTGGAGCTGAGAATGGAGGGCAGCTTGTGAGGCTATCATCATCTTTAAAAGGAGAATCTTGTGTGGCTCTTCCTCCTCCTCGTGAGTATCTTGAGACGCTGCTACTGTATGGTTGCGGAGTGTGAATGGGTCTAGATGGAGTAACGAATGTGGATTTTGATGAATTGGGTGTTGAAGTGTCGAAAATGTTGTTGAGCCTGAAATGGTTTTGGCTGCTAGATTGAGGCTGAGGGCTTGGGCTCGGTCGTGTTGGTGTTAGCCTGAATGGTTGGTTTTGGTTCTTCTGCCGGTCCACCCAGTTCCACCAAAGTGGGAACCCACTTGTTCTAATGTCCTGAGCAGACTTTGGACTGTTTTTCCATAACTGCGTAGCAAACAAGCAAAGTCACAGAGTGTTGTTGGAGAAAAACCAGCAGACATTACATTGGTTTGTGGTGAGTAAGAAGAAGAAGAGATGAGTGTATACCTGGTGAGAATAAGCATAGGCCATGGAACGTTCTCTTTTGATCATTGCATCAATCTTCCTATGCAGCCTCGCATCTTTTTCTTCTTTAGTCAGCACACTATCGTCCCAATCCTCGGACTGCGAGAAAGAACAATAAATGTTAAATGGAGAGAGCTTTTGTCTTGGAAACCATAGATTCATGAGAGCACTTACCGCAAGGCTAGAGGCAAATTTCGTGTCATCTTTGTCGTTCTTAGCTCGGTTTTCCAGCATTTGGATGCGACGTGACTGGACTTGTGTTTGGACTCGGACTAAAAGCTGCATATACTTCATAGCATTCATCGTTTGACGCTTCACGCTGTGTCCTCTCACCACTCCTTGAAGCCTGACTAGACCTTTCAAAGCTCTGAAACTCCTCCTTGCCTACAAACAAATTTACATCTCCTAAATTATGGATGCTACTATCTAATTAATAGTGACAAAACAGAATCAAGAATGTTTTGCAATATTACCATGTAACCTCTAAAAGCTGCTTGAATCTTTGTTGCATAAGCATTTTTGACCAGTAGACTTGGCTCTGGTCTATGCACAAACTCACGTCGTAGCACAATCCTAGGCGAAACCGCTCTTGGAGAAGGGGGCTTCGGAGAAGGGACTCGAGGGGAAGCAACTCTTGGTGAAATGGGTTTTGGAGAAGAGACATATCTCTGAGAAGGAACTTTAGGAGAAGCAGGCCTAACAGAAGGAGATGGAACAGAGGTTGATGATGCCTTTGTTCGATCCGTGGGACTTGGTGGCCTAAAGACAAGGTTATGTTCTCGTTCAGCTTCACACAAGATCTTTTCGATACTACTAGGCTGTCTAAAAATGGGAAGAAATGAATTGGTTTCTCCATTCCTTAGCTTCTTTCCAAAACCTTTCTTCTTCTTCTCTTTGTTTTCACTCTTTCTCTCTGGTTCTTGCTTTCAAAAACACAAAACCATAAAACACCAAAATGTATATACACTTCAATCTCACAAAATTCATCATTTCAGTTTATAAAACCAAATTTAAGTGTTTAAAAACTTTCTTACGTTGTTGTTGCTTAGCTGCTTCTCTTTGGAATGTGGTGTGAAAACCCTTTTGATTGCAGAAAACCAATTTCCTTTCTTTCCCATTTCTCGAACATTACTTTCCTTTTAACTGTTCATAACAAGAAACAGAACATTAACTTTTTTTTTGAAGCTTTTCTTGATTCAAGAAAATGGTTATAAACAATTATTATAGCTTACTGAGTTTGATAAAGGTTAAGATTTGGAAAGACGGCGCAAATTAGCATAATTGCTCTGTTTTACCGAGGAGGAACAGCTTCAACCACAAAAACTTCTGCAACATATTACAAATTGAAACAGCAGTTTCAGACAAAAGAGTTAAAACAAAACAAAAGAAATTCCAAAGAACTCGAACAATCAGAGACAAGAGGAAACAGCCAGGAAAACAAAGATTTTGAAGTTGTTGAGCTTTCATGAAAAAGGAAAGTTTTTTAACTTTTAAGATATCTTAAATCGAACTCCATCTTTCTAACCCAAATTAGGTAAACTGATTATATCACATAGAATTTTACTTATGCAGATTTTAGTATTATTATCGATTTTGTTTGGAAAACTTTACATGAAAAACAACTACTCTAAAAGATAACTTAGACAAGAAATAGATCATAGAAGCTAACAAAAACAAAATATACACAACTCGGTAGTTAAAAGCAAATATATATTTCCGAAAACTCAAAAGAACAAAATCATTGGGATAATCACAAGCAACATGAATCACTAACCTCTTGAATATGGGGTTTCTGAAAGAAGTAAAGTAACAGAGAAAAGCTGTTTCCAGAGAAAGAACTAAAAAGAAGCAACCTGCAGAGAAGAAAGATTATTATCTATTAATTTGCTTTCTTCTTCTTCTTGTTGCTTTTCTAACATATTCTTTTTAGTTTTTGGGAGTTAAATTCCTTTGAATATGTAGAAAAAGTATGCTACTTTGATTCTGGGTCTAGCTGGTATGGGAAGAAATTTAAAACCTTTTTCTTTTGTTTTTCTCTGACCACCTTTTTGATTAATCAAATCAAATCAATTTAATTTTGGATTGATGGTACAGAGAGAATTAGTTGGCCACTTTCTCACTCAATGTTGTTTAACTTTACTTCATTGCAAAGACAAACATTTAAGGAAACTAAAACCTAGAAACCAAACTTGATTTCAGAATTCGACCAAAAAACTGTTGATATAATCATTATTTAACCAGACTTAGATTATAGACAGTGAAAGCTAGTAGTGGTAGTAGTCTCCAAAGAACTAGAATTATCGTAATTGTTAAATGTCGAGTTACATTAGTTTATATGTTAAATTTTTTTCTTTGTGCACCAACATTAGTTTATATGTTAGAAATGATGAATTTGAACCAAAACGGTTAGGTTTGGTGGAGGGATTTTGTCGTAGACTTATCATGATTACGTCAGTTGATTCTGTTGAAGAAGCAATAATAAAAAGGTTTTTTGTGGTGTGACCAATCAATCGCTCAAGAATTTTTTTTTATCGGAGACGAGGTTGATTCTTTGGTCGTCTCTGACTACCACACGCGCGTGGTTTCACCTTCTAGATTTCTTATGTCAGTTAAGTCAAAATTTGTCCCCCTCTTTCGTTTTCTGTCATTTTTCTGTTTTCTTTATAAAACTCAAATTATCATTCATCAACGGTTATATCCACCAGCTTTGAGTTACGGGAATTTTAAAAAACAATATTTCCAGAATTTGGAATTTAGTATTTTAACGTATAATCTTATCTTTATACTCTTTACAAAATAATAGTTTATGACTGAAGACCAAATCATATACGTAACCGAATTACAATTCTACATTGTAAAGACCAACAGCAGTATGAGATTATTCCAAAGATGGTTTCATGCGCTAATGCGCATAGAGTTCGGTATAATTTGTAAATAACACAAAAAAAATTTAACATTAAGAGAAAAAAAAACATTTTACCAGAAAAAAATGATAAATCATTCAACAACTAATTAACCACAATAAGTTGGTTTTAATAAAAATGAATGACCATTTCTATAAAAAAAAAGATGTTAAGAAATAATTTTTTTGGTGAATTGTTTAGTCGGAAGATAATTGTGTTAAGTACTTAAGTTAAGTATTACTATTTGAAAAGAGAGTTATATCATCCTATACTATTATTTGGGGAGTACACTTTATAAGATACCCTTAACTAACCTTCCCTTTTGTAAAAATTTACTTAAGAATGTCATTACAAAAATCTTCTTTTAGAACAAATTTCATTCAATTTATTAAGGATAAACAAGTAAAATATTAATTTATGTCATTTAATTAATTTAATTAAATTATAAAACGAAAATCTGTTATTTTTTTTTATTTTTAAATGACCAATCAAAATGAACATATAAGATTTGATATCTAACTTACCATATTAATTTGTTATTAATCATTAAACTTCACCTCTCATCTTTATATGATTATATTAATATGAAACAAATAAATCATCATATCATCTACATAATAAAAAAAGTAATTTTTTTTCTGCATATGCCAAGATTTGAATTTTTAAAAACGCATATAAATTGTTCAATCTATAAAGGAAACAATTAAACGGGTCAAAAATTCAGACTTGACTAATATATTTCTTTTACACAAAAATAAAGTCAACAAAAATTTCGACTGAGCAACGGGTCAGAATTTGAATATTTATATTCGATTTCATACATTTATTTTTTTGAAATGTATAATTTTATATACTACAATAAAATTTTAAATATTTTAATTTGCAACATTTAAAATAAGTTTTACTTGATATTTTTAGAGAATATCATCAATACTTAATAGTTCACAAAAAGTTAAAAATTATAAATACTCTAATTTGATTATTTTTAAAAATATTTATAATAGGTAGCGGGTTAAATATAATATATTATATGATGAAATGAGTTTTGATCCTTATAACTATTTGAATAGTTATATTTAATTTCATATAATTTATTTTTTGAAATTCATAATTTTATAAACTACAAAAAAAAATTAAAGATTTTAATTTGGAATATTTAAAAATAGTGTAGAACATTTAAATATGGTTTGACACCTCTAAATATTTGAAAATTTGATTCCGCAAGCAATTTTAGAATTAACGAATAATAGATTGTGCACGCAATATTTTAAAATGAAATATTGAGATTCTAAAACAAAAATATAGACTCCACCCACGGGTTGATTTTGGTATTATTATATACTAAATATATGTTTATAACATATTCGATTATGCGAATAATTGGTAAATTCCGTAATTATAAATCTCAAACAAATTCTGTAATTAGATTAGCTCAAACAAATCTCTATTTCAACAACCAAAGAATTATAAATTGAAAAAGAATTTTCTAAATTAATTGAAAATAATAGCTAATTTTCTTAATTAATTCAAAATAATCTATGTTTTATATGCGATTCATTTATGATATTTTAATTTTTGATCTAACTAAAATATATGCAATCCTATTTTGTGGTTGTTAACATAAATTAACTCATTGTTCAAAAAATATTACTTTTTAAAAAATAAAATTATGTTCCATTTTCATATATTAAAAAAAAAATTATCCATAATTAAGTATTATAGAAAAAATTCTATATTTATTCTAATATTGTATATAGGGACTGACAAAAAAATTAATATTTTTTCACTTACTATTATAATATATTAAAACTTAGTTCTAATATATATATTATATAAATTTTGTAATAAATAAAATTCAACCCGTACTTTAGTACGGGTGATGATCTAGTTTAGGATTGAAAAGTTGTGTCATTATCTCGTAGGCCAAAGAGGGGTACTAAACATATGTATATTTATCAAAATAAAAACTCACCCAGCTTTGACATTGATGTTTTCAGATAAAAGTGTAATATAGTCGTTTCAGAGTTTTATCAGTAATAGAAAGAATTTGGTAATACTAATAAAATAAAACCCTAAAATAAATCACGGTGTCGAACTGTCGATGTTAGAAAGTAAGAATAAAAATGAAATGATATGAGCTTGGAATACAATTCAAGCAAGAAGATTCAAAAACAAAACAATTAACCCAAAGTGACAACTGACAAGTTTCCTTCCCAACATTCCTTCTTCTTCATAGGCTGACACACCACCTCAGTCGCGTGCGTGTGTCTTTTTTACCAACTGAAGTTTTTTGTTAACAAAATTTCTTGTGACTAATTAATACGATCAACTAGAGATATATGGGACTTATGAAATAACTGGTAAAAAGAAATATTCAGCAGCTATATGACGAGTCAAATATAACCGTATGCTTTTCTATTAAAAGTGTGAAACATTTAAATACTCTTAACTTTATTGTTGATTTTCGAATGTACTACGATTTAAACAACAACAAAAATCATTGAATTGTTGAAACATATACTAAAAACTTTGTACATTCGTATATAGAAATACAATAAATAAATATAGTTTACAAATATTTATCCTGACCATAGTTGTAATCATGCAATGCATTATTTTGATTTTAAATGGTGAAGTGTGTTTAGTACATTCCGTACATTTGAATGCATTCGTGAAAAATATGAACACGTACGTCCTCTATGAACTATTAACTATGATTTTTTTTTTTGTTCTGAATTTAGTCACTTCAATTACATAATTAGTTGGGAAAAAGGAACCACAACAAAGTTTCTATCTCCAATATATCATGATACAATTATTGAGCTATTAGTATTATATATCTTTATAACTTTAAAATATTTGTATATAGCTATTGAAATCTGGATACACAAATTATAAACAGCGAACATGAGGAAATGCTGGAGTATAACATTAACATCACATGATGTCAGATATTTCAGAGACCTGAAGTTTTAGTGTCTTTCAAGCTAAGCTAACTAAACAAGTAACACAACATTTTTTTTTTTTTTTTTTTTTTTTGCTAAGTGGGTAAATATCATATAAAATGAAAATGTTAGGAATTACAAGTGCAATACCTAAGGTTTAGTTCCTTGGCAAAAAATTAGGATAAAAACAAGGAAGTAAACAAAGAAGAAACCAATCTTCAAAGAAGGATCATTATACGAGCCAACAGCTCATAAGCTTACAATCTTCAAACACAACATGTTTTTCTTATGTAATTACGAGGAGTACATGCTTACTTTTAATGATGTATAGATGCATGCATGCAATTATCAATATATACAATATACTCTACATCATAAAGACTAACTTACATTGACATTTTTAAAAAATTCAAATGTATTAACATTCCACATACAATGGAAAAGTAAATGATATATATTGTCTTAGTCTTAATTATTATATTTCCGATCAAGAGAGCGATTGCAGAACCAACCAGTCTTCAATCTTAAGCATCCATTATTTATGAATGATACTAAACTATCAACAAAGTTAATCAATTGAATAGTTTTAATAACCGGTATGCGTAGCAAATTAACCAAATTAAACGAGGCCAAAAAGAGAATTAGTAAACCATTAGCTCCATCCTTCATTCAAAATTCCCAAAAAAAAACACAACTAAATTAACAAAACGGCACCGTTTAAAAAAGGAGTATTAAACGGCAGCGTATTCTGGTTAATTATCTCTGAATCCAAAAAAAAAAAAACACAATTACAAAAACCAAAAAAAATCTTTCCAATGTTTTTTTGTTTCTCTGTTCTTGATGAAAAAGTTTCAAAGATGACAAACTTGTTGATCTTCAGCGATAACCATACGACTAAGAGGACTAGGTCCAAGCTTCTTCTTCCTTCTCATCTGATTTCTCTTCCTCACAATCTCCATTTGATCTCTCTTTCTATTCTCCATCATCGCTTCTTCTTCCGCCACCACGAATCTCCTCATCAACGCGTTCTCCCTCAACGACTTCCCTCTAAATATCCTCCTCCCTGAATCCACACTCATCCTCGCCGCCGCCACCGCCGTCTCCGTCACCATAGGAAGAGGCTTCGACGGAGGATAGCTTGAACTTCTTCTCGGCGGGACGTAATTTCGGAAAACGTCGTCGTATGGACCGATAGGAGCGCAGAGACAAACCCTAGTGAACGAATTCGCAGCTAGTTTCAAAGACGAGCATTTTCTCAGCTGATGATGAATTTGGCTTTGATTCGATGACTTGTTGTTGACGCTAGGGTTTCGAGACGGACGAAGATTCTCTGGTTGTTGTGGTGATGATTTAGGGATTGTTCTCCAATTCGTTGCGAATCTGGCGACCGCCATAGCTCTCTGGTACCAAGGTTTTCTGTTTGCCATTACCTTTTTTAGGTCACACTCACACATCTCTTTTCTAATGATGATGATTGACTATAAAATTAACATAAATGAATCATAATCACTTTTGTTCTTTACTTTACAAAGCGCGTAAGAGATTTGAAATTGGAGAAGCTAATTTGCTTACAAGTTCTAAAAATGGGGTAATTATATTCCAAGTTTGGGATTAGGAAAAAGGAAACAAGAAAACTATCGTTTTCTTCTTTGACTTTAACAAGGAAACAAAAATAATAGTTTGTTTTAGGATTTTTATTTGTTTACCAAATATGGATCAGTAACTATTTTTCATTTATTTGAGACAGTTGTTTATGACATAACACCTTTACATAAATAAAGAATCTGAAATCTATGAATCTCATTTAAACCAAAGCATCTTCATTATGGTACATGTCTTTTTTGTGTTCGATACGTATCTAGTAGTATTTATGGCCGTTTTAAAGGATCAAGATAAGAAGAAAAAAAAATTGATAATATATTGGGCAGAACTGTTGAGATTAAGCCCAATAGGCCCAAACTAAGTTACGAAGTTTTTTTTTTTGTTTGGGTTAAACTGCAAAGTCTATTTGATCACCAATGATAACAAAGATGCCTCTGGATTGATCTATCTTAATGTCTTTTAACTTCTAAGTACTTCAAATATTTAGTCTTAATTATGATCAAAGGAATTGGGACTGCATATATGTTTTGGAATTAAAACTTCCAAAAACATGGGATTGGAAAAATTATATTAAATTATGTATGAACAATATAGACCTATAAGAATTTGACACCTCCTACTCCTAGATATGTATTGCAAGACTATGTGATATGGCATTTTCATTTGCTTTTAAGAGAAGACCCCAAACAGTTTCATAATTATGCGAGTGTTTATTTTGAAATCTGTGTTAATAAAACAAAATATCCAAAATTGAGTAAACAGTGACTAAAGGAGTGAGTTTAATATGCATACCTTGCAGGTGAGGCCTTTGAATCTTGCATGAAACGGAAGAAGACGAAGAGTGAGTGAATAATTTAGAGAGAGAGATAGCAAAGGATAGAGAAGAAGATGGAGATTTTTTTTCATCTGCTCAATGCCAATTTGAGAGAATTTGATAGAGGAGAGAGAGGGAGAGAGAGTGTGAGTTAAACAATTGACTAGCTTTTTTTGTTTTCCTCTTTATTTCATTCTTTAAGAGTTGCTGTTTCCTCTTCTCTCTCTTGCTTTTACAGTCATAGGAGTCTTGTAGTTGTGGAGAGAGAGAGATAAGAGATTCAAAAATTGTAAAGAGAAAGTGAAGAGAATTGGTGCTTTTAATGCAATTACCATATTCCTCATGATCCACTTTCTATGGAAGCCTTTAAGGAGTAGTCTTCTCTCATCAAATTTCATATGAGCCTTGATTCACAATATTTTACATGTTATATGGTTGGTGTCTAATGATTTTGTTTAGTTAGTTATTTCACAATAGTGAAAACTCACATTATGACTGTAGTTTGTAGAGGAATAATCCGAGTTTTGACATATAAAACCAATTACCATAAGTTCTTATCATACAGATCTAATTCTTTATTTTGTCACTTGATGATCTTCAACATTTTCTCTTTGCAATAAAATTCTTATGAATATTTGAGTTTTTCCTATAGCTTATGTTTACTTAGGATCATGCCCTCATTCAATAGAGATTGCTAATATCAAATGACTACATAGAATATATGAGAAAAAACTTAAAAAGGGATTAAGTGCTGGATTAATCATGTTAACCTCATGGGACCATCTTCTTTTGAAAGATGATTATTATGGGCATGCATCAAAGTTAGAGCATTTATTAGCTTTCACATATTTACTAATATTTACACATAATGAAACCATTATCTTTATTTGGGATTATGATGTATATATGCATGTCCAACAAATAATATATATATATATATATATATATATATATATATATATATATATTTAACAAATAATATATTTGCAAAGTCCCTTTTGTAATTTTGGTTATAATGATGTGTAAAATTCAAGCAAGAGGAGGGTGTGAGAGTTCTATCAATCACATTAATAATTTCTTAACATCTCTACTCGTCTCATAAAAAATATCAAAATAGCGATTGAATTGTAAGAAAACAAGAGGACACTTATAGAGAGATCAAACAAGTCATAAATCATTTGAGAAATAGATAGTATATAAACAATCATGGTTCTCAATTTTGATATCGTGGGTGGTGTTATATCAAGAACAAGAACCTCCAAAAAAGCTGCTACAACATTATGATTGGTCCTGTTGGTTTTGTAAATTAATTTAATTTATTTAATGTCCAACAATTATTTAAACAAGCAACTAGTAAAGCTGAAATTTGAAGCTTTTTCTATTATTAATCTTTTTTTTTCTTTGGGATGATCAGAATCAGATTAATTTCCACTTGAAGTAGGGACTTTTTGATTATCACCCACCAAGGGCACATGATATAGGCCACCAAGGCTACACAAAGAATCCACCTTCATACTTTCACATCTCATAAAAAATAAATATACAAATTCCAAACATTTAATTTAAATATTTGACCACAAAAACTCGTGAAACAGTAAATATGTGCTCTATATAACTATATTCATCAAATAGAATTAATGGATTCAATATCTTAGTAGATAATAGTATAATAGTGAAACGAAGAAGATGATGCCCATCAAATATATTTCATTCTACTTATAAGAATTCAAGAATAAATCTTAACATGTTCTTCGAAGCAGACGTGGTTTTTATAATTTGTAATAGAACTACAATCTAAAGCTTTATTATACACAGTTTGTGTCATCTCTCTAACTTTTCATCATCATAAAACAGAAAAGAAGCTAAAGAAGAAAATGATACGACAAAACAAAAAAAAACAAAGTACAGTGAACACACAGATTCTGCAGAAATAGAGAAAAATCTAGGAGAATGTTTAGAAACAAAAGATTGAAGTAGAAATAGTCGCTTTGATTTAAGGGAGATTCAAAAAGGAAAGACTCTGATCATCAAAAGCTTACTGAGTTTTTTCATCAATCACTGGCTTTCAGGATCGCTGAGATGTTTCTTGCACCAAGAACTTGCTTTACGTTCTCCACCTCTTGTCCTTTTGTTCCTAGGAACAAGCATTTCAGAAGCTAAGCATGATCTAAGAACCGAATCTTCACGGCCTTGTAGTACCAAAGATTTCTCTTCTTGGCTATATTGTTCTGTCTCTTCAGTTTGCTGCAATGGCGGCACACTGGTTCCTTCTCCTTCCTCTGCTTTCTCAGCTTCGTCATGGCAACTAGTTTCCATCAAATCAGAATTCATTTCTTCAGCCACTCCATTTCGAATCAAGATATTATCCAAAATCTGCAATAAGTTTGAATCAGAAAACATGGAAGAAGATGTTGAAACATAACTAAGAGAACGAACTTACATCTTCACAAGAATCTCCAATCTGGGGATGATGTAAAGTAACATCAGCGTCGGCGAAAAGACCAACAGTACTTTCAATTATGTCAGGAATATGAAATGCATCCCCATAGCTCGAAATCACTCCTTCGGATGAGAAAACTAAATCACCAAGAACATCTGCCATATGCTGTGAAGCGTTGTAAATTGCTCCAATGGAGATCACATCTCCATTTCCTCCAGCAGAAACCGTTGGGCTAGGCGCAGAACTTGCAGCAAGAAGGCTCAGATTCTCTGAGGAAGAGAACCTTGCTGCGTTCTTGGACATCACAACATCAACTTGGGTTTTCAATCTATGAACTTGCGAATGCACCAACTCGATTTTCCAGAGAACCTCTTCTAAGACATTATCTCCTTCTCGGTGATGAAAAAGTGAGTCATCGTCATCTAAGTCTACCGGTTCCTTTGAATCACTCTGTGGATCTTTGGCATCTGCCCCAAGCCCCCAAGCAACATATCAATACACCAAAACATTAACGGTCTGAAAAATTGAGAAATTATTGCAGTTTTGTGAACTCACCACCAAAGTCATCAGCCAATCCCATTCCATCTGAGCTCAATCTCTTGGTCTCTGCAACAAAAACCGCACCAGTATATGAAGGATATGCTCAAAATAAGGACAGAGTTGTGGAGTTAATACTGTTACGAGGATACTAGTCTCTTACCGATATAAGAAAAGAGGTTGTGACATGCCATATATGAAGTTATATCATCTGTGCTCTCGACCTTCTTACGCTTTCTTCTCCTCTTTGCTGCTCTTTTTTTGTAACACGGATTAGAAAAAGGCAATGACTTTATCCCCTCACCACAACTTTCCAACACAGACGGATCAATATTAGCTTCAAGCTTTTCTTGATCGTATGACTCAAGCTCTTTCGGATATTCCAATGCCCGAGACTCTAACTCTCTAATTCTTAACTCAACCCACTTGGATCGCCACATCAGTGGCCTGATAAATCTCCTCCAGTGATTAGTTAGCCTTTTCTTCCTAGAAAAACACACGGGAGACAAAACTAATTAGAGAAACAGTAAGAACAGTAGAAAAGAAAGAATACGAGAAGGATTCACGCAGAAAACACACCTAAAATGAAAAATGCTGCTAAAAGAATCATAAGCAGGTCCTAGATCGGTTTCATCCCAATAATGAGATTCAACCTCAGCTTCTCCGGTTAGTCCATCAAGCAACATGTCAGCATTCTCAGATGCAGTGTCGGAAAATGAGCTTGAGTATTCAGTAGCGTTAGGGTCCTCATCAGTGGTGGATGTGTTGTTTTCATCAGATTCAACTATATCAACATCCAACTCCTCACCACCAGAAACTGAAGTCACAGTTTCCTCACTTGTATTAGCACTGGTAAGACCACATTCTTCATGATCTCCTCCAGGACTTTGCTCTTTCTTTGGTGATAACTTCTCAGCATTGAATTGATTACTCTCTTCATTAAGCTCCATATGTGGTTCAGACACAGTCATCACAACTGATAACACACTCTTATTTCACATTGGAAACCGTAAGTTAAAACCCGGTGATGGTCCCCGATGAAGATCCTGGGGATAAAAGACTGTGAGTACCTCTGCTACAATTTACAGATGACGCATATAACATTCAGATTGAAAGTAGAATACATCAAGCATATAATCTTAGTAGAATTCTTGAAATCTCATCACTTTCCTTTCAAACTACCCCGAACATTTCTATTATGTATAATCCAAGAATTGTTCACTCTCTAAATTAATTACCTAGAAATCTGGATTTCCATTACATAAGTATTCAAAATTATTTAAATTAGAATATCAAAGACAAAGCTAGAGGCTTCTGTTCAAAGCCAAAGCAGAATCATTAAAGTAACCTCAGGAGAAGCACAATCTAAGCCCATTCTAAATAATTTGTTCGGATTTAAAGCTGCCTCTCCAACTAGCAATCTACAAAGCTCAAAACTTTTGAGTAACCAAGACAAACCCGACTTCATTCAGAACAATTATACTCAACGAATCTAAAAAACTAATAAAAAAAGATGCTAGCCCATGACCAAGAACGGAGTTGGAGCTCACATGGCATGAAAAAAGAGTAAAGTTAGAACATTTGAAACCAACTAAGCATAGAAAATCTCTGGGGTACCACAATCAAAGTCCATTCTAAGTATTGCTATTGTTCGGATTTGAAGCTGCCTCTATCACTAGCAATATACAAAGCTCGAAACTTTTGAGCAACCGGGACAAAACTAACTTCAATTATCAACAATTATGCTCAAAGAATCAGAATAACCAACATAGAAAGGAATTTAACCCACAAACAAGAACAGAGCTTATCCTCACATGGCAGCAACAAAGACTATTAAAAAAAAAAGGTAAAGGTAAAACATTTGGAACCATCTAAACAAACAAAGAAAATGAGTAAACTCATAAAGAATCAAAGTTAGAGCTATACATCTATACAACAAAGAAGATAGAGAGAGTTGATGAGATTACCAGAGAGAAAGAGAGAGTAAGTGAGGTTTTGGGGTGTTTTGCGGCGAGAAGAGAGTAAGAGAAGAAGAAGAATGTAGAAAGGCAACTTAAAAAACGTCTACTGATCAAAATCTATTTATACCTACAATCAAAAAACCTAAAACGGGTCCTTCCCTCTCTATCTGTCTCCTTTGGTTTCCACGTGGCCTCTTTCCATTCGCCTTTTCTTCGATTACAACCACTTTATTTAAAACCGGACCGAGAAATTAACTAAATTAATCTTATTATGGATCATTATCCGGTTTACTAGGTTATAGAAATCAAATCTATTGTATCCTGGATTTTTTTTACTGTTAATTAGATATGCAATAAAACTATGAATATTTATTTCTATAAATAGAGGTTTTTAGTTAAATTATCTAAAGTTTATTTTTACACTTGTTTCTCTTGTTTAATATTTTTTTATATAATTTTACAAATAAAATATTGAGTCAATAAAAAAATAAGAAATTCTAATTAGATTAATGAATTTGAGCCATATATCAATTTGATGACGGCTTTAGATCGGATTGAATGCAAAAAATTTAGGTAAGTTTTAATAAGATTATGATTAATGTGTAGTTTTAATATTACCGCGTAAACTTGGAATTGGAATCTCATATCTTCATGAACATGTATCCATCCTACGATCCATCATTTCGAAACGTTGATAATCCTTCGAAACGGAATTCGAACTAAAAGATAGTAAGTTGTTTAGAAGATCTAAGTGCACCATGAACTACCACACTTGGTAATATCAAATCAGTAATGGTGAACATTTAATTTCAATATCAAAATTGTTTTATTATCGACCTTGTTTTTATTGAAATTTTAAACCAAACTTAACCTAATTATTGTGGTTCGGTTCAATTTGACTAGGTTCGATTTTTGTAAGATTCTTAAATATATTATTTTCTTACAAGTTATAGCTTTATTATTTTGTCCTTTTCATTCAGTAAGAAAATTTGGTTAATATACATCACGCGGACATTACGACAAGATTTTTTATTTGTTCAGTTTATAAAAAAAGTCTTCGTACGACGGTTCTACGGTTACTGCTATTTACGTTCGAAACTTTTTAATTTCCATAAATACCCTCGAATTTTCCTCACAGTCCTCGAGTTCCACAGCCAGTGACTGTTTACAGTTCCAAGGGTATTTCCGTCACTTCGTACGTACAACTAATTTCTCAGTTTCTTACTTTTCTTTCCAAAATCCTTTTTTTTCTCAGAGATTGTCCTTTTTTGACTCACTTCTTCTTCTTTTTCTAAAGAAGGCGAAGTTTCTTCTCTCCATAATAATGTTGATTCTCTGTCGTGTGATCCTACATAGGATAAATCCCTAAACCATCTTCTTGATCGCCTTTTTTTACTTCTGAAAATTTCAACTTTTTACTCCGTTGGTCGAGATGGTACAGTCAGCGGTGGAAGTTCTATTACCGTCGTCGTGGGAGATTGAGGTTGCGGTGGTCGCTTCTGTATTTTTAATTGCTTCTTATTGGCTATTCGCTTACAGAGGAGGCGGAGATGACGATGTCGTTGGTGTTGGATTTGATCGGTCTCGTCTCATGCAGAATCTCGATTCCGGTGACGCCATCTTTGACAAAGACAAGGTTTTAAATTTCTTCTTCTTTTTTCTAAATTGAGCGGTTTCTCAGTTTGCTTAGCCTGAAAAATCTCGTGGGTGCTTGATGAATTTAAGATTTCCCCTTTTCTCTAATTGGGAGTTTTTTTCTTCAAAATTCTGTTCATGGAGTAATTTTCCAAATGTTTTGACTTGCAGTTTCTGCACTTATTTTGTAGATAGGACAGTTGAGAGGAGATACTCAAACTAATGCTGCTTATATAATCAAGGTAATATATTATGCTTCAATGTTCTGAGTATTGAGACTGATTCATCTGCATAGATAGGATACTAACATTGCATCAATGTGAGGATCTTCCAGGTTGAACTGTTGGCTGCTAAGAATCTTATTGGTGCTAACTTAAATGGAACATCAGATCCTTATGCTATTGTTAATTGTGGATCAGAAAAGCGATTCAGGTTGTTACATATCCTTTTCAATTAGTTTTATTAGTGTTATAACTTTTCAAAGGAACATGTGAGCAACTTTTTTGATGTCATTTTCTTTCCTGCTCTTTTACGCTGTCCTTTAGCTTCTTACCAACAACCTCTATCCATCCAAAAAAGTGAAAACGTATTATTGGTGGTTTGGTTGTTGAGTGCTTACAGATTGCATTGTCTAATGTAGTAGCTATGTGCTTGTTACAGTTCTATGGTCCCTGGCTCGAGAAATCCAATGTGGGGTGAAGAGTTCAATTTTCCCACAGATGAGCTTCCTGTTAAGGTTAATATCATTTAATGCCATAGTATGCTTTAGGACTCAGTGGGATGATATGGGAAACTTATTTCTCCTAAAAGTTATTTAGACTTCTCAATGGAAGCTGAGGCATAGGGTTTATCACTAAGTTCGAACCCTTGATATCTCCTTGTATGAAAATTTCGCCTATATATGACTTGGTAAAGAATTCCAAAAACACTTATTCTTCAAAATAGGCATATAGATTCAATAATTTCGAATGGCACCTGTTATGTTTACCAGATAACTTTTCTAACATTTACCATATATTTGTTATGGCAGATCAGTGTAACAATTCATGATTGGGATATCATTTGGAAAAGTACTGTTCTTGGCTCAGTAACTATTAATGTTGAACGTGAAGGCCAAACGGGTCCAGTGTGGCACTCATTAGACAGCCCATCTGGGCAGGTGTGTATTTCCTTAGTTTTCTCTTGAAGGGTTTTAATCTAATCCTTCTTTTCTCTTTAGAAGCTAATCTAATTTTGTGTGTCAGGTTTGCCTTAACATTAATGCAATCAAACTACCTGTAAATGCTCCTAGGTAATCCGCCTGTTCTACTTCAACCTTTCTATAAGCTGGGTTTAACTTGTTTAGATAGGAGAGTGCTAATAGTCTTGGTCCATGACAATTTGGCTTTCATCTGTTTGCCTGAGCGGGGTTAACTTTTACAATATCGTTTTTCCCGTTGACCAAAGTAAAAAGTTTTTTTTTTTGTTGTTGTTGTTGTCCTACCTAGCCATGCTACTTGCATTTGGCTGGTTTTTCATTTTCAATGGAACCAAACCTACTTGATACCTAGTAGCCTTTGTGGTTTAAAACTTTGTACAAAATGCATTTGATTGGTAGGGCTGTAACTGGATATGCTGGAGCCGGTAGAAGAAGGGTCACATTGGATCAGCAAGGCCCAACAATTGTACATCAAAAGCCAGGGCCTCTGCAGACGATATTTGATCTCCTCCCGGATGAGGTAACTTAACTAGTAGAAAATGTATAATTGTAGTAATCTCATATGAGAGTTCAGAATTTTTATGCCTTTGATGTATGTTTTCCTTAGGTTGTTGAGCACAGTTATTCATGTGCCCTGGAGAGGTCATTCCTGTATCATGGCCGAATGTATGTTTCCGCGTGGCACATATGTTTTCACTCCAATGTTTTCTCTAAGCAAATGAAGGTCAGGGATTCTATAAGTAATTACATATTGAGTTCTTTGAACTAATGCTAAAAACTTCCTCATCACATTTTGTAGGTTGTTGTCCCTCTGGGAGATATAGATGAGGTAGTACTCTTTTCTTGACCACTCGAATTTCTGTTGATTTTATTCTGATAAGCAGACTAACGATACATAACTTTTATTGTTTATTATAGATCCGTAGAAGTCAACACGCATTGATAAACCCAGCTATAACAATCATTCTACGGATGGGTGCTGGTGGACATGGTGTTCCCCCTCTTGGGACTCCTGATGGTTAGTAATTATGTTTGTTATTGGATATTTGGGATTCTTATATCAACGTTCATGCCTTTCTTTATCTTCAGTAAACACTTGTTTGATAGTTACTGTTTTACCGGCACAAGTCAGCAAGAACATTTTCCCATTTGATTCCTGGCATAGCCATTTGTCTGTAGGACCAAAGCTTTTGGAGTTTTTCATCTGTAGTGGTGCTTTGTTATGTTTATGTTTTTGTGGAATTCCTTCTTTATTTCAGGTAGAGTGAGGTATAAATTTGCGTCGTTTTGGAACAGGAACCATACACTAAAAGCATTGCAACGTGCAGTTAATAATTATCATGCAATGTTAGAAGTTGAAAAGAAGGTCTCTCTCCATTTTACGTTTATATGTTACTCTTCCTCTATGTGCTGTATTCAATATTTGCTGGTTAGTCAAGAAGTTAAATTTGATGTTGTTGCCTGAAATCTTAACATGTTACATCTGTTGGGTTGCTTTCTTACCATATAGGAGAGAGCAGAGTCTGCTTTACGTGCTCATAGTAGCTCTGTGAAAGGAGGTGGTAAAGTACAGGTCAAAGCTCCTGAAGATACTGCAGCTGTACCTGTAAAGTTTCAGGCTTTCATCAAGGAAGAAGTCCTTGTCAACATCTACAATGTAAATATTCGGTTTTTCTTCTAAGTGCTATCGTTGTTTGAAGATATTGTTCTGAATTTCTTACATCATTCTCTTGTATGCAGGATGTTTTTGCCAGCACACCTGAGCAAGTCCTGAACGTCTTGTTGGCTGATGATTCCACTTATACTAATGAGTACAGATCTGCACGGAAGGATAAAAATCTTAATGTAAGTTTGGCATTGGTATCTAGATCATTAGTCTTCATACATATGTGCTCTTTTTTTGCGGTTTCCACTGTATTGCTTACATGCTTTAAAGCTGCACTCTTAAGACTCGACTTCTCAGTAACCTCATTGTTGTCTGTTTGTTATCTTTTAGATTGAGCCGTGGCATACTGCTGAAGAATATGATGGTCAAGTTAGAGAGATTAAGTTCAGATCCATTTGTAATAGTCCGATGTGTCCACCAGACACTGCTGTGACGGAATGGCAGCACGTTGTTCTATCACCAGATAAGAAAGTGCTGGTATGAACGATAATCCTGTGGGATATAGTAGTTGCCAATGTTATTTAGGGAAAATGTAAAAAGAAAATCCTGTCTGATAATACTTGTCTTCCCTTCTTTCAGGTTTTTGAAACTGTGCAACAGCCACATGATGTTCCTTTTGGTTCTTACTTTGAGGTATGTTACCTGTGAGGAAAATGTGGTTCTTGTTTCATCATTCTGTTTGCAAACCCACCATTCAAATTTCACATTGGCATGATTTATAAATAATGTTTGTATATCAGGTCCACTGTCGATGGCGCTTGGAAGCTAAAGACGAGACTTCATCTGTTATAGATATAAGAGTCGGTAAGTGAACCCAAGTATCCAGCCTCAAACTATTAATGATTCTACTTATTCAGAAGTGTGAAATTCTGCAATGCACATTGTGTGGAATGATCCCTTTGGCTTCATCAATAGGTGTACATTTCAAAAAATGGTGTTTGATGCAATCGAAGATTAAAGCAGGGGCAATTGACGAGGTTAGTTTGATGCCCGTTAGTTCAATCGATAAACTAAAAAGGCGCCATTTTAGGTTTGTCTGATGCATTTGTTTTTGAAACTTTACACAGTACAAGAAAGAAGTGGAAGTGATGCTAGAAGTGGCATTGTCGTATCTCAAGTCACACTCATCCTCAAGTAGCCTTGGTGATATAGACAAGTCTGCTCTATCATCTCCAACACCAGAAAACAGCAGCTAAAACCCAATTTACCAAAATCAAGAAGCTTCTCAAAGTTTCATTCTCCAGCCAGCCAATTATTTTTCTTCCTTTTTTACATGTGAAAGTGTATATGCGGTAACGGTAATTAGAATGAATATTTACAGGGGCTTGTCTGATTTCTGGTACTTCTGACAGATTTAAGGAAACTTTTGAGTTCTCTCACAACTCTATCTATATTGGCAAATACTAAGTATGTAACAATTCCAATTTTCAGAGCAAACAAAGAACCATAAACCCTTGTGTAATCTTATTATAGACTCAACCAGAAGGACAAGACAAAATTCAAACATTGCATAAACTGCAAAACATTTGAAGCCTAAATCTCTGTCCAAGTCACAGACGGTACAAACAACTTGGGATTGCAATACAGATAAAAGATCAATCCTGATACTTGCAACATTCAATTGAACAGCTAGAAGAAGAAAACCTGCAAACTATTTAGCAGGAAAGTCTCAGAATGTGAAAGCGGTTGTCCACGTGCCTTGAACACTGGGGTGTTTGGTGACATGTCTGGTCCTCAGTTTAACCACTTTTCTTCCAAGCGAGTTCCTCAGCCTTGTTGCATTCAGAAGCACTTCTTCAGGATCCATGTTCTTCACACACACCACCCTTTCATTTCTATTCCCTAAGAATTGGGCAAGTGATATTTGCTAATATCAACAACTGATATAGGCAGATTGCATTGCCTGTAATAATGAAAACAGGAGAAAGATTCATACTGTAAATGCCCTTCAAATAAGGATGTTGTCCCCGTGAAAGCTCGGTAACCACTTCGAGCTGCGGGTTTTTCTCCTTTAGAGCAGGCAATTCTGATTCCATAAAGGCTCTAAGTATAAAAACAAATCAAACACATCAGAGAATGATCAGAGGAAAATGCCTCAGTACCTAACTATGATGAAATGGTAACGATTCATAACTAGAACAGTTTGCTTCACATTTCTAATCAGAGAGCATTGGAAACCCACATGGATAAGAGAACAATGGACCAAATTTCTAAACATGAAAAGTTAATTTGCTTCACAAATACGAAGTACAGGCACATAGATTCGTATAAATAGTCTCAAGTTCCAAGTGAATTATAGGGAAAATGGTAGATCGATGAAAAATACGGCTCATAGATTAAACAAATTTACCTGATGCCTCTACTGCTACCACCCCAATTACAGTAGCTCACAACAAGTTTCTTGAGCTGCCAAACTCCTCTAAGCGCCATTTGAATCTCGGTAAGAGAAACAAAAACCCTAACCGGGATGTGTAAAAATGATAACAAAAGAAGAAGTAGAAGATGATCACGTGATAGATGCACGTGACTTAGACTATATAAATTGAAATGGGCTTATATTGGGCTTAAACAAAAAAGCCTGTACTCTGTAATTTTAATAAATTTCTTGTAACATACACGTTTTCTTATATTGGGCTTAAACAAAAATGCCTGTACTCTTTTTTCTTTTTTTTGATTGATTGATACGCAAGTATTTTGCCCTAATCAAATATACAGTATTTAGGTAGTGTTTACTGAATCACAAAAGACAAGACAATAAAAACAAAACTTGAGAGAAGAAAATAAACATGGCTGCTGCTTATTCAGCAAGTACAAGTAGGTATATTGGTCATGATCTCGTCGACGATATCCTCCTAAGGCTTCCGTTGAAGTCTATCATCAGATTCAAGTCCGTTTCGAAGCAATGGAAATCGTTTAATTATCGAATCCCGTAGTTTCGTCCAGAGAGATCTGATAAAGAGTTCCTGTCGTCGGAAAATCCTTTTAGCTTTCGGTTGCAGGGACGGAGACGATTCTCCACCGTTTCTTTTCCCCGACGAAGACGGTTCACTGGTTCACTGTTGATCTCTGGGAACCCAACGCTTCAAGAATTGTTGCATTTGATCTTCACCTTGAAGAGTTTAGAGTCGTCTCCCACCCAAACCCAATCTATTCTTCTTCAGACGACGACGACCACACTCCCCATTTCTCTGAGCTTCTCGTCCTCCGAGACCGCCTCTCTGTTTCGGAGATGAGGACCGTTAATGTTTCCCATGCCAGATTCGATATTTGGAGCATGGCCGATGTACAAGAAGAAAGATGGGTTAAATGTATTCACTGTCTTTATGCCAACTTTACCAACCAAGACCAAGGGAGATTCAACTATTTACGCCATTGGAGATTCCTGATGACAAAGGAGATGGAGGAGTGCTGATCATTTGGGATTATCAAGAGTCTTTGTTCATGTCTAACCCTAACAATTTCCTCCTTAACAAGGTTTCTGCATAAGCTCGTGTTGTTGCTTCTTCTTACTTCCAGACTCGTTCCGGTTCCCTAGCTAACACCTTATGCCATCTCCTCGCCTCCTCGGTGTTCTTCTTTACATGCTCTGCTTTTTTGTTATCGATTACGATTACCTTTAATATATATACGATTCACGATTATTTACGTAAAATACGACAAGATTTAGCAAGTGCTTTACTATTTTCTTATGAAAGCATCAATATTTACTACCAATCTGATTGTTGGGTGACAATGGCGAAAGTAACTTAAACAAAAACAAAAACACGGTTCAGGGTCTAAGGGAAACTACTTAAATCAGTAAGAAAACCAATCACTATCTTCATTTCATTTGAATCAACATAAGATCTCAAGATGCGTCTGTATTTGCCCGGGTTATCATACCAGGTAGACGTGTTGATGATCGCTTGATCTTTAGCCAGTACTCGTTATACACTCTTTTCCTCGACATACTCTCGAAGAATCTACTCCAACCTTCCATAACTCGGGTCAGCCTAACACTCTTGGGTCGTCCTATAAGGTACCTAATGTAATCTCTTGCAAGACGGAACAACTCCTCCCCGTTGATGATGTAGAGGTACTGCAAAAAAGAAACAACAATCAAAGTTAAAGATACTATAATTCAAAGATAACTTTTGTGGGCTTGTGATCTTGTGATTACCAGAAAGATGAAGCCTAAGGTTGCTAATACCACTTGCAGAGTTTCATCTGCAAAACTAGCAAGACCACCATCTTCTCCTGATGAGCCTCCAGACCCATTATTCCCACCATTTCTACCACCACCCCCTCCTCCTCCTTCTCCTCCTCGTGGAGGAATGCCGCCAGTTTCTTTCTTTTGTATCTGCTCACGTAACATATCTTCAACCGATTTCTTCCCCATTGCTTTCTCAATAGCTTTCCATGGTGATGATATCTGATGATAAAAGATCATTACTGAGTGTATTAATATCAGAAACACTAAACATAACTTAGTTCTGTGCCCCTTAACTTACAAACACACACAAAAATATCACTTTTGAAAGATTTAATATTCAAATCTCAGCAAGAACATCTATAGAATGAAGAGAAAACATCTGATCTCATCACTACTATAAGATTTATCCTTCCGACCAAGTAAGTACACAACAGAAAACAATTATATCAACACTACTTATCATCAGAAATATAACTCAACTCTGTGCACAACTTCTTACACGCACACACACACACACACAAAAGATCAATTTGCAACATTTAAAGATTAAATCTCAGCATTCTATGATCTAATAAGCAAAGACACACACACAAAAGATCTTTAGAATGAAGAAGAAGTATCTGACCTCATTACTCCCGTTAGACTTATCCTTCCCACCAAGTAAACACACAACAGGACCTTGCCTCTGATTCCGGCATCGATGATTCTGTAGAGGCGAAAACAGAGTAGACATGGATGATGATGATGCAGATGCCCGAATAGTTAACTTGGGGAGTGGTCGATAATCAAAGCGTAATGACGACTTAAAAGGTGCCACAGAGACATGTCTTGTTTGTGTTGTCCTTGCACAGAACAAGGATGGTCTGCATAGATTAGCCTGCGTAGAGCTCATCTTTTATCTCTAAGGCTTCTCTCAATACATCAACTCCAGGATCTTCAACAACAAATCAAAGACAAAATTCAATAAGAACAAAAAAAAAACGTTTCTTTTAGGTATGTTCAAAGTTTAATCATAGCAACGACGCTAAGCCAATCAAGAAGAATTGGGAAAGAAGAAGGGACTGAACCAATCGATAGGGCGATCTAATCAAAAAAAAGATTACCAGAAATCTAAAGCCTGGAAATTTAACGACCCAATTCGGAAACTCGAAGGAGAAGCAATTCAAAAGATGATAAGGGCATGAAAAAAATGTAATACCTTGATGAAACCCTAATTCGATGAAGGATTGGTTTGTGTTTTCTTGTTTGTGTGTTCTATAAGAAACAAAAACCGAACAAGTCGGAGTGAAATTGTTTGACGGCGGTGAATAAAACGATGTCGTTTTTATATTAACCGATAAATGATATTAAACCGGGTTTGATAAATAAGGAAACCTAGTGATCGCCGGTTTGATTGAGTCCGGTTTAATAATATACGACATTGGGAAACATTGGGGATAGTCGGTTAAGCGAATCGGAGACTCCATCGTTCACACTTGCGAGAAAGCCAGAACCTTGAATGCAATCGGAAAATTAAAAGGTTGACGCTTAGTTTCTATATAGAACCTCTTCTGATTTTGTTTTTATTTCTTTGTCGAACGTCATTGTTAATTGCAAGCTTTGGGGAGTGGATTTTCTCTGATCTCTCTTCTCATGGTTTTTTCCTCTGCTTCTTACAACCGCCAAAGTGTTTGTTCTTTTGAGCTTCGACTTGGTTATAGATGGATTGATTTTGATCAAACTGTTGTAGTGTGCCACTAATCGGATTTCTGGCGTTAACTCAATCTTGAATCTTCCCTTAATTCAATTCAAAAAAGAGGAAGAAGCGTTATTTTGTCTGAAAGTAATTTCGTTGATTCAGCTTTCATTGCGTTGTTGCGTGATCAAATTTTTGTCAGTGTGAAAAAGGGATCTTCTTATGGTTTGTGGAGCTTCTCTGGTCCTTGTTGTCTTCTGTAAATACCCTTTTTTTTTGGGTTAATCCAGCAGTGATATCACTCTGAGCTCACTTCATGTTTCAGGCACTTTTAAGCAAGGTATTGGTTGTGTCTGTATGGATACTAAAATGTTGAACACTGGCTCGAGAGATGCAATCAGCTGGCTCCCTGATGAGGTTTCTGGGCAAAATCTTTGTCCTTAATTCCTACAAACAGGCTGCTTCAAACATCTCTTCTTGCTAAAAAGTGGAGGAATGTCTTTAGATTAGTTCATAATCTTGATTTTGATGATTCTGTTTTGCTGCAACCGGAAGAGGGTAAACAAGGGAGGGATGTGATTCAAGGAGTGCTTCAGGAATTTTGTCGATAGTAGAACACTCGCTTGCAATGCGCTTCTCCTCTCAATAAATTCTCCCTAAAATGTCACTATGACCACGACAGCGAGTTAGCCTCATGTGTTCCCCTGGTATGTAATGCCTTGGATCGTGGTGTTTTGGAGACTGGGCGTAAGTATTAAGCCTCGCTGGGACCCCAATTCCTCGTCTGAAACTGGTGTTTGGCAAACTGCCCGTAAATATACAGACTCACGGTGATGTCTTTTTGCCTCATGCGCTCTTCACGAGCAAGACGCTGGTTAAGCTGACACTGGGAACACGAGTTGCTTTTGGAAAGCTTCCTCCAGATTTGTCTCTTCCGGCGCTTAAGAGTCTCTTCATCGATTCAATCTTTTTGAATATGAAGATCTGTGTTATGTGCTCTTCCTGGTTGTCCAGTGCTCGAGGAGCTATTTGTACGTCACAAGCAGTATATAGGACTTCCATTCTGCATACGAGTCGGACCATCGAGAAACTATCAGTTCAATATGATTCTGAATATGATCTTGATCTTGGTATGTCATTTGATGCCCAAGTCTTGTCTTCCTGGACTACTCCGATTATGCCTTGTCTGAGTATCCACAAGTTAAATTAAAGTCCCTAGTCGAAGCTAGGCTGGATATTCGTTATTCTAAAATAATCAAGAGGCCGGATATATCAGGTCTCTTATAGGGATAAGCAACATTGAGACCCTGCATCTTTCTGCCAATACTGTTGATGTAAGTTTGCTACTTTCTTTAAACTTTTAAAAGCTGGACATTCTTGAAGTTGTGTGCGCATGTGTATTTCAGGTGATTCCCGAGTGTTAAACGTGGACTAGTACTACGGTGTTCAACAATCTGGTAAGCTTAACATTTGGAGTAAGAATAAACGAGGATGGAAGCTGCTGCCACGTCTGATGAGCAGTCTCCAAAGCTTGAAACTCTAATCATCCAGGTATATATCATCAGCAAAAACCCATGAACGAATATATCTAAAGAGAGACAGAGATTGGAACTTAGTGGGTGATCTTTTACATGCATCTTCTTTGATGCTTTTCCAGGGGCTGGATAGTTTACACAGGCGATGAGACCATGCGTCCGTTCCAAGTGAAGGTATTGCGTGTTCATGGTTAGGAGGAACTGCTATAGAGTTGGAACACTTGAAGAAATTTATTGGGAGTCGGAATGCGGTGAAGTGGTGCTAGTGGAGGCTGTGGTGGATGATGCCATGTATTGCAAAACCAAAAGGTTTCTACTGTTGACGCTTCTTGGATTTTCAGTCTCATCCAAGTTAAAGATTCTCTCATTTAGTTTATCAATTATTCTGTGTAACATGAACTCCTATATTGCCGAGGATGAGACTACTGCCGTATCTGCTCAAGGAGTCTCCAAAGCTTGAAACTCTTCAGCAGCGTCTGTATTGGTCCGGGTCTATGTCTATCATACAAAAATTCGGAAATCTAAAGAAGAACAAATTAGTAACTCAAAGGAGTAGCAATTCAAACGATGTCATTCATCATAACCGATAAATAAAAACATAAAACCGGGTTTGATAAATAAGGAAAACCAGTGTATAATAAGAGGCTCAACAGAAACGGCACCGTTTCAATCAATCATCATTCTTCGTTTGGTTTTGTTTCTTCTTCAGCCGCAAATCCAAGTCGACGAATACGATTTTAGTTATTCGGCCGGAAAGGTTGATAATTTTCGGTGATTAATCTATGGAGTTGGAATTTGAATCGAAGTATGAGATTAATCGTACGGCGGAGTTCATTATCAGCAAAGCTTCACCAGAATTGCTTTACAGGTACAAAACTTTTCTCCATGAGTCCAGTTTCTGAATGAAGAAGTTGATTTTGTTTCTTAGCTAAAACTGTTAATTTAATGAAGATGGGGATGATAAAGCTTAGTTTTTTTCTTGTCTTGTTTCTGTGATAGTTCCCAGATGAGTTGTTAAAGGATTCGACTAAGGTCGTGAGTGCTCTTAAGAGCAAAACTCGTTTGCTTACTGACAGAGGAAGTCAGGTTCTTGTAATGGCGGACACAACTTATGGTAGCTGCTGCATTGATGAAGTTGGAGCTCTGCATATTGATGCTGAATGTGTTGTTCATTATGGTCAAACATGTCTAAGCCCGTGAGTCATAAACCCTTTTCTTGATTATGTAATTGCATTAAATTCCCTTGTTGAAACAATGTCTTATTGTGAGGTTTTATGTTTTCGCAGGACATCGGTTCTTCCAGCATTCTTCGTTTTCGGGAAAGCTTCGATAAATGTCTCCAGCTGCGTTAAGCATTTGATAGATTATGCGTCAAAGAGCGATAAGCCTATTATGGTATATGAAGTTAGTTTATCTTTATGAAATACATATTGATAAACATGTTCCGTTTTCTCAATCTTTGCTTTGTTTTCAGATTCTTTATGGTCTAGAATACGCGCATGTGATTCCCCATATCCAAGAAGAAATAGGATTATCGAAGACTGAGTCTCAGTTGAAGTTATCTGTAGCCAATATCTTGTGTTCATTCATTAGTCCATCCAAAGATCCTAGAGAATCCATGGAGCATCCGAGACCATATAGCGAAAGTGATTCTAGTGATAGCTTATCCTCATCCAGGAGCTATAGACTAGGAGGGCTAACTTGGGACTTGCCAGAAGGAAGCAAAATCGAGGACTATTTACTTTTCTGGATAGGTTCTGACAGTTCAGCTTTTGCCAATGTAGTACTGACCTTCAATGGTTGTGACATAGGTATATGGCTCTATCCATAGATATTTTCTTGATCTAGTTCTTGGTTTATGTCAAAAGTTTGAGTAACTTGCTACTGTCCATTTTTCTTAACCAAATATCCAATGGATTGACAAAGACATGAATAGCTTATCTTCTTGTTTATGTTTGTTTGTTGATCTTAGTCAGATATGATGCTGAAGAAGATTCTTTGGTGACGGAATTTTTATCAACAAAGAAGGATACTTAAGCGACGGTATAATCACTTGTTTCAAGCAGACATTATACATCACAATATGAAACTTTGTCAATCCTTTCGATCTTTTTTATTATCTCTGTGGATTTACATTTCAAGTCCTCATTCGGAGTTATGTGTTGCAGATATTACTTGGTGGAAAAAGCTAAGGATGCAAATATTATAGGTATTTTGGTGGGGACTCTTGGTGTTGGTAAGTTCCTATTCTTTTGCATTTGTGATTTTAACATTGATAAGTTCATTAAATGTCTAATGTCACCTGGCAATATATGCAGCTGGTTACCTTCATATGATTCACCATATGCAAGCACTCATATCTGCAGCTGGCAAAAAATCTTACATTCTTGCCATGGGACGGCCTAATCCAGCCAAACTCGCAAACTTCCCCGAGGTAAGTTAACAACGGCTTGTCATTGAGCTGTAATTATCAAGTGAGATATGTCAAATGAGTAATACCTTTTCATGTCTTATGTTTTTTTTTCTTAGTGCGATGTTTTCATCTACATCTCTTGTGCCCAAACTGCTCTTTTAGATAGCAAAGAGTTCATGTCCCCTGTCATTACTCCATTCGAAGCCAATCTTGCTTTTAGCAGGTACATAGAGAAATTATTATAATGCGAAAATCGTTATAGTATGTGTATTCGATCCACGAGTTCCTGAGTCGGTTGTCTTTGGTGTTTCTGTTTCCACAGAGGGAGTGAATGGACAGGTGCATACCTAATGCATTTCCAAGATGTGATAAACTCTGTAAAATCGGAATCAGAAGCACATAGCGGATTAGAGGAGCCACGGTTCTCCTTCTTTCAGGGTGGTTACGTAGAAGATCACAAAACAAACGGTATCATAGAAAGCTGGATACATTGTTCAGTCAATAAAAGCCTTTTTTGTTGATTCCATGAGTTTGACAAACAGTGTGCTACTTGATGCAGATCAAGCTAAGAATGGAGAAGAAGACACAGGAGAGACAATGGCATTGGTACAAGCTGCAGAGAAAGCATTGCAGTTGAGAGGCAATGATCATAACTCACTGACTAAACAAACCGCTGCAAAATCAGGACCTGAGTATTTCCTCAGGCGAGCTTATCGCGGGTTGGAGATAAATAGTGAGAATACTTCGCCAGAGCCTTACATAGTTGGGAGAAGCGGGAAGGCGTCTGGATACAAGCACGAATAGCAACTCCAAGAAGTTTAGTTTGATCACAAAGATAGATTTGTGTTAGGTCAGAAAACTGTTTTACTGGCTTCGTATGAGATTGTTAGAAGAGAGAATATTTGCACACACATGTGAGAGTTGTTGATTCCTTAATTTTCAGCCGTCCATTAGATCCTCTCTCTCTCTTAGTAAGTTGTTAAATGTTACAAATCAATTAAAAAAAATCAGATTGAAAAACTAGATAATTGTCAAAATAATTAAAATGAAGAGTGTATATAATTAAAAGGTATTCTATTTTTTAAAAAAATATTTAATTCTTTTAAAAACGAAAATATATACCATTTTTTTAAAAAAGTTAAAGCTTAATATGTATTATTGGAGTTTTTTAATTAAATTAATAGAATTAAACATTATATTAAATTAAATAATTACTATTTACTTTTCTGTTCTTCAAAGATCAGACAAGAACCAATACACATTTCCACTTTCAAGAAGTGTCGGATTACTAGAATTTTTCTTGTGGGGTGGCAAATTGGAGTTGCAAATCGGCATCGCTTGTTATGGCAATGATGTTTGCTGGCTTGCCAACATCAAATGCATATAGACACATTGATTGGATGATTAATTTGTCCGCTACATTTGTGTTTCTTTGATATAGAACTAAGAAAAATATAACACAACATGAGTTGAGAAAGAAATAAGAACATAAAAGTTGAGATAACAATGTTAGAAACAAAACTGTTACCAGCAGGTACTTGGATACAACATATACAATAATCACCTATTTTTCCACATGATAGAGCTTGAATCCTAGATTTTTCAATTTTCCATATCCAATCATATCAATGAGAAAATAATTCTCATCAAATATTTGAAGGAAAGATGATGTAGTACAGTTCCCCGCCTACTAGAAGCCTCATCAATGGCTTACTTAAATATTTGATTTTTTTCTCGGCGGGTGAAAGTAGAGCCGGTCTAGTATTTTTGAATGTCCTAAGCAAATAAAAAACAGTACTCTTTATACTTTTTTTTTGTTGCAAAATTACAAATAATATAGTAATATAAAAAAGGCTGAAACTATAATTGGGTAAAACAGTTTTTAAATTCATAAACAGTTTGTAAGAAAAGAAATTTTTTTAATAAAATTGACTTTTTTCTTTCAATTCTATTCTTCAAAGTAAAGTCTTCAATTTTGTAATTAAAGTCACCTACCTTAGCAAGCAAATAGAAGAGTAAATAACAATGAAATCAATCAAAGAGAAAATTTTGTACAAAGTCTTTTTTGTGAATATAATTTTAAATTCGTACAAGAATAAAAAGAAAAAACATTTGTTTTAGTTTAGGTTTTGTTTTTTCTAAACCAAAAGTTTACTAAAAAATTCATTAACAACTGCTTAATTAAAGCGTAAAGCCCATGAAATATGGTAAAAGAAAAAAAACCAACTAAAAATGAATTTATAGCAAAACCTATAATATTTTGTGTTTTCTTGCTATTTTATTACACTTATTTACAATAATTTAAGAATTGAGGACATCTTGAAAATTTGATGAATATAAATAAGTCAATAGGACTCCATAGAGGTTAGGAAAAAAGAATAATTAATTCTCAGCAAATTAATTATCAGTTTAATGTGAAAATTTATCTCGAGCAGCCAAAGACTTAAAACTATGGTCTAATGTTTGTTTCTATTTGTTTAGAATCTCAACGTTAGATCTGTGAATTTGTTTTGTCAGTTTTAAAAAGTATTGTAATGTTTTGCTCATTTTTTGCTTAATTTTTGCTTACTTTGATCAATTTGTTTTTCTTAATTATTTTAAAATTCAGAGCATATTAATAGATGTGTAATCACTAATCACTATAAAACTTTTGCATCGAAACAGTTTAGATTGGTAATTTAGAACAAGGTAGACATATTAGTTACTCTAGTTTGTGTTTTTCATTAGTTCAATTTAAAACATTTAACTAGATTATATTATAAAAGACTGCATAATAAAAACTATTACCCAAATTTTAAAAAGTACGATTCAGTGATTTAGAATGATCATAACTAGCTCACTAACCAAACCGCTGCAAAATCAGGACCCCAGTCGTAATCATCGTGGTTTGGAGACAAACAGTGATAATACTTCGCCTGCGTTGGGAGAAAGATTCACTTGATGGAAGATTTCTGCTATGTCAGAAACTGACTTTTTTTGTTTTTGTTTTACTGGCTTGTGTTACTGTTAAAGAGAGAATGTTGCACACATGTGAGAGTTGGTTAGAAAAGAAACAAAAATTTGATCTCTGTATTTTTTTTTATGTTATTGGCCTCGACTGGACAGCTCTGAGCTACAAACATAATTCGATTTAAATCTTGGATGTACAAGAGTTACTTCATGAAAATAGCATAAGTTATAATAGCAAAGTTCAACATAAGATAAAGCTTTATAAGAGAGCTCTGTTAATTCGGTTTTTATGGGAAAATCCTCGGAAAGTGATCAGACAATGGCATCTCAAAGCTTCCTCATGAGTAGAAAGAGCCTCTGGTCAAGTTCGAAGTGAGAGATGTGAGCTGGATCTCCCTGAAGCAACATCAGGAGGCCGCCGAACGAAACATATAACTCTCTGGAAACACATAATTTCAAGATACAAACCGAAACATGATGGTTAGATGATCTGTAAGATAAATTGGATCTCTTTGGGGAAAGATTGATTTTGTTGGTCTAGATATATGGGATTCTTACGCTTTTGGAGTTTTGCCGTCACGCTCAGAGATCTTGTAAAGCTTCCCGTGCATGATGTATTCATACTTATCTGCAAGTGTTTTCTTTGCTCCCTGTAACAGAGCGAGATAAAAACTAGATTAGATTAGTTAACAACAACCTTTGTTTCATGATTCAAGAGTCAAGACACTAGGTCTTAATCAAATTCCATATGTTTACTCTTATTCCAAGATAGGTTCCTGAATCAAGCAAATGCAATTGTTCTATTAAGCAATTAGATCAAATCCTAATATAGGTTCCTGTAATAGAGCGAGATGGAAACTAAATCAGATAAATGTTCAGATTATCAACCAAACATTCTAGGTTTTCAAAGATAGTATTCAAGATTGAAGACACTAAGTCTTGCTCAAGTTTTCATATGTTTAGTCTTATTCCTATCTCCTGAATCAAGCCAATGGAATTAGTCATATCGAGCAATTAGCACTTAATGGTTATGCCCCAACCAAATCCTAAGACAAGTTCCGAGTAGTAGTAACAGAATCAATAGGTTACCTGACCTAACTTAACTTAACCATGAATGAGATTTGGCCAAGCAAACAAGAGTAATGTAAATAGATCAAACATAGAAAAAGCAGTACCGGAGTAAAGTATCCGGTATCAGGAGTTCCATCGAGATTAAGCGTGGGAGCCATAGCCAGCGTGAACTTATCACCAACAGCCAGTGGATAAACCTCAGTGTTAACATCTAAATGCATAAACATTTCCAAGTTGTGGCTCCTTGCTTCAACACGCGTAACTGTTACCACAAACACACACAGACTCAATCAATTTGAAGACAGAACAAAACTTAGGGGGAGACTTAAAAACTCATATAAAGTTCAGATATTTTACACATTAACTTCGATTTCAATATCTCTAAGACTCAAAACAAAGCGAAGAAACTACGATTCATATCAGAAACTCGATTTAAGCCATGACAAGCATTACAATAAGGTTAAAAGAAAGTAGATACCTTTATCGAACTTTTTGCCATCAGGGTCTAGCTTATCGACCACGAATATATCCTCGAACATGATAATATTGCTCGCCATCTACAAACACGGGAATTCAAACCCTAAACACTCTTAATTCCTTGAAAATAAACCGATTCGACTAGCATAAAACAACTATATGAGCATCTGGAGAAATCGAGAAGCTGGATTACCTTGAAAGGAGATAGAAAAGACGAATTTTTCACCGGCTCCGGAGGCAGAGAGGGGAATGGCGGCGAGAAGAGTGTTAAGAAGCGAAGCGAGAGAGAAAGGTTTGTTTTTTAGCTTTTTAAGTTTTTACATTTATTCCTCGTAGTTTAGTTTATTTTCATGTTTGCCTTATAGTTTTTACTTATTACATAAAAGTCCCTATAAATTTCTGTTTTCTCCGAGTTATTCCTTGTATATTGTTGCATATGTAGTTTTACTTATTAAAATCTCTTGCATGCTAAAGATTAACAAATTGTCCGTAAATATTGTCGGACATTGATTAGAATAGATTGACCCTTGTAGGCTTGTAATCCTTGTATATTGGACACAAGACTCCAAATACTAAAACTATAGAACCATTTCAAATCATTACAAACGATAACACGTTTGACATTATCATATTTATTATTTAATATATTCTTTTTATTTACTAATATGGCAACATGAACTCGGAAACATACATATTAAAGGAGAGATCAGAAGTTTGAAAATATCGGATTCTGCGGTTGCAAATGGAGTAGCTGCATATATGGTTTGCTGAGTATTAAGCACTGGTTGGTTTGGTTAAGTAGAGTGGATTGGGATCGTCGGAGCAATAGTTGCAAAAGCATTTACTTTTATCAGTGTCTATCTCGAAAATACATTTTCCGCCCTTTGCGCCTTCTCTAGTCTCTAGACACTTTTTATAACACAGTGACGGGTAAACCGGAACCCTACAAAGAAGGAAATCAGTCGTTTCATCTCCGGTGGGCTTGTATTCTTCAAAACATGTTTTGGCTTTTATCTTTGACGCTCCTGCATAAGTAAATATCGGCAGTACTCTCTTATATATATCTGGAGAAGTGATAGCTAATTTTGCCATTACAATTCATATACAAGTTGATCAATAAGATCAGTAGAAATTAATTTAAGGTATTAATTCACGATAATTTCTATGCATGCACTTGTTATCTTATTTACGAACGAAAAATGTTAATCAAATAATAGTATAGTGATTCATATTTATTTTTCTTACCAAAGACCACTAGAAAGAGAACCAAGATGCAAACAGACTTCATTCCTTTTCACTAGTCAAAACATGCACGTTTGTAATATTGCTGGTGAAAAATGTTGTACACTTGTGATGCTATTTATATTGATTGATGATACACGTTTTTTATTATTTGTGTGGCCAAGATTTTCATCAATAAATGTTAGTACAAAAAGTTAGGTTTTGGTAGGTTATGTATTAAAAATAGCATTCAATGAAGTTGTTGCAACAATGATATCATTTGTGAATTCAAACAACAGTAAAATCTAAATGGAGGCAGACAAGTGAACGCCAAGATCGGTGAGGTGCACATCAGAGCTTTTTCCGTAAAATCCGATAATCTTGGAGCTTCGCCTCCTCCTAGCACTAATATGGCATACTAGTGATTCTCTTGTGCATTCCGAACGTGATGGAGGTGATGTGGCTCTCATTGTAGGTCCCCTCGACGGCTTCAATGTAGTCATCGTCAGGGATCATTATCAGCTATACAAAACAGCCATATATGCAATCATTTCATCGGAAAAGAAAAACTATTAAGTTTGAAAATAACAAAGTAATTAAGAAATCTCACGTCGTGGTGTGGATTATATATGGGCGATCACATCCCCGTGACCGGCTCCGGCTATTATCGCATTATCTCTGGAGTAGTGAAATTTGACGAAGACAGCACCAAAATCATTTTGGCCTACATCTATTTTGTCTTTCTATGAGTAACTAATGTCAGACCAAACACAATTTATTTATTTTACTTTTTAAGTAAGCTACAATTCATTTTCTTGTCATAAAATAAATGTTGTAGTTCACTACATTTAAATATTCGACTTTTTAAAAACTAATTTTGTTTAATTTCTATAAGAAATCAAAAGTAAAATTTGTCACGATAAAATAACCACAACTTATTTTTTGAAGTCAGGGTTGCGAGTTCGACGATTTTAAGTGCAAATACTTTTTTTGGAAGATAATATATAGTAAAAATTGCACAAGATAGTGTATTATATCATGAAACGATCAATCACGGAAGCATGCATGTTCAACAAAAACGATCATATCCAAAAAATTAAAAAGAATTATTACTTTTTATTTAAGGCAATCAATCAATCACGGACGCATGATTAGTACTTAAATATTGGTGACTTATTACGAAATGAAAAAGCTAGAGGAGGGGCAGAGAAGTGGACGCCGAGAGCAGTGAGGTGGACATCAGAGCTTCTTCCATAAAACCCGATGACCTTCTCGCCTCGTTCTCCTCGAAGCGAGAAGGGCATCCCGTTCAAGCGTCCGTACTGTGGCATCATGCCTCCCTTGTACATCCGAAATGTGATGGAGGTGATATGGCTTTCAGTGTAGGTCCCCTCTACAGCTTCGATGTAGTCGCCTCCAGCGATCATAATCTATGCAAGAAAGCCATATGATCAGTTTTGTGAAACTATATAAGTTAGAAAATAATGAAATAAGAAATCTCACGTACCTCGTCCTCTGGAATATGGGTGGTCGCATTTCCATGACCTGCTCCGGCTACAGTCATGTTATATTTGGAGTAGTGAAACTTGACAAAGACCGTGTCTAAATCATTTAGTCCTACATTTATTTTCTTCACATTGTGGAAGATGCCGTCGTCCCACTCGTTTCCTCCATCGCTCGCTTGTATTCCTCTAGGGGGTGTGAAGCGGGACTCAACCTGCTGGGTGCTCATCGTGAACGTTGGAACTGGGACCAAACTAGGAACATAGGTACGGTAATGACGAGTATGGTCCTCAACCAAAGCGTTTATCTTAATTTCATGGAACTTATCTCCCTTGGCAATATAAATGCAAGCCTTTCCCTCCTTGTTAAAACAACACAATGCGAGACTGAAGGTTTTATCGTCGATGAAGTAACTTGGCGGAGAGTAGCTTATGACTTTTAAACTCGACCATATAGGAACTGACACATTCATGAAGTTCATCCACTCCACAGCCTTTCCATTCTCAATTTTAATCTTTTTTTTTGTTACCCAAATCTCTATATTCCTTGTGTTATGGTTTTGCTCTAAATATGAAAATCGATCTCCCCTAAAAATTGCAAGGGATCTAGCATTACTTGGATCGCATTTTTTATTAGGCAAGAGACAATAGGGTTCGAATCTCTCCATAGAAAAATCAAAGCTTTGAATAAACTGGTCATGAGATGCCATATGAAAAGCAACCCAATACAAAGCTCCATTCAATGATACACTATAGGACGACATAAAATCCCAATCATACGCAAACTCGTACGGTTTCGAAATCCATGCATCGGATCCAAACTCGGTGATACTAGCTTTCACGGTTGTATCGCTATAGGGCCAAGACTCAAAGATCTTGTAATGATTTTCGGGTCTACAATTGTCGTATCCCACCCCATTGTAACAATAATTCACTTTGGATTTGATCCATCTAATATGTCTCAACCATGGGTTGCATATCCCGATCCCGTTCATAGTAGCATAAACCAATAATCCGTCGCAAGATTCGACTGTCATGAACATTCCATCAGTATAACCGGGAATATATAAGGGTAAGTTATGCACCTCTATGGATGGAACGTCAAGATTTACGTCTACCGAGCAAATCTTGGAGTTGGCAATCAAGATGAATTGTGGACGGGCACGAGCCAAATGATTATTGATAAACCTTTTCTCGTTTAAAAGAGTGTTCCATCGTTTGCAAACGGATCTGAATCGAGCGAGACTCTTTGTTGGAATCAAAATGAGTATTCTTTCCTCTAATTCCCACGGAAGTTGATCTACTTGCATTATGTTATCTTTTACGGACGACTTTACACCCCCATAAGAATATATATAGATGGCTTTTTCTATCAGAAATTTATAGCTTACGTTAAGTAAACTACGAAAATAATAACAACAAAAGGTGAAGTAAACTGAACAAGAAGTAACAATTTTAATATACCATTTTTTTGGCAAGAAATAAAATAATTTGTATTGGATGAAAATTCATATGTTATCCAATCATAGATTAATTTTTAAATAATAATCTAGTGTTATTTGTTATAATAATTGCTAAAATCCAATGTTATGAAACTAATGAAGTTAACAAGTATTTTCAAATCCACTGTTATTGAAATGTTTTCAAGATTGGTCTTTAATGATTTTAAAGTGTTCTATGTTATTAGGAAAACTCATAAGATATCAGTTTTACTATATTTACCTAAAATCATCTATAACTTACAAAAACTCAAATCATTCAAAATAGATAACTAAATCACCCCTCATAAAATAATAATTACTGTAGCTGTAAAAATTGAATAGAAAGAAAATATTGAAACAATTTATTTATTTGTCAAAAATCTGAGTTTTTTTTTAAAGAATATATATGAGTTTATTAGAAAGATTTATCAATAAACTAAATAAGCCATATATATATTTTAGATCTGATGTGAATAAACTTATTTGATTATTATTTATATCCAAAATAAATAACTATACCAAAAGGTACAAAATAAAAATAAAATCTAGAAGCTGTTAAAAAGAAAACTGGAATATAATAGCCCTATTTTAAACAACTTTAATTTAAGTAGTTAAAAATATATTGTTAATTAAAATTTTAGTTAAGAATAGAAACACTTTACTTAAAACATTATTTGTAAAAAACCTTTAAAGCTTAAATATGTGTCAAAATTACAATATGTGGAACATGTGTTGAACTTATAACACTACAAGACTTATGGACCAAAATGACGAGATGCTTAAAAAAATTTAGCTAAAAATAAAAACATTTTAATTAAAACATTATTTGTAAAAAAACCTTAAGAACTTAAATAAGTGTTAAATTTATAAGACGTCAGAAAACATGTTGAACTTATACACCACAAGACTTACAGACCAAAATGACGGGATGCTAAGTCCGGTTAGTTTCCGACGTATTGTATATTTAACACTTAAGTTTTGAAAACATTTTGTTAATTAAAAAAATTTAGTTAAAAATAGAAATATTTTACTTAAAACATTATTTGTAAAAAAACCTTAAGAACTTAAATAAGTATTAAATTTATATTACGTCGGAAAACATGTTGAACTTATACACCACAAGACTTACGGACCAAAATGACGAGATGCTAAGTCCGGTTAGTTTTCCCACGTATTGTAAATTTAACACTTAAGTTTTGAAAACATTTTGTTAATTAAAAAAATTTAGTTAAAAATAAAAACGTTTTACTTAAAACATTACTTGTAAGAAAAAACCTTAAGTGTTAAATTTACAATACCTCAGAAAACAAGTTGAATTTATACACCACAAGACTTACGGACCAAAAGGACGGGATGCTAAGTCCGGTTAGTTTCCGACGTATTGTAAATTTAACATTTAAGTTTTGAAAACATTTTGTTAAATTAAAAAAATTAATTAAAAACAAAAACATTTTACCTAAAGCATTATTTGTAAAAAAACCTTAATAACTTGAATAAGTATTAAATTTAAAATACGTCGGAAAACATGTTGAACTTATACACCACAAGACTTACGGACCAAAAGGACGGGATGCTAAATCCGGCTAGTTTCCGACGTATTGTAAATTTAACACTTAAGTTTTGAAAACATTTTGTTAATTAAAAAAATTAGTTAAAAATATAAATATTTGACTTAAAACATTATTTGTAAAAAAACTTTAAGAACTTAAATAAGTGTTAAATTTACAATACGCCGGAAAACATGTTAAACTTATACACCACAAGACTTACGGACCAAAAGGACGGGATGCTTAGTCCGGTTAGTTTCCGACGTATTGTAAATTTAACACTTAAGTTTTGAAAACATTTTGTTAGTTAAATAAATTTAGTTAAAAATAAAAACATTTTACTTAAAACATTATTTGTAAAAAAAACCTTAAGTGTTAAATTTACAATACGTCGGAACACAAGTTGAACTTATACACCACAAGACTTACGGACCAAAAGGACGGGATGCTAAGCTCGGTTAGTTTCCGACGTATTGTAAATTTAACACTTAAGTTTTGAAAACATTTTGTTAATTGAAAAATTTAGTTAAAAATAAAAACATTTTACTTAAAATATTATTTGTAAAAAAACCTTAAGTGTTAAATTTATAATACATCGGAAAACAAGTTGAACTTATACACCACAGGACTTACGGACCAAAGGACGGGATGCTAAGCTCGGTTAGTTTCCGATGTATTGTAATTTTAACATTTAAGTTTTAAAAATATTTTGTTAATTAAAAATTTTAGTTAAAATTAAAAATCTTATTTGAAAACTTTTAAATTTAGTTTTAAATTCAAAAATTGTTTTAGAAAAATTAAAAAACAGTTTTTTGGGGACAAAAGCAATAATTAAAAACCTATATTCAAAAAGAAGGAAATTAAGATATGTACCTGTTGCTCGTGATATCGTTGAAACAGAGAGATTAATCTATCATCCTCTGGCGACGTTTGTCCCAGCCATGGAAACACACCAACGCTGCTATTGGCTCGTCACTTTTCACTGCCCCTCTCTTCATTACCCTCTTTCCCGTTCTCGCATCCTTCGCCGCCGTCTTGGTGCCCTCCTTGGCCGATGTTGACAGAATCCATCGGTGTGAAATTAGGGGAGACATGACCTGAAATCGATATGGATTTGACGGAAGATGATGTAATCACCACAGAGGATGGAGATCAATCATGAAACGAGATTGCTGATAGTTGTTTGTTGCAGAGATCATCGTCGTGGAGCCACCTCTGTAAGGGATTCACAGAGCTTTGTCAGAGAAGAAAACTGCATAATATTATGCAGACAAGAGAATGAAAGATGGAAGAATTCTTTTGTTTTTGGTGTCGAAGAAGAAGAAGAGAGAAAGAGAGAATTTAGATTTCTTAAGGAAGAAGAGAGAATGAGTGATGTTGGACACTAGGGTTCAGGTATGTATTTATAAAGCAAAGGTTCTTCAAATTAAAAAAAAAAAAAGAAGGAAATTTCGATTGTTTCCTTTTTTCGACAAGTTTTATTTCCTTTTTTCTTTCCGACGAGTTTTGTAATTTCCTTTTTTCGACGAGGTTAATAAGTTTGTTTCCATTCTTTATGTTTGGGCTTCGAAAATTAAAATTGATCACAACACTGAAAGCAGGAGCCATCAATGTTTTGGTTAGAACCAGCGTAATCTTTATAACTTGTGGACCAAGAAAACAGTCTGATCAACTGTGAGTCTTTTGCATATCTCTTCAATAGATATAATACACACACAAACAAGGAATCCACAAGATGATGTTTTTGCTAATTGTCACTCCAAAAGACAATCTACAATTGTGAGCCTTTATACAATGATTTACAGATTTCTACTTTAGACAAACAAAAACAGAACACAATGATATACACTCAAAACAAACCAAAAACTTCTTTGTCTCATAGCCAGAAGTAAAAGCATTGCCTGTTTCAATAAACATGCCAAATGTGTGTTAGTTGTAATCAAATACTAACTAAATTTTACCAGTCAAAAATCCGAATGCATATACCTCTTGAACAGAATAATGGTTAGGTTGTAAATTCTCCACTGTATTCAAGCTCTTCTTTACTTGAGATGATTGCACAAAACTTAGCTCCTCCTTCACTTCCTTCAGTTGAAGATGATGACAAAAAAAAACATGTATGTTTAATCGGCAGTCCACAGATTTGAGCTTCTATCTCCTTGCGTCTCTGAAATATTCAAGAATTACTTCTACGACTTGTTCGAAACCAAAATATAAGATATGTGTCTTTCTATGTTTATATACATTCTTCAACACCACTGCACCCTTTTTTTTGTCTTTCTATATGAGTAACTAATGTCAGACCAAACATAGATTATCTGTACATATTTAAGCACAATAAGATTGATGCTCAGGTGCCTGTTCCGAGGTAACCATTGCTACCTGCAGAACTTCCCATTGCGGCTCCAGGTATATCACGGACCAGAAACTTCACTGTATGTTTTCTCATACTGTTAAATATCTCGAAGCATTCATGGAGATCAGAATCTGTGACCAACATCACCCATTCTTCTTCATCATCCAAGTATTTCAACTGAAAGGCACTTTCTTGGAGCTTGAAACGCTTAGCCACTTCTCTGTAGAGCTGAGAACACCCAACAAGATATGGATCAAGCTTGAAACGTACAGTGTCCTCTCTATAAGTGGCTTTTACTGTCAGTGTTGAACTTGATCCGCTCTCACCGCTATTGTTATGAGTTCTTATTTGGTTCCAGTTTTGTTCCATGGAAGTAGATGAACTTCCCAACAAAACTGCTCCTGAGCTATTTGATGAATCCGACATGCTGCTTGATATGGATTGGTTTGGTTCTACCATTCCATTACCGCGCTCGATTCCTGTATTCATATCATCGCCTGCAAGTGCTACGGAGCTCAAGCACCTACGAACACAAAGGTCTTTATCCTTCTTTACCTCTTCACTCATTTTTCCTATATCAATATCATCACTATAGATCAAGCCAGACTGTTTGCTTATCCAAGTCCATGGCTCCTTCAAGGATCCTGAACACAATGAGAATAGCTTTTGTTAAATCATTCACATTCTAACAGCTTCTCCAAAAAACAAAATTCTATATAGTTATTATTACCTGATCCTGCTTGGTGGTTTGTTTCAACATCCTCCTCCAACTTGACCCCGCCACCATCATGAGATTTACCTTCCAAAGGCTCTAATGACGCATCTTCATCCATATCACCTTGGCTTCTTGCAAGTGCATCTTCATCATGAGAAGACAGACTCTTTTGAGTATCAAATTCTTGTATAAAAGGGCCAACTGCTACAAATTCCCCTGTTACCGAGTCAAATTTCAGTCCTCCTTCTACACCTTGGACAGAGTCAAGCACTGTCTGTATTTTCCTTAGTGACCTATTCACTTTGTTAATCTTGCGAGATGGCCATCTCATGATTCCGTGTTGTCTACATATCCGTTTAAGTGTAGTCGGACAAACTGCAGAAGGAAAGAAAAAGAAAAACATCCAAGTCAACAATTGAATAACTTGTAAGGGAAACAAGCAATGAGCACTAGTTCTCACCACCAAGGCTTTTTGCAGCATCCTTTAAGCTCCCAGAGAAGTATTGTTGGAGAACATTTAAGCTCACATTCTTCTCTGTACTGCTTTTCTTCTTCTCTGATCTTCTTGCTCCGCTAATTTCCTATGTAAGATGTAAAAAATACTCAGTCTCTATACCTAGCAACATATATCAAAATATCTATAGGCCATGCACTATCTAGAAATGGATTAGATGCATCATTACCTGCTGAAGAGTGCCTTGAGAACCTGCCATTTCATTTCTTTTATCAGAGGACATGTTCGAAAAGTTACTTCGAGTAGAGTTGACGTTAGTATCCGGAAATGTTGTCTGAAAGCTTCCATCGGATACAGTAGCCTGTGGGAGATTTGTCATTTCTCCACTAAGAAATCCAAATTCAGTACCTTCAGCTGATTCGGCATCTGAAACAGTTCTTAGAGTTCGACATATTCTCTGCATCGTGCCCGAGAGACTGTCCAGCAAAAGTTGTTGTTCTGAGCTTCCCTTCATACTTACAGGTAAGAAAAACTCAAGTATATAGTCTCTGTCACCAGTGAATGTGCTCCTCAGTTTGGTAGCAACTGCAGCATTAAGACCAAACTTTCGAGCATGTTGAACAAGAGGGTACTCGCAGATATCAAATGTCTTTACATCAGATGAGAAAGACGGTTTGTTTGATACGAGTGCTTTGCCAACAATTCCTTGCCCTTCTCTTAGATAATGCTCCAAACATGCATTCACAAAGCCTTCCATTTCCATATCATTCACATAACATGCTGTCTCTTCTATGCAAAGAAGAGAACATTCCTTTGAATTTTTGCCATAAATCTTTACCAATTCACCGTTTGCTCCCTTGGAGTAGCTACAGGGAATCCAAGCTAGAGCTAAAGGCAACCTATGTGCATGACACACTGCTCTGAGAACATCTCTTATTTCAGCCAAAGCTTCTTTTTGATTACTTGAAAGGTACTAAAAATTAAAACAAAGACTCTATAAGATTAAGGCACAGAATTAAAAACAAGAAAGAACCAGTTATAATTTTGCTCAGATGTACCTGACAACGAGGAATAGTTGATGTTTGTAAGTTCACGGCCTGACAAAAATAGACAAAAACATGAGTCTCGCCGCGATTATTGTTTCATATTACTTGGTCTTGGTGGAGTATAAGAAAATAAAGAAGAATCAGCAATTAATCAAATTTAGAGAAGATTTCCTCCAAACCTCACTTGTAAAAAACTTCATTTTCTTCTAGTTATTCTCTACTAATGAAGAAGAACACTAAGCACTGGATGGGATTAGATAAAAGAAAGACACATACACACAAAGAGAAGAGAGATAAGATTAGTTAACCTGCAGAGCACGGCAAACAGAGTCCATCTCCACATCAAAGTTTGGTTTTTCCCTACATGTTACAAGTTCCAGGACTGTACAACAAGAAGAACCAAATGCTTCAAGGACAGGAATTGCAATCGAACCACGGACTTCGTTGTCTAGTGCATGCTTCATCCTTAAATATTCAGCAGTCTTGTAATAAATCACGTTTGATGTCCACTCAGGAACTCCAGAGATAAAGACTCTGCCTGGAAGACCTGGATAAGAGCACTGATTTGCTTCTGCAGAGAAAGTGAATCTCCTCGACACTTCACGGTATCCAGATAGCCTCGAGTCAAGCAGATACGCCTGATCACAAGTACTAAGCATGTACTGATCTCCTGTCTTAATAGGAGTCCAAAACTGTGCCAGAATTCCCTCTCCAGAGAACTCCATAAACAAACTTAATGCTTTGAGCAACTTCTCATCAAGAGAGTGGCTTAATGACCTTGGAACACTACTCGTCTGATTATTACCTTTGCTTCGTTTACCGCTTATCTTTTCGGTATCAGATAGGCAATAAAACTGAGAGCTCATCTCCTGTACCGGTCTTTTTTCGCCAGCGTATGAGCCTTCTAAGCCACCAAAAGTCGTAATATATTGAGAGGTCGATAAATCGTATTGAGTGAACAAGATATCTGTAGCGGAAGGGCTGTTGCACCATGAAGCAAAAGATTCGAAATTCATAAGCTCTGAAGTTGAAGAGGAGCTAAACATATCTTCTTCAGAGACCAAATTCTTAACCCAACCATCCATTTCTTCTACTGGAATATCTGGGAAATAGAAACCTTTGTCTCTGGATGATGATGGGTTCTCCATTCTTTTGGTTGCTGAGATTGGCCAAAGACAGAGACTTTTTGTTTCCTGACTGGTTTGGTTTCCTTGCTTTAGCAGTTTGGTCCAATTGAGCAATGTTAATCAGTAGTACCCTACACATGGAAGTAATTGCAAACACTAAATTATTCATTTGTTCATAAATTACGAAACAGGACAAACTTCACCGCAAGGAAAAGAAAAAAAAAATCCCAAATCCGAGAAGTGAACATCCAAAACATGTAACAATTTTGCTATTGTTTGGTTGGAATAACGTAAACAATAACAAGACATTGAGGAGGAATCTAAGAGTCATCATCTAGTTGCAATTTTAAAACAAACCCCACAAAAGAAAAGAGAACCAAATTTTGAGTTTTAGACCTGAACCTGGAGCATGAAGCTAAAAGAGAGTGTTAAAGAGTTGAAACTTGAGTGGGTATTGAGGAAGAGAAAGTTTAAGCCACAGAGGAAAGATAAAAGAGGAAATTTTATTTAAAAAAAAATTGGAGTAGTAAAGCCGATTTGGTTTCAGTTAGAGGAAATTGCGGTAGAAGCTTACTCTTAAGCTCGTGGGAGCTACATCAGCAGAGAAACGGTTCCTTCCATTAATGGAGGAGAGACTCTTTTGAGCTTTTTTTTTTTTTTTTTTAGAAAGGAAGGTGAAAAATGATTTTTTTTTTCATTTCTTGGAATCGCTAATTTAAAAACGCGATTTTAATTGTTATTATACTCTCTGCTTTTGGCGTGTGTGTGTGAGTCACTGAGCCGTAAAAAAACGACCCCACTACCACGGATGACGTAATGAGAAAAAGTAAAGTGAATCTCTTTTTATTTTTTTGATATTATTTTCTTCTTTTCATTTTTTTTTTTTTTTTTTTTTTTTTTTTTTGTCGCAAGAGTGTCTGTTTTATATCATAAGCCAGTATCAAAGCCAGCATTAAAAAGATTCAGTTGATCAAAAGCATAAACTAACAACGATTACAAGAAGAAATTATCACATGACAATAATCTTCTTTTCATTTTAAAGGCAGGAATGTAAATATTCCTGAAAATTTTGTTTATGTTTTGTGATTTCAAAACCGTAGATATCAATTTAAATAGAAGAACAATATAGATTTGATTATTATTTTAAATGGATATTGTAGATAAAAAATTCAGCAAAACAAAAAATACAGAATTACAGATAACGAAAAGGATGACAAAGGATAACTTTAATCTACAGTGAAGAGGAAAATGACACGTGGACAACAGTTAGATTTGGGAAGACATAAATTGCGTAATCTGACGTAAACTCTTCTCTCCTTCATTCCCTCTTTCAATCAGAGAGCTGTCACTTTCTCCTCTTTCTCATGCCGACTTTCCTTATTAAACAAAACCTTTTATTTAATTTTAAGCGACAAAATATGGAAATAAACTCTTTTCTCTTCTCTATTTTTGACTTTATTAATTTCTGCTTGGCAAAAAGAACAACTAATGTAATGATAGGTTTGGAAAGAAAAATAGATTTGAGTAAAGGAGACAACTAATGTGTTACTAGCAGTGTTCTAAAAAGCGGTCTAGGCGGTCGCCTAGGCCCCGACTAGGCGCTAGGCTCTTATGCGACGCCTAGATAACCGCCTTGACCGCCTAAAATCACACAGATCTTGTTTAATGTATTTTTTCAATTTCAATTAGAGTTTTATTTATATATATAGTTATAAATATTCATATATTATTTAATATAAATATAAATAAATGTTTTATCTAGTTTTTGTTTATAATTTCATAATTTTTAGTTTTATATAGATATTTTATATAACTTTTATACATAATATCATATTTATAATGTTTTATGTTATAAACGTCTAAACCGCCTAAAAAATCGCCTAGGCCCCGATTAGGCGTTCTAGGCGCTAGGCTTTGAGTCACCGCCCGCTTAGCGCCTAGCGCTTTTTTGAACACTGGTTACTAGTAATCGGTAAGATTAAGTTAATTCATAATTTGTTGCCATTGATACAGGTTTTCATTAAAAAAATAATCTTCCACTATTTTGCTATATATGCTGTCGTGAGCTTAATGACTATAGTATCTGTTTTCCCCATTAAAATATTCTTTTGTTTACTGCTTATCTTTTTTTTTTTTTTTTTGACAGCATTTACTGCTTATCTATGTCACTCTTTTTTGTTTACTTTCGTTATTCAATTAAAATATTTTGCATAGTAATACGGATTGTCATAAGCAAGGATCATCCTAATAAGCCATTTTGTTTAGACAGTTTTGTATTTAATTAATAGACCACATATTAGTTTAAAATTTGCTTTGGATCTCCCATAGTATAGGAGCGTCTGTCGGCAGAGATAACAATTCTTAATACACATGAAAAATAATTAATTATTTGCAAATAGCAGAAGACCAAAAATATTTTAAACACCATAGAAAAACAATAATTGTATCATCTTCCATAAACTAGTCTGTCATATATCTAAGCGTTAATCAGTATTTTTAGAAAAGTCTTATTCACCTACAAAGAGAACATATTATTATTCAAACTGACTTATTCATATAGTGATTTCTTGATACAATCTAGAGATTAGTGTGGTTTGTAGAACTCTTTTTTGTTCTCTTTCATTTTTTGTTTCATCGTTGTTGAGAACTTCTTGTATAATTAAGAGGATTACATGAAATATCAAATATACATAGCTTCTTCGAGAACATCAAAGTATGTGTTACCCGGGGCATTAAAGTATACATAAAATTATGGGCGCTTATGTCACGAGTGATCCACTTCCTCTTGTCGTTACATGTTATTCTCCTTAAAACAGATTCCTAAAAGTAGAGATAGGAAGAATCCTGACCGTCCAATTTTTCTTTCCAAGATTCGGATTCTCTTTTAAGATTCCTTAGCTCCATACGTGGAATCTTCAACAATATACAAAGCCTACCTACGTATCTTGTAGCAATGTGCTTGTTCCCCTATTTGCTGTTGACATCTTTTTAACTCTTTAAACCCTTCTTTAATTTCCTTAGTGTGATTAGTATTTTTTGCATTACCTATGTGATGTAGGGATTATATATATAACTCGTTTATTTTCGTGTCGGCACGTAACTAGTTTGTCTTCTAAATTGAATCAAATTAATGTACAGTGTATATGATTTAAAAACTGAGTTTAGATACTCAATTTCAAATTTTTAACGGGTATACGAAGGTCTAATAATAAAAAAGCCAATGGTCTAATCAAAATCGTACTCTCCAAAATGGTTTTGATTTGTCTTAAATATATTATCGGATTGTCTTATATATTAATTTGGTTCAAGTATTTTACGATATGTAGAGAAAAAGAATCTGTCAACAGAAAAAAGAGAGGAGTATTTTAGTCCATGTTCGCTGTACATAAGACTAATTTAAAAGAAGGAAGTATATTCATAATTTCATATCATGTCATGGTTATTAGAACAGGTGTACCTTTTACTACTTCTTTTATATCAAAAAAATAAAAAAATAAATAAAAGGAAGTCATCATAATATTCAATCGCAGTAAAGTAAAGAAAACTTTAATAAAGTTGAAATATAAAAATGTTAACGTCGAAGTAGAAGATTTCCACTGTAATTATCTTTTTCAGGTAATGTCAACTTATGACGTTGGTCGCTTTCTAACATCGAATGATACATTGATGAGTGCGTAACCTTAATTATTTTCCCTTTCATTGTTACATTTAATAGAAGAGAAGACATTTTTAGTATACACAAAATTTTAAATAGATGATAGTTCAGTAGTTTGCCACCTGTGTTATCTTGGCTCACCACCCAATTTTCATTTAGTAGCTTTCTAATTGGCATAAAATAAAGCTAGCTAGGTCCGGCAAAATATTTAGTATGAATAAAAAGATCAACTTGATCAAAAAATCTAGTGCGATCAATATAATACCAATTATCAACGATCATGGATTGAATTCAATTCATATAGAGTTATTATCTTGCGGACGAAATCGTTCGCTGTGGTCTTTTTAGGTTTGGACCATCCGTCTTAGATAAACCAAAACAGGCCCATCCTTTAGGCCCATTATGTATCACCTCAAAATCTTATTATGGGAAATTAAGAAGAGAAGTCAACAAATATATAGTTTTTCATGAAAAATGAAATAAATATGAAAATTATGGGATTTGCTCAAACATTTTTATTTCTTAGATCTATCTGATGAACAACATGTGTAATATGTTTGGCAAATCCACCGGTCCGGCGTGACTAATTAATCTTCTTCTTCGTACAATTACTTTTTCTAAATTCTCACGAAACATATATATATATATACTTTTAATATTGTTGTCGATTTCATTTCAGCTCTTGTTCTCGCACAGCTTCGTAATTATCAATATCTCAGTTTTGAGTTTTGAGTACGAACAAATATAAGAAGTTTCTTGATAAAAGTGTAATAAAATTGACTAATTGAAATGTCAACCTAAATTAAAAAGAGAAACTTTAGCGAAAAAAGAGACAGGAGAAAAGAGAGAGCGCACACAAATCAACGGAGAAGAAAGACTTTCCCTGGGAGGAAAAATGTTCACCGGAGAGGAATGTCCTCCATGATCATCTACAGGTTCTCTCTCTCTACATTTTGAGTATCGCATTCACCTTTTTATGCATTTCATTGCTCATCAAAGGATCTACGGCGTTAGATTTATTCGTGTAGCTGCATTATCCGTTATATGGAAGCTCTTCTACCGATTTCTGTTGTGGGATTCCAATCTAAAGTCGAACGGGATCGAATGATTCATGTTTGTAGATTCCTATGTCGTCAAGTTTTCAAATTTCAAAGCTTTTATATCTCGGATTATTCATTTTTGGCTGTGAAATTGAGTTTTTTTCTTCTCGTTATGAATTCCTTTTGTGTTGGGGTGGTTTCGGGTATCGGTTGATATCGCTTGGTCACTGGTTATTTCTCTTTTGATTGTCAATGGCCGATATAGCAATGTGTGTCTGTCCGTTATATGTGAAATCTTGGCTGTGTTTACTGTCTTGTTGCAGGTTTCTTTGCTGCTTTTGGGCTGTGTTGAGAACGGATGATTCCTTTTCTCAAGGAAGAATTGGGAATTGGGGAGGCTTGGTGTGTGTGTGTTTTGATTACTGATGTTTTCTGGTGGAGAGGGAAAGAAATGGACTTGTCGGAAACCTGGTCTTGTAAGTCTACAAAAAGTGGTGGCATCTTTGCTTCGGGATCTGAGCCAGCCTTGTCTTTCACAATCTGGGATACAAGTTGTTTTAAATGTAAGGCTCTTTTCCTTCACCCTCTATTTCATGCTTTTATTACCAGATGTAGTATTGTCTCTTCTTGGAAGAAGATGATTATAAGTGTTTCGAATGTACAGATCGGCAAAATGCTTAAGCCTGAGAAATGGCAGGCTTTTTTCGATTGCGATGGAAAGGTTTGTGGTTTCCACAAGGCGCTCAAATTAATTATTTTGGGGGTATGTCTGTTTTTGCAGATGATTTTTTTAGCTGCTCAGGCTAGCCCACTATCGTTCCTTCTTAATTTGGTATTCTAATGCATTCCCTTTGTCCTTTTTAAGGGAATTGACCCATCCATAAGAGCTGAAGTTTGGGAATTTCTCCTTGGCTGTTATGCATTGAGCAGCACCTCTGAGTATCGTAGGCAACTCAGGGTAGCTCGAAGGTTGGACAGTTTGTTTGCTTTGATCTTGTATCGTGATGGAGTGCTAAGTGAAACTCGAGTTTAATGGAAAAAGCTTAATGCGCTGTTCATAATTCATGCAGAGAACGATACAATGAGCTGCTCAAGCAATGCCAGATGATGCATTCTAGTGTGGGAACTGGTTCACTTGCCTATGTTGTGGGATCTAAAGTTATGGATATGCGAAAATCATACAAAAATGAGGTTGTAAAGGAAGCTATAGATGAAGGCATAGAAGCTTGTTTAGATGGTAATGAGAACACTGAAGATCACGGTGATTGGAGTAATAATGACACCGACAAATCTCCTGTGCACAGAAGGGGAAGCTCCAGTGAGTCAGTTGACCTAGTAAATGGAAGAGAAAGTCCTGATAGCACAGTATATGAAACTTCTCCTTTTGTACCCGCGTCCAGTCCATATGGGCATGGCTTTCCTTCCCCTGGTCCATTTGCAGATGATATCTTTGACTTTCCCTCTCTACCGGTTACAGATTTGTTTGGGAGGAGTAGTTTAGGCAAGAAAGGGATTTCTACTCCAGATGAAGAAACTTCAACGCATAGTGACTTAAGATCGGAGGATGAGAGAATGCACAGTTTTCGAATTTACAATAATGCAGATTTAGTTATAGAACCGCATGGGTCTTCTAATAACAACGTAACTGTACATCATGAATCTGTTGAAAAGTTGTCTCATTCTGGCTGCACGTCAGAGATTGTTGATGGTTTGAGAATATCAGATGTCCCTGAAACGCCGTCGGCAAGTGAGGCTCCTACTCGAGGTGGGTCTGTAAAGGAAGATCGAGTGTCTGAATGGCTTTGGACATTGCACCGAATAGGTACCAGTTTTGCGCATTTCTTTTATTTCAAGATCTTGCAGGAAATCTTGCTTTTCAGTTTCAGTCTGCGCATGTTAATGGTCACTTATCCAAATTAATTATTACTTTTTGTTTCCTCAGTTGTTGACGTGGTAAGGACAGATAGCCACCTTGAGTTCTACGAGGATCCAGGAAATCTAGGAAGAATGTCAGATATCCTTGCGGTCTATGCTTGGGTTGATCCTGCAACTGGTTACTGCCAAGGTCCCAAATCTCTCTTGGGTTGGGTTTGTAATTATAAAACGGCACTCGTATGAGTTCATACTAATGTAGGATACTAAATGTCTGTTTGCAAATCTGTTGACAGGAATGAGCGATTTAGTGTCTCCATTTGTGTTTCTTTTTGAAGATAATGCTGACGCCTTTTGGTGCTTTGAAATGCTCATAAGAAGAACGGTATTCCAATGCTTACTGATATGTAACATATGTTTTGGTTTTTCCCCCAACAATTGACAAAGGCTATGGTGTAATTTGATATTCTTTTGCTATGTGGCTATTACTGTAGCGTGCAAATTTCCAGATGGAGGGACCAACTGGAGTGATGGATCAATTGCAATCACTGTGGCGTATATTGCAACTTACAGATAAAGAAATGTTTTCACACCTATCACGTATTGGTGCTGAGAGCCTTCACTTTGCGTTCCGGATGCTGTTAGTGTTGTTTCGACGAGAGTTGTCTTTTAACGAGGCTCTAAGGATGTGGGAGGTTGGTAATTCTTCTGTTGTTTTCTTTGTGTTGCCAGTTTCTTATTCACTCTGGTCCTTTATCTTATAGCCCACAAAGTAGTTACATATTTGTGATAGGTTTCCTTGTGGTGAGAAAACAGAGTAGAAAGCTGGAAAACAAATTGATTTTACTTTTAACTACATATTTTGAATTTGATTTAGCTGTTGAAACTATAGTATTTAGATGAATTTGTGTCTCACTCATGATAACAAATGGATTTTAGTTATGTAGTGGTTGCAAGAGCTTGGTAGAAAAGTAAACCTTGGATTTCTTATTATACATATATGTGCCTTCACTTATCAGATTCAAAACTCTTGCATGGATCTTTATCTGTTGTAGATGATGTGGGCTGCTGATTTTGATGAGTCTTTTGCTGAAACTTTAGAGAAGGATTGCTTGAAGCCGTTGGTTGTTCAGCTTCCAAAACGATCTGGAGTTGATATGGGGGACCATAAAATAGATGATGGAAATGGCACTACTACATATTGTGAACCAACTTCGAAGAGCGACCGAACTTCAAAGAACGGACCATTGTCAAAGTGCAGTCTGTTGTCCAAGAGGGGTCTACTGCCAGAAAGTGGTCCATTGCCAAAAACTGGTCCGCTGTCTGATGATACTGGGATGAAGCCAGCAGGTTCATCCAATTTTTGTGGCTTGACAAGAAGTTTATGGTCTAGGAATGAAAGAACCCATGTCTCTTCTGTAGTTTCATCCTGTGGGAAAGGAGATGACCCTCTTCCAGTCTTTTGTGTGGCAGCTATTCTAATCATGAATCGGCATAAGATCATGAAAGAAACTCACTCGATCGATGACATGATAAAGGTAGCATGTTTTTCACTGCATTTGTGCATGTTGGGCCTTGTTTCTTTACTGAACACTACTGTTTCTCTGCACTATATGTAGTGGTGATGTCTTTATACTATGTTGAAACTTCTTACTGATTTTAGATATTTGCAGATTTTTAATGACAAGCTGCTTGCAATTAGAGTGAGAAGATGCATACGTACAGCCATAAAACTTCGTAAGAAATACTTGTACAAGGTTAGATGCTCAACAAGTTGATTCTTCTGTTTATTTTTTCGAAATTCTTTGATAGTGATTGAAATTTTATATCTCAAAGCATTCATTTATTAGCGTATCCTTATATATTTAGGGATAAAGTATACACATAACTTTCATGTTATTGACACTGCCGAAACACATGTCTAGCTTTGTTGCATCTGGCCATCTTCCTTTTCCTCACATCTAACTGTATACCTTTTATTAGAATCAGGTAATCAAGATTGAGAGCCACACTCAATCTCAGAATCATAAACAGCATCAGATACAGAATCAAACCGCGATGGAGAACCAAATCCTAGAGGAGATTCAAAGTCATGATGAGAACTGTAGCCAAAGGCCAAGTTTATGCAATAGTCATGTCCCTTAGAGAATGATGAGTATGATAGATTCCACCTATAATTGTTAACTTTCTTTCTAGATTTTAGTCAGCGAAAATATACAAAAGAGTACAGTTTTAGAACCGGTAGGTCATCTTTAGATTTTTTAAAAGGTTTTGCTATTTAAAGATTCATGAGGCTATCTATGTATACTCTTGTCTTCGACAACTTTTTGAGGTAATCCATTTTCTTTTTGATCTAATATTCTTATCATTAAGGGTGGTCTTTAATTAGCAACCTGTAAACACACAAAACATAGTAAAGTGTAACAAGATCGTGGGCAGGCTTCATACGTGGAGGGATAGTTGTTTGCATTCTTTACATGGTACATGACTCCTCTTGCTTGTCTTCGGATTTGTGGGCCTACTATGATCCCACAGGTGGTATACGAGATGGTTTGATTGAGAGATGCTGCTCCAAGTACCCGATTATTTTTGTGATCGATATTTTTGATTCTGTTGGGTTCGAGGACTTTCTCTATGATACACATGTTAAGAGCATCTATTCATTCATTTCCAGAATCATAGAGAATCTCAAAAACTTGTTTTTTACAACATGGTCACTTTTAACTCAAGTGAAGTATTGACTAATGATGAATTTTAGACGTTTACCCATGTTTTCTTCGAGTAAAGCTTTACTTGAACAAAATGTAATCAAACCAGGTATCAACAAATTAAGAATGACTACTTCCTCGTCTCGCTTCAATGCTAATAATATACATAAATAAGTCTACTAAGCATTGTTTATTCATGTTTGAACCTTTGAAAAAAGGGCAGGCATCAACTTCAAAGTGATATCGCCATAGGGTCGGTCCTGTTGCATATCTATAAGTCCCCTAGACTTCAAAACCTGCAGTTCAAAGACAACTCGTCTAAGCTAGAGGCAGTCCAGAGATAGAAAAAAAAACATGTATCGAGATTCACTCACCAGTGTCTCAAAGAACATTCGAGCAGCTAGCTTCCTTGTCTTTCCTGCCAAGATCTCGCTCAAACTTAGATCTCCAGAAGGATGGCTTGATGTTGGACTACTTGAAGAACGTTGTCTAAGATACTGAGCCAAGGCTCTGCAATGTTCAATGAATGTTACAGGTTAGTAGAGAAACAGTAGGATCTTAAATCCACATGGTTTTTGGAATATGTATACCTTGCTCTCCCTGTCAAAGCATCAGAATCTTGACTAGCTGGTGTTCCTACTGGGGTATTGCCACCTACCTCCAGGAAATAAAGTTCCTGTATGGCACATGCAAATGGTATTGCTATCAAGGTTAGCGAACCACCAAGAATGGTAAAAACAAAACACGCAAACATGTGAGAACAAACCTCATTAGTCGTTTCAGAAACAGGTGAAAGCCCTAAATTTCTTGGTCCAGGCAAGTCCTCTGGAACTGTGGAAGTTGAAGGCTCTGTTCTGTAAGATTCTGTCTCCCAAGTTCCAGGCTGAGTGGTGAAGTCATTGGTTCTAAAAGGTGAAGATCTTGGAGGTGGTGACGGCATGTACACAGGGAAACCACCATCCCTTAAATGTTCGATTCCCATGTCATCATTATCAAATGTCTGTGGAGATTGTGCTTCTGTTGCTACAGACTCTGCATGCGTGGGTCGAGGACCTGTAAAGTCTTGGGCATCTTCAGTTTGCTGAACTGGAGATAGCTGAACTGTACTGTCTGGATTAGTAGAATCAGGAACGATAACTCGTGGAATTGGAGAGACCGGATTAATTTCTGTTTCAGCTTCTCGAGTAGGAGATGATACAGATGAAGGTTCAGGTAAAGTTTCATCAGAAACAGCAAGATATGGCTTCGAAGCTACATAGTCCTTTTCAAAGACACTGCGTAAAACATCTGACAAGCCTGCAGATAGACATGAACAGACAATAATCTTTCTTCAAAAACCTTGGGAAAAAGAAGGCAAAACTGTCGAAAATAAATAATCAACAGAAAATTACCAGTAAACAAGGGCTCATCGAAATTTTGATCCTTCCTTGACTGGTTATTCATTCTCCAAACATTTACTTTCGATGAAGGCATTTTCTTTCTCTTACGTAGAGTATCACTAGGATCCTCAAGCCTTTCTTTTATGTACCTGTTTAAATTCTTTGATCAGTAATAATATAATCAAAGTCACATGAACCAACGGAAAAGTTATCACCTGTTGGTTAATACGAAGACCTCATCAAAGTTCTTCCTCTTCCTTTTCCTTCTTTGTGGTGGGGGAGGAGGAGATGGCTGAAGCACCAGTTGAGGTGATGGATGCACTTAACATAAAGAAAAAAGTGTTTTAAATAAATAATAAGATAGAGAATGTAGTCGTTAAGCTTAAAATTATCAGACTTTGTTGTTTACTCACCAAAATTTGCACGTTCTTCCTCAGAACCAGCAGAACTTGGAGATCCTGAGCGAAGCTCAAACGCCGAATGCCTTCCAGAATTTAACATTTCTTCATCAATACTAGGGATAGTGGGTTCCTTCTCATTCAAAGTTTCATCTAAAGACTCAGTGCGTTCAACTCTGATATTCTGTTGTTCTGCAGCAAATGATGGATGGGAAGTGGGGCTTAGATCATGCCCAGCGTCACGCCTTTTCTCAATCTCGGGAACACTTCCAGGAGAATTGGCATCGTTTCTCTCGGTATTGGGATTGATCTCTTCTGTCAGGTTACTTTGTCTAGGATCCTGGACTTCAGGGAATTCCTCTGTGACGTTACGAGGACTATAGGTTCCAGTATCAAAAGCAATATTGGAGTCTCTTGGCTCATTGTCTGGTCCTGCCTCATGAGCCGTTTCAACATCAGTTTCTCCGTTATGCCCACTCACAGGTTCTGTTGATTGGCTGCTCAAATCATAAAAAGAGGTAAGAACATTAAAAGAGCAGATCAACTAAACAGATAAGGAAGAGTAAGAGCAAGGTGTAGTAGAGGAAATCAAAACTTTATGAAGAGCCTCACTCGACATCCATCGGGATAGATTCTGAGATGATGTCCTGTAAGAAAGACATACAAACTTTCGTTAAAGAACAAGTGCTCGGAGACATGAAAACCAGTAGTCAGAATCAAAGCCGTCATCTCACCTCGTCGAATGTTACAGCAACATAAGGATCAATGCCAGTAGGAATTTGATCTGCAAAACAAGTATCAACATCATAAACACCTTGAAATCATGGTACACAACATCTAAAACCAAGTAAAAAAAACAGGTAAAAGGTACCTGTTAGAGTAATATCTTCCTCACTCCGAGTATGATTATCGAATTCCCTATGATTCACAAGAAAATAATATGAAAATGTTAAGATCACTCAAGCTTTATAACAGATCAAAACTCCAATAAAAGCTAGAAAGATGAATACATGTCGAGTGTGTCATCTTCCAAGTCGAACTCATCCAAATTTAGTGCTTGAGGCAAAGTCACAGACTCAGGCGGCGCCTGTCTCGCATCCTCAGGCAAGTTAACTTGAGTAGAAACGAAAGCCTTAGCGACCCAAGTATTAAGGAGATTCCAGTCATTGTAAAGATAATCGACTTTCTTTGAATATATTCGCACAACCCCAAATAGAAGGTGACCTGACAATCTCAATGCTAATGGTGCTTCAGGAAACATTATTTTATCTGCAAAAGCCAATTGCGTAATTTTAAAATCTACAAAATTAATCAACAATTCTCTGCATAACGAATCAAAATTTTCTAAAAGTCAAAACTTTTATCAAAGCAGGCGAAATTATGAGAATTTCAACCACTATAATGGGTAATATTTGGTGAATGCCCATGTAAAAATTCGAATTGTCTTTCGAATTGGATACAATCAAAGGGGATTTAAAAAAAGAAGTGAGCTTTGGATGAAAAAGCAAAAATTGAAGAGAGGAAAGACGAACCAACAGTTTCGGGGATGTTGACGGCGGTGTACTGAGACTTTTTGAGGCGATGTTGCACATGAGCGGCACACCACACCGTCCCCAATGGACCCTTTCGAGCCAAAAGCGTATGTGAATAAAACATTTAATTCTTTCGAACAAGGAGCCCTGAAGAAGCAGAGATGGAGAGACTGAAGTCGATTTGAGAGAGAAGGATTATCGAATCGAAGGTAATTATATATAATTTAGAGAAACCAATCAATTTCGAATACGAAACTGCAGAGCGAAAGAGGGAGAGAGAGACGAAGAGGTTAGGGCTTTATGTGCTTTTGGAGAAAAAAGCAGAGATTTTTAGTGGAGCGGGAAAAAAACATTTAGTGGCGCTAATGTTGAAAATCATAGGAGAATCGAGGCAATGACTTAAATACCCTTTTCTCACTGGATCCGATTTTTTGAAGTTTGTAAAACAAAACAAATTGGGCCACTAAACCCAATAGTTAAATTGTCGGATTAATGGGCCTTGAAGGGTATATTTGGAAATTCCTATGTATGAGACTCTAGGGTTTTCTTCATATTTAGGGTTCTCTACTTCTCTCAGACGCTGGGTTCTGGCTTTTGCTGTTTGTTGTTCTCTTGAGTGGAAGAAAGTTGCAGCCACATAACCAGATCCGACAATGGTAAAACTTTCGTTGTCTCTCAGTTTTTATCATTCTTTCAAGAAGATTATTGAAGCTTATTATTATATGTTTGATTAATTGTTCTCACGACTAGGATCTTAGTAAAGTTTGCATGATTGTGCTGAAAGTAATCAATCTCTTATTGTGGGTTTCTTGTTTAGTTTTTAATAATCTAGTAGATAAGAGTCTTCCTCGTCACTGATCTATTGGTTTAGGTTTCACCTTGAAATGCTTAAGAGTTTTTGTTTTGAATCTCTTGACTTGTTGAGTCATTTCGGGGTTTATGAATATGTATTGATTGAAAATGGGAATTTGATATTGGTAATCTACAGCCGAAGCAAATCCATGAAATCAAGGACTTCCTTTTGACGGCGAGAAGGAAGGATGCAAGGTCTGTGAAGATCAAGAGAAGCAAGGACATTGTGAAGTTTAAGGTCAGGTGCTCAAGGTACCTTTACACACTATGTGTCTTCGACCAAGAGAAGGCTGATAAGTTGAAGCAGTCTCTTCCTCCAGGTTCACTATCTCATCTTCTTCTCTGTAACTCAGCCCAAACATTACACACTTGAAACCTCTCTTATCTCATAACATTTGGTAGATTTTGGCATAGGGATGGGTGTTCCTTGTAGTTGATCACTTTAAAGTTCCAGAATCATCATATTTGTTGGATTTTTGTATTTGAATCCTAATAGGCTTTGGTTAATTCTATTGAAGTCTGTATATATGCACTTTTATTATCACACACGTTTAGCATAAAAGTCTTAGAAATTGGCATGTATAGGTCCCAAGTTGTTTTGGTTCATACTTGAACATGCATCTATCTCTATCAGTAATGTGTTGTGTTGGAATTTTTCTTAATCTGAGTTGAATTTGCCATTTCTTAATTTCAGGTTTGAGTGTGCAAGACCTTTGAAGATCTTTTGAAATTTGGATCTATCATGGTTTTATATACCCTTCTCTTAGGAGATTTTGTTTTTCTTTCTGCTGTCTTTTGAATTACTATGATTCAGACTTCCCTTGAGTTTCTTTGTTACAACTTCAAGACTATTATGAGTTGGATTTGTATTTTTTTTTTTTTTGCTATCGACTTGGTTAGTAATATATATGGCCCCAAAGATCTGGAGTTTCTTATAGTCTCTTATTTGAGAAGAAAGCAGGCACATCAATTAACAAATTTCCTATAATGTTCATGACCAGTCGATAGTAAGATAATCATCATGCAGTTTCATTTCAAGTTAACCAGCAACATATAAAAGTTGCTTGAAAAGTTTAAGTACGTCGTTGTTTAATATGGTGGAATCAAACGTCGACGTTTTGGTGAATAGTAGTCGCTCTTTGCCTTAGTCTCTGTAGTTTCTCTTTATCTTCAACCTTCCAACACTTTCGAGATTTTCTCTAATCAGAATTTGAAAGATTTTCAGATTAACGTCACAGCGCTCTCAATCTTCGTTCTCGTTTCCGTCTCACACTCTCGCAATCACAAGGCATTTCTTCATTGGGTTATCTTGTTTTTCCATTTCACGGGAGTCGAAGAAGACTAGCGATGGCTCCAGTGATGAAGCCTTCCATAGGTCGTGAACCAAACGGATATGGATTTCAATCGAACAATCTCTGGGTCGGTAGTTTAACGACCGATACTACAGAACTCGATCTAGCCGATTTGTTTGGAAGATTTGGTGAAATTGATAGAATCACGGCGTTTTCTTCCCGTAGCTTCGCGTTTATCTACTACAGGCGTGTTGAAGAAGCTGTGGCGGCGAAAGATGCGCTTCAAGGTGCTAATTTGAATGGGAGTCTGATTAAGATCGAATTCGCTCGACCGGTTTGTTCTCATCTCTGCGTTACGTTAGGTTTCAATTGTAGTTTGATGCTTGACTTTTATGGTTTGTTAATGGTTAGATCGATTTTGGGGATTCTTACTCTAGATTCAACAGATTTTGATGTTATACTTTATGCTTGTTTCATTTGAGAAATTGTTATATATCTAGTGTTAGTAGTGACTGTCCCAATCAAATTTAGAACCCACGTTCATGCTTGTGTTGTGGCGGATTTCAAGTTTGGACCGACAAAATTTCGCTACCCGAATAAACGTTTTCAACATCACCAGCTAATCAAAATTCGCCAAAACCACATTACGATTCACGAAAAAGAAAGCAAATGTGTTTCAAACTCGTCTTCTTTTTCTCGTTTATGACCGAATCCGAATTCATAGGTCTGCAGCCGGATTGATTTCATAACTGTTGCTTGCTGTTCGTCGCAAGTCACTCTGCTCAGGTTTTCTACCAAGTCATCAAGGCAATTTTAGGGTGCTCTGATTTAGGAGGCTCGTTTCACAGATACAGTTTGCTATATGTCAATCTCCCAAGATTGAGTATGAACTCAAAATTCCTAGTAAGATTGACTTTTTGCAGCCCTTTTGTAGACGCAAAGGCACCTGAAACTCTTAAGACCACTGTTGCATTGTAAATTCGAAAGTTAGCATATCGAGCTCCAGCAAAACATATCAGTGTCCTTAGCCATGGTCCCTCCGGATCTCGAGTTATAACTGGGGAGTTGGAAAATGTGCAGACTGCGAAAAGCTTGTAGAGCACTAATCGACATGAGTGAATGGGATTGACGGGGTGATACAATCCTCGTAGCTCCTTTAGCCATCACCCATCAGAGATGTAATAGAAAAGGTTACAGCCGCATGGTTGATGACTTGATGGTTTTGTTATTTACCAGTGCGTAAAATCTACCAGCATCTCTGCTTTTCTTGTTTTTCCATCAAATCTCAATAGAGGGTCGAAGAATTGGTGTATTTACCCGCGAATCTTGAATGACACAAGAGGGACTCCTTGCAAACATTATTAAGGTCTTACTGATTTGAGGTGGGCTTGATTCCCTGTAATCAAGGAATGGTTCTTCTGAAGTCGCGTTGTGTGTTTAGGGTAGCAGATGATATGAATTGAAGACAATGGTGTTCTTGTGGATTTTAACTTAAGTGTGATTTTTTCTTTAGTGTCTTATATGTTAAAGTTCTCTTCATGACGACTATGTACGTATCTCGATATTATGAAATATCGTATAGACTTCTTATGGGACTTACTTGTTTGCAGGCAAAACCTTGTAAGAGTCTTTGGGTGGGTGGAATCAGCCCGAGTGTTTCAAAGGATGACCTGGAGGCAGAGTTCAGGAACTTTGGCAAAATCGAAGATTTCAGGTTTCTTAGGGAACGCAAGACGGCTTTTATTGACTTTTATAACATGGAAGATGCTATAGAGGCAAAGAACATGAACGGAAAGAGAATGGGAAATAGCCATTTGCGAGTTGATTTTCTCCGGTCACAAGGGCCACGAAAAGTATGCATCCATTTGTCGGTCCTGTGTACATATGAATATGCTTTAGTAATCCTTTAGTCAGAAATTCCTAATGAGTGCTATAAGTTTCATGAGTTGCATACGACTTCCATGGCTGGAAACTTTCTTGTGCATCTAGGATATTTACTTGTTTCATTCTATTCTTTTTTCTTATAACATCTACATTGCATAATCCATTTGATATTTTTTCATTCTATAACCAACTAACATTATTCTCTCTCTTTAGGAACCATGGCCTGGCTCTAATGATGGCAGGGATGGCAGTTTGAGTGCTAAACAACAGGTTAGGCTTTTTGCTAGAAAGTCTTTTTTTTTTTCTGGTGATATGTATACCGATACTGGCTTTTGACATTTCATGATTGTTAGAGTTTAGTACAAACCTTTGTATTTTCCAAGTTTCTAAAGTTCAATTGCTATATATTTAACAGTATCCTCACTCATTTGGAGATGCTTAAGGAGAACGCCGACCAAGTAATGTACTGAGGATTGGGTACCCTCCTTCTGTTCAGATTGACGAGCAAACACTACACAATTGTATGATACTCTTTGGTGAGATTGAGAGATGTATTAGTTACCCATCAAGGCATTTCTCACTTGTGGAATTTAGAAGCATTGAGGAAGCTCGTTGTGCTAAGGAAGGACTACATGGAAGGTTACTCAATGATCCACGAATCACAATAATGTACTCGAATGATGACATTCCCCCTGGACGAGGAGATGATACCAGTTTTTATTCTGGTGCCAAACGATCAAGGCCTGAGATGTTCGTCAATGATCCTCCATTCATCTCGTCACCGCATTCTAGTGGGTTTTTTGGCTCTATGAGGCCCTTTCGAGGAAGCGTTGAACGTTCACATAGTGGTCCAGAATATAGCGATGTGGTTGGTACAGAAGAAAGCTGGGGGAGGCCATCTCCAACTGAAGCTGGAAAATCTGGAATACTCCCGTTTCCTGCACCACATACAAGGCTACCTGTTAGGTCAAACCGTGGTTCTTGGGAAGGATATGATCCTGCTCAGTTGGATAGAGAACCCAAAAGAACCCGTAGAGATGGACCAGTGGGTGTTTTTCCTTCAATGAGTGTAGATGACCGTGTCACTGGGTTTGACAGGACATATGGGCGTGGGTCAGTTGCAGCCAGGTCCGGCCGTGGTTTCTCTGATACTGATTTCATTTGGAGAGGAATCATTGCCAAAGGTGGAACTACTATTTGTCGTGCTCGTTGTGTACCTTTCGGAAAGGGGACTGAAACTGAACTGTGAGTAATACTTTTGCCTTTCCGCTTTTCCGTGTATAGGAAGTTTTATAGTTCATTAGTTAGACGTTATCGATCTGTTCATTCTTTTAGATAGGATTTAGGTCATTTGTGTATTAGTCTACTTTTCTGATCTCAAACTGAATGTAGTTTTGATTCACTTCATTGATAACACTGCCCTCGATTGCTGATTCTTGGTTTTTCGAATGGTTAATAGCCCTGAGATCGTCAATTGTTCAGCAAGAACGGGTTTGGATATGCTTGCCAAACATTACACCGAAGCCATTGAATTTGAAATCGTTTTCTTCTTACCAGACAGGGAAGACGATTTCGCGTCTTATACTGAATTTCTCTGCTACCTTGGTTCAAAAAATCGAGCAGGTGTGGCCAAATTAGACGATGGAACCACTTTATTTTTGGTTCCTCCATCAGATTTCTTAACTGATGTGCTCAATGTGTCGGGTCCAGAACGGTTATATGGTGTTGTTCTCAAGTTGCCCCCACCACAGGTTCCTGCCGCAGCATCGTATAAACAAGAACCTTATCCAATTCCTCAATCTTATATGGGTCAATCTCGGAGTTTGCCTGCCAATGCCAATAATGGTTTATTCGCTGCTAGAGAAAATCGAGCCGTGTTTGAATACAACAGAGGTATGCAGGAAGAATCAAAGCCTTCTCCAAAATCATTGCTTGGTCCTTTGAGCGAATCTGTTTCTGTACCTAATACTGCAATGCCTCAAGCTGAGGTTAGTCTAACGCCTGAGCTATTAGCCACTCTGGCCTCCTTTCTCCCCACAACTTCTCAACCTACTGCCTCTGAAGGTCACCAGTCCGTTGGACTATCCAGTGGAGAAGCTCCATCACAAGCTTGGAATCGAGATCAATCGACGGTCTCTGACCCATCAAATCTATCATTCCAACAATTAGGCAATCAATACAATCCGATGGGGCAACTACCCCCTCCTCCTCCTCTTCCTCCTCCTCCGATGCATTATCCTCCGGTGTCAAGCACACCGAGCTACTCCAGTGGAATGGTCCATGGTGGTATGCAATATCAAGCACCATTTGTTAGCACACCTCAGCAAGCTCCGTTACCTACTCCTCCATCGAGTAATTATGCAATGTACTCTCAAGGTTCACATCAAGCTGTTTCTCAACCCTTGAGCCAGCAATATCAGCCTGAAGCTCCCATGCTTAACCAAAACTACATACCGGTCCCTGGAGCTGAGAATCCTGTTTTGCATGGTTATCAGCAAGGTCATTATCACCGTCTGACAAATAATCAAGCGCATAACGCAAATCCTTCCCAATCTCAAACTGCGATGCCACCACCAGCGAACATGAAAAATTTGGATCTGTCTAGCCAAGCACAGCAGCAGCTCCAGCCTTTGCTCCTTGGAGCTGGACAAGGTACGTCAGATGGTGAGGTTGATAAGAACCAGCGATATCAATCTACTCTACAGCTTGCGGCTAACCTTCTTCAACAGATTCAGCAACAGCAGCAACTGCCATCAGATGCTTCGACTGTTCAAGGCCCTTGAGAAGCTCCACATCCCTTAATCTGTTGGTGATTCACTATTCTTGCTCTTTGGTATCTGATCAAGTGCTTTCTGTTTTCTACTCTTCTTGCATAAGCGCGCCGTGCTGAGTTTAATTGGGTATTAGGGTCTTCTGCTGTGATGTCTCCTTCTACATTATGGCTTCTTGAACAAATTATATGGGAAAAAGCTGTTTAGTATGTGTGATAACTGTAGCTTGTTAAAAACCATGAAAGCTTGTGAAAATATAAGATTGAACGTACACATGTTCTGAGTGAGTCTCGACAAACTTCTTTGCTTCTTGCTTTATATAATCTCAATGAAAATCATCTTTACAAATGTAAATCTTGCTCTCATGTTAATAATCGACATTTGGTCATTTAGTAATAAAATTCTTTTATTTTGTATTTCAATGATTTTAAAAAATGAAAAACAAAACAAAATGAGGCTGAAGAAAGAAAGATAATTTCATGAGGAATATATGCATCAGTTCACATAATATCAACAAAAGACGAACCGGTCCAATGGAACTTGAATCAAAACGAAGATAATTTAGTAGTTACAGAGAGATGATTTAGTTCAGTCATCCATTTGTTTATATTGTTTCTCTACCCTCATGAATGTAAATCAAGAGGATATTAAGAACACAACTTCCAGAAGCTAAGAACTACACAGCAAAGGTTCTTCATTGATTCGCCATAGGATAAGGTAAAGTGGCAATGTGGTTATGAGCCACTGTTCCAATCCAAAGCTTCCCTTGAACCTCCCTCACTTCACTCACAAGCTTCATTACCTTCCCTTGTCTATCCTCAAGCACCTCCAAGACCTTTCCTTCCTCGTCGAATCTCGATATCACAGTGTACATTCTCATCCCCATCGTTTTCGCCAGCAGCTTCATCGGTATTGGCAACCGAAAGTAGATGCTTCTTATCCAAGGGTTGTTTGAAAGAACCTCTTGTGCCGGTGTTCTGCAACAGTCTATTGCAACCCAAAACTGACCCTTTTCGTTTATTCTTACATTGTCTGGGAATCCCGGGAGATCTGCCACCACCTCAACTTCACCCGTCTTTGGACCCTCCAGCCAGTATTTCACCAATCTGTCATACACAGATTGATGAAGAGAAATGAATGATAGATACAGATATATAAACACAAAGTTGACGGTCATTTATTTGGTCATACCTGCAATTGGTTGTTTCGGTGAAGAGAAGGAAAGATTGGTCTTTAGAGAGTTGAATTCCATTGGGAAAAGCCAAACCCTCCAGCACAATGTGTGTTGTTCTGGTAGGTGGGTCATATCTTAGAAGCCTTCCTGTTGATTCTCCTTCCAGTAAGATAAAGAAATGATTCCTACAAAATACAAGTATAATTCTTATATCGTACAATAAACGGTAGGAATTGACATACAAAGCAATAATAGGAGAGTTTGCTTACGCTCTGTCATATCTTTTGCTGGTGTCAGTGAAGAAGATGGAGCCATTTCTATGGATGTCAAGGTCATTGGCAAAGAGTATAGGCTTTCCTTCCACATGAGTAGCTAAAGGCGTAGCGATCCCTCCTTCAGGACCAACCACAAGCAGACCATAGTAAGCGTCTGCAATATACAGATTTCCTGTCTCTTTATGAAATCTCAGACCAAGAGGTCTCCCACACAGCTTCTCGTGCTTCCATTGCTTGTTTGTTGTTGAATCCACACCTCTCACACAAGCTTTCTCTGACCTAATTCTCATGAACACACAACATCAATAAGAAAAACTGAAACAAAACTCTCTGCACATAAAAGAAGTGATGAATATATAATCTTTTACCATTTTGATGTTACCACGGAAAATGTCTCCCATCCAATTGTTTCACCCATCCATCTAACCACTCTTCCATCAGCCAACCCTGTGTATGGACCACGACCTAAACTATCAAACTCTAACGACTCTGGACCAAAGACTTGGTCCACAAACTCCAGTTTCCCATGATTACCCAGTCGACTAAGGTTGTCTCTTGGCCAGCTTTCCATAACTTGCTTGTATGGAGCAACCTCATGCTTCACGGGTTTGAACTCACGACCCCCAATTGGACTCATATGAAAGGGGTCGATTGCTATGAAAATTACAGATAAAGCAATGATACAGAGGATCGGATGATGAGTCACCATTGAGTCATATGTACCATACTGGCCTTTCTTCTCCATTTGAAAGTGCTTAGAGGTGGACCAGAAAGTAAGATCAGATTCACCTAATCAATGTACAGATTATATAAGCAATGTGGAGCAGTGTGTTGTGGAAAATGCAGATCTTGTGAATAAAATTGGGTTGAAAGTAGGTTAAATGGAAACAAACAACTAGTCAAAAGTTGATCTAAGTTAGATTACTCTGATATCAAATACAATTTCCATGACTCTATCTGAGATAGAGCATCAAAATAATCATCCAACCAACAAGTGCTCATAAAGAAAAACTTGAAACTGTGTATCGGTGATTGTTCTACCCTTCTCTTACCTTCTCTTTTTGGAATATAAAACAAGGGAATGACAGAAGATGGAAACTAATAACAAAAGAAGACACTGCTCTAGTCCAAGAGACCTGCAGAAAACTTCATCTAATTACCTTGTGAAATTGGGAGAGTGCAAATAATATATCATTGTGCTATTTCACCAATTCAATATATAACGAGTAATACAAGACTGTTGGTAGCATGCTTTCATATTGAAATAAATGGGAAGCTCACAAATGAGGAAACATGTCTAGTGGATGGAATCTTTAGGTAAGACATGGGACCCTTTCGCAACTATACATCAACCACATGACAAAATAATTGACTGTGTCATATTCATCTGTAATGATGCCTAAATAACACTAGCTTGATTAGACGAGGAATCCTTCCCCAATCACCACCTTATGCAGTTCAAGCAAGCCTTGAGGATCTCTTAAATTTGGTTGGAACTGCAGAATCTTGGTTATCAACTCTCGGTCTTCATCTACTACCTCGATGACAAGAACTTGTTCACAAATACAATATTGACCATGATGAACTAAATTCAGACAACTTCCACTCCGCTAAGAGGAACTGCACTGGCTTGCAAGGTCCGGCCATTTCCAATAAACCGCACTGAGGGTAAAGAAGCATCACTAAGCGATTCGATCTCCAAGAAACTGAAATCATAAGCACCAGATTTCTTCAAACTGAAAACAAAGACAACTACGATCCAACCAAGCATAGTAAGAGCCCAGTAGTTGTTCATCCCGCCAATCAAACCCCACGAAATGGCGTAACCAACCAGGATTCCCGACAAATGTCCCAGGAAACTAGCTTGTGGAACAATAATAGAAGTGAAAATGAGTGACTCGAATGGCGCAAAGCTAATGGGAAGAGACAGAAGCCCAAAAAGATCCAGCTTTGAAGAAGGTTGCTTCATAGAGAGAATCGTCATCCAACCAAAGACAACACAAGAGTAACCAACAGCTGTAACTCTCCGGAAATAATCAATCTTGAATCTAGCAATCAACAAATGGTAGATCCCAATAACCAAAACACCAGAGAACACAACAAGAACAAGAGTGTAATGAAGGTAATAAGCAGTGCCAAGACCAACATGACCTAGCTGTTCCACAACACCAAGACTCCATAAAGCACTCATATTAAACACAAGATGCAAGACACTAATATGTGATAAAGCAGAGGTAATCATCCTCCAGTAATGCCCTTCGATTGCAGTCTCGTAACTCAATCCAACTTGAGAGTACCCAATACTCTTCTTCTGAATCACAAACCAAATCACACTGCATATCGTTACGATGCAGGTCGTTGCTGGTTTCTCAATGATATCGTAAAACAAGGGTCTTCCCATACTTAATAAGCTAATCCCAATGGCTCAATTCCCTCCTCCAGATCGGCAATGAGGTAGAAGCGATGCAAGTTATTGACAGATCTAACAAAAAGGATTTTTGCTGGCCGATTAAACTCAAAGCAGTGACCTTTTCAGCTAAAACCACCGACCAAAGTATCCAGAAGGATAAAAGAGACAACTTTTCTTCCTCGGGAATTGATTCGATTCTTTCTTCGTGTTCGCGCTAACTTGTTCCAGATTTTTCCAGGAGAAAGTTTCGTCTTTTCACCAAATCTAAATCAGAAAACAAAACAAAACATTGAACCCAATTTTTGTCTGTGTCGGCTTGACTTGTGGTACTGGGCCTAGGTCGTCATAGACATTGGGCCTATCACCATAAATTTTCTTGTCCAGCTATAAAAATCTGGAAGAAATGTTATAGGATCATCAAGGTTGAGTTTGTCAAATAGCAATAATGTTTTTTTGGAAAAAAATAGCTAAATATGACAATGATATGATGATATATTGCTATTAGTATTGTCAAAAGAAATGGATTTTTGATTTTGTTCTTTAAATATGACTTTGGTCAATTGGTCCCTTACATGTTATTCTTTTATATATGTTCACGTCTAACTTATCACATGATGTTCTAACATAGCTAAGCCTGAAATCCAAATAAATCGAGACAAATCGGTTTACAATTTTTAAAATTCAGCAAATCAGCTACATGATAACCAAAAGAATGACGAACAAATTTGTACGGATTGGAATTTTAAACATGGTAGATCATTTGTCAATTTGTTGGGAATTTGGGATTACATAGATTAATGTTCGTCTTCTGTTAATATACAAGATTCATGTTTGTTTTTACTGGCGTTATCGATGAACAACAATGACAATATGTCAATATCAAAACTATGTTCGTTTCATCATTATTGAACCCATCCTTAAACTTTAATTGGCGAGACGTGTTCCAGCGATTAACGACCATAATTTTAAAATTGTGTAATTTTGAGTATTCTAATTCTCACGTTGTATTCATAAATCAAGTTACAGTGAAACGAACCAACCCTTTTATTTATTTTTTTGGTCAGGACCAACCAATCCTTATATCGAAACACAAGACAAACTCAATAACACAATTTTAGTATTTTACAAATATTATCAATTCAAGGTTATTATATATTCTTTAAACTAAAAATTATAGATATATGAACAATATTATTAATTTTCTAGATTCAACATAAAATAAATCTTTGTAATTGAAATTTGAAACTAGTTTATTTGATTCAAGTATAAATATAAATTTTTATAACATTTTATTTAAATAATTTCACCCATAACTAAAACAAATATGAGGATGAAAGTGAATATATATAAATAGTAAACATTAGTTTAACCAATGCTTGAAGGCTTGAAGCTCCTTGTTGAAGCAACCATTTATTTCTTGTAAACATTATGAGCCATCAATCAATTTAGAAAAAGAAGAACTTGGGGTTTGTTGGTGGCTTGATTTTGACATGATTCCGAGCCTCAACGTTGGTCGCGATCATCGTTACCATCATCAGAACGATGATGAAGGAGGCAATCATGGTTCTCTTTTCGATGGCCATTGTGCTTAATAAGCTTTTAAATGGTTCTTGTTTTTGTTTTTTTTTTTTTCTGTAATTTTTGGTTGAATCATCAACATATTTATATGTAAAATGAAACTTCTATATATAGTGAATTACTAAAATTAAAATTTTTGTGGAATGTTTCAATTGTCTTTTCTTAGACAATTGGTCAAATGATCACCTCTAATTTTGTGATTTTTTTAGATTGAATTCTAAATTAATCTTCCTAATTTCAATCTGACACATGCCATTCAAGTGAATTTTACAAAAGTTTGAATAGGAAATTCGTCAAAAAAAATAATAACCATTAGTTAGAATCACTTTGTTTGTGATTTTTGTGTACTATTTTTAATCTAAATTAATCAGAAAGAATAGTCGAATATATCATATATTCATTCTGATTTTATTATTCGTATTTTTTTTCCGTAACTTAAGAATAAGAATAAACTGGATTTGAATTGAGAAAATTGAAATTCCATTTAAAAATCTGTTGAAAATACATTTAGAAACATAAAACAAAATTTATTTTTAATTATTAAATGCTTTTGCATGCGTAAAACATAGAAGAAGGAAAAAAAAAAAACTAAATGTTAGTCAATCCATATTTGGTTTGATATATAATTTACTAATGATGAGGCAACAAAGATGTGAATCTCACCAATAACATACCCAAAAACCTTTGAAGCATGTCAGATCCCAATTAGGTTCAACACGACCTTCTTCTTCTTCTTACAAGAATACTCACTTAAAAAGAAATGGTTCCATCTTTCCTCTTAAAGAAGAACCATAACAATGGCTGCCAAAACACAACCATCTTCTTCTTCTTCTTCCTTAGTACTCATCATGTCCTTGTTCTTACTACTTCTTTCACTTATTGTCCCTTCATCAGTTCTCTCAGCCACTCTTCGATCCGATATTCAAGCTTTAGAGTCTATAATACGCAGCGTTGATCCAAGTTCCATCTCTCCATCCTCTTACCTCAGCACATGGGACTTCTCTGAAGACCCATGTGAAGGCGCAGGGACGTTCTTGGGAGTTATGTGTTCTTTCCCTCTGGAGAACACGACGAGCAGGGTTATAGAGATCGATCTTGATGATGACGGTTATGACGGTTTCCTCTCTGATGAAGTAGGAAACCTAACTGAGCTCACTGTCCTTAGCCTCAACAAGAACAGGTTCCGCGGTCCAGTACCAGAAACTGTGTTCCAGCTCAGGAAACTCACCAAACTCTCTCTAGCGGAGAATTTCTTCACCGGAGACATATCCCCTGAAATCACGCGGCTCAAGGAGCTCAAAACCATAGACTTGTCCAAAAACAGTATCGCCGGCGAAATCCCTCCAAGGATCTCAGCCTTGAGAAGTTTGACTCACCTGATCTTATCAAACAACCATCTCGATGGAAGAATACCTGCACTCAACGGCTTGTGGAAGCTACAAGTATTAGAACTCGGTAACAATCATCTTTATGGAATGCTTCCTAAGCTTCCCCCAAGTCTAAGAACTCTATCACTCTGTTTCAATAGCCTTGCAGGACGTATATCGCCCTTGCATAGGCTGAAACAGCTTGTGTCATTAGATGTGAGCCAGAACAGATTCTCAGGAACCGTTGGCCATGAAATCCTAACATTCCCTGAAATTTCTCGCATCAATGTGTCTTTTAACCAGTTCATATCCATAGAGGTTATTAAAGTTACAGGATCACGCCTGCGCATGCTTGATGCTGAAGGAAACCATTTACAGGGTCACCTTCCGCTGAACCTGGCAACTTATGAAAACCTAAAGGATATCAATCTACGAAGCAACATGTTCTCTGGCGATATTCCTAGAATTTATGGGAAAAGACTGGAGAATTCATGGAGAAGCTTATACTTGGAGAACAACTACCTGTCAGGTACACTTCCTGAGGAGTTTCAAAAGATTTCCAAACAGATCAGAGGAAACCTATCGAATAACTGTCTTCAATGTCCCAAGAATGTTCAAATCTGCCAAGGAACACAAAAGCCAAAATCACAATGCACCAATGCAATGCTGGGGAGCTTGGAGTAGAGATCATGCGCATGGGAAGCAGTTTCTGTTAAAAAAGCATAATTACCACAACAAAGTTCATGTTCTTGTTTGGTTTTAATCATGGTAGAAATGTAGTCTATGAAAAGTAACATTCATAAAAGAGGATAAAAAGAGAGATGTGTATTTGAGATAACACTTTTCTTTCACCATATTGATGTTTGACATACAGAAGTCTAAACCAAAAAAGCTCAACTACCATATATCCATCAGGAGGACATTCCAAATTCTGCTACATAACCTCAGAGGTGTTTTTCACAACAATGTAAACGTAATGTGTTTCAAAAGAGCCAATTCACACTAATGTTACCAAGCCAGATCAAAAGTGGAAACTGGGCTAAAGCCACAAAGATCAAGAGGTAGTGATGCCTGCTTGAGTCATAACTCCTAGCTTCTGCAAAGAGAACTCGCTTCATTGTCTTCACTAAGAAAACCCCGGTGCATAAGCAGGTCCACGGAATCAAAACATAGTAAGAGTATCCCCAGATTATCTTGCCAAGAACAGCTAGACAAAGGCCCGTGAAAGTATAGCCTGCATATGCCACAATATCCAAGAGGGGTGCTTCTCCGCTTCCAAGTGAAAGCAATGTTATCTTCAGCAGCATGACTTGCAAAAACCAGCCAACCATTCCTTTCACAAAAAGCCAATTGAGAGCTTCTGGAGTAAACCTAGAAAATTCAGATTCACCACAAGGGTGAAAAAAGGCATTCTAAAAGACATACAAAAATAGATACAAGATAAATAAAGAACTTACTTCCCATAGAGTCCTAGTGACAAACCAGCAAGAACAACGTAAGTCCCAAAGGCCATAAGCGGAATGTATAAGTCTGGTGCATTTATGTCGTATATCGGGGGCTTGTATGAAAGTCTACCCCCAACTGGTTCTGATATTCTAGTCCAGTGTCCCTGAGGTTGCAGCAAAACTCATATGAGAAAGACCCCAAATACAAAGAAAAAAGCATACCAAAAAAGTGAGCCTTACCCTGTGAAGGAATGGAAGTAGAACAATCTTCAACTTGTTCCTCACATATTGGTCATTCACTTGAAAATAGTATTGGGGATCGGAGAAGTAGCGACTTATCTGTTAAATTTCAACCGGTTAAAACAAATGAAAACGCCAAGTAATGAACACACTGAAAAAACCTAAGAGTGACAGGAGTAACTTACGTTGCTCTGCACATACTCAGAGCTAGATCCGAAAATCTTCTCCCCATAAGCACCCAAGCCACTCCGGATAAGTCCAGAGCCAGGTCCAGAGAACGGATTCCCAAATGGGCTAGGCTGAGGATTAGCCTGAGGCATTGGCATTCCAGGCTGGGGTCCCATGTTATTATACATCTCTGACATTCAAAAAAAAACATCACAAAGAGCTTACCGTTAATAATTTGACTAATTATAAACTCCATAAGCATAAACAACAAATCCAACAATCAAGATATCACGAACACGCAAGAAACCATAAATTGTATCCCAAGTCCATGATTCATTACTTTATTTCCTCTATCTATTGCTCAATCACAACAATTTCTTCTCTTTATCGACTTTCTTTTCTATATTTCCTTCACAGAATTCACTAAGCAAACCAGAAATTACGACATTGCTGCTACTCTAGGGTTTTCCGATAATATCCGTGACTAAACATGCGCACGGAATCCAGATTTCGACAAGAAATATCCCATTATTTGAACCGAAAAAAACGAAGATAAACACAGAAGAAAACTCGAAAAATTGTAGCAAGGAAGAACAATCAGGAATTGGTAACAACGAAGAAGAACACAGACCTGAAAGCAACTGTGAAGGAGATAGTAGATCTATAGCTTTGCTTCTCCGGTTGATTTGATGAGTGCGTCGTCGGCTAAGTTCCGTTGAATTGCAAAAGTGAATAGATCCAATGTGGAAAAATAACGAAAGAAAGGTCGTGTGTGAAGCCTCTTGGTTCGCACGTGTGACCATAGGTTGTTCTTCGCCATCACCCTTCCAGTGAAAACTTGACACGTGTGTATCATAATAGGTTTAATTTTGAAATTCATGGTGTTTTATGACAAAACTTAAAAGTTTAGGGTCTGTGCTGAATATTTCTTAAGAAAGAGAAAGCGTGTGTCACTGAGTCTCGGATAGAGAAGAAGAAGAAGAAAGCTTCAATTTTTCTGCGAATATGGAGGTTCCAAGCTCTGAGGAACTAGTTCAGTTTCTGAGCTCCTGTCTCTCTCAGATCAAATGGCGACTCAAGATCACTTCCAAACGCCGCCTCGAAATAGGTCTCACTTTTTTTTCTTATGTTTTGCGACTCATAATTCAATTTGGGAATTTGGGTTTAGTTTCTATGAGTATGTGCACTTTCCAATTTCTTGAGGAACGACAAAACTGATTCTTTAGATCTCATTTTGAACCTGACTTAAGTTTGATGGTGCTTTGATTGCTTTGTTTAAGATCCCAATGAATGAAGTCACTTCGTCCAATTAGCTTTCTGGGTTTATCACTTCCACTCCCTATTAAAAAAATGAAAAAAAGTTTGAACTTTAGCATTAGACTCTAGTATGATCTCAATTTGTTGTGATATGCTTGAATCTGTAACCGATGCTAAATGGGGGTTTCATGGACCAGATGTTCTGGCATTATGCACGGGAATGAGACCAGTTGTGATGATTGACTATGGTGGAAAGATGCCTGAGCTACAGAATCGCTTGCTATCACTTCTTGAGCTTATCCGAGAGGTTAGGCTCTACTTCTTCTTCAAGCACATTAGTACTTGAGTTATGTCTGTAGCTGATTTGATTCCTGCTTTTTTTTATAGGGTTTACCAGTTTTTAAAGATCTGAAGGTTATGGTTATAGAGGATATGATATACCTGATAAATGTAAGAAGACTGCCCATGTTTGTAAGCTCCAGCTTGAATTCAGAACCCGAGTTGTTCTTCATCGACTTGGAACAAGATCCTCCAAAGGTTTTCCTTTTTATGAAGCTTCTGTAGTTGTTAAGTGGTTTCTCTTTTCATGCCCGTTGGATTTATCTTGTCTTTGCCTTTGTTCGTATCTAGATGGTAGAACAAAGCAAGGAAAGCAATCTGGGGATGCAGCTTAGATCGATTCAGAAGCTATTCTCTTTGAGATTTCCTTTAGATGACAGCAATACGGGTACCACTACAGCACTTGATGAGGCCAACTCTTCTCAGTCTTCTTTATGCATTGATCTTAGTTGTTGTTTACAAGACACTAAAGTTACAATCCCAACCTTAAACGGGTAATTTTCGAATCCGTTTGAAAATTCAACCACCATCAGATTATCTTAGTTTATCACGCCATGAAGTTAATGTTCAATCGTTCTTTTCAGATGGCTTCTTGACTATCCGGTTGTGTATCTATTCGGCACAAACCACATAGAAGAAGCAATCTACAACCTATCCACCAAATCCCTCCGCATATTCAAAGTTCTAGTATGCAGGTTGGCTATCGTATATTTGTAACTTTAGTTTCCAATTATTGCTGTAATGTCTAACTCACAGATCAACCAGGAACGGTACCACCGAGGACTCTCACTTAGAAGAGCTAACAAGGTAAGACCTTCAAAATAAGATTTGTGACTATGCTGCCTAAGCAACAAAACATCTGTGAAAATAACCAAGTGATTTGGGAATTGACTTGCAGTTTTTCGGTGCCATATGATCTGAGTATGGAAGGTAGCAAGGAAGTGTGGGCTGAAACATTTCTAGAGAGGATGGGTTCAAGGTGGGAAGAATGCAAACACATTTGGAGATCATTGGATTTACAAGTTTCGGAATGTTATCCTCAAGCAATTGTTCTTTAAGGCTTTCACTTTTTCAAACAGTTGTTCACTTAACTTGGTAAAGAGTTGTTATTCATCAAAGTGGCTCAAAACCCTTGAATGTGGAATAAAACGAGATTCATAATAGAGTAGAACGGTTCTCTGGTCAGTACAAGAACACAGAGCCAAAAGCAGAAGAGTCGAAAGAAAACAAAGCCAACAAAAACCTAAACGTGAAATCCTAAAAATCCAGACAATTTGCTTATCAGTTTCCTTTCAGGAGACTCTGAACTTCAGACTCGGTAGGGAGAGCTGGAATTGCTCCTTTCTTTGTTGTTGTGATGGCTCCACAAGCATTTGCATACCTAAGCACTTCTCTCAGACGAGCTTCGTCCTGAGAAAGCAAGAAAGAACACAGTCAATATCGAAAATAATTACTAAAGTTGCAGAATAATCTGATGAATTATTTGGTATTCACCTCAAGCACAGCACGGTCATCAACAATCTTGCACAGCAAGGCACCAACATATGAATCACCAGCACCTGTTGTATCCACTGCATTCACATGGAAAGGATCAACAGATCCACGGAAGCTCTGTAATCATATACACATAAGAACACAAATTGAGTAACATTAATGGTAAAATCAAATCCGAAAGAAAGAAAAACGCTTCAAAAACCATTACCTTGGTGTAGTATCTACAACCCTTATCACCTAGAGTGACCAAGAGAAGTTTCAGATTAGAGTGCCACAGAGACAAAGCAGTCTCGTCATCAACCTTATCAGATCCAGTCAAGAACATAAGCTCTTCATCGCTGACTTTGATCACTTCAGCTTTGTCCCAGATGCTAAGAATCTGCTTCTGAGCCTCCTCCTTGGAGGGCCACAAAGGAAGCCTCAAGTTCGGATCATAAGAGAGCAACGCACCAGCTTCTTTAGCCACCTCCATGGCTTTCAGGTGAGCAGATCGACATGGCTCAACGATCAAGCTTATGGATCCGTAGTGGAACACCTTAGCCTGTAAAACAAAAACAAAACAGAGCACTCATTAACCTAACTTCACATCTACGTTACGTATACCAACAACCGTTACGTTGACGATCTAGCACCGTTCGCTAATTATATGTTAGAGACCCATCAAGATTTTGCTTACGTGTCATATATTAATTCATTATAATAAATTAAAAATAAAAATAACGTACAGATCTGATGAGATCAAGATTGAGTTCGTCGGGACGGAGGAGCATATCGGCACTAGGGTTCCGGTAGAACATGAACTCACGTTCTCCGTCCGATTTTAGTGTCACGAACGCAAGTGCAGTCCTGGCTCCGGTGTCGAAATTGATACCTTCGGCAGAGACGCCGTTCTGTTTCAAGATTCCGGCGAGCATGTGACCGAACTCGTCATCACCAAGTTTTCCGACGAAAGCGGCACGACCGCCAAGACGGGAAATGGCGATAGCAACGTTGGCAGGTGCACCACCAGGGGCTTTGATGAAGCCAGGAGCCTCGGCGAGGGATACGCCGGAGACAGTTGGGACGAAATCGATGAGCATTTCACCGAAGCTCACGATCAAGCTTTTCTCGCCGTTGGATGCAGCCATTTTTAGTCGGAGTGTTTTGATCGGACGATTAAGATTGAGCAAAGAGAGAGAGAGAGATTAGGTTTTGGATATAATGAGAGGTATGAGAGAATGAAGGGTTTATATAGAGGTATTAGGGTGACTGGTTTAGTCAAATCCACAAGACTTATAATTAATAAAAAATCAAATTTATAGATTTATCCATTTAAAGATTGATCAGATATCCTAAGAGATCTGAAACTGTGTTTGGTAACGTATTTTTTATCGTAATATATTCTATTGGTTGTTTACATATATGTTATGATTTTGTGAGATTTAGAGTGATTAGTGATTGGTGCTTTTGACCAGATTTTTTGCTTCTTCAATGGGACCTACGTGACGTATTTCACAAGGTTAATTATTAGGGGTTTATCCGTTGTTATATAGTAAAAGATATTAATCCTCTTTTGACTCCGATTATTTCGTTTGTTTAGGATAACTTTCTTTTTCGATAATGTACAGATAATTAAAAAAAATCTAAATGTATTAATGTGTGATATGTTACAATTTCGTATTTCGCAAGGTTAATTACTAGGGGCTTATCCGTTGTTGGATAAATATGTTAATCCTCTTTTAATTTCGAGTATATCATTTGTTAGGAATTAGGATAACTTTCATTTCCGATAACACACCGTCCATGGATATTATCTCATGTAAATCTACTAAATCGAGAAAACGGCTTAGCTTTGACTTAAATTATCATTTTATTTATGAGAATACCAAACACTATTTGATTTCCTATTTCCCAAATTATATTGTATTTATCAATTATCACAAACTAACGAATGTCCTTCTCCTTGGACGTTTTCTTCCACGTACTTAATGCAATTTATTGATTTCTAAAAAAACCGAAAATGTCAAGCTAATTTTTGTTAGTTACTTTACAGTTTTTTTTTAAATTATTATTGGGATTACTGATTCATACAGTTTGGATATTATATTGGAAGGTGTTATACGATCATTTTCATTATCAAATTTGAAAAACAAATAAAAATAGCTGATTTATAATATCCATAAATCTAGAGTTGCGAATTATCTGGATAGATTACGATGGAAACAGATAATGATAAAAGCTAAATCATAAAATATAAGTAACTGAATATATTACTACAGTATGTAATAAGATTTTTGCTATTCAAAATGGCTATGATTAAAACACTTAAAGTCCTGTAGTTTGGTACTCAAATCTTATACTAAACCATCATTAGTTGGTTATCAACTTATCATGTTGTCGATTGCATTTTAAAGAAAGATAGTTAAACCGGCTGCACTGGCCTGGCTGAGTCCACACGACTTAAACCGGCTGAATTGGCCTGGTTAACACGTAAACAATTAATGCTGGAAAATTAGAGAAATTTTGTTAGTACAAGGATGATTTTGTGAATAAAAGATAATAAAGGGGTCAATTATAACATTTATGAAAAGTAATGGACATACCGGTCTAACGGGTGCGTCGGTCGGCGAAAATTACGCTGTAAAAAATAAAAACAAAAAAACTATAGAATGAAAAAAAAAAAAAAAAAAGAAGTTGAGGAATAATCATACGAGACGAAGCGCACCGGAGGAACCATAGAGTCGATAAACCCAAAGCTTAGATGAACGGTGAGTTGACTTCTCTCCGATTTTGACCCAATCATCTCTCGCCACGTCATAGGATACTGCGTCCTCTGCAATCCATACGCTGAACCGGCACCTTCTCTGTCTCTCCCCCAAATCGAAAACCTAATTCGATCGTCGTCTCCGACCTACATCCGCCGGAAAATAACTTTTGACCAGTAAGATTGTTTTATTCCTTCACCATTATTTCGGATTTCAGATTTTCGATTTTGGATTTGAGATTAAGCCGCTTAGACCAGTCTCTGCGACATAATGAGACTGAGAAGTTGGACATCTCGAACTTTTCCAAAACCCGATTTGATGATGAATCTTGAATCGATGGGAAGCTGAATCTTGAATAGGTTCATCCTCAGACTCACCCCAAAGATTTAAGCTTTGTTTTGTATTGTTCTGGAGACTATGCATGATTTGAAAGCACTTGTATTTGAGCTTTGTTCTCATATCTTGAATTAGACATTGGGAAACATTGTAGAAAAGAAGACAACTTTTAGTAATAGTGGCTCTTTGTATATGCTAGTAAAATGGTAAAAACATTTGTAGCTCTTCTTGCTAGATATTTGTTGATCTGTGGAATTGCTGTTTCCCTTTTTTGGATTGCAGTGGATTTCAGGATTGATAATGGTGTAGCTGCTGGGATGATGATGGGGATTCCTGTTGAGCTTGAGGTTACCACGGTTGAGAATCATAATGAAATGGGTGAAAGCTCTGGTCAAGCAATGATTGAGCAAGATGATGACAACCATAATGAACTTGGTGAAAATTCTGGTGAGCAAGATGAGAAGGTGGATCCTGATTCTATTCCTCTGGCAGTTGCAGATATGACAGAGGCTCAAGGGGATGAGCCTTATGTCGGCCAGGAGTTCGAATCTGAAGCAGCGGCTCATGGTTTTTATAATGCGTATGCTACTAAAGTAGGATTCGTCATCCGTGTTAGTAAACTGTCACGGTCAAGGCATGATGGATCTCCCATAGGCAGGCAACTTGTTTGTAACAAGGAAGGTTACAGGTTGCCTAGCAAACGGGACAAGGTTATTAGACAAAGAGCGGAAACAAGGGTTGGATGTAAAGCAATGATCTTGATTAGAAAAGAAAATTCTGGTAAATGGGTTATCACAAAGTTTGTCAAGGAGCATAATCACTCTTTGATGCCTGGCAGAGTTCGAAGGGGTTGCATTTATGATCAATATCCGGTTAGTTGTTACTCTTTGCGTTGACCAACATTTCTCTATTTCAGGAATCGAGGTTGTGTTCACAAGTATAGATTTTTACATTCAGCGATTGCATTTGAAATCCAAATTGGTGTTTCTTGGTTAGCTGGTTAATATGCTGATGTGATACTGTTTCATGACTTGTTGCTATAGAGCATATTCATGTGCTGGTGTTTTGATTTTGCTTCTATCTCATTTGTTACTACAAAAGACTTGAATTCTAAAAGTTTGCTTTCCTCATTTGCAGAACGAACACGACAAAATTCAGGAACTGATGCAGCAGCTAGCAGCAGAGAAAAAGAGAGCGGCTACTTACAAAAGGCATCTGGAGATGCTATTTGAACAGATCGAACAGCATAACGAAAGCCTATCTAAGAGAATCCAACACATAGTAGACAATGTGAGGAATCTGGAACAAAGAGATCATCAACAGAACCAGCAAGTATAGTCTTTTGGTCTCTGGTTTTGCCTTGTTGATTCTTCAGCAGTTTGATTTAGGAGATAGATCTTCTCTTCTTTATTCCTCATTTTCTCTCTTTAATAAAACATTTTCTTGTCGAAAACAAAAGAGCTTGCAATTGCCTTGAAGAGAGTTTTGTTTATTCATCTTCTTATGCCTTGAAGAGAGTCTTGTTCGGACTTCGGATGATTGCATCTATCGAGCAAGCAGCGTCAAGCATTTTGGTATCCATGCAGACAGAAGCAATATCTTCCTTAACCGTGCCTGAAACATGAAGTTGATTTAACTGCTGGATTAAACAAAACAGAAAAAAACTGGAGACTGTAGAATGAATGTAAAAAGGAACCAGAGAGGGAACAAAGATGAGAGAAGTTCAACAAACCATAAAATCCAGTTTTCACAATTGCATATAAGACTTAACCAAATGACTTTCATAAAATTAACAGAAGCTAAAGGTTCACGCTTTTTCCCTGTTTGGAATTGAATAACACAAGGAAGCTCAAAAGAACAACACTTTAAGCGCTTGTAAGAAGCAGAGGAGAAATCATGGAGAGCAAGAGAAGATCCACATCCCAAAATTGCAATTAACTAAAGGAGGGTATAAATTACCAGTCATATATGAAACTGAAGCTAAAGACGAATCGGTAGATGACGCCGCACAGAGAATGATGGTTGTTTATTTGGCTGTCAATATCAGAGAACGGAGGAGAAGAAGGACGACTACTTAAATTAAGTCAAAAAGGAAAAAAAAGAGAGGGAAAATGTCAAATTATATAAGTAAAGAAGTTTCGAGCATTAATATAATAATATTAGGGCTAAACAAGTGATTAGTGTTAAAAAAAAACGTAACGGGTAACGATTTGCATCTTATTGTTATGTGTTAACTTTTCCTTTTTGTTTTTGATTTCTTGGTATCTTAACTTTTTAGGTTACGTTAATTTTGATTGACAAGTTGTGGAGATAAGACAATTAGGATTCTAAAAAGATCGAGAGGCCGTATATGAAGGGTCGAGACTCCCATCTTTCTCCCGATTCTGCTGACTGCTCATGTAAGTTTTCAAACCCTAACTTCATCAACATAATTATAGGATAATTAGGAACTAAACTTTCTTTTTGGGTTTAAAGGAAATTCCAAACGACAATGTTATAAAGGAAAACGATAATTTCTTGTGAACTAAACTTGTTAGAAATACATTTGAGAGAGAGTTGGGGTCTTGGGGACCACACCCTTAAACTCACAAACACGAGAATGGACGTCTGAGAGTTCTAGATAGTAGATACCATCTTTTTTTCTTTCTTGATATCAGATCTTGGCCATGTTTTGTGACAGTTATGAAGTGAAATCAGAAGAATAGTCCCGAGGATGTATGCACATGCCGTTTTCTCTAGTTTAGACTACCTTTTTTTTTTGTTTCTTTAAATACAAGTAGACTACCTTCTTTGTTTCTTTAAATAGAAGCAAGTACAAAGGAACGAATTTAAAAGAGTGAAATAGTAATTCCAAAAAGCAAGAAAAACGTGGAAAGTGGGAGAGATGGTTCATAAACATAAAGAAGGCCAACTCGAGCAACAACTTGAACGATTAAAAGAAGACAAGGAAACACTCGATATAAGTACTAATCTATTTAAGTATCTCCGGTTCGGCTTGACGACCGCTTATTGCTTTCGTTGGTTGACTATTTTTAGCCACACTTGTAATATTTCCTGAGATCCTGATTTATAGGAACAGTCTTTCCACAAGAAGCCATAAAACGGTAAGCATCTTTCCATTGCACAGGATCTTTAATATACTTACACATACATGGTCCTGCTACTATTAGTCTATCACAACATTTCTTCCACGTGGCTATATCTTTCATATGTTGTATACATAAATAAAGTGACTCTTTGCAATAAGAGAGCGTTGGAGTGGGAAATGATGTCAAGAGTACCATCAAGGCGATGAACATCAGTGGATTGATCTTCATTTTCTGATTATTCTGTATCTCGTCAAAAATGTTGTATGTTTCTAGGTCTTTAAATAGAAAACTGAAATCAGAAACATGTGGCAATGTTGACAAGTGGTGGATTCTATTTTTACAAAGCAATTAGAATTAGTATTCAAAACAAACCATTGAATAGTTCAAAAAAGGCCGATTCCATAGGAAGTGAGGATAGAGTACTTTATTTGGTATTTTATTGCCTAATGCAAAAGGCAAGCATCTTGATTCGCTAAGCAATTTAAACATGATTGAACGTCAAGCAAAATAAAAAGAAAGTAGAAATTGAACAAAAATTTAAAAAACTCCCGAGTGTTTGGTCGAACCATATAAAATGTCCCTTTATTTTAGAACCATATAATTATTTTCTTACTAGTCTTAATGTACTAGTTTGCTGTTGAAATCAATTGAGGAATTTTGTGAAGTATCCTGTTTCCAAAACTCTACATATGGATATTGACATATTTATTAAAAGATTTATAAAGATACACAATATTTTTTTGGGGAAGCAAATTGGAAGTTTTTATAGAGCAGCAAATTGTACCCCTTTTTTTATTTTGGTATATGTATGATTTTTCGGAAACCATAAAACCATAAGACAAAGGTCCTTGAATTCTTCGCTCAGACCTAAATGGCTTCAGCATCCGTCAGGTTTGTGTCCATCTCGAATCACATCGTCTTAGGATCGTAAAGAGAGTGATCGATAAGCCCTAATCTTCTTTGATTTTTTTTTTAGATTGTTTTGAATACGAATGGTTTTTTTCAACTCCGGTAGTACTATGTTCGTCGAGAAGCCCATGAAGAAGATCAAAGCTCTTCAAAAGGTTATAGTCAAGTTAAACAGGGTATGTTTCATCTTTCGAATTTAACTATGTATATAAAGCTTGAATCCATTTTAAGATATATAACGAAGTCTATATTAATTAGTATTGGTATATCTTGTCTTTCTCATTGTACGTTCATATCAGTCGATTGAGGGTATTGCAAACTCTGAGAAATACTGTCTGGACCAGGCTGCCACAGAGCTTGAGCTAGCTCGCAAATTCGGGGGGGGGGGGGGGGGGGGGGGGGGGGGAGATACGAATCGAGTACTACGACCACATCTTTTTTTAAAAAAAACTTTCTGTTGCAATTACATATAATGTTTGATTTACCTCTCTAGTAATAATTTTCATGTAATTAACTTGATCAGTACATTTGGAAAGAAAGGAGAAGGCCGAAAAAGAAGCTAAATACCATGCCACTTTGCGGCTGATTCTTCAAGAAGAAGTGAGCTTATGATCGGAGCAATTTATTTTACTTACATATTTTATTAAAGAGGGTATTTTATAACGTTTTGTATGGCTATCACTTTTTTTTTTGTGTGAAAACAGTTGTCTTACGTCGAAAGACTCAAACAAAAGCATATTGATGAAGCATTGCAGGATATAGATTTCACCACCGCCCAAAAGACTAGGCAATTTTGTTTCTTCTTTAATCTTACTTGTTTTTGTTCTTTTTAAACTCTTATCTATCTATAGCTAACAGTACTATTACTATACCCCAAATAAAGATAAATTATGTCTGAATGATTAGTGGGTTGATGAAGTTTCCTAGAATCTATGTCAAGTTACTTATTTACTATTTGCGTTGACTCGATACATTATTATTTATCATAGTAGATGTAAATAGATTGGTCCTTCTTCTCCATGTTGTGTGACTTATAACACCCAAGCAAGTGACTAGTCAAAATCTCTTTGTCTAATTACTATGATCAAATTCATTCAATTCAGGATTTCAGATTCTTTTTCTTTTTTCTTTTTTCATAATTTATCTACAGAGAAAATATATAAACCAATTTGATATAGAAACTCTGAACCCAAAAAAAGATGAACTCATGATCTATTGCTAAAGTCACCACTTTTCATCATCTGAAGGAACTCCATGTAATTGACTCTACCATCTCCATCTTCATCCACTTGCTTAATCATCTCTTTACAACACTCTAGGGTTTTACCTTGCTTGAGTCCCAAGGAAGCCATCACAGACTTCAACTCCTCAACAGTGATAAACCCATCACCGTCTTGATCAAACACATTGAACGCATCTCTCATGTCCTCTTCCTCCTTTTCCTCCACAATCGAACCGTAAAGAGACTCAAACTCGTTTATGTCTACGATCCCATCTCCATTTGCATCCATCTTCTGGATCATCTGGACCAGATCTTTGTCAGGCATAAAGATTCCTAGATTCTCTAGAGAATCGTTTAGCTCTTCCTTTGTGATGCGTCCGTCTCCATTCTTGTCGAACATCTGAAACACTCGTTTTAGATCCACCGGATCTCTTCTCCCCGGGGATTCAGATTCCGATTCAGACGGTGGTGGGTTCTTGTCGTCGATGTACCAAGAAGGAGGGAAGAAAACTCTAAGCTTCTTGGGAACTAAACAAAGAAGAAAGGAGTTAAAGAGGTTGTAGAGAAGAAAGACTCTCACCATAACTCTTGGCTTTGTTGAGAACAGAGATGGAGAGAGAGTTTTTGATAGTTTGTTATACAGAGGATCGAACTTGAAATGAATATTGTTGTCTCTGTTTATATTTTATAGAGGAAGAGAGATGGGGACTTGACTTAAACAATAATTTAGAGAAATGTCTTTTAATATAAAAATTTTTTTGGTACAACCCGTTGGATCTATTAATTAACCTAGACGTTACCTCTTTGCTTTTGAACTTTATAGAAAAAACAGAAGAAGCAAATTGAGTAATACAAAGATATCCAAGACTGTAACAAAATTAACTAAAAGTCTAGGAGTAATTGTTATTTTAACACTAAAGAGCACGACTCTAAACTAAAGTCTTTCTAAATTAAAATACAAACAGTAGCTAGTCACGGACTTTTGGTTACATAAGTATACCACTTTATCTTGTTTTTGTGTCGATACTTAACAATTTTGATTGCTTTCGTTGATTGCTTTCGATAGAATAGTTTATAAGTGTAGATTTAGGAATGAGAGTTTACATAGTCTACAAAACATTAAAAAAAAAGTTACGAAGATAAACTAAGTTACGTTAAGTAGTTGGGAAATTTAATATACCAGAAGTTAAAATACGCGTGATCAAGATTCAAGGGTATCCATTGATTTTTGATAGAAGAAAAATGATAAATATATACTTATAACAAAACGCGTTGTTATAATTGTTGATGTTTGGTTCTTGTCCCCGTTTATTGGTGGTTTTAAACAACTTGTTTACAATAAAATGAATATAAATGGGCATTAGCACATCACTAACGAGAGAAAAAATGACGCCCGTTGCAATATGACCGTTGGTCCCTCTTTTTTTTTCCTTTAACAATTCATATGAATATCATAATTAATTAAGGGAACAAATTGAATTGAATGAAAAAAATGCAGTAGAATGGAATCTTCCTCTTTGTGATATCGTTAATCTGAGTAATCAGATCTTGTTTGAAGCACGACTACACAATGGTTTCATATATATCTATATTGGTTTTGGGTATTGTTGCGTTAATGGTCTTCTCTATATTTGTCTTCTTTGTCACGATCGAAGGAGCCGGTCATGTGGTTTCTTGTCAAGGGTTCAGAGTGTACTGGCCATTTGATTTCTCGACTTGGCTTCACGATTTTGTTGATGGGAAGAGATCGTTTGTGAATCGATTTCTATGGTTACACTTCTCCCTAGTTGGACAGTTCCTATCGATTGGAAAAGGGTGTTACCTTTCCAATTGTGACGGTTCCCTCTCCGGCTTTGGGCGTGCTTTTGGCCGGCCTCAAGCGTTGTATTTTTACGAGCGGGTGGGCTTGGCGTTACTACGTTCTCCGATGATGGAGACGACTTATTCATCGTTCGTCAAAGTGGATTGGTTTTCTGATTTCACCCAAGTCGAGCATATTATCTCCGTGAAGGTTTGTTATGCAAATCTTTATGATGCCCAACATTCCCAAAACCATTTTGGTGAAGGGATTGAGTACGAAATTCGAAGAATATGTTGGTGTATTGGTCGGCGAATATGGGATCCCGGTATATCAAGTTTACAAAGAAGCAACAAATGGGTGAAAGAGAAGATACCAAGTGTTATAGATAATTTTAGAAGGACCTTTCATCTATCGTCATCGAAGAACGTCAACAAGAGAATCGAGATTATGGATCTATCATGGGTGATATTTACAACCAAAACAAGCCCATCGCCTGGCATAGGAGAGGGAAACGATTGTATGGTTTGCGATGTAACTGATGGATCACAACCTTTTGATTTTCAAAAAACGTATTGGAGTTTCATGAAAAAGATGATAGCCAAACAAGAAGATCAAATTAGACTGAAGACGAAGACGATCAAGGAAAATAACAGATTGATAAATTTGTTAGCGTGTAAGGCTTACCTAAGAAAGGAAGCAACGTGTAATTTCACTTTTTCGATTATTTCGTTATACTTAAGTTTTGGTTGTATGGATTGTAGCGCTTTAACTTGTATGCTCATTGATACATTTGTAATTTTCCGTTAAAGTGAATAAAGAAGACGTTAAAAAAAAAGAAAAAAATGCAGTAGAACAAAATTTGAATAGTATACATAACATAACGGGCTACTTTTAAAATTTTAATCATTTTGTTTTAGTATCTCAAAAATCAAAATCCTGTAGTATTTGATTTTTCTGAAAAAAACATATTATATAACATAAAGAGTTTTTCTTTTGTTTTACTATATATAGAGGATCATGCTTTGGACTATTTTCCATGGATCTATCGGGATTCAGATCAGTCAAATATCTTTTTTGGTTGAAATGTGCTAAATAGTCCCAAACATGGCAATTTTAATAGATCGACTTGTGCAACAAGTGTTATATGCCACAGAATAGCGGAAAATAATCCTTCCAAAAACAAAAATAGCTAAAATAATCAAGTTTTGGTAATACAAATTTCCGTAAACTTTGTTTTAGTGGATATTCGATTAAATTAATTTTCATATACTATAAAATAAGTAAATATATTCTGTAGATTCTCATGGGGTGTGTAAACCTGTTATGGTTGTCTTCCAGCTCATTCAAATCCACTAAGACATATGATCCTTCATCCTTAATTAGTTTTGGTTATTATATTACACTTCCACAGCTAATTAAATGTTGAAACAACATCGAGAAATAATTAACAAAAAATGAACTATACTTGCTTAATACTATACATATTTTTTTAAAAAATATACTCGAGCATTTGTTTTCTTTTTGGTATTCGAAAAGTTCCCAATCTTAGGTTAGGATACATGACCGAACGTTGATAAACCTATGAGATTAGTGTTAAAACTTAGATAATCTCTCACCATAATTCAAATTCGGATATGTCAAAAACTATAGGAACCAACATAATTCTACGGAAAACCTAAATGGGCTTGAAGTAGGCCCATATATCCATAACACAAAATAGTATTTGAGTTTTAAGTTGACGTCCAGATTTGAAGACACAGCTTCCTCAAAGGTGGGCTCGTTCTGTCTGCTTAGGTCCCTGCAGATTTCGAAATCGCTACTTCCAATTTCTCCAGAAACTTTCTCACACTTTCTCGGCAAAATTCCCGGAAAAAGCACTCGATCAGCAGGTAACACTAAAGCTTCCTCCACGAATTATTCGCCGTCTCTTTCTAAAAAATTCCATGTTCTTTCGATCTAAATGGGATTAATTCGATTGTGTCCTTGTTAGCGTTTAGTCTCTCTTAGGTTTTTGATGTTCTGTAACAGGAAGCATTCTCTTTGGTCAAATTTTATATCTTCTTAGTCTCTTCTCTTTCAGCTGAAACTAGTTCTTGAAGTATCTTGTAGCTTTTCTATGCATTGGTCCACTTGGGGAAATCTATTGTTTTATATTCCTTCAAATTTGTGACCGTTGGGAAAATCTTGAGGATTGTATTTGTAAAGGTCACTGCTTTGGTCTTTCTTTGTTTCAAGCTCCTAAAAAGTGTATTCCTTTATTTGATATGGTGTAATGGTAACAGATGGTCAGGAAGGAAGATGTGGATTTCTATTGTGGATTTTCAAGGAAAGAGCTTCAGAGTTTATGCAAGAAATATAATTTGCCTGCCAATAGATCAAGTTCCGATATGGCTGAATCATTGGCTTCTTTTTTCAAGGTAGTTTTTTTTTGTTGGCTCTATAATGTTTCAGACAACTGAATATGGCTCATGAGAAAAGAAACTTGTAGCTTGAAAAGATAATCTGAAATCATTAATAAGCAACTTCATGCCTTGTTGCTGTGTAAATTTAGTATGGTCACATGTCCTGTTGTTTCTCCTAATGATTTTCTTTGTTGGGAACCTAATCATGTGTTGTTGTATCTATCTAACAATTGCAGAAACATAGTTTGAACTCGGTAGGTTTTGGGGTCCCTGTGAATCAAGATAGTTCAGCGACAACTTCTAGAGCACCAGCGATTAGAACATGGAATGTGAAAAAAGGTTTTGGTGAATTTATTTCTGTTGCTTTTAGTTTTCTCCTGTCTCATTTTGTTATTCCCTTTATGAAGACTGGTTAAATGTTATTGCAGATTCTTATGGTAATAAATTGGATATACCTAGAGAGGATTATGTTCAAGGTGCAGTGGCTAGAGAACCAGGCTTTATCCTTGGGGATAATACACCGTATCAGGTTCGATTCACTTTTATTTTGGAAATCTCTATATGCATGAAAGTGAGGTCGGCTTACAACCACTTGGATGAGTCAGCAGTAGTTTTCACTTTTCACTTCGTTGGTTTTCATTGAATAACTTGATAAAACGCGCTATTTTTCGCCTTTATGGAAGATGGTACAAGAGTCATATCGCTATAATGTAGGATAGTTTCTCAAAGAAATTTATTGACATAGGTGCATCAATATTTTGTCCTTTATTTACATTCCTTAATTCTCTGCCACTCTTTTGCTGGCCAACTTCTAACGTCTCTTAAATGTTTCTGTGGAAATGCAGGAACGAAATGGAAAGGATGGTTTGATTGATTCTACATCTGCTCCTCCATATATGAGGAAATTGAATGAAAAGGGCCCAACAGCAAACTCCAAGAGAACAGATTCTCGGCTAGAAAATAGAATGAGAGATGTAGACAGTGGTGATAGTCCTAGTTCGTCTTCGTTTGAGTTTCATGTCAGTTTGGAAGAGGGTATTAGCCTTTCAGTTGATCTAAATTTCAACCCATCAGATTGGATTAATAGCATGAGAGATGAGGTCAATGTATGTGATAGCATGCGTCGCAGAAAATCCCCACATTCTGATCTTGGCATTAATAATGCTACAGAGTGTAAGAAACAGAAGAGTTCAGGGCAAGACACGGATTGTCATGTAAGGAGAGAGTCATCTATAAGTCCGGCAATGAAAGACCATACTCAATTACCTTCTGATCATCATCCCAATGGTGAACGGTCTCTAGCATTATCTGCCATGGTACCATGCAGCAGAATCAAAGAGAGCTCAGACACTTACAAGGAAAAAAACGGGCTTAACTTGTCCGTACCTGATTCTTCAGGACCTGGCCAGATTGTATCATCTTGTGTCGAATCGTATAGTAAAAGCTGCTGTGTAAATCCAGTTGACTTGGACTGTATTATTCCTCCAGGGAAGAAGTTGGCAAGTGAATCTGTTATGGTTGCTGCAGAACAGAATCATTCAGCTGGTGATCTCCTTGTTGAAATTCCGGAAAATCCATCCATGGAAAGTTTTCAAAAGGTCGGAAACTCAAGTACTGTTATATGTCCATGGGGAGCTGGTTCTGAATTATCATCATCAGAAGCAGAGGCTTATCACTCAAACCAGCCGGGTTCTCCTCGTAAGACCAGTAGATCCTCAACTATCTCTTCTCCAGAGTTCATCATCGATAGAGAGTCCACTAACTATTCTGAGTCATTCAAGTTCCGGTCCAATGGAGGCAAGAACTGTCTGCCACCAAATACTGAGGAGCAGGTAGAACATCTCCTTTCTAATCAATTCGCTACAAGCAAGAAACACAATAGTTGGCTTATCCCATGCTTTGTTTCTTCCCCTGCAGGAAAAGAGCGAAGTTTTAAGTGAGCAGGTGCGGTCAGAGTGACTTGTTTGAAGGGTGAAGCATCCATTATGTTGTATAATATTGTTGAAGTAATAGAAAAGTGGCTATATACATGATGTAGAGATAGTCAAGAAATGGCCTTTCCTCTAACCAAGAGGTTTCTCTACTGCTGCTTTTTTTTTGAGGTATGATTTTGTGCTCTCATTATAAACATACGAATGATACAACAAAGAATAATGAAGTATTTATTTTTGGTTGTTGGCTTGCACTTAGGCCATCAAGCACACATGGAGATTCCTTTGAGAAGCATTGAGTCGATTATTACTGAAGGTTTTTGCAATGACCTAGGGAGAAGTCAGTTTTTTAGGTCAGTATGCACTTCTTTTTGGTTCATCTTTTATTAATTTCATCAAGGATGTCTTGTCTGTAAACGCAATTCTATGTTATCATACACATCATTCATAGACCAATGTTGAATACACCATGTTGTTGAAAAGAAACAAAGGTCTCACTGTAAGGGAATGAAACATGTTGGAGTGACATCCATGGAAACATATGAAGGTGTATACTCACCGCAATGTTCTAAAGATATAAGCTTCTGTTTACACAACATATGACGATTATCATCTTTGTTTACACAAAAAAAAACTTGGGCTGAATGTTGATAAGTTAAGGTAATTTGCTAGTAGAAAGATTTCAGGTATATGAAGATACTTTCCAATATAGAGTGTCTAAGGCTTTGTGTGTATGCAATGTATTGTTTCCTTAGCATGTGAGTAGCACGTGACTACCGGTTCTTATTTTTTGAATCTGAACCATATAGTTAGTTGAGTTTTTGATTTTTAGAATCAGTAAGGTGTCAAGTCAACTTTTAAGAAGGAAGAACATATAAAATCGAGTCAACTTCAGATTTTTTTTCAATTTGGTTCTTGTAAATGAAATGAGACACAGAGAAGAGAGAGGTCTCTTGTGTTAGTTTGAAATCTTGAGTCTAAAGAGGACAAAACATTTCTTTTGTTGGGCACAAGGAGATGAGGAGGAAGAAGACAAAAGAGGATGTTTGTGTCTCGCGTCTCGAGAAACAGAGTTGAACTAAAAATATATGTGCATGAAACCTCACAAACCATTTAGTTACTACAAGTCAAGAGATTGATCTAATGTTTTGGTTTGCTCGAAACCAAACACCGACGGCAACGGCGAAAGTTAAACACCCATTAGAAATATTATTATTTTAAAAGAAAAGGGAAGCTTTGAAGGAATGAATAGTTAATGTCTCATTGAATCTTGTGTTAAACTCCAATGTGCATAGAGATGGAAACTTGACATAAAACTTTTTGGGTTAGATTGAACAAATTTGGGAAGAATGGGGAAAAATTCGAATAACAAAAAAAAGAAAAGTAAAAACGAGAAAGCAAGAAGAGAAAATTTGGTAACATTAACTATTTTATATTAAATGGCGTCACCTACATTTGCCATTATTCAGAAGCAGCAGTTTTGGTCGCATTTAATGCCATCTCAGTACTTCATGACTCTCTTTGATAAGCTCCATGTCTCTCTCTTCTCTCTTTCTCTTTTGGTTTCTCAAGATTTTCATGAGCTACTGTTGAATGTATAACTCTAGCTCCTACTTTCATTACCCAATTTCTCTCTCTCAACACTTCTTTAGTCGGCAAAAAACTTAAAAAAAGTTGATTTTTTTTTTGAGAAGCTTAGCTTTAAAGGGTCTTTGAGGATGTTATGATGTTGTTACCTTGCGGTCTGAGATCTCAAAGGGGTAAGTATTTTTGTCTTCGTTGCAGAAGAACAGAGAGACAAGATGTCCTTCTTTGACATGGTTGTCTGAATTTTCCACTTCAAGATTGTTTCCTACATCTTCGGAGATTGTCTGGCTGACGAGTCATCTGTTTCTTCGACACTAATTCAGCTCTCATTGTTGTAATTTCAATTCTGTTTGTTATTGCATGCCTTTGATTGCAGTGTTACAGTTTTATGAACTTCTTGTGACTCTTTGCTATTTACCAATCAAGGTGACACACTCTTAGTCAATCTATGGAATGTGAAGACAGTAGCTAAGAAGCGAGTGGGTTGACTTTGAAAAGAAGTATTTGGTTTGTGTGTAGAATGAGAATGTTCGAAAGGAGAGCAAGGAAATGGATACTCCTTGTAAAGCTTGTGCTTTTCACTAGTATATGGCAGCTTGCTTCAGCTCTTGGTTCAATGTCTTCAATTGCAATTTCCTATGGAGAAGGTGGTTCTGTATTCTGTGGTCTGAAGTCTGATGGGTCTCATCTTGTGGTTTGCTACGGATCGAACTCAGCGATCCTCTATGGGACTCCTGGTCATCTTCAGTTCATCGGTTTAACCGGTGGAGATGGGTTTATGTGTGGGCTTCTGATGCTATCTCATCAGCCTTATTGTTGGGGAAACAGTGCATTTATTCAAATGGGAGTTCCTCAACCAATGACCAAAGGATCTGAGTACTTAGAAGTTAGTGCTGGCGATTACCATCTCTGTGGTTTGAGGAAACCAATAGTGGGAAGAAGAAAAGGCAGCAACATTTCTTCTTCTTCCCTTGTTGATTGCTGGGGTTACAATATGACAAGAAACTTTGTCTTTGATAAGCAGTTACATTCGCTCTCGGCTGGTTCGGAGTTCAACTGCGCGCTGTCCTCTAAAGACAAGTCTGTTTTCTGTTGGGGAGATGAGAATAGCAGTCAAGTAATCAGTTTAATACCAAAGGAAACAAAGTTTCAGAAAATTGCAGCTGGTGGATACCATGTTTGTGGCATTCTTGACGGGTTGGAATCGCGAGTGCTCTGTTGGGGAAAGAGCTTAGAGTTCGAAGAGGAGATCACAGGGACTTCTACGGAAGAAAAGATTCTTGATTTACCACCAAAAGAGCCACTCTTGGCAGTGGTAGGTGGGAAATTTTATGCTTGTGGAATCAAACGCTATGATCATAGTGCGGTTTGTTGGGGTTTTTTCGTGAACCGGAGCACACCTGCTCCTAAAGGTATAGGCTTTTATGATCTTGCAGCGGGGAATTACTTCACTTGCGGAGTTCTCTCAGGGACTTCTATGTCACCGGTTTGTTGGGGTCTTGGTTTCCCTGCTTCTATCCCTTTAGCTGTCTCACCAGGACTCTGTATAGACACTCCTTGTCCACCAGGAACTCATGAACTCAGTAACCAAAACAACTCGCCTTGCAAAGTGACTGGCTCTCACATTTGCTTGCCCTGTACTACCAGTTGCCCTCCTGGAATGTATCAGAAAAGCGAATGCACAGAGAGATCTGATCAAGTTTGTGCTTATAACTGCTCGAGTTGTTCCTCACCTGACTGCTCCTCAAACTGCTCTTCTTCGTCTACCAGTGGAGGCAAAGAAAAAGGAAAGTTTTGGTCACTGCAGCTACCTATTGCAACTGCAGAGATTGGATTTGCTCTGTTTTTGGTAGCAGTCGTCTCGATAACAGCGGCTTTATACATTAGGTACAGATTGAGGAATTGTAGGTGCTCAGAAAATGATGCAAGGTCTTCTAAAGATTCAGCCTTTATGAAAGATAATGGCAAAATCCGTCCGGATCTCGATGAGCTACAAAAGCGCAGAAGGGCTCGAGTTTTCACTTATGAGGAACTTGAAAAAGCCGCAGATGGATTCAAAGAAGAATCCATAGTGGGGAAAGGGAGTTTCTCATGTGTGTACAAAGGAGTACTGAGAGATGGAACCACTGTTGCAGTGAAGAAAGCGATAATGTCATCAGACAAACAGAAGAATTCAAATGAGTTTCGCACGGAGCTGGATCTGTTATCAAGACTCAACCATGCTCATCTTCTTAGCCTTCTTGGATACTGTGAAGAAGGTGGAGAAAGGCTTCTGGTTTATGAGTTTATGGCGCACGGCTCACTGCACAACCATCTTCATGGAAAGAACAAGGCCTTGAAAGAGCAACTAGATTGGGTCAAACGAGTAACGATTGCTGTCCAAGCTGCTAGAGGAATCGAATACTTGCACGGTTATGCTTGCCCTCCCGTGATTCACCGGGATATTAAATCATCAAACATTCTTATAGATGAAGAACACAATGCTCGAGTAGCTGATTTTGGTCTCTCCTTACTTGGTCCTGTCGATAGCGGCTCTCCTTTGGCAGAATTACCAGCAGGAACTCTCGGTTACCTTGATCCCGAGTACTATCGACTGCATTATCTCACAACCAAATCCGATGTCTACAGCTTTGGAGTCCTGCTTCTAGAGATCCTAAGTGGAAGAAAAGCCATAGACATGCACTACGAAGAAGGGAACATAGTAGAATGGGCGGTTCCTTTGATCAAAGCAGGAGATATAAACGCACTCTTGGACCCGGTCTTGAAACATCCATCTGAAATCGAAGCTTTGAAAAGAATTGTGAGCGTGGCTTGCAAATGCGTGAGGATGAGAGGGAAAGATAGACCATCGATGGATAAAGTGACAACATCATTGGAACGAGCGCTTGCACAGCTAATGGGAAACCCAAGCAGTGAGCAGCCAATATTACCAACAGAAGTAGTGCTCGGGAGCAGCAGAATGCACAAGAAGTCATGGAGGATCGGTTCAAAAGGGTCTGGTTCCGAGAATACGGAATTTAGAGGCGGATCATGGATAACTTTCCCGAGTGTGACATCATCGCAGAGGCGAAAATCGTCGGCATCTGAAGGAGATGTAGCGGAGGAGGAGGAGGATGGGAGGAAACAACAAGAAGCATTGAGGAGTCTTGAGGAAGAGATAGGGCCAGCTTCTCCTGGACAGAGCTTGTTCTTGCATCATAATTTCTGAAAACAAGTGTTGTTCTCTCAAGTCTTTAGTAACCAATGACATATATAAGTAAGATATTTACTCTGATGTATAATGTGTTCCTTAAGGCAGGAATGTAACAAAGAGGCAGAGAGATTCTCTTCAAGGAAGAATGTATCAAGTTTTTTTCAACTAATTATTACTAAGTTCTTTTGTATAAGTGAACTGTTTGATTATTATTGTATAAGTAACTAATTTATTACTGTCAATACTCAATAGTCAAAAAAAACAAACAAATACGATAAGTAATTAAAAATTGAGGAAAAGAAAATGCCCACACGCAGGATCGAACTACGGACCTTCAGTTTACAAGACTGACGCTCTACCACTGAGCTATACGGGCTTTTGTTCCACGCATTTCAATAAGTAGTTTATTAATCGTCCAATTATGACATCGAGCCATTTAAGATTAATAAAATTATTCGGCAAAATTTACTATTTTTGGCGAAAATGTAAAAAATTAACTATTCTTGCACCCTAAGTTTCAGTAGTATCAAATCAAATTGAAGAGAGGTTGGGCCAGTGTACACATATGAATGTAAGTAACCGATACCAATATATATGCACATAAGATTGTGAATGATCAAAATTTGTGAACTCTGAGTGGCAAATAATATTTTCACCAAGCAAAAAAAGTGGCTCTTTATTTACTCTCTTTAGCTCCAAACAGAGGGGTTTCTAAATTGAACAGCCATTGCATCCAGCAGAAATTTGACAAGTTCTTCTCTTCCTACAACTTTCTCCTTCTTCAGTTCAAGGTGCCTAACCTGCAAACCACAAATTTACGGGTCATTTTCGCGGCTTTCTTCACTAGTTAGCAGAACATGTTGTATTTATTATTACCTTTACAAACTCTATTTGATTTTGAGCCACTCCAGACTCTGCGATGATCACTAGACATTTGATTTCATGTTCGTTTGCATATTCGTACTGCTCTGTCAGACTTGGATCAGGTGTTGGAACAAACTCAGCCTGCCAATACATACACGGACATGTTATTAGATGTAACACAAATCATATATGTCCAAACCTATCTATCAACATAACATATTCAAGCTTTCTTCACCTTTATGCTTTTTTCCCACAGTTCCGCAACTAGTTCCATACGCTGGACCAGTAAACCGCCACCTCCTCTTGAACAAACAAGTACACTGGTGCTGACTTCATTTCTGCAGTTCAATACAAATTAGCGAAGGTGTTTCCATTTTAGATCATGAAAAAGATTCAGAAGGAAAAGCGAACCTAATAGGCCTTAGATCCATAGGAAGATGCTGAAATATTGTCTCCAGTGCAAGACTAACGCCAACAGCACCAGGGAGATTCATTTTCTGGATCCAACAACAGACAAAATAATCAACATTAGTAATCATAATTAATGCTACTTCTCTCCATGCAAGATGAAAAATACGTGGAAAGAACTTACATATTCACGATCACACATTTCCTGCACCAAAAAATCATAACGACCACCAACAGCAAGTAAAACGCCATCATTCGATGTCCCAGAGCTATTTTCTTTGGTTAAGAAAACCTGACAATTTTTTTTATGAAGTTTGCAGCAGTTAAACATACAGTCACATAGCAGAGTAGACATATCAATGATTGTAAACAACGCATTAAGCTATAAAACATCCAAAAGCCTAACAAAGACCCAAAAAAGCCCCACATTCACTTGTACCTGAAAAAACAAATTCCGGTGATAACTTTCAGTAGGTGGCATCAGAACATCAATATGAACATGCTCTTCTATCCTCCAGACTCTCAGGTAGGTTAAGAGGTTTGACAACTCATCGAGTGCTTTGCGGGTAGGTCTATCTGCAGCAAAATCAAACCAATTATATCTGGTTCACAATTTTAGGAGTGGCGAAAGTTAAATCGTACCAGCACGCAGAGCCCCTCTTAAACGAGGAAGTGCTTGATCTGCATCTCCGCAAAACCTTGAAGCAACAGTCTGCAGTCTATTGACAACAGCTTCAGGTAACTTCAACTCCTGGTAAGCAGGAGATTCCCAAGTAAGACAAAGTACACTATAATATTATTATGTGGCATGTTACTATGATTGCCAACCATGTATAGTTTATTGTGTAGCCTCAAACCTGAAGAAGTTGACGCCTTATGAAAACCCATTTTAGCTTCCGCTCAGATGACTGAGGACGCAAGGATCCCATCATGGAAAGAAGCTTCAATTGGAAAACAGGAAAAAGAATTTGGTCAAGATACTGATAAAAACCATTGATACAATGATCCAGATCCTTTGAATTAACAATAACCATACCTCTGCAACCTTTCGTCTATGCTCTGCCTTAATTCCTGCCCAGGACCAAATCGCATCCAGCAAATCTCCATGATTCAAATGAATGTCACAAGATCCGCGATGAAAGATGTGTGTTGTGATGTCTACTATCACCTGTAAAGTTAATGGATTAAAACGGTCAAGGAGATGCAAGTTCCCTGTAGGAAAATGCATAAGGCAGGAGAATAAGCAAATAATTGTTCATTTTCACGTTAGTTTCCCAGAAACACCATCACAACACTCACTACATTTCCTCCAAAAGTTGGCAGTGTGACATTTAAACCATGTAATGATCATTAACTAGACATAAAAAAAGATTTGTTCCATTTGTGTCTCGCACCTTGAGAACTTCTGCCTCTGTCAGGGATGGTGTGCCTCCAACAATGTCAAAGTCCGCCTATTGGCAATCAAACATCAAAACCTTTATAAGCAAATGCTTTTTTCACAGAGAAAATAAAAGGTAAAATGGACTGCCAGCATTTATCTTACACTCTATTAGCCAATAATTATATTAGCCAGAGTGTGCGAGCACAATACCTGAAGACACGGATTTGGTGGAGAATGGCCAATTGCTCTTCTGTAGACATGAGATATTTCATATCGCTTGAATGAGGATTTCTGCATTGCAAAATTGAAGTGTGTCAAATTAGACAAATAAAGCAAGAAAGAAAAACCAAGGATTTCATGTAAGGGTAGCTATGACTTGCTCAGAATTCACTTTGCCACTTTCTCATTGTCAAGTTTACACTTAGTATAAATGGTCCTATGTTCATAAAAAGCTGAGCTCTATAAGACAGTTCTTGGTCCAATTTGGTTGTTCACATCTGATTTGGAAATAATTTTATATAGAAATAAATAGATGAGCACTTTTCTGTTTAACATACAAGAAACAGAAGAACGATACACATAACAAAACTGGACCTGATTTACGCTTATCCAATTGACAAAAGGCAGTCGTAGCTCATAGCATAGTTCAAGCATATCTCCTCCATTGGTCAAAAGCTTTACAGTTTTCCTTTAGAGGGAAGATAAAAGTTAGATCAAGATCTAGTTTGATGTTTGAATGACAGATAATGGCAACAAGTACACAAGGATACCTGCTAAACTGGGGGCAATCACTAAGTAAACGCATTGGGATGACCTCTAGATGCTTCGCACAATGCTGCCTAAAGACTTCTTTTGTGATTTCAACAACATAATCACGAAGCTCTGTATTTATCTCTGTGTATTGAATATTACTATCATCTGCGCAGAGTCTCGAACTACTAGACTGATGGCTTTTCATCTCTAATACTTCTTCATCAAATATCACACTTACTACTCTATCATAAACACTTGAATCTTCAGAAGTTTGCATTATTCTTAGAATATCTGAAATTTAGAAAAGAAAGGGTTACTTGATGCCATCCAAAAGAAGACCGATAAAGGATACAATGTAAAGAAAGAATCAGCATTTTATCAAATAAAAGAGAACATACACACTACTAACACCAACTCAAAATTTGTATACGTTATGAGCGAAAGACCTAGACAGATATAGGTCCGAATTAATAGCAATTGTAGACAGCCAGTTACGAATTATAACTTCAGCGGAATGGAGACAGAACAAGATTATGTGTTGTTAGCCTTAGTAGAAAAACATCACAGATCAGATGAAAACCTCAAACGACCAAGAACAGTCATATGAAGTTGACACATATAGAGAACTGCAAAGAACTCACTATCCAGTAACTCAGATTCCATTCTGGGAGGAAATGCATGCTTAAGAAGTTCTGTGGCAGAGGGACGATCAGACGGACTTGGAGACATCAAACGCCGCAGTAGAGACGCCTGTTCGGGAAATTCATTTACCCATTTGAGAGGTAGCTCCCCTTTCAGCTTCAGGTCAGTTAAAATAACATGTCTCTCCATGGCGGTTCCAAAAGGATGCCAAAGTTCGAAGAACACAACCCCTAAGCTATACATGTCGGCCTGCAATTCAACACATAATTTTGAAACACAGAGATAAAAGAAGAACTAATAAAACCTGAGGACCAAAAGAAAACGTATATACAAGCATTATCTGGATGAAACTCAACTAAGTCACCAACAGCTACTAACCTTTTCATCAATCTTAGGCCAATCTTGCTCAATTTCAGGTGCTGTGTAAAAGTAAGTACCAGCTTGACCAGTACTATCGACTCCGCTTCCAGCCACATCCGTAGAGAAACCCCCATCTTGATCCAACTGTTCCAGCTTCAAGAACTTTGCTGATAAAGTAAGAAAATGCATGTATTTTCGATTTTGTTTTCCATACCACAGTTAAATACTCACAGTATAATGAGATGATTAGGTTGATTCTTTTCTTTAAAGACTTGAACAGCATAGTAAAATTCATGCATCAAAATACCCTCACGACTTTTAGATGATAAAAAGCAGAAATCAATCATGGCAAGGAACCTACCTTCGTTATATTATTGGAGAGGTTTAAGTCTAATACAGGGAAGCATGTGAAATACAGACATACCAAGAAATTAATGCGAATAATAGCATTAGGTAGGGAAGCATACCAAGACCAAAATCTCCAATTTTGATATCATTCCGAGCGTCAAAGAAAATATTGTTAGGTGTAAAATCCCGATGAATTATTCCTTGTCCATGGATATGAGCTAAGCCTTCCACAATTTGGCGAATTAAATGCCATGCAAAATCTTTGTCGAAGTGGTTATATGATTCAAAGACCTGGCGGAGAGTCCTTGAACATAATATGAACAAAAAAAGTAAGAAGAGAAGACAAGAAAGAATCCAAAGCTTAGACTACAAAAAATAACAATATTATACAGATCGAGGAGAAATGTACTGATCCGCAATTTCATGAAAAGATCAGACATTTTGGATCATTTTAATCTAAGTTTTTCTTGGACCACTAATATATGTGATTGAGTAAGCGTGGGACACAGAGGAACTTAGAAGTAACTCATAAATAACAATGTCAAAAATCAATTTAGTTGGAGAAAAAACAATGATCTTATATATGTGTTTCAACAGCTTAGTATATGGGTGGGGTGAAATAATGAGTTTAGATAGGGCTTTTACAATCTTTACCTGGGACAATATTCCATTTGAATATATAGATAAGTCGACTCAAGATTATTGTCCTGCTCAGGAATTTCAGTTGACACTGCACCTGAGTAGCTGAACATTGAACTCCCTGCAGTTTTTGATCCCCAATTTGCGCCAGCAAAAGGATCAACAACTCCTGTTTCGAACCAGGCCTATTTTCATGAAAATTATCATTAACAAACAGAACATAGGCAAAAGGAATAGCACTAAGCAGCAGAAATTCAATGAAAATGTACCAAATAGGTACACTTGGCTGGTATCAAATATGAAGATATCTCACTGAATGTAGTCATTATTCAGTAGAAATCGTTCAGACGAGCAGAAAGGACCTTTACCTGATAGTAACGTACAACATGCTGATGCTGCAAACGGGAAAGTGTTGCTACTTCTCTGAGTACCTCATAACGAGCACATGTAGAAACAGTTTTAGCATCATACTCTAAACCATCAGATATTATGTATCTTAGCCTCACCAGATACAGCCTATCCTAGAGTTTTAAAGCCAAGGCCATAAAGCCTGGTTTGCAGCAAACACAGTTGCAAGTAAACAAAGTATACAGCACAGATATATACGCAGATGAAGAACATGTTAGTCCAGATCTCCACCACTTGCTAAAAGAGCATAGATAATTTCCAAGAAGCCCTTGCCAGGTGGCATAACATTTAGCTAATATTAACACAGAAAAACACCCCACGATGGCACAGAGATCTTTAAATTGCTTAAGTATATATGTTGGTCCACTGAAATGTGAATGTACTCACTATGAACAGTTTTCTCACTTACCGAACTATCCGACTGTTGACAGGTATCTCTTTCTCCTTCAGTCGAATTTTCTTCACTGCATATTGTCTTCCATCCAGTTTATTTTTGCACAACACAACGTGGCCGAAACCACCTTGTCCTGCCATCACAGAGTTTCAGCAGAGAGCAAGAAGGAAAACTACTTACTCTAAACAAAATTGCAGAACAAATAAAATGTTGAGAAAGTGGACGTAACTCTAGCAGAGACAACTTTCTGCAGAAGTACACATCTACATAACTTATGAGTAATGAATAACATCTTATAAACCCTTGAGCAAAGACACTACTGAATTTGATCAAGTTCACACAGGGAGTTCACATCATATATATATATATCTACTCCTAAAACTGGAAAGAGAGAGAGAGAGAGAGAGAGAGAGAAGCATAATGGAGAATGTACCAAGGGGTTTCAACTCTTCAAAATCATTGAGATATCGCGAGCTTGGGAGTGATGCATTTGGCTCGCCAGAATCAGAAGGTGGCTCCCAAAACTGAGGAACACTGGTTGAGGCCTTAAAAGATAACATCAATCAGATGCATTACCTGAAACTCAAATAAGTAAATAATAACGATGAAGTGTGCCAAGGGATACGCACCATGTTTTGATTGAATGCATGTTCAAAGGTTCTACTAAAGTCTGGAGATGATTTCGAAGCTAAATCCAACGCTTCTTCAGACAATATCTGAAATGGTTTAACAAATAATAGTACTATTTAACATAGTTTTGGGGGATAAAATGAAGAAGCTTCCCTTGACATGTAGAAAAAGATACTGAAAATTTAAATTATCCAAAAGACTTACACCAAGCTGATGCAATTCATCAGTTATCTGAGGTAACGCATCAGCCAAAGGTCCTCTGGAAGTGCAAGCTACTCGAAGTAAATGGACCATCAACAGATCTTTCTTGCTAATCTGAGGCACTTGATCTTGAGATAAGGAATCAGAAGACCATGAGCCCAGCGACTCACTTTCGGAGTTACTGCTGTCATCTTCAGCTGTATCATCTTGAAGATTTGATTCCTGCTAAGAGAAACAAGAATATGCAAGCAGCAACAACATTCAGCAACCAAAAGTAGATGCATACTTGACAGGAGGTATATGGCTCTTATTACTTAATTCTGATTTTGTTGGTCAGGATACGCTAGTTATCTTGAACTGTACTTATGATGACTATCTAACCAAAAGAAAACGTGCAGAGCTCCCCATTCACATAAATTCTAATTAGATTATATCTGGAGTAGTGTCATATGTGAAGGACGAGAGGCCAATATCTTAAAAAGGAAAAGAGGGATTGAGCTAAAACAGATAGACCTCCCCTCACCTTCTTCTCATTTTGGAATAACCCAGATTCCACATCGTCAGTAGATTTACTTGAGTCAAAAGAAGAGATGCTTGTATCATCAACATTATCCTCTTGAACAGTATTTAGTTTGGCAGTGGGAGCAGGCAGTGCAATTTCTTCTTTAGCATGGTCCTCAAATCGCTTAAGATTCTTGTCCGACTTCTCATGCAAAATTCTTGAAGTGTCTAGTGGGTGAGATTGTACTGAAGATACGATTCCCCTATTTTCATCTGGAGTCAGACTCCAATTCCTTGCATCCTCCAAGCCACTAAATAGGTCTATAAAACCATACACAAAAGGTCCACCAGTACAGGATTTTGCTTTATTTGAAAGCATAGGTTGCTCAATGAACTGAGCGCTTCGATGTGCAGTCAAGCATGGAACCTACAGAAAGAAATAACAACACTGAATTTACAGGAAGAACGACCAATGCAAATATATACGTGATGCAATAGATTTTCTTTTTACCAGCAGTTAACAAGACGGAAGGATACTGTTGTTCATACATTACCATGGCATGAACAGTCATTTGGGTGAATATACTTACAGGTTCCGGAATGATTTCTGATAAAAACTCTTGAGCAGCCTCCACCAGGTTGAATATCATAACCCGACCTTCACGAGCATTGGAATTTGCCTGCATAGAATATAAGTTTTTGGAGTACCTTGTGTCAGCATAGAGCACTGTGTAAATACCATAGAGTATATCAGTATAAAAATTATTCCCATACCTGGTCCTCGAGAAGAGATAAAAGCTTCTCAGCATCAGCTGTTGTCAACCCTTGTTCTGGAGTAATCTGAAGCTTGGGGCACTTGTAAGGATATCCTGGTAAGCATCTAGAAGAACAAATTAGTTAGAAGGTGGTAATGAAAAGATCCACATGTTAATTATGTCATAGATTCGGGAAGAAGATAATCACCTAACTATAAGCATAGCAGAGATGTCGATGTCCTCATATCCCATATCCTTCGAGTAGGGCCTGCTCGAATTACAAGGGCCTTGGTGAATCAGATGCATTTCATGCACAAACAAGAAACATCACAACAGCTAAACTTGAATGCAAACATGTCGATCAGACGAAAACCTGAGCTTGATTACTATTTGCGGAGGCGAACGCGAATCTGAAACAATTTTGCAGTCCTCTTGAAATATTGCGGAGCTGAAAACATGAAAACAAAAACCGATCCTTCTTAGTTCTTACTATTAAAATTCATATACAGACTCATTCTTGTCCTGATTTCATAGATGTGTTAATTAAAATTGCTCAATCTTTAACAAAATTTACAAAGAATTGCTATTGTTAAATCAAAAACTTAAACACAAATCTCCAAAAACCCTAAATCTCACATTGCCTAAAAAACTCGTTTCACAAAAACCGGACAAAATAAACAATTTAAACTTACAGAGCAGTGATCTCCTCAGATAAAAGTTCATTATCTTCATCAGCATTAGATCCATGGTCTTTCAGCTGACCCCTTCTTCCACTACCTCCTCGTTTCTTCTTTTTCTTCGAACTGCTGCGACCCATTTCCTCACCCCAAAACACGCCCTAATCAATCTGATCTTTCAATCAAACACCTTCTCCTCCGATCGTCGAATCACCACTACATACCAAAACCCAACTCCGTAAAACCCCCTTCTTCGTCTCTCACAACTCCCGCCAAACAATTTCGATCTAAGAATTTCAAAAAAAATGGCCGAGGTGATTGCCGGCACTAACAAAACCTCCGATTACTTTTCTCTATATTATTCCGGCGTGAGGAATTTTGAAAAAGGGCTCTCCAAAGGAATGTTTATATAAGTCTCATAACCAAAATAAGCATTGACGGCTCTTCAAAGATGGCGCCATCAGAGTTCTTCTATGTTGATCCTGTCCAGCACAAAGCCTTCGAAACGTCGTCGTATTTGTATTCATACGCCCATGAACTTAAAGGCCCATTATGGCTTTTTGACCATTATTGACTGTTTTTTTTTTTAACAGTATTTGACGGATATTGATTTTTTAAAAACAACAATAAAACTATGTTTTTGAAAATCGTATATTTACGAGATTATAAGACTTTCAATCAATAAACGATAACGAGACAAATGACGTAGACATACAATCTGTTATTAAAAACAATATAGTATACATTAATATTCTTAGAAATTAGTAGAAAAAAAAATGAAATCCTAGAAATCTTATTTTTTCCAAATTAAAATGGAAATGAAAGTATTAGAGAAAAAGAGAATCAAACCTGACCCATAAGTGACCAATCAGAATCGACCCCGCTTAGAAGCTCCTGATTTTCCACACCTTATCTTTCTCTCTCACTCTCTCTTCTTCTTTAACCTCTCCAGCTTCACTCTCTATCTTCTCCTGACGTGACTCTTCTCTCTCTTCCTCTCCATCAATGGCGACCACAAACTCTCTCCACCACCACCACCACTCCTCTTCTTACACACACCACCGCCACAATCTCCATTCCCAATCTCACTTCGGACCAACTTCTCTTTCCCTCAAACAACCCACTTCCGCTGCAACATTCTCACTTATCTGTTCTGCTTCTTCCTCCTCATCCGCCGCCGCCGTATCCGCCGTTTCAACCACAAACGCCTCCGCTACAACAGCTGAAACCGCGACAAAATTCGACGTTTTGGAGAACCATCTCGTCAATCAAAACTTCCGACAAGCCGACGAGGAGACAAGGAGACTACTCATTCAGATAGCTGGAGAAGCCGCCGTGAAACGTGGCTACGTTTTCTTCTCCGAGGTGAAAACAATCTCCACCGAAGATCTTCAAGCTATCGACAATCTATGGACTAAATACAGCGATGGGAGGTTCGGATACAGCGTGCAACGCAAAATCTGGTTAAAAGTGAAGAAAGATTTCACAAGATTCTTCGTTAAAGTTGAGTGGATGAAGCTTCTTGATACAGAGGTTGTTCAATACAATTACAGAGCGTTTCCTGACGAATTCAAGTGGGAGCTTAACGATGAAACGCCTTTAGGACACTTACCGCTCACAAACGCGTTGAGAGGAACGCAGCTTCTGAAATGCGTTTTAAGCCATCCTGCGTTTGCGACAGCTGATGATAACAGTGGAGAAACAGAAGAAGAGCTAAACAGAGGTGTGGCTGTGGCTAAGGAACAGACAGGAGTAGGAGCAGACAAAAGAGTGTTTAAAACAAATTACAGCTTCTGATGTCTTTCTCCTTTTTATTTTATTAATTTTCTGATATTGTGAAAGTATAAACAAATCTCTGTAATCATATCATTAATTAAATTGGGTTTCTCTTCAATGTCAGTTTCAATTGTGATTACGGATGTATGAACAAAGTCAGATCATTAGTTAATGAATAAAGACACAAAACTCTTTCTTGGTTGATCAATGTGAAATTCAGCAGTTCTGCAGATCTTAAGATCATGAAACTAATGGAGTCAGTCTTAGATCATGAAACTAATGGAGTTATTCTTAGACAGATCAAATCTGAAACAACTTCGAAATCCCAGCTGTTCATAGAGGCCTTCTCGTGTTGTTGTTGTCCTCTTTGCTGATTTGGTGAAGATGAAAACAAAGTAGGGATTTTGGCTCTGTTCAAGAAAGCTGCAGCTCATATAATGAGCAATGTGTGACAAAGATCTAATGAATACGTTATACGTTGCTGCCTCTGTAGCCTTGTAGTTAATTCTCAGTGTAGGCCACACACGTTACACTTGATGTGGACAGATGCTTTTTTTCTCATTCTGTGGTATTCATTGAATAAACGTTTTAGTCATCTGCATATGTAAACTATAATATATTGAATCATGTATGTATATGTCAACAATATGTGTTCTTTCACCAAGGAAAATTACATGATCAGAGCATTCTAAAACTGCTACAAGAGGCGGAAAAAGGTATGTCATAAGTCTTAATACTGACTAGTTTCTAGGCACATGGGCAGAGTCGTCGGGTGTGTTGGTGTGAACCGTCACAGGAAAGCATTGATTGTGTCCGGGTATACAAACACGCGCCTGGATACTGCAAACCAAGAAAATAAACACACACATATATGGAATCACTCAGTTTATGATCAAGATTCAAAAGTTGAGTCAGGATGTAAATGAAATATTTCATTGAGGATTCAGGAACTTAAAGAGCGCATAAGAGAGAATAAAAGATGAAATACCAAATCTCTGGGCGCATCTTCAACAACTTCAGCAGGTTGGTCAGCCCCGGCACTTGCTAAACACGACCCTTTGCAGGTCATGTATCTTTTCATACTAAGCAAACAAAGAAGAAGAGAAAGAACCATGTGAACACCAAATTGCCAGATTTTAATCTAGTATATATAAATCTCTGAAACATGACTTGATGGTTGGCTTAAGAGATTGACTCTGGTAAAATAGTTGCTTAAGAAGAGACTTACACGTCACATTGGTTTAGAAGTGAGAGTTTATTCATCACACACAATTGTCCACGTGTCTTGCAAACTGCATCGCATGAATCTCCTTGACTGTGAATGTGAAACCAATCAAATAAAGAGTCTAAGAATATGGCCTCTACAAGAGCATATACAATTCAAACCGATAGAGCAGTGAAGGGTGTTTTACCTTCCAACAATAACGTCAATGCCAAGAAGTCTTGTTTCAACTTGTGTAAGATTAGCACCTGTTTTCAATTATTTGATGCATATGATAGGGTATTTCGACATTTAAACGATATTTGAAAGAAAGAAAAAATAAAGCTATTGAAGTTAACCTGAAGCATTTGATGTCAGAGAAAAACAATGGTGAAACTCGCTGTGGTAAGCATTTTCATGAACCTGGACGTTAAGGAAACAAAATATACATCTCACTGTTAAAAGCTATCCGTATTGATTATCCAGTTTCATTATACTCTCAAGAGCATTCCATCATTTTACTTTACTTCCACACTACATTGCTCAACTTCATGACATAACCTCAAGAAACTTGCCAAGAAAAGAACAATTAAAACCTTTTGAACTGAAAACAAAAAAAAGTAAATCGCTTACCACACTCTCAGAATTATGGCGGCATCTCCCGGAACAAAAATCAAATACACTCTTGTAAGTCCCTGCTAAAGAGTAAAAGTTGGTCATCTTGCAAATGCAAATACTTTTATGTGGTGATTTAAGAATGTTGCTGTAAAACGACAAGTTACCTGCTGTAGCCGGCTTTGCAACTTTTACCTTAACCACCTTCCCAAGAAGCGTCTGCAGAAGATAGATACTCATAAGCAAAAAATGATAAAACGAGAACAGAGAAAAATCTGAACAAAACCAAAGGTTCCATAGAATACCCGAGACGGATTCAAGCAGCAAGAAACGCAAAATTCATAAGAGTTGCAGCATTGTGAAAGGAGGTTGCATCCACTTCAAGCCAAACCACGAAACAAAGAAGTATGATTAAGAACACATTAGTTTAAACTAAACCCGATAGTTCAGTGATCAAAGGCTATGATCCTCTCAAAATTGACTCACTGACAAGAGAATCTTTCTCCTTTCCATGGACAACAACGGGTTCGAGATTCCAATGACAGAGCATCACACACATTGCCTGCAAGTTGCAACAACAACCATTCATGGATACATTCTTTTTCACCAAATCTATATCGAAAGAGATTAAAAATGTTCAAAAAGGTGAATCTTTCAAGAGTGAATGAGAGAGGAAATTGCTAACCTTCATCATCGGAGATCAAGTATCTTCCTTGGACAGTTATTCTGCAACTCCTCTCTTCCAAAAATCCGATATCCTTCCTGCAAATTCAATCGATGTCTTAAAGTAAATGAATCAAGCAAGACAAAACAGGGATGCACAATTCATAGAAGCAATGGTTGTTACCCAGAATCAATCACCTAATTGCAGAAACTCTCAACGGAAATAAGAAACCCATGAGATGTAGAAAAGTGAGGAACAGACTAAACCCAGATGTGGACATATTCTTGTCGGAGAAAGAACCAATCTTTCGACCAAATTACACTTCCGACTTCGAGCTCTTCCAACTTTTTTTCCTCAGTATTGAAATCCAAATTGATTGTTTTTATGAATTATATTTTTGTCGTTGAATTGGGGAAATCCGCGAGCCAAACCAAAACCCGGTTTCGGTTTTGTTCTTCCGGTTATCGAGAAAGCAATGCGTTTAGTCAAAGTATGACTTTTGAGTCTTTAGTAGTTTAGTTGTTGGTTCAGCAAAATCATTCTCGAGAAAGCTTCACTGAATACATGAAAGCATGTTCATGTGATTCATTAACAAGCAGTACATACGAAAAAGCAACTAAAAATCAAGTTTTTTCCAAAGTATGACTTTTGAGTCGTCACATTGTTGCCACTGTAATCTTGCTCTTCCTCCATGCCCAATAATTAGCTCTTATAGGATCTACACGACCAAGAATGGTACACACCAAATTAGCCAAGCTAGTATCTGGTTCTTCATTAGCTAGAGCTCTCACTGAGTCTTTATGCTCGTTGGTTGGTTTCAATCCATCGCATAGAAGATCCAAAAGGGTGCTCAGAGCAAATCCATGGAAGCAATCCGTGCGGGATAGAACATTCAAACAGACTGAGGAAACACTTGGATCACTAATCCAGGATTCTTTGTCGTCTTTGTAAAGAGCTTTCAGGTATCGCCATGAGCTCTCGTTTGCAGGATTGGCTAAAATGGCTTTGATTGTGTAGCTTACTTCAGATTCTCTCATGGCTTCTAGGCCTCCCAACAGAGGAGATCGAGTGATGACGTAATACCTCTGTAAGATTAAGGGAATGAACTTATTCAAAAAGGTGACTGAATTGCCAATTGATAGAGATTAGAGATACAGAATCTAGTGTGTGTATCAACGATCATGTTAACCTGATTCCAGGCGGAATTGTTAAAGACGTCAGCTTCAAGGAGCTCGTGACAGTAATCGAGCTCATCTTCCCATCCTCCTAATGCCCGTAGCGTCCACTGCAGATTGTTTCCCAACATCAAACAACAAGATATGTAATACCTCAAGTGAATGCTTTAACAAGGTTTGCGACAAACCTGCCTATGTGACCAAGCATGATAATGTTTGGCATCAAGTGAAAGTACTCTACGGGTAAATTCAAGCTCTCTCCCTACAACATCAGGACCCAATTTCTCTGCAACCCAACGCCGATGATGCCTAGAGAAAAGGAAGAAATAGAGCAGAAGCATGGATCATCACATTCACAACCAAGGTTTTTAACTTTGCATAAGCAGCAAATACGAGACACTATGAACTTAACAATGTGTTAAAGAACAAGCTTTGATCTAATATATACAGAACATGCTGGCTCGGCATATACAAAACAGCCTCCAAACTTTGATGATTCCCAAAAAAGCTAGAACTTCTTCATAGACTAAAACATTCTCCAATCTATAAAGATGTAGGCTATAACATAAAGCAAGCATATACACTATACAGTTCTTGATTCAAAATTATTCATCAGTCAATTTTTCACAGTATAAACACTAGCTACTCATGAGAAAAAAGAGACAAAGGTATGAACTTTACCACAGTTGGTAGTTCTTAGAGTTATCCTCAGCAATGCGTTCGATGAACTCGAGTTCTTCAAACAAGTCGTGATTAAGGGCCTCGAGTACTAGGCGCCTGAAATGCCAAACCTTCAAAGGAAAAAAACAAATATCGTTAAGAATAAGTATTGAAGCAACAAGGACCAGACTGAAATCCATCAAATTTCAAAACCACAAGAGTTCAGATAGTTATTGATTATATGAATTATGAGAATGATTACTGTGTAGTTGCCGGAGTTTAAGCGGAGCGTTTCTTCCGTGAGTCGCAGTGAGCGAGGAGATCGCTCGTCGGAAAAGTAAATCGCACGGAAGTAATCCATAGTCTCGCGGAACTCTTCCTTGTAGGCGATCGGCACCACCGGATTCGGGCCATCATCCTGAGTCAACGGGACCACGTCTGCCCACTCCGACCGCTGGCTCAGTGGCACGGTCTCGTCGAAATCCATGTTCCTCGACTCCGATCCAAAGCCGAAGAATCAATGAAAGGTCATTTGATGAAGAATGGGCTTTAGCCCAAATCCCAATAAAAGCCCAAGCCCTATTAAATTTATATTTTCTCATTCCTAATAATCTGTTATTGGAGAACAATAAGGGAAAATTAGATCGGGTACTACTTTTCAGAGAAAGTTTAGGCCCAGTACCACATTTGGGAAAAACTTTTGAAATGTACCACATTTCTATGCCACATGCCTAAAGCCGGACGAAATTGCCCTTGATGGAGAGAGAAGTGTGTGTCAGAGAAAGGGACACCTTCCGAAATTTCTGCCGTCCTTTTTCTCTCTCCTGCGCATTGGTAACCGTTTTCGTCCCTTTGGCTGGTAAAACAAAGTTGTCCTCGAGTAAATCCAGATCTTCGTCTTCGGCTCTCTGGCAGGATAAAATAAAGATCAAGTTGTCCCCGAGTTAATCCAGATATCTGGCTGGTAAAACCACATCATCTGGCAATGGATAATTAAGAGATGTTGTCCCCGAGTAAATCCAGATCTCTGCAGGCTGGTAAAACCATATCATCTGGGATTCATGATAATAGAGCAAGCTGATGAAATCGGGGACAAGATCTAGACGCAACAGAGAATTTTCAATCGGGGACAAGATCTGGAGACAAAACGGCGTCTGACTGTAGCTCCTTCCCCTGACACATTCCTGACGCAGGCAAAAGGGTAAAATCGTCCAACCTCTACCACATAAACACCAAAAGTGGTATGGATGCTAAATCGATTTGCAATGTGGTACATTTGCTAGGAATTTCTAAAATTGTGGTACATTTGGCAAAATTCTCGAACAATAATATGAGCTAGATGGATACAAAATAGATCAATATTAAAAGGAGCAAACAAAAATAAATAAAGACATGGATAGTCTTCTTGGTTGTGAGATCTTTCTCCGCAATGCTTCATTCAATTCCTTTTTCACACGTTCCATCAAAACCAACTCTTTCAAAGAATAATGATGTTAATAAGCTCAATCCTCGCTTACAAGTATTGGAGATGGTCTAACTTTACCTTAAACTTAATTATTTCTCATTGTTTTATGAATTTTTTTTATTTTTAATTAGATTTCTAATTCAAAAAGGGTGTTAAAACTTCAAAACATGCATTGGGTGTTACTAAATTATCGCAAGGTTCTTCTTATACTAGTTCGTTTGGTTTCTTTGGTTCAGAAAAAGTTTTTTACCAAATTAGAATTGTTTTTAGTATTATTATTTGGCACAAAAGATATTCCGGTTTAGATTTGGTTTGGTTATTAGAGAAAATTTTCCGGTTATTTCAAAAAACAAAATCAACAAAAAAGAAAAGAAATATAGTATATTGATCACCCTCATTTTCATTTTCTGCAATAAAAAGAAAAAGAGACTAGAAACAATAATCAGGAAAATTGTAAGAAAAAAAAAAATAGAAACCGCAAGATTTCTTACTCGAATCTAATAGTATGAACTTTAATCTTGGTCAGACGCACTAAGGTCTCTCAGTATACAGTTTGGTCAATACTCAAGCGGTGGTGATTTACTTTTTATACAGTTTGGTCAATACTCAAGCGGTGGTGATTTACTTTTTTATACAGTTTGGTCAATACTCAAGCGGTGGTGATTCATCTCTTCCTGCGAGAGAAGAAGAAAACACTGAAACCGTCAAAATAAAGTAATATTTTATCAAATAAACAAACAAATTTAAGTATGTGATACTTACTTAGTTAATAACTTTGTTGGGCCCTATTCGTTGATCTGAGAGTGTGACGTGTTCTCTTTGTTGTTTTGGCACGGATTAGTGCAGCAATCTATGAAAATAAAACTCTAGTTAATGATTTGAGTACCAAAGAAAAAAACAAAAAATAATACTTTTACCTCATCTCTCAGCCTTCTAACCGATCTCCTAATCTCTTCAACCTCTCTAGCATATAAAGCAGTCATCGCTCTAGCTCTTGCAGCCACTACGTTAGAAAGAAAACTTATTAATGTCAACAATATATAGATAAATATATATATATATATATATATATATATATATATATATTACTGATATGATATTAACAAATTCTTACCAATTTCGTTTCTGCTTTCGGTCACACGTTGTTCTTGGAGAAGTCGTTTCCCTTCAATGTCATCTTCATTCCTTTGTAGGTCAATGATCACATTCTCTGCTTTTGTCACAGCTTTATTGATACTTGCATTTCAATATGGCTTAACTATCTCACCATTAAAGGTCTTTTTCTCTAAAGTTTGAAAGTAATCAATCTTGGAAATTGATATGGTAAGCAAAGAAAGCTGAACTTGCTTTGCACATCATATTTTTTTGCATATGTTGAAATTGATATGAAATAATTAACTTGCGAGTTCCGAGGTAAAACAAGTTTCGGATGAATTTCACGATCATCGACATCTTCAAAGAGAAACAACTTTCATCAATCAAGTCTAACCACAAGCAATTATTTTGTTTTAACCAAGAGTTAATATGTCTAGTATAACTAATTTATTCTCTTTTTTAGTCTCTTGCCAATAATATAACTAATTTAAGTTGAATTATAGTTAAAGTCACTAATGAAGTAAATGAGTAATGATTGTAGATTTTGTGATGATTAGTCAAATATTTGTATTTTATTTTACTTTCCCTCTCAAAAGCTTGAACAAATTGTTTGTGGGCTTGTCTCATATACTTATATAAGTCTATAATTATATAAGTCCTAACAAAAATATTCATTAAGCTAATTTTTGATATATCCCAAAGATCTGAATTGAATCCAAAAGGTAAAATAAAAAAATAAAAATTTGAACTGAATATTTTTGCTTTTTCAAAATAAAATAACATAAATTGATTTTTTTGAACTGAAGCTAAAGGCCTAAGCCATCTTAAATTTGATTTAATTTTGACTAGTCTTCTTTTAAATATCAAATATGCAAACTCAAATTGAAACTGAACCCAAAAGTGGATTTTGTTACTACTATCCCATAATGTTATTATCAACATTTTGTAGAAAAAGTATTTCAGAGATTTGTATCATTATAATCAGCCAAACTAAAAAGATAATTGTTTTGCATCCTTGTGTGATTACATGAACATAGTAGATCAACAGAAGACAGAGCCTACCAAAAAAAGATCAACAGAAGACAGAACCAAACACAAACAATCTAAACAAGATGGGCTCTTCCACTTGAGACATTACCACCAATTACACACAACCTCGAATATGAACAAGCAACGCAATCGATCCACTGCATTTTCTATCAGATTTGCTATAACAAAACTAAATCTGAGAAAATATTACAATCTTTGTGAGAGAGAGACATTATGCTCAAGTACAGTAACCGACTAACATGCCATCATCATATGTACAGATGATCCAACATCATTACATGAACTAAGAGTCAATGAAGAGTTCCTGGTATTAAACCTTCAGATCATAGTTTCAAGGACAGACTTGATAGCAAATGTGAAGACAAAACTAGGGGAACCAGTAACTAGCAACATAACGGCTTCTGATTGCTAGAAATCATCAGACTCCTTTATACTATACCCTTGCGCAACTCAACCCACAGTGATTTAGTCAAAGAAAGATCCAGAGAAAACTCACAATCATAATCCAAACACCAAATCATACTACTTACAATCGAAATTTGAACACAAAAGGATAAATCTTTGTCAGTCTAATGAACACGGGAACGTGTAGTGTCTAATGAACACGGGAACGTGTAGTATACATGAGTTGAGTTCTTTACCCACCACTCTCAAAACCCACACCAAGTTATTTGTCATAACCAGCAGGAACTTCTAACTACAGTTCCTAATCTAATGGCTTCTTACAGAATTTCAATTCAAGAACTCCAAACACGATTAAGCAAAACTCAAAGGAAAAATCATGGATACAATAAGAAAACCACCCAGATTTCCTTAAAACATCAAGTCAAACCCGGAGAATTAAGCTTTTATGTGGTCTTACCTCAAGAACAAACCTATAATTCTCTGCGACAAGAATCAAGATATAAGGAACAGAGAAATCAAGTAAGTGCATAAGTCTCAGTGCTACACTGCAGTTACTCATATGGTTGTACAATAATACCTTGAGATGCAAAAAGATAGCAGAAGCATATGCATTTTCAGCCATAGGTGTAAAAAATCTAGTGCTTCTAATATCATGGACGACCTTCCCAGTGACCCTAATACAAACACATGGTTCGTGGCCAATTCAACAATTACAGCATTATCCACAAAAGATGCTAAGATTCGGAGGTTGTTTACAGTTCCGTAACAGAGGCAAAGATTGTTGTAACTAGTGTAGATAAAATCCTATATTTCAGATTTCTGTTGAGTCATAGCTATATATGTACGCTTGTAAAGTCTTCATGAAGATACACAAATTCTCAGCCTCTGATTCTCTCTTTATATCCATTCTGCAAAAAAAAGAAAAAAAAAAAAGAAGATTAGAAACTGTTACTGAATTTAAAAAAGATAATAATAAGTACCAAATCTTACCAAAGTAATCTTTTGTTTGCTTTCGCTGACACCTTCAAGGCTTTTAGAAGAGGTTGAGAATTCTCTGAACTTTCCAGGGAACGTAACTGCAAGATTTAACCAAACATATAATATAGATGTGAATGTCAAAATATATACATAAAACAGAAACTAAACATAAAAAGGAATATTACCTGTTTCTTCAGGCAATGGATGTATGCTGCAACCGACACCAGTTGCTCTTCATAGAACAGTTTATCAGCTAAAGCCCTCGCAGAACCAGTCGTGTCATTGATAGCAGTGGCCTTGGTTATGTCAGTCTCGGCTTTAGCAAGTTTTCCCTTATACTTGTCCTCGTCTTCCTCGAAACCCTTTATGGTTTCTTCAATTTTATCAACAGCTGACTTCCTTATCTTGTCTTTGTCTTTTCCCTTTCCAAGTCTTTTTAGAAGCCAATCGAACATCCTTTCAACTTGATCTGCAAATTTCAGAAATCAAACGTCAAAAACCAAACAAATCCAGAATAAACACCGAGTGTAGCAGCTCAAAATCCCAACTCAAGCATATATATAAACACGGAGTACTCTAGTAATCAGCCCTCTTCAGTCTTCCCTTCTGAGGATTCACTGGTTTGGCTCCCTAAAACAGGTTCCAAATTACACTAAGACACGGGTGATAAAGCAGGAACTTGTAACTGTATCTAATGGCCTCTCACAGGATTTCAATTCAAGAACTCCAAACACGATTAAGCAAAACTCTAAAGGAAAAATTATGGATACAACAAGAAAACTCCTACCACAAGAGCCACAATCCAATCATTCTTAATCAACAACACTAGACTTAAGATGGATGATTCTATAAGTAAAACAATGAAGAGTTCCTGGTTAAACAAACTTATAAAATCTTTCCAAACTTATTCAAATAGTGGTTCTCATAGTTAAACTCAATTTGAACCACCCAGATTTAGTAAAACCTGGACATTTAAGCTTTCATGTGGTCTTTTACCTAGAGAACAAACCTACCACAAGAGCCACAATCCAATCATTCTTAATCAACAACACTAACCTAGAGAACAAACCTATAATTCTCTGCGACAAGACTCAAGATAAGGAACAGAGAATCAAGTAAATGCATTTTTGTCATTATCATCATCGTTGTGATATGTAAGAAGGAAACAACTTTAAACTCGTCATACAAAAAGAAACGGCGAAACTCGTTGGGCAAAAAACGGAAACAACTAAACTCGTCGAACAAAGGAAACAACCATAAACGTCAAAATTTGGGGAAAGAATCGCAATTAGGTTTAGATTGGGGCAAGAGATCGAGCTTAACCTCGAATCTGTAAATTGTTGAGGGAGAATCGACGAACACCAATGGAGATCGACGAACACAGATGGAGGATTTCGTTCTCTGAAATAATTCCAAAAACAAAATCACACTTAGAGTAGAGAGATTTCTGAAATTAAGCTTCCTTCTGAAGCTTGAATCATCACCTACCAGAGGAAGAATCCGAAATGCTTGGAGAAGAAGATGGAACTTCGAGGAGCTGTTCCCCAGAGAGGAGAACACAATCTTCTTCTTCGAGCGTCTGAAGAAAAAGGGGTCTGAAATAACAAGCGGGAATTGTTTTTAAGGGGTATAACCGACCTTTTGTTTGTCTGGTGAGAGTCTTTTGCGTTTGCTTCGTGATTGAAACGTCACGCTGTCTCTAATCAAAAACGACGCGCATTCTACTATCTGCAAAGTTAGACGACACGGCGTTTTTAAATAGCAGATTTTTTTTTGTCGGAATAAATAGAAGATATTCGAATATTGAAGGTTGCAAAAATTTTGCCAATAATTTTTTTTTTGCATAATCGCATTAAAAATAGAAGTAAAAATTTATTATGCATATAAGTGGTTATATAGTTGTTTATCTGCATAATGGAATTTTTATTATTTTACTTCTACCAAATATTATCAATTAGAAAAGTATGAAAATAATTGTTTATGATGAAATTTATACCATTTTTGAATAATATTAAAAGATTCATAATATTTTAACAATATTTAATATTTATATATTTTATTATCAAATATTTATTAAAAACATTATTTTGTTTATTAAATATATAAGTATATAGTAGTGATATAATATTATATTCCGCCATTACTCCAAAGTATATATATCTAATCAACATACTTTTATAAGTAATTTTGTTTTGCGATTTTTTATTCTGCAAGTTTTCATTCTGCAGATTATGTCATTATGCAGTATTACCAACCGGAACCTTTGAATAACTTGGATTTTTAGGAATTTTATGCAACCTTCTCGCATCTACACTCAAATGTAAAACATCAATAAAATAACTATTTAGGTCTGTCTACTTTGTATTCGTACATAAAAGACTTCGAAAAAAAAAAAAAAGATCACTCCATTTAGTTTGATTTCTTGTTTTTAGATCCGGTTCTATGCTATTTTAAACGAACGTTTTTACCCAAAAATCATTTTCATCTCATTGCATTCTCTTCAACCGATAGTGCATCTAGCAACAATGTGGTTGAAACAATACCATCCATCTTTTTTCTACCTATCCATGTATTTCTGATTTCCTATAGGATTAGAAAAACTATTCCAATACCGGACCAAACTAGGTATTAGAAATATATATTCAATAACAACTTGGCATATATAGAAAGAATCTAGGAAATTTCATCAACACAAACAAACCATTCATAATTTATGTCTCTTGGGGAATAACATTTTGAGATAGATATAGATAGAGCTACAAAAACAAGTTAATATCTAGTACTAAAAGAAGATACAAAATCGCCTAGTCTTTTGTCGGGTGAGAGCTCCATGCTGCAATGCTTCAATCTCTCTCTTTTTGCGACTTTCGAATAACACCAACTGTTTCACAAAGTGGGTAAAAAAAAAAGAAAGTTCAGTTAGTCCCTTCAGTGTACCCAAACTTACAAAATGCCTTAGGAAACTGAATAAGAAGACCTTACGTATTCAAGAAAAGGCGGCCGCATACTCGCATAGTAGTCAGCTGCTTCATCGGACATCTCCTTTCTTTCCATATGGGCTGAAACAGTTACATGAAACTTAGTAGCGTTAAATCAAACATAATTGTTAAAGCAAAGCAAAAGATTTGGTCGTACTCGATGCGAATCTTCCCCCAAATTCGCTTGCTTGCTCAAGCTGTGCGGCAGAGTCATCCAGATAACGTTTCTCAGATTTTGCAATGATATCAAGCGCCTGAGATGAACGTAATGTGAGCATATATACAATGAGCCAAATTATAGTAAGCTCTTGAAAATAATAATTGTTAAAAAAGATACGATTGTCAAATCGACAACATATGAAACAGAGAATCATACCTCGTTTAGCTGGTCTATTACTTTTTGAATTTTATAAATCTTCTTTTCTGGCTTCTCGGCGAGCCAATTCTTAATGTTGAAGAAACCCATTCTGATCTCAGTTAATAAAAATCTAAACAATCGCATATATGTATAAACTAGTTAGGGTAAGATCTAAATGTAAAACCAAAGGACCTTTATGATAGAGTATATAATAGGAAACTCAATAATACTCTTATTATACGATATCCTAAAACTATTGTTGAGTTTCCTATTCTATATGGTTTCCTATTAACTGGTCTTGCACCAAAAAAGGAAAAAGGATTAATAACAAATTTTAACATTTTTATGGCAGTGAGTCAGTTCCTGACTTGTCCAAACTTAACCTATAAGCGTGAATTTTTCTGACATTTTAATTTATGTTAAGTAATTTGATAAATGCTAATTATTATTCTGTTATTGTCTAAACTCTAAACCTAGGGTTTAGGCCTTTAATGTTCCCCTATATTATTTTATAGACGAATGTTTTAGATCCGATTTGGGTTCAAGTTGTTGTGTTAGAGGACATCAGTGTGGGTTTCTTCGTCGGCGACTTGGCTCACAGGGAACAATTATGTTTATTATAATTTCGTAGGAGGAAATAGATGACTGAATTTTAAGAAAAATATTATTGTACATGGTTTTAGTTAAATTGTCATTTCTATATATGTATTATTATTATGGTATATACGATCAAAGTATTAACATATATTTTTAAAGATTTAATTGATAGAAAATATTAAAAAGAAGTTTTACAAAAGAAGAGCATAATGATAAGTGATTACAATAAAAATGTTAAAATTTGTCATGTTATAATCCTTTTTCCATTTTAGTCGAATAACAGGAAACCATGCATAGCGGGATAAATAAAGGTCCTTTGGGTTTCTTGCTCAGATCTATTTATATTGCTTCGCATCCGTCAAGTGTGTCTCCCTCCATCTAGAACTATATACTTCTTCTTAGGATCCTTAAGCTGATTGATAAACCCTAATTTACTATGTTGGAGAATTGATAAACCCTAGTTTTCTTAAGCATTCTATAAGGTTTGCCTACATATATAGAAGGGATATATTAGCTTAACTTTTGAGTATTATTACCCATTTTGTGAAACAGTTGGTTTTGGTCGAAAGTCTCAAAAAGAGAGAGATTGAAGCATTGCACCATCTCACCACCGCCCAAGAGACTAGTAGGCGTTTTTGTTTCTTCTTTTAATTTTTATATGTTGTTTTTGTATCTCTATCTATCTCATAATATTATTCTCTAAACAAAAGATAAAATTATGAATGGTTCGTGGGTTCTTGAGCTTTCCTAGAATCTATGCATCATCATGTCAAGTTAGTTATTGACTCTTTGCGTTGACTCTTTTTCTCTGTAAATTTCTAAACTTGGAGAAAGCATATACATAATTAGATTGGTCGTTCTTCTTGATGATGTGACATAAATACACCCAAATCAGTCGGATGATACTCCCGCTTTGTTTTGTTGGTAAAAAGACTAAAGCTTATGCTTTAATGAGACCTGACCCTGCTTTTGGACGAAATTAACGCTTCAGTGGATCTGCGTGAGTTACAACTTTTCACAAAATGGGTGATACTCGAAAGTTGAGCTTTCCCTTCAATGTAAGCAAAACTTTAAAAATGCTTTAAAAACTGAAATAAGAAAAAACCTCACCGCTACAAGTGCAGGCCGCAACATATCTGCAAACTCTTTACCCGTTTCTTCGGCCAGAGTTGAGTCAAACATACAAATATGGTCCGTTTGTTTCTGTTTCTTGGGTCTTAAGCAAAAACGTGTTTCTTAGAAGGGTGTCGTTTACTTTAGTTCAGAAGTTTTGTTTGATTTGGACACCTCGCTCTCACATGACACTCACGTGTGTGTTGTCCTTATCACGAATGATTTTGACATTTGGTCTTTAATGAATAACACAATTGATTTTCTTTTGGTCTTGATTGAGGTAAAAAGGTCGATGGCAAATATATGAAATTAAATTGACCCTAAGAGGAACGTAATGGGAGATACAATGAGAAAGAAGAATATACCACCACTAGGTCTAAATGGACTCGAGTTAACAGCCAAACAATCTCTTAAGTAATTACAACAATGGTTTAAGAGCTTAAAAAGATACACATTTTCAAATCGAGGACTTATGAAACAGAGAATCAGACAGCCTCAATCTCTTGTTAGTTCGTCTTCCATCACTTTGATGTCTTTGTGTTCAAGACATAAAAGTATTGTAATACCACAAAACTATTCCGGTATATAGACTATAGGAAATTTCAGCGCACCATTCTCTCTATTTCATAACTACATATATCTTTGTCTCAGGAATAACATTATAAGCTAGATAGATAGAAAGAAAAAACGAACTAAAACTAAAAGAAGAAGCAAAAATGGCTGGTCTTGGTGAGAGCTCCACGGTGCAATGCTTCAATCTCTCTGTTTTTGAGGCTTTCGAGCAAAACCAACTGTTTCACGGAAATGGTGATACTCAAGAGTTATGACCTTTAATGGAAGCAAACTTAGAAAATGCCTTGGAAAACCTCACCTCTTCGAGAGCAGGCCGCTGCATATCTGCAAACTCTTTAGCCGTTTCTTTGGACCTCTGCTTCCTTTCCAAATATGATAGAACAACTACATGGAAGAAATCGGTAGAGTTAAGTCAAACATATATATGGTCATAATTGATACAGAAAGGAAACAGATTTGGTCGTACTCGATTTGAGTGGCCCCTCGTATGCTTCATCATCTTGGTAATAGAACTCAACCTCACTTGCATTCACACGGTATCTGTCAGCCTGCTTCAGTCGATGATGATCAAAGTCAACATGAATTACTCTTCTTTTAAATTATCAAATGTGAAAACTCATATTAAAACTGAACTCAAAATCTTGGCCCATCAGTCAAAGCCCATTTGGGACTGAATAAATCAATTTATATAAAAAAAAAAAAAGAAGAAGAAAAAACTTGAACTCAAAAACTGGGTATTGAAAACTGAGTAGTAATTTAGTATCACCAACACGTTACAAAAATATGTGATGTGAGGATAAATAATTAGGCACATTCTTACGTAATTTAATTTATAAATAAACTGTTGCTTCTTTTTTTTCCCCCAAAAAGAAAACTATAGTAAATAAATGATGTTTAGCAAATCTCTTAAAAATTCCGCAATTAATTAAGAAAACGTTGTTGTGAAATCAAAGCAAAATAAAAAGAGAGAGAGGTCGTGTTAGATAATTAGAGCGCACTTGCGAACAACAACCAACGACGACCCACTGATTCAATCTCCTCCTCCTCTCTGCATATTCCTTCGCATCTTTTCTGGTACCCAAGCTGGAGTCTTTGGAGAGTTTCTAGATCTTGTTCAATTTCTGCTTTCAGGATTAGTGATTTTGATTATTCACTCTGGAGCTCGAGTTCTGGATCCGTGTGGCTGGAGGGAATGTTTTGTTAAGCTGATTGTTTAGGTCAATTCAGGTTAGTTTGATCGATCTGCTCACGATTTTGATGTTTTTTCATTGAACCGATAAGTCTTCTAATGGCGGCTTTAGATCCATGTTTGGGTTTTTAAGATCTATCTTCTTTTCGCTCATTGTTTCTATTAAATTGTGATTTTATTCAGCTACTGAGATCTGATTGTGGGTTTACATTTGGTGATTTGCCTTTTGCTCAAATTCCACTTCAAGTTGTTATCTTGTTGCGATTGTTAGTTGGAATGCGACTCACGAGTTGTTGTTGTTGTTGTTTATCAGGCTTGTTGGCTCAGTCTAATAATTGTCATATTGAGAAAGACAAATGAAGAACGGTATAGCTGAGTGCAGTGTCTGTCATTCAAAATTGGTCTCTCCCGGTAGCAAAACTATTTCCAGGGCTTATGACGACCACAAGATTAGGGTTTCCTCAAAACAACGTGTCCTCAATGTCCTTTTGGTAGTAGGTGATTGCATGCTTGTTGGTCTCCAGGTAAATCATCTCCCTTCGATCAATTGAATCACGGAGGGAACCATATCAATATTTACGTTGTTCTTTTTCCTCTCAGCTCATCATTTGGTTGTGTAAATCACTTAAAAGTTATGTACTTTTCCTTTTTCAGCCTGTCTTGGTGTATATGTCTAAGGTGGATGGGAAATTCAACTTCAGTCCTATTAGTGTCAACTTCTTGACAGAAATCGCAAAAGTTATTTTTGCGATCGTGATGCTTTTAATCCAGGTATGTTCTGAACTGACTTACAATCTCGATTCTTTTAGTGGGACATTTAGTTATTATACTCTAGTATCTAGGACTAGTTGCTAGATTTTTCTTCTTCATTAGAAGGTGAAAAGTATGAGGATTTCTTGATGTTGATAAACCGGTAATGCGAATGTGAAAAAAATATCCCATTCAGTTCTTTGCATAAAGACAATTTCTTGATTTTCGAATTATTACCTATTTCTTGAGTCTCTTGATTTTCTGTAAGAACCGTGGATGGTCTATTAATACTTACGTGTTTGTGTTCAAATTGTAGGCCAGGCACCAAAAAGTTGGAGAGAAGCCTCTTCTATCCGTTTCCACATTTGTCCAGGTACCTCTTCTTTGTCAATTAGAGAGAGTGTAGTGTATTGCAAAGCTGCTGTACTAGATTAGTGGTATGGGAAAAAATGGGGGGAAAAAAGAAAGGAAAGAGAATAATGCCTACATTTAATCAGCTGAAGCTAGCCTCTTGAACTTTCATTGCCTGATGGCTTGTCATGTCATACAAACATGTCTCATCTATGTATCGCCTTTTTTTTTTCCTACTGTTCATTAAATTTTCTAGACTCTAGTAATTTGGTGATTCGAAGAGTTACATGTTGGTATGTCAATGCACGGTTGTTTGAAATTTGGAATTTACTGACCAGTAGATATATATAGTTTTGGGTTTTCTTAGAATTATTTTTTCCTGCTGAACTTGAAACCTCTGAGTTCAGTGGCTTGACCACTTAGAATGCAGATTATATTGACATGAGTCTTTTTTACAGGCAGCTCGAAATAATGTGCTTCTTGCTGTTCCAGCCCTGTTGTATGCAATTAATAACTATCTGAAGTTCACAATGCAGGTATAGCCACTTGTTATGTTTCATTTTGGTATCCTTAAGTCTAATTAAGCTGTGAAATGTAGTGAGGTCTATTGTCAGAAGTTTTGGATCTATGGCAAGAGCATGTCATGTGGTGTTCTATCTGATTCAATTTTGTTGATCTTATATTTTTCTTACTTCCCATCTTTCCACGTCAGACATTACTTAAGTGAACCAAAACTAGATAATGGAATTACAATTTCAAAGGATAAGTTTATACACCTCTCTATTCCGCCATATCTTCTTCTTCCGGTTGTCATTGCGTTACCTGTCATGTTTCCTTTCGGTGATAAATATTTGAGTCGGCCAGCTGTTTACATCATAAATAAATTGTGCATTGCAGTGGGTTTATTTGCTGTCCTTCTCGGCTTGTACTATTTGATTCTACCTTGCAGTCTTTATGTTTCTTCGTTTCATACGATAATGAAAGTTTCTGCTGTGCCAGCTATATTTCAATCCTGCTACTGTAAAGATGCTTAGCAACCTAAAAGTTCTGGTCATTGCTGTTCTATTAAAGATGGTAATGAAGCGGCGGTTTTCTATCATACAGGTCAGTTTCAGTTGTTCTTATTAGTTAAATGTATGACCGGTTTTCACTAACAGAATATTATTGTGGAAGTTTTTGTGTAACATCTTATTGGCCCAAACAATTTTGATTATTCAATATAAATTCTTGATTGGATTTTGTATGTTTTTATATTTATATATCTTAAACGTCTTATCCTTAATTTTGTTATAGTGGGAGGCACTTGCTCTGTTGCTGATAGGGATTAGTGTAAACCAACTACGTTCTCTTCCTGAAGGTGCTACAGCCATTGGAATTCCTCTTGCTACTGGTGCATACGTCTGTACCGTTATCTTTGTAAGTATATTTGCTCTTTTTGAAGATATTTTAGTGGTTCCATTCACATAATCTGTGATTCCCCGTTGATGCATTATGAAAAAAGGTTGTAATTCATGCTAGATGCTAATTTGCAAATTTACATGCAGGTTACTGTCCCGTCAATGGCATCTGTCTTCAACGAGTATGCTTTAAAGAGTCAGTATGACACAAGCATCTATCTTCAGGTTAGATTGTTATGATGCGTTTTCCCGTCTTGCATCAGGGAAATGATATGCTGTGTGTTGTTAATGGAATGGAATTAGCCACTTTTCAATTTTCTTAGTAAACCAATTGCTCTTTAGAATCAAAGAACCTTGAGGTTGTTGACTCTTTGTTCTGTTCTCTTGTCTACTTAGCTCTGTTATCACTAATGTTCCTCATTTTAGGGTACATAGCTTATGTTCTTAGTCACGTCAAATTCTAGAATCATGGTCTTCTACTTATGCGTTGTCATCTCATAGAACATTTTTGTTTCTGTTGCAGAATTTATTTCTCTATGGTTATGGTGCGATATTCAACTTTCTTGGAATACTAGGAACTGTTATATATAAAGGTATGGGCATTTTATTTTTATGTTCAAGCACCATAATAGCTTTTGAAAAACCGGTAGGTAATCCTTAAAACTTCAGGATGCATTGCTGAGAAATTTATCATGATCTTGACAGGTCCTGGCAGCTTTGATATCCTACAAGGACATTCTAGGGCTACCATGTTTTTGATACTGAACAACGCAGCACAAGGGATTTTATCCTCCTTTTTCTTCAAATATGCAGGTAATACTGACTAAGCTTTGTTAGATTTATTTAAGCTGTGAACTAGTTTGCTTGAGTCTATATACTTTTTCAACATATCTGGAGATTGTTGGTTATATAAAATCAATAGCAAGATTGTTATTTTGATATTTACTTGTCTTCATCTTTGATGCTTTCAGATACAATCTTGAAGAAATATTCATCGACAGTTGCCACAATATTTACGGGCATAGCATCTGCAGCGCTCTTTGGACATGTTATAACCATGAACTTTCTTCTTGGAATTTCTATCGTTTTCATTTCAATGCACCAGGTAAACACATATGAACCATTTCCTTGGTGACTCAATTTAACTTAACAGGATATATTCTGTCTAATTTAGTTTTGTCTCATTTATACATAGTTCTTTTCACCACTTGCCAAAGTGAGAGACGAGCAACAAAAGAATGGGAACCTAGAACTAGTCACTGCAAAGGATACTCACAGGTTAGTGTCACTATACATACTTCTTTATCGTATACCACAAAAAGTCGTGTAACAGATACAAGCGCAGTATTTACACCATTTACCTTCTTTTCCTTCTCTGTTATTTCTTCAGGGCTAATGAATCATTCATCAACATGGCCGCAGGAGCAAATGAAGAGGTGAAGAATAAATTTGTTAAGCCAGTTCTTGTATTTGTACCAACTTAAGTCGACGTTAATGTTTACTGTCTTTTTGTTTCTGTCTGTTCAGGCTAGTCACCGCGGTGAATCAGACGACAGAACCCCGCTGCTTCCCAGATGAAAAGTTTCTTAAAAGTAGGTAACAGGTTCTCTCCAAACTTCATCATATTACCTTAAAAGCTCCCAAAGATGATCATTTAGATAGATTCTTACCAAAGCAAACCTAGGTTTCAGAAAAGATGAATTACTTCAGTAGTACCTGAATGTTATTAGTATGCAGGAGAATCAGCAGCTTTTGCTTTTGTTGCTGCAGGATTTTTGTTCGGAAGAATTATTTTGGCCGAGAATATTCTAGAAATTGGGGGGTTTTCCAGTCGTATACTAGTAGAGGATACAGTGAAGCAAATTTCATGACACCAACTCTTACTTCTCTCAAGAGTCGGTTTTAAGTTCGATGAAGAACCTCTCAAGTCTGAAGCTGTATTGTTTTAAGATAGAGTGAGAACAAACTTGGTAAGTGATATATGTATTTTGGATATATAATATTTGTATTCTTTGGTTTTTGCAAAATATCAGGTCACTTTTTTGCTCTTGTTTATACAATTACTCTCACAGTTGGGTTCTTATATATATAAAAGCATAATTTTTCAGCCAGTGGATTTAGTTAAAGCGACCCGGTTCAAGAAGCATTTCTTTAATCCAGTGTTTTGAATGATTCATTTCTCTGAAATCTGTTGAATCAATAACTGATGAAAATTCCTTTCAAGATTGTATATGAAAAAACTTATAATTAGTATTATGTTATGACAAGAAAGCATATAAAAGAAGAAAGAGCAAAAAGCCCAAAAAAACAAAACCAGATATAGAATAGATTGTTATAAGAAGAAACAGACTCCACCAAACATTTGAAAAGACACACCAAATCACTACTCAGCACCTTAATAAAACATATACATCCCAACTGAAGAAAAGCCTCAGACAAAAAGACTCTCTTTAAGAACACATTTATACGGTATGGCAACAATTGAAACAGAAACCAATCTTCCATTATTATTATGGCACAGAAGAATCAGGTTTCCTGGACTGGAACAGCTGCTGCTGTTGATGACCTCAACAATGGTTGAAGAGCTTTTACCACAATGCTCATGTTCGGCCTAAACTCTGATTCATATTGCACACACAACGCTGCTACTGCCGCGAGCTGAATCCAAAGAATAAGGAGAAAAAGATTAGCTTCGAAAGTCGTTTCACAGGTTAGAGATTAAACTGTCAAAGCTTTTACCTTTGCAACAGCTTTAGGAGGATATTCTCCTTTCAGTTTTGGGTCAACACATTGCTTCACTTTGTCTTCACTTAGCCTCGGAGTAGCCTGGAGTTAGATGGCAAATGCCAAGAACAATCAGTAAATTTGAAAGTAAGACTATCCTCAGAGATTAACGAAACAAGGTTTTAGTACTTACCCAAGTGACAAGACTTTGTTGACCACGAGGCATCGTATGATCAACGGGTTTCCTACCAGTCAAGAGCTCCAATAGCACGACACCAAAACTATAAACATCACTCTTCTGTGTCAGTTGACCAGTCATAGCATACCTGCAATAGCAAAATTCTAAAGTTACAATCTTTACTTCCTCAAGAATACCGTGGTCAATTGTTGTATCAGAAGCATTAATTACTCTGGTGCATGGTAACCGAAGGTTCCCAAAACTCTGGTAGAATGAAGACGAGCAGCCATATCAGGAGATTGATTCGATAGATTAAAATCAGCGATCTTGGCTTTAAAGTCTTCAAAGAGAAGCACATTGCTAGATCGAATATCTCTGTGTATTACTGCAGGTTGAACTTTCTCATGTAAATACTCAAGTCCTCTAGCTGCATCAACTGCTATTCTGACCCGTTGGATCCAATCAAGTGTCGGACCTGGTTGTGCTCCTTGGACTCCTTTCCTCCCGTGTAAGATGTCATGTAAAGATCCCATAGTAGCAAACTCATACGCAAGAATGCGGAAATTCCCTTCAACACAATAACCGAAGAGCTCAACAAAATTATCGTGCTTCAGCTTGGAAACCCTCGAGACCTGAGTCAAGAACTCAACATTTGATTCAGGTTCAGCTGAATTATCAAGCTTCTTCACCGCCACAGCTTTCCCATCTTTCAAGGTTGCATAGTAGGCTCTTCCGTAAGATCCTTCACCAATCAATGCCTTTGATCCAAAATTATCAGTCTTTTCTTTCAGCTCATCCAATGACAATGCAGGCAGATCAATAGATGGAGGCTCCTTCAAAGCATCAGGCTTCACAGCTGCCTGTGGTTTTCTAGTGTGATGCCCTTCAATACAACAAAACCAAAAGACCGAAAAAATATGAATCTCCTTCGGAAAAATTAGAATTTGCATACAATAAGCTCTGTTACTAGCGCAAGAAATGGTCAGAGCTCAGGGCCAGGAAATCACAACAGACAATTTAGAGGAAAGAGGAGTACCAAAATCATTGTGGTGCTTAGGGCTTCTCAGGTGTTCATTTTCAGAAGAATGGTAAGGTTCTTCAACGTGGCAAGCACAGCACAACCACCTACGCATCTTTTCTCTCTTGCCTATATAGAGATCGTCTACGGCTCTCGGTTTATCCAGTCTAACAAAGTGAGCTGGTGAACGATCGTTCGCCTGCAATATAATGTCATCATCAGCATCATTATGAAACTAATTACTCGATCAACTCTCACAAAGATTTTAGCAGAAACCTTCATTCATGCCATCCATCAATAAGAGGGTAATTACAACATATATCAACAAATCATCACAGAGCCAAAGTAAGTGTCCTCAAAATCAACAGCAACAATCTAATTAAGGATCAAGGAATCCTAATCACATTAAGATTCCAAAAATGACATAACAATTCGAGATTCACATTAAAGTTAAGACCTTTACACAAACCCAACAACGCTTGAAACACCCAATTTTCCTAGATTCGAAAAAAGACCAAAGCTTTGAGGAGATAACTAATTCTTACCACCAGACCACGACGATGATAATCAGAATCCATCGGATACATAGTGAAAGACGGATCGAATGAATTTGGCAAAAAAATGAGAAGGAAGATACGAAAGGGGTCGAGCTCGTGGAGAAATTTGGGAGGAAACCCAAAGAACTCAAAAGGACTCGAAACCCTTCGAAGAGCCGAAAGATTTTAAAAACAGAGATAAAAGATGAAAACAGCTAAGAGAAGGTGTCAAAAAGCAGAGAGATTACAGAGAGGAAATGATCAAGAATAGACATTTTAATCCCAAATTTAGAGATTATAATAATTAAACAAGAGAATTTTACCTGTAAAGTATATCTCTTTCTCTTTGTGAAATGAGTAATGAGTCTACGCTAAGCTAAGCTAAGGTCGGTTTTATTGTTGTGTGTGTTTATTTTGGTAAGACAGACGTGGGCAATTGAATTTTGTTTTGACAGGAAAGCTTAGAGCAAAGACAGAGATGATATAGATAGAATGGAGGAGACAGAGAAGCAACGCGCTTAAGCAAATATCTTCAGATTTCGACAAAAGATTATTTAATGCTTTTGTCTCTGTAGCTTTGCTTTATGTCAACATCATAAATTACGTTGGTCATGTTTTTTTTTCTTCTTGACTAAAAAAACATTCTATTATTATGAGTTTTTTGCCCTTTTTGCGCGTCTTTTACGTTTTTGACCTAATCTGGTCGGTTCCGTCGGCTTTGTATCAGTTTCTGTGCAATGAAAAAGTGTTTTTAACTGATTTGATATTCATAAAGGCTAAAAAGGATGTTAAGAACGTTCTTGTAAAGTTTTTTTTAAAGAAGTCCAAAACTACAACTGAATAAAAATTTAAAATGGGAAAGTATGAATAAAATAGTTTTAATTGTATCGGACTTGTTATAATATGATTTGTTCATTCAAATTACAAAAGTCACAATTGTTTTGCGTTTTGTATTTATTGAATAATTTTCAACATTGAACTAACGATTATAAACACTTTAAACAAAACGAAGAAAAAAGAACACTTAAAACAAAATTAAATTTTTGATGGCGAACGCAAATGCAAAAAAAAGGGACAAAAATCAAATGTTTTCATTATGTAAAAAAAGAAAAGAAAAAGAGATACAGCATGAGAGGGTTACCAGCGGTCAGTTTGGTGACTACAATTTACTTGAAATATTATTTGTGAAAAATCTTAAGCGTTAAATTTAAAATACATGAAAATGTGTTGAATTTATGACACCATAATACCTATATTAAAATGACAAAATGCTAAATATGGTTGGTTTTCACGTATTTAAAATCTAACCCATAAGTTTAAAAAACATAATTAAACTATTTTGTATGGTAATAGTATGGTAATAAAGTTTTAGTTTAAAAAAAACAATTTACTTAAAGAAAATATTATTTGTGAAAAACTTTAAGTGTATAAATTTAAAATACGTGAAAATGTGTTGAATTTATGATACCACAAGACTTACGGACCAAAAGGACGGGATGCTAAATCCGGTTTGTTTTCACGTATTTTAAATCTAGCACTTAAGTTTGAAAACATTTAATAAAAAAATATTTTGTATAGTAATAAAATTTTAGTTAAAAATCAAAAAGACTTACTTAAAATATAATTTGTGAAAAACCTTAAATATTAAATTTAAAATACATGAAAACGTGTTGAATTTATGACACCACAAGACTTACGGACCAAAAGGACGGGATGCTAAATTCAGATTATTTTCACGTATTTTAAATTTAACACTTAAGTTTGAAAACCTTTTCTTAATAAAAATATTATGTATAGTAAAAAACTTCTAGTTAAAAATCAAATATTTACTTCAAATATCATTTGTGAAATACCATAAATGTTAAATTTAAAATACGTGTTGAATTTATGACACCACAAGACTTACAGACCAAAGAACGGGATGCTAAATCCAGTTTGTTTTACGTATTTTAAATTTAACACTTAAGTTTGAAAATTTGTTTTTTAATAAAAATATTTTGTATATTAATAAACTTTTAGTTAGAAATCAAAACAATTTATATTCTTAGAAATAAAAACTTTTATTAAAAAAGAAAATAGAAGGGTAAGAAAGTAATATATATACCTGGAGGTTGTGATATCCTCAGGCGGCTTGTGGTTGTTTTGAAACTTGACATACCATCAATTTTCTTCGCTCTTCTCTTTGTTACTCTGGTGGAAGCAGCTCGGTGGCTTGATCATGATCTGGCGAACTGAAATCAATCGTGATTTAGACAGAAGACGACAGGGCATTGATGGAGATCATCATTCAATCACTGAAACTATATATATGCAGAGATCATCATCATCGGAATTCACCGTCTATGTATAAAAGACATTCGCTCGAGAAGAAGAAGAAGCAAGACATAGAGAGTTTTATTTTTCTCCCTCAAGTAAGAATTAGAAGAAGCGGACTGTGAGAGAGAGAGAGGGTATTTATAAGCAAAGAGGTTCAAAAGAAAAAGGAAATTTACAGAGTCTCTGTATAAAGACATTCGCTCGAGGAGGGGTCCGTTCGTTTCATCATTTACCATTTCCATCCAAATGGTCCATTTAAATGTTCCATCCAAATGCTCCATCTGAATGTTGTTCGTTTCAATTTTTGGATGTTCATTTGGATGGAACATTTGAATGAATTTTTGTTTGTTGTTTAATTTTTACAAATCTTTATCTCCATCTAGATGACTTTAACAAGAAAATGACTAAAATACCCATACTTTAATTTACTTATATTTTAAATCTTAATCTAAGGTATATTAATTTAATTATTGCTCTAAAATATATTTTCATCTAAATAATTTCTAAATTATTATTTTAACATATAAATTAAGTTTACGGTTTTGACGAAAAAGATAATTTTACGGTTTAGGCGGAAAACATAATTTTGCAATTTTTGGCGGGAAAATGTTATTTTGCGGTTTTGGCGGGAAAACATGATTTGCGATTTTGGTGAGAAAAAATGATTCCGCAATTTTGGCGGGAAAACATAATTTTTCGATTTTGGCGGGAAAATATGATTCCGCAATTTTTTCGGTTTTGGTTGGAAGACAGAATTCCGTAATTTTCCCGCCAAAATCGTAATTTAATAGTTTTGGCGGAAAAATATGATTTTACGGTTTTGGTGGCAAACACAATTCTTCAATATTTTCGGTTTTGGCGGGAAAACAGAATTCCGTAATTTTCCCGCCAAAATCGTGATTTTATAGTTTTGGCGGGAAAATATGATTTTACGGTTTTGGTGGAAAACACAATTCTTTAATATTTTTGGTTTTGGCGGGAAAACAGAATTCCGTAATTTTCCCGCCAAAATCGTGATTTTATAGTTTTGGCGGGAAAATATGATTTTGCACTTTTGGCGAGAAAATATGATTTTGCGGTTTTGATGAATTCCATAATTTTCTATCAAAAATAACAATTTTACTTTTTGGGGGGGAAAAACACAATTCCGCGATTTTATGATTTTGACGAAAAATGATAATCATTGATTTCACGATTTTTAGAGATTTTATTTGGTGCAAATATGTAATTTTTAGAATATAAAATGAAAAATCTATGGAAAATAAACATTATTTGATTTATGATTATAAATGAGGGTATATTTGTTATTTGTTATTTTTGACTGAATCATCTCCATCCAAATGCTCCAATCATGTTCATCCAGATGAGTTTGACAAATTTGCCTAAAATTACAAACTCATTCAGATGATCCATCCAACTAATTCATCCAAATGATCTGTTAAATTGTAAAAAACGAACATCATTTTTCATCTCCATCCAGATGATCCATCTGAATGGAGAAACGAACAGGGCCGAGAAGAAGAAGTGAGAAATAGAGATCTTTGATTTCGCTCACAAGGAAGAATAAGATCTAGCGTTGAGAGAGTATTTATTTATAAGCAAAAGAGGTCCAAAAAGAAAAAGGAAACTGATAATCACAATTAACGGTCACTAAAAGATTTCCTTTGTTTCCTTTTATTTTGTTTGTGTCTGATGAGTTTTAATTAAGGTAATAAATTTAGATAATCTATAGGATGTTTAACGTTCGTATGTAAAATTTTGAAGAGACTGATGAAAGAGCTTTTTGAGTTTCAAGAGTGTTTTAGCTATAGCTTAGAGTACCAGAAGCTACAGAGCAAGTGAATTACAACTTCTTTGAAATGGTTCCTTAACTGCATTGATCAAAGATTCAAGGAATGATTACAAGGTGAACTTTGATCGATCTCAATACGTACCGATGGTCCAAGATTTGATATTGGTGGCAAGTTAGTCTCTGATGACCAAGTACTTCTCTACAGACGTGGTAAAGATTTCTTTACTCTTCACATCATTCAGATTATATTCGAATCTTCGATACTTGTTGTCTATTCCTGCATCGACAAGGCCATGGGAATATTTTAACAATATTTTGAGGCATTGATTAATCGATCCACTAGAACTAGAACCACCATAAAGATTAATAAGTCTTCTACTTGCCAGTTTCCACGCGTTTCACGTTTATGTTTTTTCTTAAAATATGTGTCACGTGTTTCCAGCTACTGTGAGATCTTTTCTTCTACTTGTTGAATGGAGGGAAAAGAGAAAGACAAAAAAAAAAAGCTTAAAAAATGCCAAGGGTAGGTAGTGGACAGCAACAACAAATCCTTTCTGATCTGTTTTGTATTTGAATGTCTATAATTTATACATTCACCGGAGATCTCAGCTCTTCTTCTGCAATGGCAATGGGTTTTGATTTCAATGAGATGAATAAAACGAAGAAAACTTTGATTGGACTTGGCTTGGGACAGATCCTCTCACTTCTATGTACTTCTAATGCCTTCACTTCCTCTGAGCTCGCCAGAAAAGGTTTTACAGTTTCTTTTTTTAAGTATCTCGTTTATTCGTGATCTTGTTACTAACATCTTCATATTTAGTCCACACAGGTTTTGATTTCGTTTATACTTACATTGCTTTACAAATTTGAATTCTCTTAGGAATAAATGCTCCAACATCACAAACCTTCCTCAGTTATACATTACTAGCAATCGCCTATGGAGGTATCATGCTGTATCGCAGACCCGCAATTAAGGTCAGTATTGAATTTGGTTTCACTATGTGTTACTGCTAGTTTCTCATTGGTGTAATGAGAGTGTATTCAAGATTACACTAATGAATACTTATAACTAGTAAGTGTTACTAATATCTTCAATGCAAAAACTGTTTTAGGGGAAGTGGTATCACTATTTCCTCCTTGCTTTAGTTGACGTGGAAGGCAATTTTCTTGGTGAGTGTTTTTACTGACACTCTTCATTGGCTTGAACACTGATCTGAAGCGTTTTTTTCAGAGATTTTGAATAAAACTCCATTATTTCTTTGGTTTCACAGTAGTGAAGGCGAATCAGTACACATCGATAACGAGTATCATGCTACTAGATTGCTGGGCGATCCCTTGTGTGTTGGTCTTAACTTGGATTTTCCTGCAAACAAAATACAGATTGATGAATATTAGTGGTGTGTTTATCTGTATTGCTGGTGTTGTCATGGTACTCTTCTCTGACGTTCACGCAGGAAGTCGAGCAGGTAAATGGTAGAAACTGATTGGTTACTTGACCGCAAGTAAAACTCTTATGATGATGGTGGCTTTTCAGGAGGAAGTAATCCTGTTAGAGGAGATTTTCTTGTTTTAGCTGGAGCAACTTTATATGCTGTCAGTAATACCACCGAGGTAAGCAAGTGGCCCAAAACGAAAATGTTGTTATATCGCGCGAAAATGTAAAATTTATTGTTCTTTTGTTATAGGAGTTCCTTGTAAAGAATGCAGACACAGTTGAGTTGATGACCTTCATGGGACTTTTTGGAGCCATTATTAGTGCTATTCAGGTGTATCCTTTTGACAGCAAAGCTAAGCTATGACTTCTTATGTTTCTTAGAGTTATATGCACATTCTCCTTGACGTTCCTTGACTTGTCTGTAGAGCCATATTTGAACAAGGTGAGCTCAAAGCTATTCACTGGTCAGCTGATGCAGTAAATATCCCTTTCCCTTGCAATCTATAGAAAATTAGAAACCAAAGACATTTCTTTTATGAGTCCAAAGTTTATCGTTTCTACATTTTCGCGGTTTCAGGTTTTCCCTTTCCTTAGATTCGCAATCACGATGTTTCTCATCTACTCACTACTACCGGTTTTACTGAGGGTAATATGATCTAAACCCACCTTTTACTCTGTTTTCATGCAAATGCCTCTGCAACATATTAACATCTTCTGTGATATTATCTTCTCAGACCAATGGTTCAACAATGTTCACCCTCTCGTTGCTCACATCAGACATGTGGGCGGTTTTGATCCGCATTTTCGCATACCACGAGAAGGTTATAGACATAACATTCTGTAAACTCTTACATCTCAGTCTCTATAAACCTACGGATCGGATGATATATATAAAGTATTTAATCATGTATGTAACTTATGTCAGGTTGATTGGCTCTACTACTTGGCATTTGCTACAACAGCTATAGGACTAATCATATACTCAATGTACAGTCTTTCCCTTACTCCAATATATGTTCTACACTCATGGCTTAAACAGTAACACAATCAATGGTGCGTTTTTTTTTCATATATTATCAGGAAGGAGAAAGATGAGGAAGAAGAAAGAGAGGAGCAGAGGAAGAAGCTGTTGGATAAGGAGGAAGGTGAAACAATTCCAGACAGCCTTATAGTTGCTTCCACCGGAACCCTAACCAAAGGGATATGAGATATTGTAGATTGTTTTTTCCGGGCAAAACAAAAGAAAAGAAAGAAATACTTTGGGGGTAAAGACAAGAAAATATTTGACTGTAATGAGAAAAACTGGCTTTATCTGATTGTTTTGAGCAATAGTATGATGTTTAAATATGCCTCAGCTTTTTCCACAGCGTCAATGTGAGTAATTCGTGTACCAAACCAAATCAAAACCTAATGGTTGTCTTCTCGAAAAGCTCCATCTCCATAGATATCTTCTTGCCTCAACCTTTTTTTGTGTTCTGAATCAATTCTCCTGTTAGTTGGAGAAGAAAAAGGGCGGTAGTTGTTCCTTGTAACAGAGGCAACAAATCAATCTCCTCTGTTTTTAAAATTTCTAATTCTATCCCCAAGTTCTTTGCTAATTACGTTTGCTGCTTAGAATTATTTTAATCTAACATTTTAACCCAAAAGAAAAAAAGTCAACGATTTGCAGCGGCGACATACTGTAGTAACTGTAAAAAGACTAGCTTTCAGTCTCTTCTTTGAATCTGATGATCTGATTCTGATCCATTGAATTGTTGTTATGCATTCATCATAATTTCTCGCCGGAGCTTCCTCTCCAGCTAGGGTTCGGTTCTCCGGATTGTTTGATCGAAGGAAGAAACAGTAATGACGTGTTTCAATGGGATTAAGACGAAGAAGACTCTAATTGGACTTGGATTGGGACAAATCCTCTCGCTTCTCTCTACTTCTATTAGCTTTACATCGTCTGAGATCGCTAGAAAAGGTTTCACCTTTTTTTTCAACCCAACCCTTGTTTAAACATTCTCATTGGCTTACAAAAATTTGAAATCTTTATAGGGATTAATGCTCCAACATCACAGTCGTTTCTGGGTTATGTGTTACTAGCAATCATCTATGGAGGTATCATGCTCTATCGAAGATCCGCAATTAAAGTCAGTATTGAATTTCATTCCTTGGATATATTGATTTCACTCAGTGTTATACTACTTTCCTCTTAGATAGATCATTGGTGTCTTTGTCAGTTTTTGTCTAGTATGAGAATGAGCATTGAAGGTTTCATTAGTAATTTTCTAATTAACGAGTATTGCAAACAAAATTGTAGGCCAAGTGGTATCATTATCTCCTCCTTGCTTTAGTTGATGTGGAGGGGAACTTTCTCGGTGAGTGTTCTGACTGAAAGAATTCTTCTTTACCTCATGTGTCTGTTGCCCTTAATGTTTCTCAAGCTTTGTCCAGCTGAGGCTGCAGAGAAAGTAATCTGTTCTTTAACTGCTTTATGGTGTGGATTACTATGAGATTTTGAATCAAACACCATTGCTTTGGTTTTACAGTGGTGAAGGCTTATCAGAACACATCAATGACGAGTATCATGCTACTGGACTGCTGGGCGATCCCTTGCGTTTTGTTTTTGACTTGGGCTTTTCTAAAAACAAAATACAGATTGATGAAGATTAGTGGTGTTGTTATCTGTATTGCTGGTGTTGTCATGGTAGTTTTCTCAGACGTCCATGCAGGGGATCGAGCTGGTAAAATGGTGTAAACTGATTCATTAGTTCTCTTTCTCTTGTTTTCTTACCATGGCTTCTCTCTTCACAAGCCTGCAAGTAAACACTCACATATTGACCCGATAAACTCGATTTAAGCATTTTTATGGTGGCATTCAGGTGGAAGTAATCCTGTCAAAGGAGATTTTCTTGTTATAGCTGGAGCAACCTTGTATGCTGTCAGTAATGTCAGTCAGGTAAGCAAGTATCTAATCACATACTCAAAAGACGACAATGTTCTTACTATATCGCGAAATGGTACTTTTAAAAAGTAATGAAATTATGTGTACTTGTAATTCTAGTCTATATGTTCCTCTGTATAGGAGTTCCTTGTGAAGAATGCAGACAGAGTTGAACTCATGGCCTTTGTGGGCCTTTTCGGCGCAATTATTGGCGCCATTCAGATGTATCCTTCAAACAACAAGGCTAAGACTTTTATGTTTATATACTAAAGAGGTATTCCTTGACTTGTCCTTAGAAGCATATTTGAACGTGATGCGCTCAAAGCTATTCACTGGTCAACTGGGGCTGTAAGTTTGCTGCTACATTAGAGATATCCATTTTCCTTTCAATCTATAATTAAGTGTTTCTACGCTTTTGTGGTTTCAGGTTTTGCCTTTCCTTGGAATTGCACTCGGAGTATTTCTCTTCTACTCGTTACTCACAGTCTTACTCAAGGTATGAAACAAAACTAAAACCATACAATGACCTCCTTAACTTTCTGTTTTCATGTCAATATGTCTGTTTATTGGCATGCCTCTGAAACGTATAACATGTTTTTTGAAAATATGGTCTTCTCAGACCAATGGTTCAGCAATGTTCACCCTCTCGTTACTGACATCAGACATGTGGGCGGTTTTGATCCGCATTTTCGCTTACCATGAGAAGGTTAGCTCACTTTGTATATCTAACATCATGACACTTACATTTCTGTCAGTAGAAACCAGTGTATGTGATCATGTGGCTATATATCTGTTAGGTTGATTGGCTCTATTACTTGGCATTTGCTACAACAGCTATTGGACTGATCATATACTCAATGTACAATCTTTCCTCATCTTTCTTCAACTCCAATATCTGTTCTTGCACTCTGGAGATCAGTATCCTCATACCATTTGTTTTCCTTGTCTTGATATTCTCATTTCTCAGGAAAGAGAAAGATCCGGAGGAACAAAGAGGTGGAGAAGTAGTGAATGAGCAGAGAAAGCTGTTCGATGCTGAGAATGGTCAATCACTTCGAGATAGCCTTATAGGTGCTCCCACCTGAGCCCAAACCCTGAGTCTTTTTTTTTTGTTGTTGTTGTCTAAGGCATTGGCTTAAAAAAAGACATTCGCTTATAAAAAAAAGGCTTTATTTGATCTTAAATTTAATTGTAAAAACAAACTTCGATTTTACCTTGTGAGAACAACATTGGATATAGGGACGATTGGCGCAGAGACAAAAATGGAGAGTGTAATTAGGGAATCGACAAAAGTCGATTTTGTCGGAGACAAACAAAAAAATAACGCTCCAAATAACCTTCATTTCCAAAAGAATTACAGAAAAACCTGTTGATTTTTTTTACATGCGCGTGTGATGATGCTTTGACTTTTAGGAGAGAGAAAGACTGAACTGACAAACATTAAATGCTCAGCACGTGAACTGATGCTAACCAAACTAACAATAATTGTTGTTTTTTCGAATTGGAGCAATTTTAACACGCTACAAACATATATTCCACCATTTTAACATTTGTACACATGTAACTACATAAATAGAGCGTTAAAAATAATTATAGTTTTAAATTATTAGATTTATGTATTCATGTAAATACGTACATATATATCGTTATTAACATTTGTATATATGTAAACACGTACATGGAGCGTTATTACATTTTTATACATATAAACATGTAGATAGAAGGTTATTTAACATTTGTATACATCTAAACACGTAGATAGAACGTCATTAACATTTGTATACATAAATCTACTTAGTTTTTTGGACATCCAACACCTATTGATGTGTTTGTTTTGATATTGAGACGTAAGTCGTTTGTCTGACGTAATGGACCATCTCTTGCAAAACATTTTAAGCGAGTAGGGTTAGTTTTGGGAGAATAATGGGCTAATGTTGTTTTTGTTATGGACTCCGACAAGAAAAAATGAAAAACTAATTAGACCCCAAAACCTTTGTCTTTTGGCCAATTATCTCTTGGATATACCAGTTACTTCAAATGTATCAGTTTCTATATATTCTACACTATGTAAGAAGTTTTATTATGGTCACATCTGAATTCAACAAAACAATAAAAAGTCAATGATTCGTAACAGCAACAAAACTCCAGTAGAATATTATTTTTTTAAAAAAAAGATTCCCCATGACTTTCCTCTCTGAATATCAAAAAGATTCACCAAATATTTCTTACCGGAGATTCTCAGCTTCCTCTTCAGCTAGAGTTTGGTTTCACCGGTTATTGTTTGATTGAAGTAAGAAAGCAGTAATGGTGTGTTTCAATTTCAATGAAATCAAGACGAAGAAGACTCTCATTGGACTTGGATTAGGACAGATCATCTCGCTTCTCTCTACTTTGATTTCGTTTACTGCGTCTGAGATCGCCAGAAAAGGTCTCACCTTTTTTCAAACCCATTAAATTTTTTACATTCTCATTGGCTTACAAAAATTTGAATTCTTTTAGGGATTAGTGCTCCAACATCTCAGTCGTTTCTGGGTTATGTGTCACTGGCAATCGTCTATGGAGGTATCATGCTCTATCGAAGACCCACAATCAAAGTCAGTATTCAAAATTCTCTTCATGGGAACATTTGATACCTCTTGAGTGAATTAATGATCATTGGAGTGTGAGTTATGTATATTAGTAGGGAAACAACAAAATGTTATGAGATTTGTGTATTGGAGGTTTCATCATTGAGTGCCAATTCAATATTGCTAACATCTTCATATTCATTATTGTTGTAGGTGAAGTGGTATAACTATTTCCTCCTTGCTTTTGTTGATGTGGAGGCAAACTTTCTTGGTGAGAGAAAGAACTCTTCTTTTGTCCCAGTCTTTAGCTTGAGCACCGATTTCATGACAAAAGCTAATTCGATCTTGGAGAGTACTTTCTTTGAAATGTGATATTCTATGCTTGACCAGCCCATGTTACAATGAAAATAACAAAAGTTATATATCCTGTTTTGTGTTGAGTATCATGAGGTTTTGAATCATCTCCATTGCTTTTACAGTTGTGAAGGCATATCAAAACACATCGATGACGAGTGTCATGCTACTGGATTGCTGGGCAATCCCTTGCGTTTTGGTCTTGACTTGGGTTTTCCTGAATACAAGATACAGATTGATGAAGATCAGTGGTGTGTTTATCTGTATAGTTGGTGTTGTCATGGTAGTTTTCTCAGACGTCCATGCAGGCGATCGAGCTGGTAATGGTGTAAATTGATTTATTAGTTCTCTTTCTCTTCACTCATCAAATGGCCTGCAGGTAAACACTCTCATGTAGTCATGTAGGCCCAAGAAACTTGATTTAAGCATATTTGTGGTGGATTTTAGGTGGAAGTAATCCTGTCAAAGGAGATTTTCTTGTTATAGCTGGAGCGTCCTTGTATGCTGTCAGTAATGTCACTGAGGTACGCAAGTATCAAATCACATACTGGAAAGAAGATGTGTTATTTTATCGCAAATCGATACTTTAATGAAAGTTAGTGTGCTTGTAATTGTAGTCTCCCTGTTTCTCCGTTATAGGAGTTCCTAGTGAAGAATGCAGACATGATTGAGCTCATGTCCTTTTTGGGCCATCCAGATGTATCCTTCAAACAGCAAGGCTATGAATTTTATTATGTTTCTTAAACTTATATGAACATTTTCAGCTGCCATGATATTTCCTGACTTGTCCGTAGAAGCATATTTGAACGTGGTGCTCTCAGAGATATTCACTGGACAACTGAGGCGGTAAGCATGCTGCTACACTCCCTTTCAATCTCTGCAAATATAATGACTTCTTTTGAAAAATTCATTTTATACTTTTTTGGTTCCAGATTTTGCTTTACATTGGAGTCGCACTCGCGCTATTTATGTTGTACTCATTAATCACAGTCTTAATCATGGTATGAGACAAAACTGAAACCATATGATCAATACTCTCTTTTTTCCATGTTAATGCCTCTGAACATATAACATTCTTTTGAAATTTAATCTTCTCTCAGACCAATGGTGCAACAATGTTCAACCTCTCGTTGCTCACATCAGACATGTGGGCTGTTTTGATCCGCACTTTTGGTTACCAAGAGAAGGTCTGCTCATTGTGTATATCAAACATTTAGGAAACTCTTGTATTTTTTGTCTGTAGAAACCAGCTGATGAGATAGAAATGGTTATGTATGTATGTTAATGTCAGGTTGATTGGCTCTACTACTTGGCATTTGCTACAACAGCTATAGGACTGATCATATACTCAATGTACAGTCTTTTCTAATCTTTCTTTCAAGTATCTGTTCTGCACTCACAGCAAACGATCCATGGAGATCAGTATTCTTCACCCATTGTTGGTATTTTCAGGAAGGACAAAGATGGGGAGGAACAAAGAAGTGGAGATGTGGTAAGCGAGCGGAGGAAGCTGTTCGATGAGGAGGATGGTGACTCGCTTCGCAGCAGCCTTATAGATGCTTCCACCTGAAACCTAATCAAAGCCTACGGTTTTTACTTGTCTATGTCATTGACATTGGCTGTGACTTGTGACTTGTGGGAGATATAAGATTATTTTTTTCCGGACCAAACACTTTTGGGTGGAGACAAGTTTGTACATTTCTCTCCCAAACTTTGGTAACTGTAAAGAAGGAAAATGTATTTGATACAAGATTAGTTTCAATAAAATAACATATACTAATTGACTATCTCAATCCCAAGAATTGAAATTACAAATTTGAAAAGTCAACGGTTCGCAAAGACCACACACTCTCTTCTCTCTCTTTCTCTCTCTGTGCAGCTGAGGATATAAAGACTCGCTTCCTACACTCTTTCCTCTCACTCACTGACTCAGTGATGGGTTTCGATTTAAAGGAGATAAGGAGGAAGAAGACACTGATTGGTCTTGGTTTGGGACAGCTCCTCTCACTTCTCGCTACTTCTAATGGCTTTACATCTTCTGAGCTCGCCAGAAAAGGTTCAAGTTTCTTCTTTTCTGGTTTATTAGCATTACCCCACCAGCTTCATGAATCATGATCTCTTTATCAATTAGTTGATACATTCTTGAAAATTTTTAAACTTTTTTAGGAATAAATGCTCCAACATCACAATGCTTTCTGAATTATGTGTTACTGGCAATTGTCTTTGGAAGTATCATGCTGTATCGAAGACCCCAAATCAAGGTTACTGTTGAATTTCTCTGTTACCTCTCACATGACTGTCTATCTATCTTTTTTTTTTTTTTTTTTTTTTTTTTTTTTTTTTGGGCAAACGACTGTCTATCTATCTATCTATCTTTACATAGAAAGAAAGTATTGTTAACATCGATTTTTCAATGGGAGAAATTGTAGGCCAAATGGTATTACTATTTCCTCCTTGCTTTTGTTGATGTGGAGGCCCAATTTCTCGGTGAGTCTTCTTGTTGTTGCTGATAAAGCCCTTCTTTTGTCAAGTTTTTGTGGCTTGAATGGATTATTTTATTATGAGATTATGAAGTCATGACTCCATTGCTTTGCTTTTACAGTGGTGAAGGCTTATCAATACACATCATTGACAAGTGTCATGCTACTGGATTGCTGGGCGATCCCTTGCGTTTTGGTCTTGACTTGGGTTTTCCTTCAAACAAAATACAGATTGATGAAGATCAGTGGTGTTGTTATCTGTATCGTTGGTGTTTTTATGGTAGTCTTCTCAGACGTCCATGCAGGGAATCGAGCTGGTAATGGTTTTTGAAAGCTCTTACTGACTATGTTTTTAACCATGACTTCATTGATTTTTGGTGGTTTTTTCAGGAGGAAGTAATCCCGTTAAAGGAGATTTTCTAGTTTTAGCTGGAGCAACCTTATATGCTGTCAGTAATACCAGCGAGGTAAGCACAGTCCTCAACAAGAAAATGTTGTTATATCGCGCGAAAATGTAAAATTTATTGTTCCTTTGTTATAGGAGTTTCTTGTGAAGAATGCAGACACAGTTGAGTTGATGACCTTCATGGGACTTTTTGGAGCCATTATTAGTGCCATTCAGGTGTATCCTTTTGTCAAAAAAAACTATGACTTCTTATGTTTCTTAGAGTTATATGGACAGTCTCCAGGAAAACCATATTTTTCAGCTGAGGCCTTGACTTGACTTGTCCATAGAAGCATACTTGAACGTGATGAGCTTAAAGCTATTCACTGGTCAACTGGAGCTGTAGGTTTCTTGCTATGGCCATTTCCTTTTCAACATCTGCAAACCAAAGACTATTTCTTTTTTAAAATTTTCGCGGTTTCAGGTTTTTCCTTTCCTTAGATTCACAGTCACAACGTTTCTCTTCTACCCATTAGTCCCGGTCTTACTCAAGGTATGAGACAAAACTGAAGTCATATGATCAAAACCCTTTTCACTCTCTGTTTTTCATGCCAATGTCTCTGAAACTGTAACATCTTTTGAAATATGATCTTCTCTCAGATCAATGGAGCAACAATGTTCAACCTCTCGTTGCTCACATCAGACATGTGGGCTGTTTTGATCCGCACTTTTGGTTACCACGAGAAGGTCTGCTCACTTTGTATATCAAACATCAGGAAACTCTTACATTTTATATCTGTAGAAAGCAGCTAATGATGTTAATACCAGGTTGATTGGCTCTACTTCTTGGCATTTGCTACTACAGCTACTGGACTGATCATATACTCCATGTACAGTCTTTTCTAATCTTTCTTCAAGTATAATATCTGTTCTGCAAACAAGGCTTCATCAAGTACAATAAACAATCCATCAATGAACTTACTATTCTTCTCCATTTTTCCCATTTTGGATCTTTCTCAGGAAGGAGAAAGATCAAGAGGAACACAGAACTGCAGAAGTGGTCGACGAGGAGGCTGTGCAGAGGAAGTTGTTAGATGAGGATGATGAGCCGGGAACCTAACCACACAGGTTTTTGTCAATGTCATTGACTGTAATATTATATTGTTGCATCCAGCAAAAAGAACTTTGGAGTGGAGAAGAGTAAAGAATTTATCTCCAACAATTGGTAACTGTAAAGAGAGAGAAAAAGGGCTTTATTTGATCTTGATTGTAAAAACAAATGAAAATTTACCGTGTAAGAACAACATTCGACTTGTTAGAGAAGTTACTTCAAATGTATCAACTTCTCTTTATTCTTAGGTTTACTTTATTGATTATTCTACTTACTACTACAATGTAAGAGGCTGCATCATCTCCACAACTCTAGTACGGTGACTTGAAAGCTCATCGTTATGTACACATACGTCAGAGCAAAGAAGTTGTGTAGTACCAGACAGATCCAGTGGCTAAACAGCTCCTTCTCTGTTTACTTGTTTCTTGGTTTCGTGATTTTGATCAGTAACCAGTTTTTTAACGATATGCATCATTAAAACTCTCGTCATGAGACTTCAGTTTCCTTCTGCGTGAACGAGGGAACAGTAGCTGGTGGATCTTCTTCTCTGCTGCCATTTCTGTTGTAGCCTGTCACAGACAATGATGAGAGAAGCATTAGCATATCAATGTCCTTATGATTCTGTTTTCTTGTTAAAAAAAGGTGTATCTTTGTTTGATGTTTTAGTCTGAGGATTCTCTCACCCTGGTTTTGAAAGGGAACCGGTGAGTTTGGACTTGTGCACCTGCGAAAACTCTCACATCCATACCGAGACTATCAACACTGATCAGGTTAGCTTCCTGCATGAGATTACCGCAAAGTAGCAAGACTGGGTTACAAAATGTGGTAGATAAGTCAACCGGAACTGTAACAACGCTATCACTATTAGAGATCAGGTTTATTCCAGATTATATTCAGAAACTGAGACATTGATACAATACCTCTGCATGAAGACCCTTCTTTTTGCAGAGAGCTTTAAGGGCAAGGCTCGAGTTAATCCCCCTGTTATTGAAGCGCTCTATGATTGCAGACATAGAGTGCACTAGAATGTCTGGTTCGGCATCTTGAAAATCTTGCAAACTTATAGAAGACTGAAAATAGTCAAAGAATCTAGACATCAACTCACGGTGAGACAGTGCGAAATTTTTTTTTAAACAATGAGAGTTTTAATGTAAGTCTACGCTCGCAAAGCAGCTATTCATATGTTAGCTATCTTTTCAAATACTTCTGTCTTTTTTTTTTTTTTTTTTTTTTTTTTTTTTTTTTAAATACTTCTGTCTTTATATAAGGTAAATTGGCAATCGTGGAAAAAACATACCTCTGCTCCATAGAGGGATAGTAGCTCTATTCCCACAATCTCTAGTCTATATAGACTTGAACTCATATCGTTCTCGTCCTGTCTGGAACTAGTGTTTGGATTATCATCACCTGACAATAAATATCCAAAAGTGAGGTTCCCATATATAGTTCGTTTGTCGCATCTTTTAAGTTTTGTTTTGGTTTTAAATGGGTACAAAGTCAAAATAGCATTCTGAGGCAAAGGAAATATAAAAGGACCTTGAACCTCCCAGCTATAGTCATCTCTATCTTCCGAGAGAAATAATCTTCTTATATAGGATTCCTCGTCAAGGAAAGCGGGCCTAAGGCATCCGAGTATGGATACACCATTAGATGGATAGTCCATTTTCCTGTCATAGTCCATGCTGATGGCCTACATGATTGCAAAGACAAGAGATCCCAAATCAACCACATAATCAATGCAATGCAAGACCAGTATGTATCAAATATAATGTGTGTATGCAATACTAAAGAGACTAAAGGGTTCAGTAACAGTTGCAAAGTTTCGAGTTTATAGACAGAAACAAGTGAGAAAATTCTTTAAAGCATGTCATTTTTATTAGATTTCTCATCATGCTATTGCATAGGATATAACCTTCGACAGGTGTTTGGCAAAGTAAATAGGATGAACCCCGTTGGAGGTGTCAGGCATTCCCCAATCTATCGGAATATCTCTAGCTTCAGAATCCATAATCTACTCATATTTCAAAGTAACCGATCATTAATAAGACAAGAGACTTGGCATGTTTTGCAAGAAAACTAAGAGACTACAGCAACAGCTCCAACCTACCTCGAAATAATGGTCATCAAAAATAATTTGGTCAAGATTACCAATGTCTGAAACGTTATATTCCTCATGGAGCCGTGTGTTTTCGTATCGCGGGACATCCATTCCAAAAAAGGCTTTCTACAAGTATGTGATGAAACTTCGATTAATAGTTGTTGGAAGTGGACATATACATGACATTTTACTTAATCAATGACACGCTTACCACTGGGTTACTAGCTCCAGGATCTTCTAAGATGTTCTCATCATCAGGAATTTCGAAAAAGATATCTAAATTAGAAAGAAAAAAATTTCATGATCCGAATTTCGAAGACAGAACTGGTGAGAAAGATATAAAATATATCGAGCGATAAATATAAGACTAACCTCCATAATCATCAATGACATACTTAAATTCGGACCATGAATTATGATCGTGTGGTTCACAGTGAATAGCTCCAGGAAACACCAGCACAGCACTGCTGTTCGCCTACAAGTAAACAAGGAATACCGTGTTCATGCATACTCAAAATAGCAAAACTCCTCACTATTCTAGTTCATATGAAGACTCAAACAGTCATGTTTTATATTGTTTCCCGCTACAAACCTCGACGGTAGTCCTTGCTACTTCAGAAGCAGAGAGTTTTGTCTCTTGGACTCTTTTGGACGGCTTCAAATCTTCTAGAGGATGATATCCATAGAAAGATGAATCAGGAACCGAATCCGAATAATCAGCAGCAACCGAAACTTTCGTGAGGCCGAGGTCATGTCCACCGGATGAAACATGAAATGCTGATCCGAAAAAAGGAATCTTGCATCTGGAGCTGAGTAGAGGAAAACACAAATCACAAAGATGATAAGATTTAAACTTGAATCAAATTCACTCCAAAAGCAATACTATGGACTAACATACGTAGTTATAAAACACATTAAAGATAAGTCAGGTAACCAAGGAGGTAGAAAAAATATGTATGTTCATATAATACTCACACGTGTTTCATTATTGACTAATACCTTAAAACAGAGAGATTAGCAGAGGCACATCCATCAAACACACGATTTCTTGCGTTGCCGTTTCTTTTGTAAGGTATGGATGAAGAGAACTCATCCGCGTACGATTGATGACAATGAGATGCTCCTAATAAAGACATACCAAGAATGTTCAATGCTTCCAAATTTTAACAGAAAAAAAGAAGAAGCAAAAGGTGAGACCTTTAAAGTTACTAATCAGATTTAAAGATCACGAATAATGAAATTAGCATTTAATTCCCCAGAAAACCAAAAACTATTTCAAAAAAAAAAAACTTGACACAGAAATAATTGTCTCAGGTCTCGTTAGATTCAAAGCAGAGAAAAAATGAAATTAATTTCAGGCTAAACGCCAAAAAGCATAAAGATTGAACAAAACAATTCGAAGACAGAGTTAACCAAGAAACCAAAAAAACAAATTTCGATGGAGCTAAAGAAACCAATTCGATTAAAAATCAAAACGAGTCAACCAAAAAGAATTCTTCGAAATGAAAAAAAAAAGTTAATTTAATTCAGCTCTTTCAGCCATGCACTACTAAGTTGAGATGAGTCAATGAACAATACAGAGGAAACAAAATGAAAGAGAGATAGATCTCGAAGAGTACCGAGGGAAAAAGAAGAAGCAGCCGCGATCACCATAATTTACACAAACAGAGGGACCGGATCGGAGAAGCTGAAATCTCAGCCGCCGTGAAATGTCAAAGAATCTGATCGTTGGGAATCTGCGTCTCCGCCGTCTTCTTCGCCGTCTTCGTTGCCGTCGCTGATCACGTTTTTGTTTGGTGTTCTTATGTTTACTGTCGCATCTATTAAATTTTGCAGAGACTTCAGAAACTTTCAGCTTTCTTTATTATTATTTTTTTTGTTTTGTTCTTTTTTTTGTCGTCATGGCAATATTGATTTCTATATTTTTTTAATCTATTTGGGTCAGATCATGGGAATTGGGAAAGGTTGGTGTGGTTGGTATTTTTTGTGATGGTTTTGTGAAAATCTCAAATTTCGTTATCTTTTTTTCTATCTGAAAAAATAAAATGTATTGTAATGAATAAAAATGATGGATAAATGGATATTCTTTTGATTCTTTTTTTTAATGCTCATGAAAGAACTCTTGACTCATTGACGACCAATTGTGACTTGTGTGAGTTTACATCAGTTTAGTACGGTTTAGCTGGTTTTGTTCGGTATGCTCTGGTTTAGTGAACCTAGATGACTGGTTCAACTAGATTTCGTTGGAGATAATGCTACCAACAATTTCTCAGTCTCTATCTCTCTTTTTCCTTTTATTTTGTTTAATTTTTCTTCTTTTTCAGACGTCGGCGATACCATCTAGAAATGAAAATTCTTCCGAGGACTACTAATCACTTCAATCGGTTATTACGTGGGAAGCAAAATGATTATATATTTACAATCATATCATATTTGTATAGATTTACTTGGTATTTTTTTAACACTTTAGTTTTATTACCAAAACAAAATGTCATCATTAAGTCCACCTGATTCCGCTTTCCCCACCGGAGTTCGACTCCACTAAGTCGCGTTACCCCGCGTAATAGGGATTGGCTATGGATCGGCCTTGTCGATCCAAATATGTCAAAAAAAAAAAAAAAAAAAAAACAATCATAGTTTTTATTTTAAAAAGTTGACAAAAAAATCAAGCCACAGTTTAATAGTTTAGTTTTTCAGATGTATTTTGTAGTTTTCTTTTGACTTTTCGTGAGTTCTCTATTTCACGTTACCAAACCTAGACACTGAAAGAATTTTTTTATTGTAACGTGAAGTGGAAAATGTATTACAAAAAGATGTATAATATCAAAATACATATGTATATAGCAAAACCCGAGTGAAGGTTGTGCCCCTCTCTTTCTCTCTTTACCCGATACAAATTTCCTAACAAAACTCAAATTGGTCGAGAATTATTTTTTTGCAAAGAAAAAGTAAAATAAGTGATGAAGCCGAGGTATTAATCCAATAATATGACCGACCAAACCCCAACTTACCTGAACCGACCATAAAATTTACAAATCCAGGTCAAAATGATTGTGTTCTGTTCTTTGATATTCTTTTTTACTAGTGTGATAAGTAAAATGGGTAACTGTGATTGGCTTGAATCTTACCGGTAACCTCCACCATAAGGTTGCTGCTGCTGGGGGTTGTAACCGCCTTGACCCATCATCGGATTATAGGCACCAGTCATGCCTTGTGGTGGACCAGGAGGAGCCATGCCCATTCCTTGTTGTGGTTGCATCGGATAGCCTTGTCCATACCCACCCATGTTCATGCCCATTCCCATTCCCATTGGATAGTTTTGGTTCATTCCCATGGGATGGTTCTGGTTCATTCCCATGGAAAGGTTTTGGTTCATGCCCATGGGATGGTTTTGGTTCATGCCCATGGGTTGGTGTTGGTAGCCCATGGGATGGTTTTGGTTCATACCTCCATAGCCACCAACATTCATGCCCGTGGGCATGCTTGAGCCTACCATTGAATTTGTTGGAGGTCTCATAGCACCTGCACCAGCGCGGCCTAAGCCAGTACCAGATCCCATGGCTTTACCCATGTTGATAGTTGATGTTACTTGTTGCTGTGCGGTAGTTGGTTTTTCTAGCCGTTTCTCTTTCCTGTTGATTGCCTCAAAGTCAACTCCTATATCCGCCAATGGATTTGTTTTCGCTGCACAATGAAAAAAAAAACGTTTGAAGTTTTGTTAAAGCTTTATGAATTAAGAGACTCTATATAACAAGATCTTGCTTACGTCCAGAAATGTTGAAGTTAACCAGCCCTCTGCTTAATGTGTCAGCCCAGATTGTTGATTTTGGCTCAAACTTCTTCTGATTTTGAGGAACAATCTCAATTGCTCCTGTTAAAGGTGTGAGAGATGGTTGAGATGCTGATGTCTCCAAGGAACTTAGTCCAGATGGTGAAAACATATCTCCAACAACATTGTTACTATTCCCGTGCGCCGCAACAGGTCCAGATTGAGTTCGCTGTGGTATATGGGAAGGGACACCATGAACTTGCTGTGTCACACCATAAGGTTGCTGTGTCAAAAAATTTCCACCGTCAAACTGACCAGCTGGTGCATTGGGCGTGGTAGGGTAAGGGGTTTGCGAGCTTGATGACGGGGCAGAACCAGGCTGGTGCATATCTCCAACGATATTGTTATTATTCCCGTACGCTGCAACAGGTCCAGATTGAGTTCGCTGTGGTATATGGGAAGGGGCAGCATGAACTTGCTGTGTCACACCATAAGGTTGCTGTGTCATAAAATTTCCACCATCAAACTGACCAGCTGATGCATTGGGTGTAGTAGCGTAAGGATTTTGCGAGCTTGCTGGGGTGGCAGAACCTGGTTGGTGAGGAAAATTCTCACTTGTTGGGTGTGAAGATACACCAGGAGTATATTGTGGAGGTTGAGAAGTTGCTGAACCTGCATAGCCTGGCTGTTGCGTGAAGCCCCCATTGTTGAATTGCATACCTTCATGATGATTTTGCGAATGGGAAACCATGTTATATTGTTGTGAAGCTTGACCAAACGGTGTTTGTCCTGGCATGCTTAGATCTGTAGGCGGCGCCTGATGATGATAGCTTTCATAGGAGTTACCATTGGGAGGAAATTGGGATGTTGGCATAGTGGAATCTGGTTGTGGAGACAGAGAAACTGGCGGTCCAGATGGTGGGAGAATGCCGGCAAGAATATCGATTTCGCTCTGCGATGTATCGAACTGCTCTTGAGGAAAGACAGATGAGTTCGGTGGAGCTTGCATATTTTGAGCGCCAGGTTCAGAACTGGGAACAGCTGAAAATGCTTCCCCAAAACCAAAATTATGTTCATTGTCAGGATTTGAAGTTGGTGGTGTTGGCTGAAAAGGAACTCCAAAACTCTGATGATGGCTTGGGTCAGTGTCAGCAGAAGTGATGGCTTTGAAAGGAGAGTCACCAAATGGATCATCAAAAGGCTGCACAAAGGGCAAAAGATAAATAAATCATCCGGTTGGGTTTCTAGTTGAACCCAGTAACACACCCATCAAAAAAACTTCAAATGCAAGTATGAGAATACCTGAGTAGATGACTGAGAAGTAGAAAACGATGGAGCTGGACCAGTGTTTGCTTGTCCATTGGTTTCAACAGAAGTGGAATCAGATGTTACAATAGCCAAGGGATTTGGTGAAAATACATCTGAAAGAGAGCCAAGCAAATCTATTTCGGCATTAATTGGGACAGGCGGGGCAGGCGTAGAAACCACTGTTGGTGGGATAGGTGCAGGAGCCGAAGCACCAGCTGTAGGTGCACATGCTGCTGAAAAAGACATGATATACAATGGCAACACTAGATCAGAATACAATCCTATACATTGAAATAAGGTGCTTTTAACATTTACTGAATTATCAAGAAAAGTGAAGTCTTATGCTGCTAAGGAGTGGTAACTAGAGAATTGCAAACATGGAAAACTCTGTACCTGAAACTGAACCTCGTGGATCAAATTCATCAAAAGTCTCAACTTGCTGAGGAGGTGATTCATTAACAAAATCAGCAGCTTTGTTGTCCACGCTGCTGTTTTCAGCAAGAGGAGAAGCAGCAGCTCCTGGAGGAGCAACTTGTGGGGTCTCTCCACCATCCCTTGAATCAAGAAATTTTAAATGATTAATCATCTGAATTCAAAACTGCTAAGAGAAAGGTACTTCTCAATTTGCAGTGAAGAGAATTGTCACCTTTCACTGTATACAGGGCTCCGCAATTCACTAACAGCTTCTTCATAACTAGGTGGAGCAGCACCAATATTTTGTTCAGAGAACTTCCTCTCTAGCCCCCCTCTATCAAATCCCAAAAGTAAGAGATAAGTATTGACATTTTTCCAATAATACTTAATACAATAAAAAAAGGGACCCTTCCAAAATCAGTACACGTCTCTGGAAATTACCTCCCATCTTGAGAATGATCATCAGCTCGCGCACCACTGTCCCTACAGAACAAAGAGAAATGTTTCATCAAATTTCTGGTATGAAGCTCAGGACGCAGGACGAGTTTTTTTACATCAAGGACTAAGCTATTACACATCCGAATATTGTTGATTGGTCACCTTAAAATTTCTTTAATTTGTCGGTCCAATTTAAAGAGGGGGATTATAAATTTAATCAACATACCGCGATGAGGATTGGCCATCATCCTCAATAGGCCGTTCCCTTTCCGAGCTCCTACCTCTTGATCCATTGTAATTATCAACACTTCTGCTCCTTCCACGGTATTCATCATCCCTGTTACCATCTCTTCCATATCGGTCTTCAGAGTCTCTAGAATAACGATCGCCGTCACGACTATTTCTATCATCATCCCTGTAACCATATTCTCTCTCTCTCCCATAACTACTTCGCCCTTCATCTCTGTCTCCATAGCGGCCTTCGTAATCATATTTGTCCCCATATCCTCCTGACGGCCTATGCATTGAGTTATGATATCTGTTGTGCGAAAAAATGTCAGGTTTTGGGAAATATGTTCCCTCATGGAGTAAAACCTAAACAGATGCTCATAATGATGAAGAATTGCCTATTCATGACTTTACTAGGTAGCATAGATAACAATTGTAAATCCTGTCTAGGCAGCAGTTTTATTTAAACAAATGTGCATAAGATTAACCCATTGGGGAAACAAGAAGCAGACATACTTGTCTCTGTTAGCAGCAGCCTTCTCTCTGACCTCCGCTATTCTTTCTTTGTCATTAACCAAAGCCACAAGGCTCTGCGCCTTCTTCCTGACATTGCTACCTTGATCTTTACCGCTGGAATCAATATACTGAAAGCCAGATAATGTCTGACACATGGAAAAGAGATAAACTCCATCAGTAGGAAAATCAACAGCTGAGATACCAACAAAAAAAACTCGTGTTGAATATATCCAATATAAATTACTACTATGTAGTCATTACCGTAATTTGATATGCATGTTCTCTAATCTCTTCTATGACACGTTCTGATCCATGGCCTACCATGTACTCCAAGACTGTCAATGCCTGGAGAGTAGAGAAGAGATAATCCAGTAGAAATTAGTTTTATTAACTGCCACAGCACTATAAGCATATCAAAAACAAGCTAGGCCTTCATATTTATTTTACCTTATAGACATGCCGCCAATTTTTTCCAGAGTCACTAAGACGTTTCCATAATACTCCCATGGTCAGCTGGTATTCATGGCTGCATGAGAAATAAAAAAAAATTCATCCATAAGATCATATTGTAGACAAGGAGAACATAATAAAGGTATTTGTAATTACTAGTTTCTCGAAGCATGAGCAATGTCCGCAAGAAGTGATCCATGCGGACCCCAGGACTCATTGCTGGTAGCATCTAGAACCTGAACAAGAAACAGAAGTGCAAAAATGAGAGGCAAACAAAGTGAAAAGCATAAATGGAAAATCTCCTATAAACTCCATAATATAAGCCGTCAAAGAGTTTGTCAACTAAAGATAAGCTTATCTAGTAAATATAATTCAACCTTCACAAAACTTTCTAGAAGATTGATTGAATCAATCATGACAGACTAAAAAACAGCATCTTAATCAAGGCATCAGAAAAGTTTCAAAAGAAACAAAAATAGAGAAAAGCAAACAGCATGCTTCACCTTCTGTTCTATTCCAGGTACTTTAAGCACTTTCTTGTTGACCCCTCTCTTGCTGCAAGCAATGCATGAAAAGATAATATAAGCATTTTTCAAATGAAAAATAGATAATCCACACATGGATTGACAAGGTAATTCATTTAGTTCTAGGTACTCCAATCCTTACAGGTCTCTGACAGTTTGACCAAATGCTTTCTTCATATTCAAATACGAGACGCTGCTTATTATAGGAGAAGCGGTAACTACACTTTATAGCCTGTTCAGAATGCAAAGAGCTTTCAGTGTCAATTACAAACCAGCAATCACCAAAAATGGTTTAACAAAGAGCCATCAAAACAAAATTTTGTAGTTTGAAACTGGATAGAAGAACTTACAATAAATCAGTAAAATCTCACATTCCAATGTAAAACCAGGAAGTAAGAGCATAAATGAAGTTTAATACAACATGAACCAAATTAAGCAACCATAATATAAACAGACATCCCACCAACGAAAAAATCATGTAAAAGATCAAAATCATTGAATCAAACAGAAATCACAAATGAATCAGCATAATGACGTGACTGTGATCCATTTTATGTTCAGAATTCAACCTAATAAGCATTATCTAGGCTATAGAAAGATCCACAGCGCAACAAAACCTCCCATAAAGAAAGTTTGATACAAGATGAACCAAATTAAGTAACCTCATACATCGCATTACCATAAGACGAAAATCCTGTAAAAGATCAATTTCATCGAATCACACGTAAACCAGCAATGTATCGTGATTCTGATCCTTTTTTTGTTCAGATTCAACCTAATATAGATAATCTAGGCTGTAGAAAGATCCAGTGCGCCAACAAATATCCAATTGATCACCCACCGACAAATCATCAATAAAGTCAAAACAAATTTCTGGGTGCGAAACACATTTCGGATTCAATGCGAAGAACGACATTCACATTTCAGCTTCTAAACATGTTCAAAATTGATTACGTGATTCGAAATTTCGACTTTCAAAACGATTTGCAATCGATCAAACAAACAATCCCAACCAAACGATAAAATGCCAAATTCAGCTGAATATATTCAAAAGGAAACACAGATCTAAAAGGAAATCAAAAACAAAAACACAATAATCGCAAACACGAATCTGATCCCACGACGAACAGCAAAATCAATCAAACCTGCGGGGAAGAAATTGGATCGCGGATCTGTGAGGCAGAGGCAGAGCTGGAGATAGATATGGGGGAGAGGAGAAACGGGAAGGAAGAAGAGAGAAGAAATCTATGGAAGCTTGTGCGATGGTTTCCCAAATTCTGCGTTTGGTTTCTCTTACTTTGTTCTTTTATTTTTCGTTAAGTTTGTGTGTAGAACCTGGGTCCTCGGGGTTAGAGACGATTCAAAGCAGCCAAAATTCGGGAAGGAGAGATTAATTGAATAAAATTAATAAAGACAGCGCATTTAACACGCAGAAAATTCAGGGATTTTAATCTCTCCTTCATCCCTTTTTATTGCCACAGTTGGTTCAGTGAATTAATAATTACTTGGATTGTGACGAATTGTATAAAGTTTTCAACAATTATACATGCACTTTTCTAAATTAATTGTAACTTCATTACTAATTACGATAGTTTGTTGGTTAATCTAACATTTCGATATATTCTGTGAACTTATATAGTCTTTTTTTTTTTTTTTTTTTTTTTTTTTGAGCAACCTGTGAACTTATATAGTCATGTATGGTAAAATTCAGTTTTTTTTTTGGCGATTTCTTTGATGCTTGGCTTGATATAAACGAAACTGAATAAGATTTGTGGTAGATTTTTAAAAGAAAAACTTGAGACCTAAAGTGATTGATAACAAAGAAGTTCAAATATTTTCTCGTGTTTACTGTGAAGAAATAGTAAAAAAAACATCAATTTTAAACTCATACTTCTTATTAAAGAAAGGGCTATATATAATTGATCAACTATATTATAGTATATTCTAAACACAAAAATATAACCAAACCTTTATGTTTATATTTACACATTTCTTCAAAGAATAAGAAAGCTAAAACTGAAAACAAAAAAAAAAAGAAACGAAATTTCAAAATACAAGTAACCACTAAAATAAACCAAATTCCATAAATAAACTCATACTATTCAAATTAAACTCTTTAAAGTTTTCAACGGTCAACATTGATCCTGCAAGTAGAAGATGGGCTTGGTTTTATTAAACAGCCCAAGCCCATGTGTAAAGTTTCTATTGACTATTATTAAAAAATTAACTTGGGCAACAATCCCCTGTTTCGGTGTTGGTCATCGGTCTTTCCGTGTTTCTCCCAAACTTATTACACGAACACAACAAAACAACACAAGTGAGAGAACCCTAGATTCTTCTATTGCCTTCCTTCAAGTTTTATTTCTCTCCCACCCACGGAAACGAATCCGAACAACGTTGAAGAGATTACCATCTTATCGAGATTTAATCGATCAAGCAATCGGCTGCCATGGTGAGTTTCCTCTCCTCGTTTTTCCAATTTTTGATTATTTTTTCTTGCCGCTTTAATCTCTTGACTGATGCCTCTCTATCATTTGATAAATCGATTGATTTTAGCATCTTTTGGGATCATTTGTTAGATTTATGTTGTTGAATTGTATAAATTCGAGAGGTTGATGGGTTCTTTTTGGATTATTCAGCTGGTTTTTTTTCATTTGGAGATATATTATCAATGTCGGAAATATTTGGTTTTTCTTGCTGGCAGGTTTTTGAAATCCATCCATATTCGTATTAGATTGTATTCGCAGTGATTACAACATTTTTGTATTTTTTCGGTTCTTATTTGTTCTTTCTAGATTTGATCAATCAGGCAAAGATGTCTAAATTGTTGAATTATTAAAATATTGGTGAATGATAGAATCCGTTCTTTGCATATAGTAGTGGCTAAAGGCCTTGGCTTGATCAACTTTGAGCAGGCTTGACCTTTGGACATGTTTCTTTGGTCTCAAAGTCTTTCTTCATCTTTACTAATCATGTTGCATTACTTTCATTTCTTTCTTTTACAGGCTGGGAGATTACTTGCAAACTTGATTGTGATGGGTTCTGGGATCATTGGTCGTGCCGTCTTTCAAGCCTATCGTCAAGCACTTGCTAGTAAGTTGCAACACTTTTTTCTATATGTTACCTCTTTGACATCAAGTGATTGCTTCATGAATCCAATGAGAAGGCATGCTCTTTAAAGATTGATACATTGCTTACAAGTTGCATTTCATGGTGATTGTTGATTCTGGCAGCTCCTGTTTATGTTTTTACTTTTTACTACTGTTAGAACGGTTTATATGTTTCTGACATCAGATTGCTCTCTTTTTCTCGAGTCTATTGAATTGGTATTTAAGACAAAGGATCATGGATTTGTTATGAAGAAGACCTGTCTCACCTAAGAATCTTCTTTTGCAGATGCGTCTAAATCTGGTGTTGCTCAGGAAGCAATGCAAAATGGAGTACGTAAAGCAGGGAAAGCCATCACTGAGCAAGAGGCTAGGCAGATTCTTGGTGTAACCGAGAAGACCTCTTGGGAAGAGATATTGCAGGTAAACATTTCTCTTTACCATTGATGAATGAATGATTTCCTCGATTTAATTTGGAACTCTGAATTGAATAACTAAAAGGAATAGTTTTATATATGAATGCAGAAATATGACAAACTGTTTGAGAATAATGCGAAAGCTGGGAGCTTTTACCTTCAATCTAAAGTTCATCGAGCCAAAGAATGTCTAGAAGTTGTGTACAGAAGCCAAGGCAACGGTACACCTAGTTAAGACCTTAATCGTTTTTTTCTTACAGATTCAAAATTCTTGCTCTTAATGTAAAATCAAGACGATTTCATGGTTCTTTGAGATGATATGGAACTTATAAAACGGCCATAGTTTTCTTCATCCATGAATTAGTAATAACTAAGACAGGTTTGCTCTGATCAGTTGATCAAGTGTCAAAGAACCTCTTAAAACTAGAAAGGATTGTTCTATGTGTGTATGCTGTATCATTCTCTCTTGAGAGAAGACTCTTTTAAAGGTCTCCTTCCTGTTTTTGATTCAGATTCAAACTGATTATCTGCACTCTGTAATGTATAATATATAAGAAAAAAAATACATCATTATTGGAGGGGTTTGAGCTTGAGAAATCTAGATCTCTAAGTGTAACTTGATCATGTTTTTGCTAGATCCGAAGGTATTTTGATCTGATTAGATTTGGAAGTTTATTGGTTGATAAAGTTTGAAGTCAAGTTTGGTCTGAAACAGGTTAGGGTCGACCAAGATTCGAATTTATAAAACTTTCAGTCTGCAAAGCAACTTGAGGACCCTAAATTACCGATTATTCTTTAGGTTTGAATTTTTTTTTTGGGTCAATTGATGATAGTATTAGAAACATGACTTCATTGCAAACAACTTTCATTTCATAAGGGTGGAATCTATACAAAATAAAATTCTATGCACAACAAATAAATTACGGCCCAATTTTGGCAATCCGAATTGAAGAAGCAATGATGAAAACGTGAAGGGAGATGAGTAGACCTAGTGAAATTGAAGCGAAGTGGTTCGTTATTTGGTTCACTTCTTCTTAATCTCCTCATATACTTTTCCTTTATTCCACTTTTTAAAAGAAAATCTGTGAAACAGAGACTTAGTTCTATTAATCAGAGGAAAGGCATGAAAATAATCAAACATTTTAGATGATAAGTTTTCTTTAGCATGAAACTTACTTGAATAATGTGTTTGTTTGAAGTTGGTGAGTCTAGTAGTGGACGGGAGGTAGAGGTGAACTAGAAAAGGAGGAGAGTTGTAGTCATGATGACGCAATTTCGTCTCAGATTATATTAAAAGGTTAAAATTCAAAAAATTGGATAGAGAAGACAGACGATACGAAACTGATATAACTTGATTAGACTCTTGAGGAAAAATCTTCCTTTATTACCACAGAGATCTCCAAAATCTCAGGACTTGACAACACACAAAAAGAAAATCCAACATTGGAACTAACCTATCCCGCCAAATTATTAGGGCTACAATTACCAAAACCCTAATTTACAACTTTCACTTCACTTTGGCTATAAAAGCTCTAAATCCGGTTTCTTCCAAAGCACAAAAAAACTCAACAGTTGTGTAATTCTGGTGACCTCTGCTTCAAACCCCAAGTAAGCTTCTCCTCTTCTCAAGTAGTGTCTCTAGTTTAAATAATTTCGAGAAGATAACACTTGCTTTGGTGTGTTGATGTTTTGATTCTTAGTTATCATTATTTTCTCTTTGTGTTAAGAATCTAAATGAACACTTAACGATTTTAAGAAAAGGCTTAGATCTTGAAACCGCTTTTGAAATTGGTCATGTTGGATTTTTGGAATCTTTTTTTGTTGTATTTCTTACTCTAGCTCATTTACTCTGTTCAGGCAGTAAGTGGTGATTAGCATTCGAAAAAGATGAATCTTGAATTTGATGACTCGAAGCGTATGCATCATGGAGTGACAAAACAAGAAAGGGATAAGATTCTTCGATGTTTTATAAAGCGAGTGGATGGTAAATTGGCTTTGCATAAGAATGTTCCTTTGAACAGATTCTCCATCAAGTGTAAAGATGATGTTGGACCAGCTCCTGTCATTGGTTGGATAACCAATGTGTTGAAACGTCGTGTATCAGAACTTGCTCTAGACATCTCTTCGTGTTGGGATTGGCCTATGTCTACAGCTATTGATGGGTGCGGTACAATGGTTCAAGAATTTTGGGAATCTTGCTCTGTATCTAGCACAAGCCTCAAGAGACTAACGTTTCGTTTTAATCAAATGTTCTTTGAGAATCACAAGAGTGTGTCATTTGATACTCCTAATCTCTTGTACTTGGAGTATTCTGATGTTATTGCTGACAAGTATCTTAAAGCGAATTTTGATTCGCTTGTTGAAGCTCGTCTCGATCTTCAAATGACACATGATCAGATCCATAAGGCAAAATTTTCAGAGGATGATTTAATCAAGCATGAAGGGATGGTTGGCAATGCAGCTGCTTTTTTTATTGGAATTTGTAATGTTAAGTCCCTGTACTTATCTGACAACACTCTTGAGGTTAGTAGTCCCAACTTCATACTCATCTTTTTTCTTTCTTTTTGAGTTAAAGATGTGATCATAAGCGAGTGGTGTACTTGTTGTTTTGTTTTAGGTACTCTGTTTCTGCTGTGAGCCAATGCCGCTTTTCAACAACCTGATTCAGTTAACTGTTAAGACTGACCGACTTGTGGGATGGGAATCATTGACCGCTCTGCTCAAGAACAGTCCAAATCTAGAAACTCTTGTCTTTGAAGTACCAAATATATACTTTATATCATTTGTTGATACATTATTCAAACATAGACATCAGATTTTGAATTTAGTTTCTTTATGTTTCAGGGACTTCTCCACAGATTTGATATGAAATGTGGAAGTGACGAGTGCCTGTGTAAACCTTGGGAGGAGGAGGACATTCCCACTTGTCTATCATCAAGTCCTGTGAAGGTCTTAGAGATAAGGAAGTTTGGAGATATCTATGAAGATGAGGACATGGACAAAATGATGGACCAAGTCGAGTACTTCCTTGAGACAATGCCGAATCTTGAACATCTCATAATTCACTACGAAACACCAATTGATGAAGATGTGGAGGAAGTATTAAGACAATTTCAGATGGTTCCTAGAGAAGGTTTAACCGAGTGCAGGATTCAAGTAATCTCTGATAATCTTGACTTGTCCTCTATTTAAAGCATGTTTCCTTTTCATCGGTAAAATGAATTTCTCGTATCTTACAAAGAACCTTTCTGGTTTCTCATGTTCTTTAGGATTCACTCATGTCTCTTTTTACCATCTCAAAGCCATGAGTGTGTTTCGGCTTTAAGTTTGTAATAGTATCCAAGGACTTATGTTTTATTTATGCTTTTGTCTGTTTGATCAACAATGTTATCTTAACGTTTTAGTTTTTTCAGTTCTTCTGTATAAGCTTTGATTTGTCTTTTTGAAAAAATTACCCTTTACATCAACAAAATATTTGTGTTACTCAAATTGAAACAAAACTTGCAATGGCGAATCCTAATAAAATTTACTCACTACATAATTTGGAATCAATCTTTTGGTGTGAAGCTTGTTCAGTAATAATGTTTATGGATTCTCAACATATCAAAAAAAAAAAAAAAAAAACTCTTTTCAATTATAATGATGTCAGTCACATCTATCCTTGTCAAGTTAGCGTCACGCAGAAGATACTGCTACAACTTGATTCAACTCTTGAAACAGAGAATATCATCATCAACAAAATCTTAGAACTTGACAACACTGAAAAGAAAATCCTGCTTTTGGAACTCAACGATCCCGCCAAATTATTAGGGCTACAATTGCCACAAACCCTAATTTTTCAACTTTCATTTCCCTTGTGCTATAAATCTCTAATTCCGGTTGTTCCTTGATATTAAACAGTAGTGTGGTTTTGAAGATATCTATCTGCCTTTATCCCACAAGTAAGTTTCTCCATTATCTTCTTCTCATCTAGTGTCTTTTTTTTTTTCTTTTCTGAAGGGAGCTATAAGATTAAGTAAATGACTAGAGCTTGAAACCGGTTTTGGAATTGTTAAGTTTAGATTTTGAAATCGTTTTTGTTGAATTTCTAACTCGAGCTCATCTTCTCTGTTTAGGCTGTAACAGAAATTATGGATCTTGAATTTGATGACTCACACTATATGCATCCTACTAGAACAAGAAAACAAGAAAGAGAGGAGCTTCGTACAGATTTTATAAATTTCGTGGATTTAATGTTGGCATTGCAAGGGAACGATCCTTTAAACAGGTTCTCCATCAAGTGCAAAGATGATGTTGGTTCAGCACCTGTCATTGGTTGGATAAACAATGTCTTGAATCTCAATGTGTCTGAACTTGTTCTCCACATCTCTTCGTATTGGGATTGGCCTCTGTCTTCAGAAGTTATTGTGAGCGAGAAAATGGTTCAGGAGTTTTGGGAATCTTGCTCTGTATCTAGCACAAGCCTCAAGAGACTAATGTTTCGTTTTCAGCAAAGACTCGATGAGAATCACAAGAGTGTCTCGTTTGATACTCCTAATCTTGTTTACTTTGAATATTCTGATACTCTTGCGGATGAGTATCCTATAGTGAATTTTGATTCGCTTGTTGGAGCGAGTCTCAATCTCCGAATGACGCATGATCAGATCCACATGGCAAAATTTTCAGATGATTTTATCAAACCACATGAAGGGTTGGTGGGCAATGCAACAAATCTTATTATGGGAATCTCAAATGTTAAGACTCTTTACTTATCTGACAACACTCTTGAGGTCAGTCTCTACTTTTTCCTTCAATTGTTTTTGCTTAATGATCATAAATGAGTGATGAAGCTAGTAGCTGTGTTGGATTTTGTTTCAGGTACTCTGTTTCTGCTGTGAGCCAATGCCGATTTTCGACAACCTGCTACGGTTAACTATCAAGACTGACCGAGATGTAGGATGGGAATCATTGACGGCTTTACTCAAAAACAGCCCAAATTAAAAACACTTGTCTTCGAAGTACCAAATTTATCCTCCTTGTTGATACATCATTATGCAAACAAAGTCAATTAGGTTTTTAAATTTGTTTCTTTATATGTTTTAGGGACTTCTTCACAGAGATGGAAAGAAGTGTAAAAGTGACGAGTGCCTGTGCAGCCCTTGGGAGGAGGATGACATTTCCACTTGCCTAACATCAAGTACTGTGGAGATTTTAAAGATATTAAACTTTGGAGATATTGATGAAGATGAAGACATGGAAAAAATGATGGAACAGGTCGAGTACTTTCTTGAGGCAATGCCGAATCTTAAGAAACTCATAATTCACTACAAAACGTCAATTGACGTAGATGTGGAGGAAGTATTTAACCATTTTCAGATGGTTCCTAGAGAAGGTTTAACCAAGTGCAAGATTCAAGTAATCTCTGATAACCTCAACTTGTCCTCTACTTAATTAAGCATGTTCCCTTGTCATCGGTGTATTGTGAAAGAACCTCTCTGGTTTTTCAAGTTCTTTAGGATTCACTCATGCTTCTTTTTACCATCTCAAAGCCATGAGTGTGTGTCTCGGCTTTAAGTTTGTAAAAGTAATCTAAGGACTTATGTTTTATTTATGCTTTTGTCGGTTAAATCAACAATGTTAACTTAATGTCTTAAGTTCTTTCACTTCTCCTTTATAAGCTACAGTAGCATGTTTTTTATTACCTGACAATGATATGATCTACCAGGTTTAAAAAAACCATGTGAGATAAAGACGAAAACCTAAATATAATTGTCTCTCTGGTTGCTTCAAACTCTTCACTCTGACCTCCAATGCTTGGCCATTTCAAAGCCATTCTTGGCATTGCGGTAGTCCCTAATCGTCATATCAATCTCAGCCTGTGAGTTCATCACAAATGGCCCACGCTCAACCACAGGCTCGCCAATCGGTTCCCCTGCAATCAACAAGAACCTCAACGATCTAGAGCTTGACGTGTTCCACACGCTAACTTCATCCCCTGTTCCAAACACCACAACATTATGTGCTTGTACTGTGGAAGAGTCCGAGGAGCTAAACACGCCTTCATCACCTTCTATAATGTAGGCAAAGGCGGTCCATGACTCTGGAACGGTCTGGTGGGTTTGAGATCTTGGATCGAGAGTAAAGTCTAGGAACATGATTGGTGTTTTTGTGTAGAAAGGAGATTTGACTCCCATTGACTCTCCAGCTATGACTTTGACTTCTACTCCATATTCATCTGCTCTAGGAATCTCTGAACTCGACATATCTAGATTTTTAGGCTCGATCCTGTCGAAAAATTATCATAAAAACATTTAGAAATCTGTGAATTAAGAAAGGTGAATCTTTGTGAAGAACCTTCTTATACATTTTGTCACTGGAAGGGAGGTTGATCCAAAGCTGTAACCCCTTGTTGACTTGTTCTTCAGGCATTTCAGAATGAATGATTCCTCTTCCTGCTGTCATCCACTGCAATAGAATCAGAATCAAAAGGATGAAACAAGAAAGCTTAAGAGGATTCAATAGTCTTTTGGTCTGAGATGTCTTTTTTTTTTGTTTTACCTGAACATCTCCTTCATGGATTGTACCTTTATTACCATTAAAGTCTTGGTGAATGATGCCTCCCTACACAAGTTAAATCGATCCGAGTAAGCAAAACCAAAAGCTTAGATTATTGACTCGAATCATCAATGAAGACTTTGTTTCTCACTTGCAACATGTATGTAACACTTTCAAAACCTGCACACAGTTGATCTAATCACATCAGTAACATGACAGAACAGAGCAAGCTTTGTGTACATGTAGAAATAATGAATAGGTGATACGACCTCTGTGAGGATGATCTTTGAATCCACCAGGAGGTGAAACTGAACAAACAATAAATAAGTAAACATCAAAATCAGAAATTTTAATTTACACATTGTGGAAGTAAAAATTTTTACCGGAAAATTCAACTAGCGAGACGAACGGGTCCAACAACTCTTGGTCACTCCTGAAGCACAAGGAAAATATATGAAACTTGAAGGTGAAGCATTGGATATTCCTATAAAATTTGAGAAAGAAAAAAAAAGAAAACTAGCTTACTTGGTGATGCCTCGTCTAACAAGAGCACCATCACCTTCATTCTCAAAATCTGCATATATCTTTTTAATGACCTTTCTCGATATCATATCTATGATCTATGATTTTGATTAAACTCTGTTTATTGTATATATATATATATATATCTTCTGTCTCTGTCCGCTTCAGTTAAAATCGATAATAACAGAAAAAAAAAACGTTTGTGCTTTTTAAGGGAGAATGTGATATTGGCATGCGTACAGATTTATTATCAATCCCTTATATTAATACAGAGGATCGATGGTCGTCTTAATTAGACGAGCAAAAACCAAAAAAAAAGAAGGAAATATATCCAATTTTAGGAAATTGAATTAGTTTATACGATTTACTTTTCCATAATCGTTTGTTTGTAATGCATGTTACCAATTTATCATAAGTCAAATTTGAATGTTGTCAATTTATATCATAAAGGAAATTATGGACTAGTACGACGTCGTTTGGAAGTAGTCTTGCCACAATATTGTAGTACTCTCATTTTCTCGAAAACCCTTTTTTTTTGTTTCTCAAACAAAACCTCTGAATACGGCTGTCCCAAAGATTTAGGGTAATTTTGATGGCATCTGAACCCTAGTGAGTTCCCTCATTTCTTATTCTTATCTTTTGTTTAATTCTTAGCATTTTTGGTGAACTTCTTTGATTGGTTTTTACTTACTCATGTCATTCTCTTAGGTTGTCACTGTTGAGATCTGTCACTATGACTTCGAAAAAGATGGATATTGGTCCCAAAGATATAATCAGCAATCTACCAGAAGCTCTGATTTGCCACATATTGTCATTCCTTCCCATAGAAGATTCTGCTTTGACTTCAGTTCTATCAAAGAGATGGCGGTATCTCTTTGCTTTCACACCATATCTTGTTTTCGATGACTCGATGTTTCTACGTCCTGCAATTAGTAACAGAGAAAAGGATGCGATTCTTACAAGTTTTATGGCTTTTGTGGGTAGAGTACTGGATTTGCAAGGGAATTCTACTATAAACAAGTTCTCTCTAAAGTGTGGACATGGTGTTGTTCCAGATTATGTCACATCTTGGGTATTAAATGTGTTAGAACGTGGTGTATTGGATCTTGATTTGCACGTTACTGTGTATGGGGTTCGTCTGCCTTCAAAGGTCTTTGTGAGCAAGTCACTGGTTAGCCTGAGAATAGAATCTGGAAATGTTCGTGGCATTGATGTAGACCATGTTTTTCTTCCAAAGCTTAAGTATCTCTATATTAATACAATTATGTTAGGAAAAGCTGATGATTGCTTTGAAAAGCTTACTGCTGGTTGTCATGTCCTTGAGGAATTAGTTCTGAATAATGTCTACTCCAATATTTGGAACCGCTCTGTGTCTTCCAAAACCCTCAAGAGACTAACGCTATGGTGTATAGACTATGATAAAAATCCGGATAGTGTTTCGTTTGATACACCAAATCTTGTCTACTTGAAATACTCTGATTATGTTGCAAGAAAGTATCCAAAAGTGAACTTCAGGTCGCTTGTTGATGCTACTATTGATCTTGCAATGACAAGTGATCAGGATGCACATGCAAGCTATGAAGCTTTGGTTGGCAATGCAAAAGACTTTCTTATGGGAATATGCAACGTTCAGATCCTTTACTTATCTGCCAATACTCTTGGGGTATGTTAGTGTAATTCAGTAATTGATTAATGATTTTTTGGAGAGATATAGTGATTGCATATGAATAATGATGATATGGTTCTTTTGGGAATTGTTTCAGGTTCTTACTTTCTGCTGTGAATCTATACCGGTATTCAACAACCTGATTCATTTAACTATGGAGACCCGGAACGTAGGATGGGAATCATTGCCACCTCTACTCAAGAACTGTCCAAATCTTGAAACCCTTGTCTTCCAAGTACCAACAAATATCATTTTATTGCATCCGTTAACACAATTTTTCAAACAAACTAGATCTTGATGTTGATTCCTATATGATTCAGGGACTCCGCCACAGATATACAATCAAATGCGGGGATGTTGACGGGTGCCTATGCAAATATTCAGGGGAGATTTCGAGTTGCTTATCATCAAGTCCGGTGAAGGTTTTAAAGATATTGAGATTTGGTGAATATGGTATAGAGAATCAGATAGAGCTGATCAAGCTCTTCCTAGAGACAATGCCGTGTCTTGAGCAACTGACAATATACTACGATACACCAATTGATGATGATCTGGTTCAAGTGTCAAGTCAACTTAAGAATTTTGCTAGAGAAGCTTCACCAAATTGCGAGATCCAAGTAATCAATGATGTCCTTAGCTAAACCAAGATTCTCCTCTTCATTCTGCCTTTTGTTCTTAGTTTTTGTGACTAGCTAGTGTTTGATGATTTGTCATCTTAATTGGGAATGCTCGATTAATTATCTTTTGCTTGGTTTGGCTCTTAGTTTGAGTAGCTAATGTTTCATACAAGCCACTACAAAAATAAAATTAGTCGAACTAATTTACTGAAAACAGAGCATTGTTATTATTATTCAAAAATAAAGAACAACACCCAAAAATTCACATGGGGGCATGAAGAGTATATATGCAGGCCGCCAAATCATTGTAGAGTTTTCTCCGGTCACCAACTTCTATCAAAGTTCTTGCTTGCTGTACGAGGACAACATTTGCTTTCGGTAAAGATTGCAGCTTTATGCACGTTAAAAAGATTAGCAGCGAGAAAGAAGAGTATAAGAAAATGCAAGTGAGAGATGTGATGGAACTAAAATTAACATGAAGATTTTTAGAACGTCATTATTTTCCAGGCTTCATCATATAGTAATTAGTTCAGTCTTTTATTGTTAAAAAAAAAAAAAAATTGGCATTTTATTTGTAGACAAGCTTTTTTGTTTTTAATGGATTGATTGTATTAAATTAGAAAATGTAACCCAACAAAAAGTACCCAGGATTGCAAAAACCCTAATTTACTCTTCGGCTTCCCCTCTCGCAATCAATCATTTCAATTTTGATTGCCTCTTCTCTAATTCCCAAGTGAGGTTCCCAATTTCTTGTGATGATTATTTTGTGTGATTCCTTAATTAGTGTTGAAATTTAATGTTTATCTAGCAAATTTGGTTTGTTTCTGTTTGTTTTAAGCATGTGAAACTCTTTGACCAAATTTACTTACTAGAGATGATGTTATTTTTTATCAGGTTTGTAACTGTTTCAGGTCTGTCACTATGAAAGTATGAATTCAACAAAGATGGATGATATTTGTTGCAAAGATATAATCAGCGATCTACCAGAAGCTCTTATTTGCCACATATTGTCCTTCATTCCCACAAAAGAAGCTGCTTTAACATCACTTCTCTCCAAAAAGTGGCGGTATCTCTTTGCTTTTGCACCAAATCTTGATTTCGATGATTCGTTATGGATGCAACGTCCAATTGTTGACATGAATGAGATTTATAGAAAGTTCATGGATTTCGTGGATAGAGTATTGGGTTTGCAGGGTAATTCTACTCTAGTTAGGTTCTCACTCAAGTGTGAAAATGATATTTATTCAGAATGCGTCTTTAGTTGGATATCAAATGTGATAGAACGTGGTGTATCGGATCTTGAATTAGGCGGTACTTTGGGTTCGAATCGTTCGATGCCTTCAAGTGTCTTTTTGAGCAAGTCACTTGTTAAGCTGAGAATAGATACTGAAAATGGTTCCGTCATTGATTTGGAAGATGTTTTTCTTCCAAAGCTTAAGACTCTCCATCTTCGTTCTGTTTGGTTTGGAGAGGGTGATGATACTTGCCTTCTCAAGCTTATTTCTGGATGTCATGTCCTTGAGGAATTAACTATGATTGATCTATGGTGGGATGGTTTCTGGAACCGCTCTGTGTCTTCCAAAACCCTCAAGAGACTAACGGTAGGTTGTTCAGACTGGGAAAGAAGTCCGGCTAGCGTTTCATTTGATACGCCAAATCTTGTCTACTTTGAATACGATGATCTCGTTGCGGACAAGTTTGAAATAGTGAATTTCGACTCACTTGTTGAAGCTAGTATCGGTCTTCGAATGAGATATCATCAGCGTGCATATGCAAGCTATGGCGATTTGGTTGTTAATGCAACAAATCTTTTTGTGGGGATAAGCAATGTTCAGATCCTTAAATTATTTTCCAGCACTCTTGAGGTTTGTTGTTAATCATTTTTTTTTCGCTACTTAGAAATTAAAACAAGACAAACAACCTCTAATTTGAATAGTGTTTGGTTTATGTTTCAGGTGCTTACTTTCTGTTGTGAACCAATACCGTTATTCAAAAACCTGCTTCACTTAACTGTGGAGACTGACAAAGATGTAGGATGGGAATCATTGCCGGCTCTACTCAAGAACTGTCCAAATCTAGAAACCCTTGTCTTCAAAGTACCAACACATATATATATCCTTTTACTGCATTTTTTCTAACAAAATTTTTTCAAACCAAATATGAGTTTAAACTAGTTGTTTCATCTATGATCTAGGGACTCCATCACAAACATACAATTAAATGTGAGGACGCTGACGGGTGTCTATGCAAATCTTCAAAGGACATTCGTAGTTGCCTATCATCAAGTCCGGTGAAGGTTCTGAAGATACTCAAGTTTGGCGAAGTTTCTTCTTACTTTGATGACGAGGAAAAGCAGCTGGAGCTAGTCAAGTATTTCCTGGACACAATGCCGAATCTTGAACAGATGATATTGTGTTACAATACACGAATTAGTGAAGGTGTGAAAAGTCAACTTGAGAGGCTAGTTCCTAGAGTACTATCTTCATCGAAGTGTAGTGTCCAACTAATCTGTGATAACTTCATCGCACCAACTAATCCTTTCTATGGTATCATCGCACCAGCACCATATTATCCTTTCTATGGTATCCCCTGCATGGGAGATCAGCCTCATTTTATCTAAGAGAAGATTAGCAAAGGTTTTGTTCTAGTTTTCAGCACAAAAGCATCTAGTTTGGCCTCTCTAAGCTCTCTTCTCCACTTTGTCTTACTCTTGCATATACTTCATGTTTTCTCAAGAGTTCCAAGTACTTTTTAATTAACATGGCTTTTGTTTTAATTCTTTAATTGGTCTCTGTTTTGTTATATGTGTCTTACTCTTTCGGCCTTCTCAATATGTTCCACTTTTATTTGTGTGTGTGTATACACTGCACGTTCTCTCATGGCTTCCAATTGTTAATTTGCTACACGGTGAGCAAATATGATGTTTGCGTAATTGCGTGCAAGTAAATAACAAAATTCAAAATTAAGGAGGAAATCAAACTCTTTTCTGTATAAATTATTGGATTTAGATTTTTTTTTTGGTTATTTTTGGTTTCTTCTATAAAACCAAAATTAGGAAACCAAAGAGGTTTTATAAGACTAAACCCTAATGTTCTCTTTCACTTTAGAAATCACTCGTCCCGCCACATTTCCATCTCACTCTAGGTCACGACACTACAAGAAACACGGCTTGTAACGTCATTTGTTTTAATACTTAACGTCGGTATTAAACAGACGTTAATATTTTACCGTCAGTTTTTAAAACGACTTAACATTGGCCGACGTAAACTTTTTTCGCTTCACTTAAAGAAATGACGCAATGTTTAACATCAAAAGATTAACGTCGGTTTCTTTTCAATTAGCATCGGTTTTCTTTCGACTTTAAATCTTCAGCTTTGGGTCAATTACACAACCGACGCAAATATGCATCATTTATTTTCTATTTATACTAATTATTTATTATTAAGAATCTAGTATAATAAAGATATAACTTAAATGTAACTTGATAAAATTTCTAAAAGCTGATCCATATGAATCATTACATTGATCAAATTCATATCTTTATACACAAAATGTAACTTTGTAGTCCTGTCTTACAAAACATAAATCATACACACATGACATCTACCAGCTCAACAAATTCCATTAGACCTTGTTGAGGATTTCTCCCAGCTATAAGCTCAAAGAGTAAAACCCAGGAGCCATAAACATCTCTTTGCTTGGTATATGTTCTTGTGGAAACGTATTCGGGATCGAGATAACCAAATGCTCCTCTGATGTTAGCAGCATGTTCCTCTAAATAGTCCAAAGACAACAACCTGAAGTAAAAAATAATCCACCATGACATTAAGAACTCGAGGTGGTTAATAGACTGAGATTTCAAGGAGAATGAAGATATATTTACCCGAGCTCTCATGGATTGATCCAACAAAATGTTGGGAAGATTTGATCTCTGTTGATTATGATACATTGGGAGCATTCTTACCATTCTGTATCCACGGATGATCTATAAACCAAAGATGATTAATCAGTCTTAACATTGATTTCATATGAGCACCAAAAACAATTGCTTTTGAAAGCAGAGATGATACCAAGCACTTGTTGAGCTTATAGACGACGCCTTGGATCTGGATGAAGCATCTTTTTTATCAGATCTTTTGCATTATCAGAAACTTTGGGCCAGGGGTCTCTTCTGAAGTCGATCACAGATCGAAGAATTGCTTTCGCGATTCCATGTTCGGTTTCTGAAAACAAACAAGATATAAAAGGTGTCGTTTACATTTGTATGATTCTACAAAAAAACTGACACAAAAAGTGATTTGACAAAACTAAACCTGCCCAAAAAGGTGGAACACCACAGAGCAATATGTAAAGAATCACTCCTGCGCTCTAAATGTCGATTTCTTGTTCATAACTCCGCCTTAATACCTCGGGAGCCATGTAGTAAGGACTCCCAACGATTTCGTTAAATCTCTCGCCCGCAAACAAAACATTAGTGGGTTAAAGATTCCTTTCAATTCCGCCGAAACCAAGTATCAAAGATGATAATACATCACCTGGTTTAAAGAAAACAGAGAGACCAAAATCAATAGCCTTCAAAGATGCACTTTCCTTCTTGTTTGCAAACAAGAAGTTTTCAGGTTTTAAGTCTCTGTGCATTACTCCATGCTTAGTACTATCCTCTTTACCAAATTCAATTCTATGTTAGTTTATCAAAACAAAGAAAAGCGTAAGTAAGTTGCAGATCCTTGAAGAAAGATTGAATGTGACCAGAATCTATCAAAAATTTAGAGATCGAAACAGATTGAAATTTCAACAAAAACTATCTCAAAACTCAAACTACTGAATCTCCCAAGATTTGAGATTCACCGCCGACGACACTATCCAAAAATTCAATCAAAAGTTCAAACGTATCATTAAATTGGATTCACAATTCTTGTCAAAATCAACCTAATTCAATCAAAAATACAACGAAATTATAAGAAACATCAAACATACCAACAATCTCGATCCCGATCGAACGCAGAAAATAGAGGATTTGGCGTCTTTGATCGAGTTGAGATATGATTCCACATCTTTCGATCTAAATCGGAAAAGAGAACAATTGAACTTCAAAGGAAACGAAGGTGCGAATCGACGAAGAAGCTCCGATGAGCAGATGAGAACTCGAAGGTTCACTCATATTCTGAATTTTGCAGAAGAAATGACGAAGCGTTTAGGGTTACAAACCTGAACAATTTAACTATTTAGGGCCTGACTGGTTTAAACGCAGCGGTTGCGGTTGCGGTTGCGGGAGTTTGCGGAAGCGGGCGGTTGCGGCTTTAAGCGTTATCAAGCGTTTTAAACGACTGGTTTAGCGTTTGAAAATGAGTGCGTTTGCGGGAGTTTTATGACTGGTAAACCAGCGGGTGCGATAGCAGTTAAATAAAAAAATGACCAAAATAAATAAAAAATATTACAAAAAAAAAAGAAATAAAAACACCAATATATTATTATGATAATATTAGAAAAATTTGAACATGCTTAATAATTAAAACCATAAATAAAGTACTAAATAATTATTCAAAAATAAAGAAATTTTGTAACAAGATAGTACTTTATGCATCTGGTTTAACATAAAAAATTACAATAAGTAATGGGACAAACTGTAAATAACGTTGAATTCAATCAAAAAGCAAGTGAGTTTCTATTCGAGAAAACAAATGAAAACATATATTCAATCAAAAAGCAAAGCAATACGTAATAAATAAAAAAAAACGATGCCATGAAAAATATTCAAAAAGTTACACATGAGGTGATGAATGAATAAAAGGATATATGATACTTACATTTGGTTATTGATTTTCATCAGTTTGGGTGGAAGACATTGAGAGAATAGAGTTTCAGAATATTATTAGGGTTTCTGATGAGAACGTGATACAAAGTGATACAAAGATGAAAGATATATATAAGATTAATATATATTATAATAATTATAAGTGCATGTTTGATTTTTTTTTTTTTTTTTTTTTTAATCCAACCGCTACCGCCCGCAACCGCAAACGCTTGCGGGAAAGAGCTTTTGAAATTCAGCGATTTCGAGCGGTTCGAAGCGGGACGGAGCGGTTTCTATGATTGGCACCAACCGCTAACAACCGCAACCGACCGCTAGCAACCGCTAGGAGGGTGCTAGCGGCAGAACCAATCAAGCCCTTAATTGATCAACAGTTTTACAATAATTATTTAAGAATATTAAAGTTTATGTCGGTTATCAAAACGACGTTATATTGCTTCCCACTTAAACTTTTAACGTCGGTTTAACTTATGACGTTAAAAAACTGACGCCTTCTACCTTGTTTTTTGTAGTGCGAGCAAAAACCCTAATGCTCTCTTTCACTTCCCTCTCGCAATCGAGTTCTCAATACTCGTGTGATTTTTATGCGCTCAAGTGAGTCTCTTCATTTCTTCTATTGATCTTATGCTCCTCTGATGTCGAAAGTTTATTTATTTTCTTGTCTCCAGCAATTTGGTTTTGTGTACTTCTGTTTAATTCTTAGTTTTTTTTCTTATAATTTTTTGATACTTAGTTGTGTTACTTTAAGCTTCTCAAATCCTTGGATTGAATCACTTACACGAGATCATGTGGTTTTTTAGGTTGTAACTGTTGAGATCTGTCACTATGTGTTCGAAAAAGTTGAATATTGGTTCCAAAGATATAATCAACAGTCTACCAGAAGCTCTTATTTACCACATCTTGTCGTTCCTTTCCACAAAAGAAGCTGCTCTAACATCGCTTCTCTCGAGAAAATGGCGGTATCTCTTTGCTTTCGTACCAAATCTTGATTTTGATGATCCGGTACGTATGCAACCTGATATGGCTAACCAAGAAGAGACTGAGATTCATACGAGTTTTATGGATTTCGTGGATAGAGTACTGGCTTTGAGGGGGAATTTTCCAGTAAGCAAGTTCTCTTTAAAGTGTGGAAATGGTGTTGACCATGTTGGTGCCAAGCGTTGGATATTGAATATGTTGGAACTTGGTGTATCGGATCTAGATTTACGCCTTGCATTAGATAGGAATTATCTGTTTCCTTTAAAAGTATTTGTGAGCAAGTCGCTGGTTAAGCTGAGAATAGGAGCCAGAAATGGTCTCGCCGTTGGAGGTCTCATCATGAAAGTGGGAGATGTTTCCCTTCCAAAGCTCAAGACTCTCTGTCTTGATTCGGTTGTGTTAGATTACCAGATAATTTGTTTGGCTAAGCTTCTTTCAGGTTGTCATGTCCTTGAAGAATTAGCTCTGGTTAATCTTAGTTGGAATTTTTGGGAGTCTTGCTCTGTGTCTATCCCAACCCTCAAGAGACTAACGTGTTGTATTGAGGAGGATTGGATCAACCCACCACCGAGTGTCACATTTGATAATCCGGCTCTTGTCTACTTTGAATATTCCGATACTGTTGCGTTAAAGTACGAAAAACTGAATTTCGATTCGCTTGTTGAAGCTAGGCTCGGTCTTCGAGTGGCATATGAAGAGACAGAAAATGCAATAGAGTTCCCTGATGGCATCCCCTTCCCATTTATAGAATATGTTACGGTCGGTGATGCAACTGATCTACTTATGGGATTACGCAATGTTCAGGTTCTTTACTTATATGCGAGCACTCTTGAGGTTTGTATATTAATCCCACCTCTTCTCACACTCTTAATATCTTTGTTTCTGTTACTGTCTCATTGCTTAAGGATTTGAGTTAATGATTGCAAAGGAATGATGATGTTCTAATGATTGATTTGGTTTTGGTTTCAGGTACTTACATTCTGCTGCAAAGCAATACCGATATTCAACAACCTGACTCATTTAACTATTGAAAGTAACACAAAAGTTGGATGGGAATCATTGCCAAATCTGCTCAAGAAATGTCCAAATCTAGAAACCCTGGTCTTCCAAGTACAAATCAAACCCTTTTAAGACATCATGTGACAGATTTTTCAGCCGTGAGGAAAAGCTAAACATAACGTTTCCTTTATTGTTTCAGGGACTCCTCCACAAAGCTACGGATAGATGTGGAGACGTGTGCCCGTGCAAACCTCCGGAGAATATTCCTACTTGCCTATCATCAAGTCCGATGAAGGTTCTAAAGATATTGAAGTTTGGGGAAGTTAATGACAAGACAGAATTAGAGCAAATCAAGCATTTCTTGGAGTTAATGCCGCATCTTGAACAGCTCAATATATACTACGATACATCAGTTGACGATAATCTTGTTAAAGTATCCAAGCAACTTCAGGAAATTCCTAGAGTAGCTTCAGCAAAGTGCAAGGTCCAAGTAATCTCCGATAACCTCACCTTGTCAGTTACTCTACCCTCTTGCTCATCGATTTAATGGTTTGCTCTTAATTTTTAGAAGAATCTTTATATTTCCGGCTTCTTAGGTCTAAAACTGAAGACCAAGTTTCTCTTGTTTCAGCCTTTTGTTCTTAGTTTGGTGCACATCTATTTGTCCTTTTGATTGAGAATGTTAATTATCTTTTGTTTGCTTCTATTCTTCTGTTGTATTGAAGAAAGTTAATGAGTCATTATTTTCTTCAAGAATTATGATCTGATTACAGTTTCTTGGTGATAAGGAGTTATATTAAGCAAGCTTGTGAGTATTTACAGGTTTTAGTATGGTTGTGTCACTCTGTTTTAATGCCCATATGGTGGATTAGTGACACTGAAATTGAAATTGTGAACATGTTTCTATTTGTCTCAAGCTTTCTCTGATCCATTTGTAGTCAAAGCTGAAAGCTGTAATACAATCTCGAGTCTAATCGACTGTCTGAAAGAGAGGATTGTTATTGTAGCCCCTAACATTGATCTCATCTTGAATGTGAAATAAAGAAAACAAAACCCAAAAGAACCTGTATATGGTTTTTGTTTACAAATTCTTTTCACTGTGACCTCTAACACTTGGCCATTTCAAACCCGTTCTTAGCATTCTGATAGTCATCAAAAGCCATATCGATCTCCGCCTGCGAATTCATCACAAACGGACCACACTGAACCACAGGCTCACCGATCGGTTCCCCTGCAATCAACAGAAACCTCAACAACCTCGAAGTTGACTTGTTCCACACGCTAACTAAATCCCCTGGTCCAAACACAACAACATGGTGCGCCGATATAGCGGAAGATTTCAAGCAACCGAAAACACCTTCATCGCCTTCTATAATGTAGGCAAAAGCGGTCCAAGATTCTGGAACGTCCTGGTGGGTTTGAGATCCTGGCTTGAGGGTAAAGTCAAGGAACATTGTTGGTGTTCTTGTGTAGACTGGAGATTTGATTCCCATGGAATCTCCGGCTATGACTTTGACTTCTACTCCGTTTTCTTCTGCTCGCGGGATGTCTGAACTTGATAGTTCCTTATATTTTGGTTCAATCCTATCAAAATCAAAGAACAGAGAGATTCAAAACTGGAACTCTTTCTGAGAATAGATGATACTAAAGAGTGATCTTATACATTTTGTCAGTGGAAGGGAGATTGATCCAAAGCTGTAAACCAGTGTTGACTTCTTCTTCCGGAAATTCGGAATGAATGATTCCTCTTCCTGCTGTCATCCACTGTCAGATCAAAGTCAAAATTGAGTGAAACCAGGAAACTCAAGAGAGGATTTGGATGTTTTTTTATTGTGTGTTATGTTTTGTTTTCACCTGAACATCTCCGGCTTGGATTGTACCTTTATGACCTTTGGGATCTTTGTGAATGATACCTCCCTGTAGCATGTATGTAACACTTTCAAAACCTGCACACAGTTGACCAATTACATTATAGACATTTCTGAACAGAGAAACTTTGTGCATGTGTGTAAGAAGGTATATGTGAAATTGACCTCTGTGGGGATGATCTGGGAATCCAGCTGAGAGTGAAACTGATCAAGAAACAGAGCAAAACAGAGCAAATGATTATGCAAGCTTTAGATTATATCTTATGACATGCTAACATAACAAAAGAATCACACTTTTAATATACAGATTCGGGGAAGGAAGAAACTTACAGGAAAATTCAACTAGCAACACGAACGGGTCCAATAACTTCTGGTCAATCCTGAATTAATCCAACAAGAAAAATATATGAAACTTGAAGGTGAAGCCATTGGATTTCTTGAGAAAGAAGAAGAAACTCACTCTGTGATGCCGTTTCTAACGACAGCGCCTTCACCTTCCTTCTGAAGCTTTGCTAGAACTTTCTTGATTACAAGTCTTGGTACACTATTGTTCTCGGAAGAAACAGACATCATGATGATGATGATGATGATGATGATGGTGAATTGGTGATGATAAAGTTTTGTTACTATATCTTCTCCTTCTTCTTAAAAAAAGTTGTGTTACTGAAACGAAGAAAAGCTTGTTAATGGAGGAAGTCAGTGCTTTGTATCTGGTTAGTGGCATGTGTGTAAACTATATATAGCGAGAGAGATAGAGAGATGCAGAGGATTGACTGCAACTGGAAGTTGTAGGTGAAGGTGAGTGGGTCGATATTTCTGTGGACCAACCGTAATTATTGCTGAATAATTAATTACATTATGATTATGGTGAAGAAATACATTTTAACAAAAATATAGATTAAATTACGAATACGTTAGGGAAAAAAAATGATTACGAATGCTCAAAATATCCATTACTATTTACTTGTTTAATCTTAGAGACACGTAGGAATATAGCGTTCACACCATAAGAGATTCTCTGCCACGTGTATGCTTATAAGAATGACACGTGGAAAAAATTGCATTGAAGTGTGAATAGTCGTAGACATGTGGATTTGATATATGATTGGCGTCGATATTCAATTAACACATATATACGAAATTCAAGAGAGTTTCAAAATTAGAATGAAAATAAACGCAAGATTTGCCAAAATAATAATATTTGGCAAAATAACATTCATTTTTCTCGGTCAGTTTCAAATCTCTTTCTCTCTGTCTTTTTTTAACGAACGAGAGGGCCTTAAAATATTTTAAGTCGACGGCCTTGTATAATCTATATAATAGCTATCCATCTGGTTAATCATGTTACTTAGCAAGTCAACTAGTTGACGCTAAAATTCTAAACAATGTTGCAACATATGTAATGATTCATTCACATTGATATGATTACCACTCTAAGCAATATATTTGTGAAAGTAGGTTTTAGATATGATGGTCTAGATCCATGTAAAAGAAATATTCCTAAGGAAACAAAGGAAAAAAAGTATACATACCAAAAACTTAAAAATCTGAAATCTCATCATCATATTGATCTAATAAAACTTGTTTATTGAAATTTACTATATATAGTTAGTTCATAACTCATGATGTTTTAACTCTCGAGTGCCGACAATGTTTGAACCAAAACTAATAGTTTTTTTATTGGGTGTTCACACTACATCTAAATATATAAATATAAGACAATGTTTGTCAAACGACTCAAACCTAACTTTTTGATTAATTGAAACCAATAATGATTGTTTAAGGACTACTGTTCGTTGTCATCCTACGTTCAATATTAAAATGGCTGCTTAACCAGCTAATGATTCATTAACCAGGCTATATTGTATATAAAACAACAAAATAATATTGAATGTTATTAAACCTCTGCTAAAAATCATCAACCACATGTTTCAGTTTGCTGTATATAAAATATATGGTTGATGAATTGATTTCCGCTCCTAGCATAGTATGAACGTCCGCATTTTCTTCAAGGGATACAAAACATTAAATTCCAAGATATATGCATAAAATATAATAATAGAATGATGCGAAAGATCTTTTGAGTTTCTCCATGTTGATGTTGGGACTACTTGTGGTTTATAATAAGAGATAGAAATGAGCAAAATATGACTGAATTATAGGATTTAAAAAATATTGGGGGAGTTCTGTGTTCATATTGAAACCAAACACAAATTACTCAAAAGACAAAAACTTTTGGATACCAAAAAACTAAAGAGCACACAACTCCGTTACTTAAGAGCAACATATTGATATTAGGGATTGATTCTTATTGTGTGAAAAGGTGAGGACAAAAGAAGATTTCACTTTTAGGTGTACTGAATCTAGTTTAATGGAAAGTTCCAAAGTCAAAAAGTTCTAGAAGCTCTTTTGATGGTGGAAGGTGCTTCCACCATTTCCTACTGTTGTGGGCTGCGGGTTCTTCTCCCCCACCAGTCTATCACACAAACCCATTATCCCAACAATACACAGAAACACTTAATGATAGAAAAATGTACATATCTCTATAGAGAGGGAAAGATGTGAATACGTAAAGAGAGAAGATGTGAACATAGTTTTGTATTGATTTGACTTTATTTAACATATCTGTAAATCCAAATGGCCTCAATGGACCACCATTTCCTCCTGTTTCTCTTGTTTTGGCCCAAGTACACTAAGCCAACATTTTTGGTTACTCACCAATCTGGTTCATGATTAACTTACTTTGTGAGACGAAAGAGAGAAGTCATTCATTCACACCATTTACAGAATGCAGCATCACAAGAATCCAATGAAGTGAATCAGCTTGAGAGAGCAACAGGAAGTTTGTTATGTTTCTTCTCCACTCAATTAAGATAACAATGTTTAGTTTCTTCTCTACTCATCAACACAACAAAAGATAGAAAAACCAAAAATGAACTCAACTTTCTCACAACAAAAGCATTAACACATAAGGATGAGAGTTTTTTTAAGCAACAGTAGAGTACAAACAACAGAAACAAGAGAATCTTGATTTGAGTTTTTTAGATATTTTTAGTAACTACAGATTCTTCTTAGCCAGGAGACACATCCATATATAGCTTCCAAGTGGCAAACGAGGCATGGCCGCGTTATTGATTCCACGAAACCAGAAGGGTTCGTCTAGAGGTGCAATCCATATTTCATCGACAAGGAAATGGGCCAAGTGGATGGCAAACTAAGGTTATTAGAGATTACTTGAACCTTGCATTTGAGTGAAGCTACTGCAGGAACCATCTGAAGTTGGCTTGATACTTCAACTAGATCATTTTCGATTGATGTATTGTAGTATATCATGAGTTGTTCAAGATTTGGCATTTTCTCCAAGAAATTCTTGATCTGCTCCATCTCTATCTCCATATCGTCATCAACATTGGTTTCTCCAAATTTCAATATCTTTAGAAACTTCACCGGACTTGATAATAAGCAAGACGGACTATTCTCCAAACCTTGGCACAAACATACATCCCCACATCTATATGTTGCTTTGTGAAGGAGTCCCTAAAACATAAAAGAACATCTCAAACTTTAATGTTAAATTAGTCACCAGATTCATTTTCAAGAGTTTGATTTGCTCACTTGGAAGACAAGGGTTTCAAGATTTGGACAACTCTTGAGCATATTTGGCAATGATTCCCATCCTAGTTCCGGATGACTCTCAATAGTTAGATGAGTCAAGTTGTTGAATACCGGTATCGCTTGACAGCAAAAATGAAGTGTCTGAAACAAAACAAAAGATTATCACTCATTACCAAATACTACTTAACTAAAACCCTCCAGTAATGTTAGATTTACATACCTCAAGAGTGTCATAAGATAAGTAAAGGGTCTTCACATTGCATATTCCCATAAGAAGATCCGTTGCATTGCCAACCATCACTGTTTCCTCATCAACATCTGATAAATATCTCGCCTTTGCTTTCTGATCATTCGTCATCCGTATACCGATACTAGCTTCAACCAGCGAATCAAAATTCACTTTCGGATACTTGTGCGCAATATTATCAGAATATTCAAAGTAGACAACATTTGGAGTTTCAAATGATACACTCTTCGGATTTTTTTTATACTGTGCACAACATAGCGTTAGTCTCTTGAGAAGTTTGGAAGACACAGAGCAAGAATCCCAACGACCCCACGCAAGATTAAGCAAAGCTAATTCCTCAAGAACGGGACACCCAGAAAGAAGCTTTGCAAAACCAATCTTACCTTCTTCAAACACAACTGAATCAAGATTTAGAGTCTTAAGCTTTGGAAGACAAACGTTTCTCAGTTTAACTCTGGGACCATCTTTAGGTCCTATTTTCAGCCTAACTAGTGTCTTACTCGCAAAAACCTTTGAAGGCAACCAATAAACCAATGAGGGAGAGACATGTAGAGAAAGATCTGATACACCATGTCTCAAGGCATTTAATATCCAAGGGAAGACGTCTTCATCCTCAATACCATCTCCACATTTTAGAGAGAACTTGTTAATGTGATCATTTCCTCGCAATTTCAATACTCTATCCACAAAATCTATAAAACTCGTCTGGTCCTGGTCCTGCATCGCAATCTCGGGATGCAGAGAGGGAATGACATCAAAATCAAGATTTGGTACAAGAGCAAACAAATACCGCCATCTTTTTGAGAGAAGTGATGTCAAAGCAGCTTCTTTCGTAGACAAATTGGACAAGATTTGGCAAAGAAGATTGTCTGGTAAACAATTGATTACATCTTTGGAACAATCATCCATTGTTCAGTACTTACAAACCTGAACAATATATCCAACAAGATTTCAAAAGCGGAACTCAAGATACCAAAATACAAGGTCATAAACTCCAAACCAGTTTCAAGGTCTAATCCTTTACACAATCGGAATCATAAGGTACGGTTAGGATTCACGAGGAAAAAAAATCACGAACCACAGAAGAAAAACCAGATCTTCTAGGAACACAAGGTCAAAAGCAGAGATTAGAAAATTTACTTGTGTTGAGTGTAAAAGCAGAGTCCATCAAGGTCACCCTACAGCTTCAACAGACGGTGAGGGTTCATAAGGGTAGTGGAAGATGAGAATTAGGACTTTTTTTATGTTCTGGACCAATTTGGTATTAAAAATGTCTTGGAAACATGAAGAAGCAACTAAAGTTTATCCGTCATTTAATTATTGGAATATTTTGTTATTCAATTATTTATCTCATACATTAACCAAGTCGTATGATTCTTGTCAAGGACCAGTAGAAAAATCGAAGATATCTGCGTTCACACTATAATAAGGTTCTCCAAGCCACGTCCATGCCTGGAACAACAGTTTTAAGTTTTAACACCACAGAAAGTTTTGACATTTTCAAAAAGGACAAAATCCAGAGTGCAAAAGTACAAACGACAGAAACAGAGGAAATCTTTAATTGCTTTGAGTTCAGAACCAGTAATCTTCTTCATCTGGAGAAGGAGCAAAGTCATACACGGGAGGAGGAGGAGACTCAACCCAGGGATATTCTTCTTCAGGAGGAAGAGCAGACCAATTCGTTGTCAAGAAAGAAGGCACAGTAGATGACAAACTAAGATTCTCAGAGATTACCTGGATCTTGCACTTTGGTGAAGCTATCTTAGGAATCTTCTGAAGCTTCTTGGATAATTCTAACACAGCAGGGTCATATGATGTATTGTAGTATACTATCAACTCTTCAAGACGCGGCATTTTCTCCAAGAAATACTTGATCTGCCGCATTTCTGACCCGTCTTCTTCATCGTTGTCTTCAAACAGAAATATCTTAAGAACCTTCACCGGAGAAGATGAAAGGCAAGAAGGATGCTTCGGACGTTTACAACAGCACACGTTTCCACATGCCTTGTTATACTTGTGGAGAAGACGCTGAAGAAACATAAAGGAAAGGTTTCATAGTTAAGTTGTATTTGTTTTCATGTGAATGGTAAACAAAGATGCTTTAATGGGTTTTTTTTTAATACCTTCAAAACAAGGGTTTCCAGATTTGGACAGTTCTTGAGTAGACCTGGTAGTGAATCCCATCTTACTTCCGAGTTATTCTCGATTGTTAACTGAAACAGGTTGTTAAAAACCGGTATTGGCTCACAGCAGAAAGTAAGTACCTGAAACAAAAACCGAATCAACTATATCATCACTCACTTGTGATCATCAACTCAAGCCATTAACTGATGGGATTGATAGACAAACCTCAATAGCTTTGGCAGATAAGTAAAGGATCTGAACATTGCTTATTCCCTTAAGAAAATCTGTTGCATTACCGACCATCTGTTTTTCCTCATCACCCTCTGAGAAATAGTCTTCTTCTGAAAAGTCTGCATCTCCACTCTGATCTTCTGTCAGTCGAAGACCGATATGAGCTTCAACAAGCGAATTAAATTTCACTTTTGGATACTTGCCCGCAATAGAGTCAGAATACTCTAGGTAAACAAGGTTTGGAGTATCAAATGACACGCTCTTTGGATTCTCATAAGCGTCCTCACAGAAAAACGTCAGCCTCTTAAGGGTTTTGACAGACACAGAGCAAAACTGCCAATTTTCCCACCCGATATTCATCAGAACTAACTCCTCGAGCACGGGACAGCCAGAGAGAAGCTTTACAAAACCAAAACCACGCTCTTGAACCTCAACAGAATCAATATAGAGAGTCTTAAGCTTTGGAAGAAAAACATCTTTCCTATCAATGGTGAGAGTGAGATCATTTGCCGGTCCTAATTTCAGCTTAACCAGAGTCTTACTCACAAAGATCTCGGAAGGTAAGGAATACTCCAAGAGGCTTAGATCAAGATCTGATACACCGCGTCCTAAGACATTCAATATCCAACCAGTGACACGAGCTAGATCAACATCAAAATTAGAACAGTCTAGAGAGAATCTGTTTATGGAACCATTCCCTTGCAAAGCCAAAACTCTGTCCACAAATTCCATAAAACTTCTACTAAGTTCATCATCGCTTTTTGGTTTATCATGCTGATAGTCCGAGTCATCAAACTCCAGATTTGTTACATACGCAAACAAATAACGCCATTTTTTGGAGAGGACCGACGTAGAAGCTGCTTCTTTTGTGGGAAGGAAAGACAAGATGTGGGACACTAGAGGATTTGGTAGACTGCTGATTATATCTCTTGAGACAAAATCCATCTTTTACTAACAAAAGATCAACACTTTCAACCTAAACAATTAGAAAACAACACGGTTTTAAGAACAGAACTCAAAACACGACATTCTCAAACTAGAAAACAAAACAGTTCCAAGGTCTTGTCTTTTTTTTACACAATTGCAACGTTCCCAACGAGAAACAAAGAAAGCTAAGTGCTGGAGTAGAATTAAAGGCAGACACTGCTTGTGAACAAGAATCAGAAGAAGAAATGAGAAAACTTACTTGGATCCATCAAAATCACCAGACTCGGAGGTTTGTGGTGAAAATGAAAATTAGGGTTTTTGACAATCTTGCCGTCAGTTAGATAGCAATGTGGCGGGATGGGTGAATTCCAATGCTAGATCCCTTAAACGACGCCGTATTAGTGGTGAATGAAGTTTCCATTAACGACGTCGTATTAGTGGTGAATGAAGTTTTACCAAAAATTGCTCGCTTAACGACGTCGTATTAGTGGTGAATGAAGTTTTACCAAAAATTGCTCGCTTATATTTTTTTGGTTCATTCGCTTCTCGAGTAAATTATATACAAGTCAATCCTGAATTTACTCCTAATTTTATGCTATTATCATAATCTTTGTTTTCGTTATTTTATCTTTATTTCTTTTTATTAATTTGAGGAATATTTCTTGAACTGTGAAACCTGATCAAAAAACTGTGTAAACAATATGAACAAAAAAAGTAGAATGCATATTGAGAAGCTGAAACAGCAAGACAAAACCGTCTTTGAACAACAAAAACAAAAGAAGCTTGCTTAGAGTTTTAGCAAACTTTACAAAAACTTTCTTCTAGGCGAGAGAAATCCCAAGGTTAACGCATATCACCAACACGAATAACCACAAAATACATATTGGGAAGCTGAAAGAGCAGAGACAAGACTAGAACTAACAACTAATGGTTTGCTGAACTTCTCTGGAGATGAAGCATGCTGATCTTTAAACCGGGAAGGTGTCTTTGAAGAAGTTGAGCCCACTTGTCGATGAGGAAGAGTACACAGTAAATGAGTAGCTGATGTTATCAGAGATTACTTGGATCTTGCATTTGGTTGAGGCTACTTTTTCAAGCATCTGAAGTTGGGTTGATACTATTTTCAGATCATCATCAAATGTAGTGTCATAGTATAATATCACTTGTTCAAGATTCGGCATTGACTCCAAAAAGTGCTCAATGAGATCCGTCTGCCTCTCCATGTCATCTTTATAACTAGAGATTTGTCCAAACTTCAATACCTTTAGTATCTTCACTGGGCTTGATGATAGCCAAACAGGAGTCCCGTACCAAGGTTTGCACTGACATGTGTCACCTTGATCGCCATAACATTCGTTTGTGTCCTTGAAGCTGTAATCCTTGTCAAAACATTGATTTAAATCTCCGTAATGCAGTCACTGAAGTATAACAAAGGAAACAGTTTCTCAGAATTTAAGTGTGTTTGAAAATAAATGTGTCAGCTGATGCAAGAAAAGGATATGTGATGGTACTTCGAAGACGAGAGTTTCTAGATTTGGACAATTCTTGAGTAGAATCGGCAATGATTCCCAGTCCACTCTTTCGTCAGTCTCAACTGTTAAATGAATCAGGTTGTTGAAGACTGGTATTGCTTTTTTACAGCAAAAAGTAAGGACCTGAAAGAAAGAAAAAAGGATCATTATTCATATGCAATCATATACTCAAATATACCTGCTGAAACTAAAACTAGTTCGAAAATAGGCCTCAGTCACAGGTTTAATTCTTAAAACTTACCAAACTGAAACAAGGGAATTTGGGTTCTAACTTATATATCTTCTTTTACTTTCAGAGCAATAAAAATATGAAGATATAGATGGGGGATTCATATGCAAACCTCAAGAGCCTCGGACGATAAGTACATGGTTTTAACATTGCATATTCCCATCATAAAATCTGCTGCATTTGCGCCCTTACATCTTTTATAACCATGATGGCTGTTTACTAAATCTCTTGCATCAAAGACCTGATCAGGTGTCATTCGAAGGCCTATGCTAGCTTCAACAAGCGAATCAAAATTCACTTTTGGATACTTCACCGCAACAGTATCAGTAAATTCTAAATAGACAAGATTTGGAGTATCAAAGGATACACTCTTTGGATTCTCATCAATGTTCTCACAATCAATTGTTACTCTCTTGAGGAATGGGTTGGACACAGAGCAAAATTCCCAGTAATCCCACATCATTTTAATCATAACTAGCTCCTCAAGGGCGTGACAAGCAGAAATCAGCTTGGCAAATGGAGGACCACCCTCATCACCGAACGAAATAGCAGTCAAATGCAAAGTCTTAAGCTTTGGTAGAAAAACCTCACCAACATCAACGGTGAACTCATCTGTTCCTGCTAATTTCAGCCTAACCAATGTCTTGGTCATCAAGACCTCTGGAGGCAGCGGATATTCGTATTCCGAAGTGATGTACAGATCAAACTCTACTACACCACGCTCCAACACTTTGAGTACCCAACCATTGACACGAGATGGATCAGAACCAATTTTACACCTTAAAGAGAATTTTTTTAACGGAGCATTCCCTTGCAAAGCCAGTACTCTATCCACAAAAAGCTTGAAACTTTTACGCATCTCTAGCCTTTTTCGTCTACCCATTTTAGGACGGTCATAGATCATGTTATCTAAATCGAGAGTTGGTACAAAAGCCAACAGATACCTCCACCTTTTTGCGAGAACTGATGTCGAAGCAGCTTCTGTCGTGGGAAGGAAGGACAGGACGTGACAAAGAAGAGCGTCTGGTAGATTGCTGATAATATCTTTGGAACCAATGTCCATCTTTTTCGAACTCATTTATACCTGAACCATGATGTGAGCTTGCGTCACTACTTCAAATTCAATCAGAGGATTTTCAGCAGCTAAACGCAAAAACAAAGGAACTGGAAAAGAAAGCACAAAATCACAAAATCAGAAGACGGAATTGGGAACTTACTCGGAAATGAAAGAAGAACCTTTCAGCACTCAGGATTTTAGATGTTGAATGGGAAGCGGAAGAGTAAATTAGGGTTCATGCAATCGTCGCCGAGAGTGAAGTAGTAATGTGGCGGGATGGGTGAGTCCCGATGATGCTATTAATCTAACAAAACACCATTTTTGCTAATTTTGGTTACTAATTTAATTTTGTTCCTTTGTCTTTTTTCAATGGGCTATGATCTGTTGCAAACTCTGGGCCTGAGTTTATATATTTCTCTTAGTGGGCTACGCTATGATTACTCTCTTCTTTAAATTCAGAAAATCAAATAGATTTATGACAAAAGCCATTGGAGTTAATACGTTTTAGTTACCAAACTATACAAAATTCTTGTAGACAAGACATATCCAACGGTTTTTTAAGCTTAAACTAACAACTTGTGAAATTTGTTTAGGATGAAACAAGATGATCTTTAACCAGGAAAAGTGTTTTGTAACAGAGACGAGTCCACTTGTTGATGCGGAAGAATGCATAGTAGATGAGAAGCTGATGTTGTCAGAGATTACTTGAAACTTGCATTTAGGTGAGGCTACTTTTTCAAGCATCTGAAATTCGGTTGATACTATACTCAGATCACCGTCAATTGGAGTATCGTAGGACAATATCACGTGTTCAAGATTCAGCATCACTTTGCTTCGAATTTAGCCCTTATCGCACACTATACAAAACTTTGTAGCCAATACACATTAAGTGGCTTCCCAATTGGCAAAAGATTGTATATGAGAGATTCAAAAGGACTTGTGATACCAGAAAGTTTACAACTTGGAGGCATATGATAAACACATGTTATCTACGAACCTAATGAAAGGGCACAAGACACAAAATAACAGAACAGAAACCAAACTACATATCATCATTGTTGTTTTCAGCTAACATTAACAGCCAAAGCTTTGCTAATCTTCTCTGAGATGGAAAGAAGAATAATCCTTAAACCGGAAAGGTGTTGTTAAAGAAGACGAGTCCACTTGCCGACGAGGAAGAGTGCACAGTAGATGAGAAGCTGATGTTATCAGAGATTACTTGAATCTTGCATTTGGGTGAGGCTACTTTTTCAAGCATCTGAAGTTCAGTTGATAATATACTCAGATCATCATCAAATGGAGTATAGAAGTATAATATCACTTGTTCGAGATTCGGCATTGTCTCCAAGAAGTACTTAATCACCTCTGTCTGCCTATCCATGTCATCTTTGTAACTATAGACTTCTCCAAACTTCAATACCTCTATATTCTTCACCGGACTTGATGATAGACAGATAGGAGTCCCTTCCCAAGGTTTGCACACACACCTGTCTGCATCCTCAAAACATTTCATTGTGTCTTTGAAGCGGTATCTCTCGTCCCAACATTGATTTGTATCTCTGTAATGAAGTCCCTGAAGTATAATAAAGGAAATGGATTTTCAGAATTTACATGTGTTTGGAAATAATGTGGCAGTTGATGAAGGAAAAGGATATGTGCTGGTACTTTGAAGATGATGGTTTCTAAATTTGGACAATTCTCGAGTAGATTCGGCAATGATTCCCATCCAACATCTTCGTCAGTCTCAATAGTTAAATGAGTCAAGTTTTTGAAGAGCGGTACTTCTTTGCAACAGAAATTAAGTACCTGCAACAAAAACCAAATCAACTTCATCATCACTCGATTGCAATAATTAACTCAATATACATGATGGAACTAAACATGGTTCGAAAATAGGCCTAAGATTGAGGTCGAGATTGTTTGCCTTTGTTTACTTCGGAGCAATAAAAATATGAAGATAGAGATGGGATTGATATGCAAACCTCAAGAGTGTGAGATGATAAGTAAAGGATCTTAACATTGCTAATTCCCATAAGAAATTCTGATGCATTCCCCACCATTTCTTCTTCCACACCATCTACTGAATTTCTTGCCCTAGTGATCTGATAAGGTGTCAGTCGAAGACCGAGCCTGGCTACAACAAGCGAATCCAAATTCACTTTTGGATACTTGATCGCAACAACATCAGTAAATTCTAAGTATACAAGATTTGGAGTATCAAATGATACACTCTGTGGATTATAATCAATTGTCTCACAACAAATTGTTACTCTCTTGAGGGTTGGGTTAGACACAGAGCAAACGTCCAAAAGTCCCCACATCAAATTAATCATAACTAACTCCTCAAGCACAGGACAACCAGAAATTAGCTTGGCACACGCAACACCACTCTCTTCGAACTCAATAAAACCATGAAGATGCAAAGTCTTGAGCTTCGGAAGAAAAACTTCTTGCACATCAATGATGAACTCATCTTTACCTCCTAGTTTCAGCCTAACCAATGTCTTGTTCATGAAGACCTTTGAAGGCAGCTCATAATCACTTTCCGAAGAGATGTTTAGATTAAGATCTAAAACACCACGATCCAACACATTGAAAATCCAACCATCGACACAAGCTGAATCACAACGAACTTTACACTTAAGAGAAAATCTGTTTAACGGAGCATTCCCTTGCAAAGCCATTAATCTATTCACAAAAACCTTAAAACTTTTATGTATCCATTGCCTTCTTCGTTTAGCCACTTTACGATGCTTGAAGACCGAGCTATCTAAATCCAGATTTGGTACAAAAGCCAACAAAAAGCGCCACCTTTTGGAGAGAAGTGAAGTCAAAGCAGCATCCTTTGTGGAAAGGAAAGACAAAATGTGGCAAAGAAGAGCATCCGGGAGACTGTTGATCAAATCTTTGGAACCCAAATCCACCTTTTTCGAATTCATTAATACCTGGACGATGATGTGAGCTTGCGTCAGTAATTCAATCAGAGTTTTCATCAGAAGCTAAACTAAAAACACAACAAATGCGATGTGTCTTTTAAGGGTTTGTGTTTCGGACAAACGAGAGATTTCAATAAAGATTTCACAGTATGATATAAACAAAGGTAAGAATCAAACAGGAACCCACAAATGCAGACACTACAAAGCACAAGTTTACATGAAGAAATGGGAAACTTACTCGGGAATAAAAGCTGAGAACTTCCACCACCAAGTATTCAGATGTTGAATGCTAGATAGGGAATTCGAAAAGTAAATTAGGGTTCATGCAAATCGTCGCCGAGACTGAAGTACTATAATGTGGCGACATAAGTGATTGTAAATTAATCTAACTAAAAGTCTAAAACCATTGTTACACTAATTTTGTTTTTTCTTCGGCTAATGAATGAATTCATTAATATTTTTAAAATGGGCCTATGATCTGTTGCAGAATATGGGCCTGAATTTATCTGTTTGTGTACATGGGCTGTGTTTACTCTCTCTTCTTTGGTTCAATGGATTAGACTGATTAGTAACCAAAAAGTCCGAAAATCAAATAGAGACAGAGCAGAGAGATAAAGACTGATGATTTCTTCTGCAAAGTAGCTACTATTATGACAAGTTCGGTCTCATGTTTACATTTCCTTTCCCAGGAACACTTAACACAACATAAGAACTGAAACAAAAAGTTAACATTGTCAGCCAAAAAGGACAAAGCCTAAAAGACACATGTCGTTAAGACAAAATAAGGCCGAGACAGAGAAGAAGATCATTTTAGGAACTACAAGCTACTCCCAAAGCTTTGTTAATCTTCTCTGAGATAAAGGAGGATAATCTTTAAACCGCAAAGGGACTCCTAAAGAAGAAGAGGAGACCATTTGTTGATATGGTGGATGACAGGCTGAGGTTATCAGAGATCACTTGGACAATGCACTTGGATGAAGCTACTTTAGAAACTAGCCTCTGAAGTTGACTCGAAACTTCAATCACATCTTCATCAACTGGTGTATTGTAGTATAATATCATCTGTTCAAGATTTGGCATTGTCTCCAAGAAATACTTGATCTGTTCTCTCTCCTTCTCCATGTCCTCATAGTAATCACCAATTTCACCAAAATTCAGTATCTTTAGAACCTTCACCGAACTTGAAGATAGGCAACTAGGAATCCCCTCCTCACAAGGTTTGCACAAGCACACGTCTCCACATCTATCCATGGCTTTGTGGACTAGTCCCTGAAACATAGTAGAAACATCTCAAACTTTGAAAAATGGGTCAACATATGCTTTCAAAGAGTTTGTTTCATACTTGGAAGACAAGAGTTTCCAGATTTGGAGAATTCTTAAGCAAGCCCGGCAATGACTGCCATCCTACTTCCGGATTACTCTCGATAGTTAAATGAGTCAGGTTGTTGAATAGTGGTATTGCTTCACAACTGTACGTAAGTACCTGAAACAAAACCATATCAACTAGATCACCATCACTCCATTGCAATCACTAACTCAAATCCTTAAGCTATGTTAAAAAATATTACAAGTTGTTTGTCTTCTTCTAAGTAGCATAAATTAAAAAGACTAGAAGAAGGATGGTAGTAACGAAATACGAACCTGAAGAGTGTTGGCAGACAGAGAAAGGATCTTCACATTGCATATTCCCATTATAAAAGCTGTTGCATTGCCAACCAAATCATTTTCCCCATGACCTTCAGAATAATGTATCTGTAAATCTTCAAAACTTGCCTCCTCTAGAAAATGTGTCAAACCCATCTGCTCTTCTGACATCCGAAGATCGATATGGGCTTCAACAAGCGAATCGAAATTCACCTTTGGATACTTGTCAGCAATAGTATCAGTAAACTTCAAGTAGACAAGATTCGGAGTATCTAATGACACACTCTTTGCATTCTCACCTCTCTCTCCCCAGAAAAACGTTAGTCTCTTGAGAGTTGTGACAGACACAGAGGCAAAATCCCATATAAACCAAGATATATCATCCAGAACTAGATCCTCAAGCATGTGACAACCAGAAAGAAGCTTGGTAAGCCCAACACCATGCTTTTCAAAATGGACTGGGTCAAGATAGAGAGTCTTGAGCTTTGGAAGATGAACATCTTCAACATCCAAGGTGGGGCTATATCCAAATTTTAGTTTCAGCCTAACCAGTGTCTTGCTCAAGTAGATCTTGGAAGAAAGCAGAAACTCTGATTCCAAACCAATGTCTAGATCAAGATTGGATACACCTCGTTCCAACACATTGTCTATCCAAGAATTGATACGGACTGGATCAACACCATCTCTGACCTTTAGAGAGAACTTGTGTACAGGAGAATTGCCTTGTAATGCCAATACTCTATCCACAAAATCCATAAAGCTTGTAGAAATCCTATTCTCTCTTTCATCAATCATTGCCATGAAATCTCTAGGACTAATAGGAATCTTTTTCTCTTTCTCAGGATTCAGATAAACAGAGTCATCGAAATCAAGGTTAGGGACAAAAGCAAAGAGATACCGCCATTTTTTGGAGAGAACAGAAGTAGAAGCAGCTTCTTTAGTGGGAAGGAAAGACAAGATGTGGCAACAAAGAGCCTCTGGTAAACCGCTGATTACATCTCTACAACCACCACGATTCATCTTTTTCAACAACCTGAAAAACCAAAGATACGAGCTCGATGGAATAAGAAATCTGAACAAAAGGGTTCCAAAGTTATCAACTTTATCGGTTTTTGAGGTATTTTCCTTTACACAATCAACAATGTTCTAAGATTCCCAACTTAAAAGCTAAGAATCAAATCTGCTAGCTTGAAGAAGAATCAGAAGAACACAAGAACAGATATTGAAACTTACTTGGAGATAAAAGCGAAGCCCACTGAAATCACTCAACTATTGTAGAAAATGTAGGGTTTTGGCGATTGTATTTGTAGGCAAGAGAGAAGAAGAAAGAGCGACTTCTTAGGCTATATAGCCTTTTTAGTGTCATGTCAAGTCTAAAAGATTTTGTAAGATATTTTGCATCCTATTAGATTAAATTAATATATTTACAAAAATCTTTGACAACCATTGACACATTTTAATGCTTACATTAATGAGTTATTTATGTTTAGCTTAATAAATTACATTAAAGGTTTTGATTTGATTTGGAACTTTGGAAGACTCGATAAGATATTTTTCTAACCATTCAAAAAATTAATTTAAGAGCTCAAATGACTCATGTTATTGTAGATCTCTAAACGTTAATTTTGGTGTTAGGAACCAGCTCAAATACAATAATAGTAAAACTCTCAACGTTAAGCTCATTTGTGTATAAGAGAATGTTAGAATTTATTTCTCCTTGTGAAGAACATGAAAAAAAAAAACAGAGAGGCTTTGAACGAGAGAGAACAAAGTATAAAATCAGAAGTTATTTTGATGTCTACTGTACCACCGTCCATATGCTCAATATGCAAGTCATTATGAATCAAGAGTTGTGATCTGATCATAGTTCTCGTAGAAGAAAACGACTGGACTGGTGATTTCTTTTTGAAGTTAACTTATATGGCAAGGTAGGTCTCATGTTTTAGTTTTGTTTTTCCCGTGCAACTAGAAATAGCTAACACAGCAATACAAACCACTTTTTAAAAACTTTGATGCTAAAACGAAAGAAGGAAGAACTTGTAATAGTCTTTGTTAGAGGGGTAGAACTGTAAGAGTATCTCCATTAATAAGAAACTCTTCCTCTCAGTGAGTATCTAAAGAATATAAAAACTAAAAGAGAGAGTTATACAGCTGGCACTCTTAAGAAACTATACCTCCACTTGTCATTTTGTTAATGCTTTAATTTTATTTTTAAAATTAAAATTTATTATTTATTTAATTTATATTAAAATAATAATATACTATTGTTAAGATGCTGAGGGTATTCTAAAAGAACTTGTTTTGTATTGTAGATACATTCATCTATGGTATAACCACATAGTAAGAAACCATAAATGTTCTCCCAAAGAAGAGGACCTCAATTCGTCAATACCGAAGTGGGAACGGTCGATCATACGCTCAGGTTACTAGGGATAAGGTGGATCTTGCACTTTGATGAAGCTAACCTTCTAAGCATCTGAAGTTGCGATGAGACTTTCACATCATAGTATAAAA